ACATAAGACGATAGGGAGAATGAGAGAGAGAGAGCGAGGGAGAGAGAGCGAGAGAGAGAGCGAGAAAGAGAGAGAAAAGAAAGGAGAGAGAGAGAGAGAGAGAGAGAGAGAGAGAGAGAGAGAGAGAGAGAGAGAGAGAGAGAGAGAGAGGGTGATAGAGAGAGAGAGTTGAGATAGAGAAAGAGAGAGTGGAGATAGAGCGAAAGAGAGAGATAGAGAGAGGGTGATAGAGAGAGAGAGTTGAGATATAGAGTTGAGATAGAGCGAAAGAGAAAGAGGGTGATAGAGAGAGAGATAGAGAGAGAGAGAGAGCGAGAGAGAGGGTGATAGAGAGAGAGAGAGCGAGAGAGAGAGATTGAGAGAGAGATAGAGCGAAAGAGAGAGATAGAGAGAGCGAAAGAGATAGAGCGAAAGAGATAGAGAGTTGAGATAGAGCAAAAGAGTGAGAAACACGCATACATAGCCAGTGAAAGATAGAGAAAGTGCGAGACAGATTGAGAGGTAGTGAGCGAGTGCGTGAGGAGGATTCCCCAAAGAAAATCGAACCTGTGTTGCATCTTCCCTCTGTGCAGCTCCTCCTATACCCTCTTCCTTTAAGGTTGCGAGCATGAAGACGCCTCTGCCGTCTCCCGTGTCTGCGGCTTTTTCTGCCCAATAGCGGCTAAGCGCCTCGGCGAGTTCAGCCGCATGCATCGAGACTGGGGTGTCTGACTGTGTCTCTTTCTCTACGAGGCTTTCTGAGGCAGCAGCATGTGCTGCAGCAGACGCTTGCACGGCGGCAGTTGCAGAGGCAGCAGCTTGTGCATACAGCTCTGCGAGGCTCACCATGGAGGCAACATCTCCCTAAAAAGAAAGCCGCTCACGCACATGCGCCGTGCCAAAAAAGCCCTTTGTTCCTTTCGTAAATGCATGCTCCTAGAGAAGACCCCTCCCCGCCTTCCCCCCCTATTCGGCGATCTTTACTCCCTTCCGTGTGTCACAAAGCCTTTGGTTTATTCTGCACTGCTTCCCCATATTGGCAGTCAATTGAAAAACATGTACCCCCCTAGCTCCTCTCCCCTGAGCTCCCTTCCTTCCCTCCTCGAGCCTGCCCTTCCCGCTGTCTGCGCTGACTGCTCGCTAGACACGCCTTACACCCCTTCCCCTCACATACCTGTAAGGCGGCTCTCCTAAGCGCAGCAAATCGACAGGCTGTCGCGGGGGGAGCTCCTGGGATGTTGAGAGGCTCAGGCAATTGCAGCCAGCATCTGACAAACTCGGAAGTTCGCAGATGCTGCAGCTGACTGCGTGCGACAACTGCAGCGCGAGCAGCTGCAGACGAGCCGAGCATGCTCGCCTTGCATGCTTCCCTCGGCTCGAACAAGAGGATTTTCTGGATTGCAGGATCTCCCTCCGCATGCAGTCGCTGACGCTCAGCATGCGCAAACGGAGATACGCGGCGATCAAGCTCACACATGCCAACTGCGGCAGCCACCCTTGCTTCCACGTCTGCTGCTGCAGCCACTGTCTGCGACATTCCTCCTTTTCCAGCTTCTGCAGCACCTGCTGCAGCCGTCAAAGCCACAGAGGGATCAGAATAGCGACTCAACAACAACCTGCGAAGGGCCTCCTCTGCTGAGCCTTCGTCGGATTCTCCAATGGCACCGTCTGCCTCCACTTCCTGCTGCTGCTGCTGTTGCTGCTGTTGCTGCACGTCTTTCTGTACAGGGGTTTGCGCTGCGCTTGCCGATTCAGCAGCGAAAATCGCAGCAGGCACTGCTGCTGATGATGATGCAGGTGCTGCAGCTCCTGCTCCTCCTCCCTCCCCTGCTCGCACGGAAGCCTGCTGCTGCATGCTGCTGCCTTCTGCAGCAGCAGCAGCAGCAGCAACTGCGAAGTCTGCTTCTAAAAGTTCTTCCATGAGCACTCCTAGTGTCTTCTGCCGCTGTGCATGCTGCTCCGCTGCATGCTTCCACAGAGCAGCGGCAGTCACATGAGCTGCTACGTGCCCTACTTCTGAGAGCAACAGTTGAAGCAGCAAAGCCCCCGTGGTATCGTCGCTGCGATGTGCATGCAGAGAAAGCGCATGCAGCAGATTCACGCGGCGGTGCAGCATCGCTACTTTCTCCAAGACCTGAAGAGACACCCCAAATCGCACGTACACCCCACACAACATGCAGAGGCGCACGATTTCCAGTCCTAAAGAAGACAGCCAGCAGGTCGAACTCAAGAATCATGCAGCAGCTCATGTCACACACATACAAACAGATAGACACATGAATACATACACATACGGCAGACATACACACGCAGACATGAACAGACAGGCGAATACACACGAACAGACATCAACATAAGCATACACACAGACAGACACAGACACACAGACAGAAGCAGACAAACACAAGAATACATAATAACACACAAATACAGAAACAAAAACATAGGTCTGAGCGAGCGAGCATGGTTCAAGCCGCTCCAAAAGGGTACGAAGAGGCCTTTCGGCAGCTGTGCAGCAGAAGCCTGAGAAAGTAATGTTAGGAGTGGCGAAAGCAATGTGAGGAGTGACGAAAGTAATGTGAGGAGCGGCGAAAGTAATGTGAGGAGCGGCGAAAGTAACGTGAGGAGCGGCGAAAGTAATGTGAGGAGTGGCGAAAGGGACGTCACGAGGAGTGGCGAAAGTAATGTGAGGAGTGGCGAAAGTAATGTGAGGAGTGGCGAAAGGGATGTGAGGAGTGGCGAGATCGACGAGCACAGAAAAGGGGGCTAACCTTGTAAGCCATGTTGCATCGATCCTTGGGGGATTTGTGCAGCGGCGAGGCTCCCTGCAGCAGCAGCAAGGCTGCGCTGTATGATGCCTCGGGGTGCCCAGCGACTGCCGCTTTGGAGAAGTATATTAGAGCCTCAGTCATGTTGCCGACTGCAACAAGCGGCTCCTTGTCTGCAGCAACTCCTCTGCCCCCCACCGCGGCTGCAGGAGATGCCCCCAGAGGATCTGCTGCTGCTGCTGCTGCTGCTGCTGCTGCAGACGCTGTGGTAGGCGCTAAAGCCGCAAGGTGTGCTGCCGCGTAGAGCACCTGCGCATTGCTATCTCCCAAATCAGCGGCTATGCGCAGCGCCTCGCCTGTAGCAGCAGGCAAGGAGAGAAGCAGCAGCCGCAGTTCTCGGCAGGGGAGCATGCTCGAAAACATGCCCAGCAGCACCAGAAATAACAGCCAGAACGGCGGCAAGACCAAGAAGAAAACTGTCTCTTTTAAAGCCCTCAAAAGCTTGAGGCGCTCAGAGATGAGTGCACAGGGCAGCGCAAGACAGAGGGAAATGCCTAGGAGGAAAACAAAGGCGGCAAAAAGCGCTTGAAGTCGCAGATTCGCCACAGCACTCCAAAAACGCATTTCTTCAAAGAAACGCAGCACGAAGAAAGTGCATCTCAGAGACATAAAGGAAGGGAAGAAAGCAAGGAAGTAAGGAAGAGCGGTAGTAAGAAAGCAAGCAAGGAAGGAAGGAATAAAGAAAGCAAGGAAGAAAGGAAGGAAGGAAGGAAGGAAGGAAGAGCGGTAGTAAGAAAGCAAGCAAGGAAGGAATAAAGGAAGAAAGAAAGCAAGCAAGCAAGGAATGAAGAAAAAAAGCAAGCAAGCAAGGAAGGAATGAAGGAAGGAAGAAAGAAAGCAAGCAAGGAAGGAATACAGCAAGAAACAAAGCAGAAAAGAAGAGAGGCGAGCAGTGAAAGCCCCTTCCTCCATGCACCTGCCAGCGTCGAGTTCGTCTCTCCTGCAAATCCGAATCGCCACGCTAAATATCGTGCAATCTGAGGGGCAGATCCTTCGCCCTCAGACATTACCTGAGGCAAAATACATTTCTCATCAAGGGAAGCCTTACACCACAAATCATTCTCCTTACCATTCCTACGAGCAGGCGCATAGAGATGCCCCTGCAGTTCAGTGTGGCATGCGAGAGGCAATTACAGTAGGAGAAAATACAGACAGGACGAAGCAATACACCCGAGAAAAAAAGAGCCTGTACATACACTAGAACTCTTCATAGGAGGCGCAGACAATGCGGCCCCTAAGCACTTAAAAGGCAACAGCCTGCTTCTGCCCTTCTCTACCCCTTTTTGCCGTCCAACTGCTTCTTTCTCTCTGTTTTCTTTTCTCTCTCTCTCTCTGAAAGAGATTCCTCCTATTTTGTGCCTGATCCAGCCTTGCCTGCTTCAAAAGAGGTTCTGCCGGGTGCTGCACTTCCTCCTTCTTCTTGACCTCATCCTCCGCCTTTAGTCCTACAGCCGACAAAACGCTTCGCCATGCTCCCTGAAACAAACCACCCCATTCTGCAGGAGCTTGTGCTACAGCGTGCCTCCCAGCAGCCGCTAAGCCTCCTGTCCCTTGTATCCCTCCAGCTGCTGCTTCTCCTGCTGCAGCTGCTAATCCTCCTGCTGCTTCTCCTGCTGCAGCTGCTGCCAATCCTCCAGCTTCTCCTGCTGCAGCTGCTGCCAATCCTCCAGCTGCCCCTGCTCCTTCAGCAGCTGGCAATCCTCCAGCTGCTGCTGCTCCTCCTGCTGCTCCTGCCCTTCCAGCTTCTGCCGCTACTTCAGCGGCTGCTCGAGCTGCTGCTCTTCCTCCAGCAGCAGCAGGTGTATGGCCTTCTAGGAGCAGATGCGCAGCGGCAAGCGCTGCATTGGCATCGCCTCTCTCTGCTGCTTCCGTCCACAAGTCTAAGGCGCGTTGCCGATTTCTCGGAATGCCCGCTGCACAGAAAGAAACCCGCAGCAGAGCGAGTCAGCACGCATGCGCGCGTTGCGGTGTACAGACACCTGTCTGCTGCAGCGCACTTTGCATGCAGCAGCGTCCCTCAGGGCAGCCAAACGCAAAAAAAAGAGCGGCAGCTCGCCTCTCCAGACAAGCGCAGCACGCTGGAGAGGACTGACGAGCAACAAGCAGGCAGCTAAGCAAGAAGAAACTCCCGCTGCTCCTGCGCATGCAAGCGAGACGAGAGGAGAACGCCTCCAACACCGCTCCCTACCTTCTGGACTGCCGTGGAGGTACAGATCAGCTAAGGCAGCAAGACCTTCAGGATCGCCATCTTCTGCGACTGCATGCACCAGCATTGCATAGTCGCGGCTGTTATGCGGTGCAGCAGCCTCGGAGGGGGGGCCATACACGATCGGCTCAGGACGAGTCAGCAGTTCGAGCAGCTCGCTGGGAATAGCGTCTTTCGAGGAGAAAAGACTCGCCGGCGAAGAGCTGTTTCTGCTGGCATTCGAAGGAGCCGCGAAAGTCTCCGCTTCCCCAGGGGAGCGCAGGAAAAACGAAGGTGACACGCGCATCCACGAGCCGTATTGCTGCTGCTGCTGCTGCTGCTCTAGAGCTGCTGCAGCAGCAGGCAGCATGTGCCGCAAGGCTGCCGCACAGTCCCCCGCCTCTTCGCTTCCTAAACGATCGAAAAAACACACACGGGCAAGCAGCAGCGGCAACAAGCTCGCACGGATTGACACCGACAACGCGCACGAGAGGAAGCAGCGTTGCAGTGCAAAAACGCAGAGAGAAAACGAGAGAGGGAGAAAGAGAGAGAGAGCGAGAGAGATAGGCACAGACAGACATACACATGGACACAGAAACACAGGCATATATACATGCACACAGACATATATCCATGCACATAGACATAAATACATACACATAGACATACAGACATACACACAGAAACACAGACAGATCCATAGACAGAGACACGCATACTGAAAGAAGGGAAAAAGAAAGGCGTCCATCGAACAAGCCGCATCAGACGGCTCCTGCTGCGGCGTTCTCTAGAGCCTCCCTCCTCACCAAGACGCTGCAGTGCAACCAGATAGCTTGCATCCTTTTCCTCCTCCGAAGGCGCAGATATGATACCTGAGCCTTCGACTGTCGCTCCACCTTTGCCTATTGCAAACCTCGATCGCTCGGCTGCTGGCGACACCGATGCCTCGGCAGAGGCATCCTGCAGTGCAGCAGCAGTCTGCGTGGAGGAAGCAGCAGCAGCAGCAGCGTTGTTGTCAGACGAAAAGGTCGGAGGTATCTGCATCGCCCATAACGCTCGCTGCGTTCCTCCCGCATCAAGCCCAGGAAAACTTCTGGCAGTCCGCAAGTAGTAAGCTGCAGCCAGAGAAGCAATGGGGTCGCCTGCATGCGCAGCGAGGAGATACTTAATCATCGGCGTGTCTGCCCTGCAGAGAGACAATAATTCACACACATTCTTGATACACATTTTTACATAGATTCTTGATACACATTTTTACATAGATTCTTGATACACATTTTTACATAGATTCTCGATACACATTTTTATACACACATTTTTATACACACATCGTTCACAGATTTTTGACACACACATCTTAATACCCATTTTTCACACATTTTTGATACAAATTTTTGATACACACATTTTTGATACACATTTTTGATACACACATTTTTGATACACACATTTTTGATACATACATCTATTACATAGATTTTTGATACACATGTTTTCATACACACATTTTTGATACACACATTTTTGTACTTTTTTTCAAATAGATTTTTGATACACATTTTTAACATTTTTTTGATACACATTACTGATACACATTTTTTACACTTTTAATACATTTTTATTCGCATTTTTTATACACAATTACATTCATGTACACACATTTACACACATTTATACACATGTTTTTCACACACTGACACACAAGTATGCACATGTACATACATTCACACACATTTATAATACACATTTTAAATACATTTACATACATTTATACACAGACAACAGCCATGGAGGAAGCGCAGGAGAACAAAGCATCCTGAGAGAGGGGCACGCACGCGAGGGCGCGAGGAAGGGGAAAAAGCAGGAGAAAGAGCAGAGCAAAAAGGAGGAAACGGACAGGCGGGGGAATCCATGCCTCCACGCTTGCATAGGATGAGCGGAGGAATGGCTGACATGAAGAAAAATACTGTTAGCTGAATGCGGGGAAAAGGGAAGAAGGAAGGATGGGAAAGCTCCCTTGAACCCCCGTCCCCTTACCCCCAAGAGCCGAGGCACTGGCGCACTGTCTATCTCTATTTTTTTCTGTCTACCTCTTTCTCTCTCTATCTTCTTTCTCTCTCTATCTTCTTTCCCTCTCTTTCTCTCTCTATCTTCTTTCCCTCTCTTTCTCTCTCTATCTTCTTTCTCTCTCTTTCTCTCTCTATCTTCTTTCCCTCTCTATCTTCTTTCTCTCTCTTTCTCTCTCTATCTTCTTTCCCTCTCTTTCTCTCTCTCTCTTCTTTCTCTCTCTTTCTCTCTCTATCTTCTTTCCCTCTCTTTCTCTCTCTATCTTCTTTCCCTCTCTTTCTCTCTCTATCTTCTTTCCCTCTCTTTCTCTCTCTATCTTCTTTCTCTCTCTATCTTCTTTCCCTCTCTTTCTCTCTCTCTACCTCGATCTGTCTCTCGTAGACAACACCCGTCCAGCAGACGCAGTACCACGCTACGACAGTTCGAAGGCTGACCTGCTCTTTCTGACGACTGCTTCGCGGTTCGCGAAGAGCGAACTCTGCATGAGGGGTGCATCGAAAGGGCCCCTAACAGGAGGAAGAGGGAGTGTGTGTTTCGGCGAAGCCAGGAAGACGGTAAGCGAAGAAGCGCTCTGCTGTAAAGCCCAGCCCTCGCTCCCCAGAGCGAAGGACGGACAGCCTAGTGACGACAAGAAGCCTAGACGCATGACAAAGCGCAATTCATCAGGCAGCAAACTGGCGATGCGACTGCGAAAGAGAGAAAAAGCTTTCGCTCGCAGAGAGCAGCGCGTGCCTCCTTCGCTTCCTTCGTGCACCGCGCAGAGGGGGGGGAAGGAAGGCTAACCAAGCACCCCCCGAAAGCGAGCAACACACACACAAAGGGACCGCAACATCCGCGAGAATGCGACGCACCATCAAGCAGAAGACACAAACTGCAGGGAGGCTTCTGACCTCTTCCCATGGCAACAGCGCGTGACACCAAGGAGAGATCTCTAGGCCAGCCCCCAGGCAGCTGCAGCCGCCCCTCGGCGTCTGCAATGCCGAAAAGAGACAAAAATGCAACCACTCCGAGAGCCGCCACTCGCTGCTGCTGCTGCTTCGCCGGCGGCAGCTGCTGCAGCTGCCGCTGCACGGCAGCGCTGTGCTGCGGCATGGGCAGCAGCGGATCTGGCAACAGCGAGGCAAAGCGACTGTCGTAACCCTCTTCTTTCGACTCTTCCTTCCCAGGCTGTGGCTGCTGTTGGTGCTGTTGCTGCTGTTGGTGCTGCTTTCGCTCTTGACGCCGCAGTTCCTGAGTAAGAAACGGCTGCGCCTCCGGCAGCTGCAGCACCAGCCGCAGAAAGGAATACGCGTCTCCGAAACTGCCAACAAGGCGTCCTAAGCCCTCCCTCTCACGCGCCAAAGCCTGCGCAGCAGCCATCTCCGCCTCTTCTGCAGCCGCACCAGCTGCTGCTGCTTCTCCTCCTGAGACGGCTCTGCTGCGGAGAGCATGCAGCATAGACAGCTTCCCAGACGCATAGACGGCAGCAAAGTCTAAAACGTCCTCCGGCACAAAAAGGAGGTCTGCAGCAGCCATCTTGCTGCTGCTGCTGCTTTTGCTGCTGCTGCTGCTTTTGCTGCTGCTGCTGCTGCTGCTGCTGTCGCCTCCGTTGCTGGTCACGCCAGCAGCCTGTGAGTTCTCATTAGCAGCTGACTGAGAATTTCTAGCGGATTCTGCATTTGGAGCAGTGCGTTTTTCTGCCGTCTCCAGAGGCGGCATTGCAGAAACTGCAGGTGCCCCACCAACTTCTGCTGCAGGATCTCGCGTCGGGAGTCTCATTTCTTCGGCTGTAGATACAGTGGAAAGCAGTCCGTCGATGGCTGCAGAATTGGTGGGAAATTCGGCAGATGGTGGGGGAGTGGCTAGTTTGCTTGCGCTCTGCCCCCCCCATCTGCTGCTGCTTTCTTGAACTGCCGCAGCTGTGGCATCGGCTACCCCTGCAATAGGCCCTCCTTCTCTTTCCAGGAGGTTAAGCACTAACGCATGCACCCTGCAGCACAAGAAAAGAACACGCACCAGCAGTGGCAGCAGAAAAAGGAGCAGAAAGGCAGACGGCAGCAGCAGCAGCCCCCAGAAACAAGAAGTCGCCGCGAAAACACCACGTCGAAAAACGCCAGAGAGGAGACACTCGTAAAGAGGTGGACACGTATACATATATACATGTATAGCGAGAGAGACATGCAGACACACAGACTTGGAAATATGTGCATAGATATTTACGCACGAATACACAGATGTAATACACGTAGAGAGATAGCCACACGTGGATACATGTGTGTATAGATAGATATAGATATATATATGTATACAGATACATATCTAGATATGCATATTCACATATAGGTCTTCAGATAGACCGATAGAAACATCGTAAAAGACTGTATTTACATCTGTCGTTCCTGTGCAGTGGCTTCAGCTTCTTCGAGTTCGTGATCTTGCAGAGGCGTAAGGAGAGCGCCAGTGGTAGTGGGCCCCTCCTGGGCGCTTCTTGCGACAAACCAGGATTGTGGATAATTGTCTCTGTTGTACAGAGCAGCTCGCAGCAAAACTCCGCGTTCAATCCTTTCCCACAGCGCCTCTGACCAGTCGGGCAGCAGCTGCGGTGGCTGGAGCTGCTCTCGATGCTCTCGCCATCGCTTGCGCAGCAGCGGTTTCAGTTGCTGCAGCAGCAGCGCAACTTCTTCGCTCCCTGAGGCTAGCTGAAAGAGGGTGTCGCCATCTGGCCCTTGGTAGAGTCTGTGTGTTGAGCCTGAGGCAAGAGCTTCCTCGATCTCGTCTAGCCAGCCGAGGCTTCCGAGAGTTGCTCCCGCTCCTCCTTGCCGAAGCGCCTCTGTCTCCGCTAAATCTTCCGGAGCCTCCGCCTCGTCTGCGCTGCTGCTGGCATCCGGTAAAGGAGCCTCCTCCAGTTCATCAGCAAACAGCTCCTCAGGCTCCCCTTCGTCCGCTTCTAAGTGCACGACTGCCCTTGCGCCAAAAACTTCCTCTGCCGCAGCAGCAGCAGCCGCCGATCGAGGGCTCCCCCTCGGAAAAGGGGGGCATGCAAGGAGGAACAGAAAAAGCAATAAAACGAGCACGTATAGCGGCTGCTGTCGCTGCTGCAGCACCAGCACGCTGGAGGGCGCCCTCTGACACATCTTGACGCGGAGAAAAAAGAGAGCAAGAGAGAGTGTTTATGTGCTTGGGTGTATGTGCTCGGGTGTATGTGCTCGGGTGTATGTGCTCGGGTGTATGTGCTCGGGTGTATGTGCTTGGGTGTATGTGCTTGGGTGTATGTGCTTGGGTGTATGGGTGCCTGTGTGTGACAGAGAGGGAGCGCTGCTGTCGAACGAACCCCCTTTCAAGTGGAACCAGCAGGAGAAGCAGCGGCAGCAGCCGCCGCTGCTGCGGCTGCTGCACCCGTGTCAATGCTGGTGCAGCCGCTGCTGCTGAGGGATATACAACACTGACTGATGAACCACAGTGCTTTAGCCGCCCCCCTCCTCCAATGTTCAAGTTGTGCAGCACACCAGAAACAGTGTCACTTTCCCAGCCGCTACGGCGCACGCAGCTGCGCCTACAAGAGAGGCAGCAGCAACTGCTGCCGCTTCCTCCTGGTTGCTCAGAGACAGACAATGAATATGTGCATATATGTTGTACAAATGTATGGAGAGGCAGACATTGGCCAAGAGGAATCACTTCCAGCGTCGCTGCTGCACAGCCGTCAAAGGGCCCCTTGAGCAAGTGAGCAGTTGAGCCAGGAAAAACCACCCCGAGAGCAGCCGCTGCAGCAGCCGCGGCGCTTTCTGCGGCTGACTTTGCAGTCCAACTCTTGTTTCTACAATTTAAGATCCCACAGCAATGTTGCCATTCGCTAGAAAAGGCAGTCTGATGATGCCGCTGCCGCCACTTCTGCGGCTGCTGCTGCGTGCTGCTGCCGCTGCTGCAGGGGGGTTGCTGCTGCTGGCGAGTGTGTGTGAGCATGCATACGCGGAGCATGCGGCTCTCGCACTGAAACAGCAAACTCCCAAAATTATGGTGACATCCTAAGAGCAAACTTTAAGGAGCAGTCCCTGCGGCTGCACTTGCTACTGCGACTGCCGCTGGCGCCACGGCTGCTACAGGAAGGCTTGGACCGGTGGCTCACACTGACTGTACGACAGTGCAGCTTCAGTCTTGCACCAAAGACATGAGTGCTATGAAAAGGGCTCGTTTTCGCCCCCCGCTTCAGAGGCTGCTGCAACAGCAGCAGTCCTGCACGCAGCAACAACTCCACGCTGCCGTTGCCTCACGCATACGCATACACACATACACACAGACATACACGCATACACACATACACACAGACATACACGCATACACACATACACAGACATACACGCATACACACAGACATACACGCATACACACAGACATACACGCATACACACAGACATACAGACATACACGCATACACACATACGCATACATACATGACAGACCTTTCGCTGCGCTTATTTGTCTTCCTTCGCTGCATGCGCGCGCCAGCTCTTGAGCGGATAGGATTGGGTGCCCTGTGGCTTTTAGCCTTCGCCGTCCCCTACACAGGGGTTGCCATTACGCTCAAAGGTTCCCCTCTCCTCCTTCCCCCCACTCTGTTGTGCAGGTGTCTTCCCCTTCTGGAATTACCCTCGGTAGTTGCAGTACATTTAGGCTGTGTGTAGCACGCAGCTCCCTAGCATGAAGAGCGCTAACACGGCTCTCTGCGAGGCGGCTCCCGTGAAGCTGTCTGTAGGACTGAGTGCGCCTTCAGGACTGCACAGTCGCTAGGCGAAGCAGAACTGGCAAAAATTGAATGGCATATCCCTTCCTGTGCAGGGTTGTTTGAACGCAGCTAACTATACACCGGAAGAACCCTACACAGCCCCCACTTATCGACTCCTCACATAGGCCTTGACGTAAACATGCATTTCCAAGCGTTGTTTCCATGCAGCTTAGGCGCCACTCTCGAATAGCCTTCGCTAAAGAGGAAGAGAGCGGCTGCTGGCAGTTGCGGATAACAACTCTCCGCATAAAGCCAAACAAAATCCAATAAGAGTGGTGGCTGGCGAATGTTTTACACTAGTCCACTAGAAGGCTCCACGGTGTGTGCAGGATCTGTCTTGTCAATATCACGCGCCTTTAAGGCAGGAAGAGGCTCTGTCACAAGCATTCCCACGAGCAATCAACCTAAAAAATTTCGCCTAGTGCGCTGACGCAAAGCAGCCACAGGCTGCTACGCTTTCTGAGACGTCGCCTCCGACAAATAGCAAACACCGACTTTATTTGATGTAGCTAGAGACCGTCCACTACACTGGTGCCCATACAAACACACAGAGAGACAGACAGAGAGAGAGAGAAAGAAAGAGACAGAGAGAGAGAGAGAAAGAAAGACAGAGAGAGAGAGAAAGAAAGACAGAGAGCAAGCGCCGGTACGGCTCGCCAGACGGGCTTAGCGAACGGTGTGGCTGCTTTTAAACGGGAAGTTCATCCCTTTTGAGCCGCCCTTGCACCACTGGTGATAAGAATCGAGGCCTGCATGTATATAAAATATATAAATAATATATATAGAATATATATATGTACAATGCATGGGGGGTATTAGATGCAGACTGTGAGGGTGGTAAATGCCGACAATCGCAGGGCCCTCCTTCCTTCTTGTTTGCTGCTAGAGGAAGGCAATAGTATTTGTACAGAGGGTGAAACTCCCCGTGAAAAGAAGCCATGAAGGCTGCCTGCGAGGCTTCCCTGTAAGTTCTGTGGGGAACAGCGCCCACGCTAAAAAGAGACTGTGTTTCCAAACCGTCGCGCATGCATCTGGTCGCGCAGCTAAACTCCTAGCTAGCTGGTGGCACTCCCGCGAGCCCTCTCTTTGACATCGAAAAGTCAGAGGTTCTGCATGTTCAGCAGACGCATGCATACTACAACTGACGGGCGGCAGCAGCAGCTGCTGCTAGTGCAGCCGGAGAGGCGTTCCTCCCAGGTTTGTCAGGCTTCCCTTCTCGCTGAAAGGCAAGAAAATAAGTCTATCAAACTTTGATGCCTTCAAGAAGGCACTAAGCAGTGCTGGAAGGGCGAATCCACACACGCCGCACCGGAGATACAAACACCTGAGAGCAAGTGAACATAAGTGCCACACAGTGCCAAAAATAAGAACTCCCATGCCTCCTCCTTCTCCTGCTGCTAAAAACATCCAACATGCAACAGTACTTTCAACCTTCAAGAGCAAAGTGCAGTGCATGCACCCGCGCATGACATCGGAACAGGGGGAGGTTTCTCTCTTTTTCTTTATCTTTCTCTTTATCTTTCTCTTTCTCTTTCTTTCTTTCTCTTTCTTTCTTTATATTTATCTTTATCTTTCTTTCTTTCTTTATATTTATCTTTATCTTTCTTTCTTTCTTTATATTTATATTTATCTTTCCTTCTTTCTTTATCTTTCTCTTTATCTTTCCTTCTTTCTTTATCTTTATCTTTCTCTTTCTTTCTTTCTTTATCTTTCTCTTTATCTTTCTTTCTAAAGGGCAGCCTTACAAAGTCTTGACCACTTCCCTTCCGAATCGGACAGCTCTCCAAGCAGCACACCGCGAAATCCACTGCAGCCGCAACGGCAATCGCAGCACCAACCGCAAGAGGATTCAGCCGAAGAGGTGCCACAGCACCAGAAAAAGGCACCAGGAAAGACGAATGAGAGCTCTTTCGCCTGCAGAGAGCAAGTGCAACTCCTCATACCTGGCACGCTTGCAGAGGTGGCGCCTGCGAAGCTCACGGGAACAGTAAGAGTCGCTTCCCATCCCTTTTTTCGACGCCATGCAGACAGCCTCCCTGGAGCTGCAGCATGGTCTACTTTGCAGCCGGTAGGCGTGCAGCCGCCTCTGCTGCACTCTGCGAGACATTCTGCGGAAGGCAGCAGGGGAGGATGCTCGAGACGCCTCTTCCAGCAGTCGCTAGGAATGGCGTAGAGGAAGCATTCTGAGGAAGCAGCGTCGCTGCCGTCCTTGCTTTCACTGCGTGTGCTCGCAGCATCCCTACTGCACCTGCTGCGTGCGGTGCGCTGTCTCTTTCTTGGAAGGAAGGGGAAGACACGCTTCTCCACGCATTGCTGCTGCAGACACCTCACCGCAGCAAAAGCCAGCGAGCACGCAAGTAGGCACGCACGCCTTTAGCAGTGTGGCTTTTGCACTTTAAACCTTCTCTGATCCCTCACTGCAGCCGAAACAGCAGCAGCCAACCCAACCGCAGCAGCAGGAGTGGCAAGGCGAGAATTCTCACCGACAGAGCATCACGATCCGCTGAGTAGTCTGTGCCTGGTGCCGCCTCTACAGCCGTGCAGGCTCCAAGGCGAACTTGGGAAAGAAGGCTGCAATGGCTGCTGGCAGTTACAGCCTTCAACAGTCCAGACGGGTGGGAAGCAGCAGCTGCTGCTGCAGCAGCTATTGCTGCTGCTGCTGCTGCTCTGCTGCGTGGTGCTGGCGCTGCAGCAGCAGCAGCAGCAGCAGGTGCCCGCAGGGGAGAAGTGTGGCGGGCACACACAAACAGCGGCTTCGTCTGCTGTTGCTGCATGCAGATCGACACTTTCAAGAAGATCGTGACACCCCCGCTGCAGCAGAGAACAAGTGGGTTTGGATACATCTCGAAGACACACATTCCCACGAGGCTGCTGCTGCCGTCCGAAGAAGTACAGCCAGCAATCCCAACTGCCGCTTGTTTTGCTGCCCCTGTGGCAGGCAGCAGCGCCGCAGAGCTGCTGTCTTGACTAGCTGCAGCCAACATGGTTGCAGCTAGCTGAGCACGCCACTTAACGCCCTCGACATGAACGCGTCTCTGCAGCTGCTGCTGCATGGGAAGCTCACACGAAGCTGCACAGCCGTCTTGCGCTGCTGTGGTACTCGACGCTTCTTGCTGCAAGAACGCTGCAAAGGGTGGAAGAGCTGCTGAAGTGACCAAGCTGTCTAAATGCAGCTCCTGCTGCTGCGATGGCAACAGCTGCAGCAGCTGCCAGTGTGGCAACAGTCCCCCCGGCTGCACGGGCAAGTGCTCCGCATGCAGCAACGCGTTCGCAGAAAGTGCCTGCATGCGTGCCCCTAAAACTGCTGTCTGATGGGGAGCAATCTCCTCTGCGGCAGAGGCTGCTGCTGCCGCTGCTGTTGCTGCCGCTGCTGCTGCTGCTGCTGCTGCTGTTGCATGTACTCCCGCAGCAGCAGCGCTTGTAAGGCGGCTCCTGGAAGTGCCTGTGGCTGTTTCGCTTGGCAGCTGCTGTTGTTGTTGCTGCTGCTGCTGCTGTGCTGGCGTGAGGCATGCATCCAAATGCAGCAGCGCAAGGGATGCATGCATGCGCGCTGCTGCACGAAAGACGACACGGGGTTGTAGAAGGCGCAGCAGCAGACGCAGACGGGGTGGTCGGCAGTCGAGCTGCGTTTGAGATGCTGCAGGCAAACCAGTGGTGCTGCTGCTGCTGCTGCTGCTACCCCGTTCCGCGGCAGCTGCTGCAGTGTCATCTTCGTCCTCCGCTGCAGACGCTGTGCTGCGTCGCACGTGGAGGGTAGCAGCCGCAGCAGCAGCAGCAGTAAAACGCGCTGCTGCACCTGCAGCAAGGGGGTCTGCAGCAGCGCGAAGCTGCTGCAGACGCCACACCGCAGCAAGATCTACCTCACTTGGCATCCAAAGCAGCACTGCCGCGGAGTCGCGAACATGCGCCATGCCTTTGCGCACAGTGGCAAGTGCAGAAGCAACGTCTTCCCCTGACACTCCCCCAGAAGCAGTGGGTGCAGCGGCTGTGTCCTCTAAACGCCCTCCTGCTGCAGTTGCTGCAGTTGCTGTTGCTGCAATTGCTGATGCTGCAGTTGATGCTGACAATGCTCTCTCTGCAACGTCTTCCTTAGATGAAACAGCTAAGGCAGGAGCAGAGGCTGCCACTGCCACTGGCGCTGCAGTCACCCTTCCCGCATCAGATGGATACACACAAGGCCGCTTCCATTGCTGCAGTTGCTGCTGCTGTTGCTGCTGCTGTTGCTGCTGCTGTTGCTGCTGCTGTTGCTCTGCAGTTTCTGACCCCCGTGGCAACGAGTAGTAGTCTGTGCGACTGCCCTTCCGCTTTGCCTGATACTCTCGAACTCCACCCCCAGCCTGTGCGTGTTGGTGTGTATACTCCACGCCAGACGCCCCACACATGTGCAATGCGCACAGCAAGGGGTCTGTAATCCACACTTCGCGAAGTCTCTTTGATGTAACCCTGCCAACGCTACTGCTGCTTGTACTGCTGCTGCTGGCAATGTTGCTTGTTGTACTGCTGCTGCTGGCAATGTTGCATTTACTGCTGCTGCTAGCAATGTTGCATTTACTGCTGCTGCTAGCAATGTTGCATTTACTGCTGCTGCTGGCAACGCTGCATTTACTGCTGCTGCTTCCCCCCGCCAGTACAGAACCTCTACAAAGGGCAGCAGCCCTTCGAAGAGTTTGCAGTAGGCTTGTGTAGCGACAAGGAATTTCTTGGTGGAGAAGATGCCACGCTTCAGGAGTGTCGAGCCAAGTTCCCGAGCAGATTTTGCAGTTGCTGCTGCAGCAGTTTTCGCTAATTCCACCGCTGCAGTCGCAGCAGACGTCGCTTAGGTGCATCCACAGCCCGTCAGCCAAGGCAACGGCGTTCAGGGGAGCGCCATGCCCGCCATCTGCACGAGCGGCGCTGCCTCTGTTGCTGCTGCTGCTGCTGCTGTCGCTGGCGTTGCTGCAGACGCCAGACCTGGCTGCAGCGGGGAGGAAGCACGAGGGATCCGCCACGCCTCCTGGAGCAGCAACGCGAGCAGACGAGGAAATCCGCGGGAATAGAAGGGTCCTCGAGTGAGGCTTCCGCCTCTGCCCCTCCCCCCTCGCTCCTCGCCTCAGGTGCTCGGAGCGAGCCAAGAGACCTCTTTGCGCAGCTAGCGTCAGCGCGATGAGGCAGAGGTTGTCTTGCAGCGCCTCGCGGAGCTCAGGGAAATGCAGCAGCAGCGCCTCCTGCCGCTGCAGCACATCCAAGGGCAGAACGGCAGCAGCACGAGCACTCCAGCCCACGCGCGTGGCTTCCAGCGCGGCGAAAGCTCTCAGCTGCAGCAGCAACTGGTGCTGCTGCTGCTGCAGGAAGAAGAAGAGGCGGTGCTGCTGCTGGTCGAGCGCGAAGCTGCTGGAGGAGCGCCTGCCGCCGAGCGTCGCTGAAGCGGAAAAGGTCTCTTTTCCTAAGGCCAAAAAGGCCTCTACTGCCGCGGAAGCCTTCGCTGCCTTCGCGGCTGCAGCGCTAGCCAGCTGCTGCAGCGAGGCGGCGTTCGGAGGCGCAGCGACGCACAGATGCAGCAGCGTTTCGCGCAGGTTGAGGGCGCCCAGAGGCTCCAGACGCACAGCCGACCGTCCGTGCGGATCCGCCAAGACTCGAAACGCCGCTTGGCGCGCGGCAGGGGGGTACAGACGAGCAATCCTGGCTATGCAAGTCAACACGCAGGCAGCCGGCCCCCCCCCCCTGCCGTCCGTGCAGCAGCAGCTGCTGCTGCTGCCGCTCGAGGCAGGCAGCAGCAGCAGCAACCCCTGCAAGGCTGCCTTCGCGGCTCTTGCATTGTGGACGCTGCAGCAGCCTAGCATCTGCAGGAGCAGCTGCCGCGTCGCTTTGCTGCGCTCGTGCAACAGAGGCGCCACAGCGCGTCGAAGAGATCCATCACGCAAGGCAGACACGCGAGACAGTTCTACAGCCGCGGCTGCCACCATCCGCTGCACCTGCAGAGCCGGATCGCCGATGAGATCCCACAGGAAGGACTGCAGCAGCAGCGAAAGCTTGCTGCAGTCTCCCCGCTGCCGCAGTGCATGCAGCAGCAGGAGCAGCAGCTCGGCAGCCGCGGCTCGCACCGCTTCCGTCTGATCGTCGAGACGCAACAGCAAGTACCCACTGCACAAAGGCAGGGTAAAAATGCGCTGCAGCTGGAGAGCGCCTAGCTGCTGCAGCTCCAGCAGCTGCTGCTGCTGCAGCTCCTCCAGAGCAGCCACGGCAGCCCGTCCGCCCCCCCCACGCGCTGCCACCTCTGCAGCAGCGGCAGGCAACGCAAGCTGCTGCTGCCGCTGCTGCTGCGGAGCAGCTGCCGCAGCAGCGGCACGGAGGGCTGAAGACTGCCGCTGCAGAGACAGCATCGGATTCGAAGAAACTGGCGGAAAAGACTCCCTCTGCAACGCAGAAAGCATCTCATCCTCCTCAAGGACCCCTGCAGCCGCTAACGGCAACATGCCGTTCAAGGCAGCAACGCGCACAGATGCACAACCGTCCGCTGCAACAACCAGCAGACACACAGACAGACAGACACATGCTCACATGCATACTCACATGCATGCACGTAGCACAGTGTGTATGCATGTGTGTGCACATACACACATACAACTGCCTTGCCAGCAGGGGCAGGAAGAGACTCCTCAGCACACCCCTTTTTCTTTTGCGAGGCAGGAACAGAGGGAAAAAGGGAAATACACACATCACATACGCACAACACAAACATACACACACAACACATACACATACAACACATTCATACAATGCATACACATGCAACACATACAAATACACATACAAATACACATACACACAACACATACAAATACACATACAAATACACGTACACATACACATACACATAAATACACATAAATACACATACACATAAATACACATACACACACACATACACATGCAACACATACACATACAAATACATACACACATACACATACACACATAAATACACATACACACATTCACACAACACATACACACAACACACACACATACACACATACACACAACACACACACATCCACACAAAACACATACACCCAATACATACACATACACTGCAGCGGCAAAGGGGAGAAAAGAGCGATAAAATGGACGTAAACGCACAACTCAAGTATGAAAGCCCCACAGCGCAGACGCGCATGAGAGCAAGACAGCGTTGCTGCATGCTGCGGAGTTGCTCCACTTGTTGTGACTGCTGCTTTCGCTGCAGCTGCTGCAGCAGTCTGCCGCTTTCCTCTCGAATGCGAGACGCAAGGGCAGCTCCTAAGGACCAAAGACGCGTCGCTGCAAGACGAGTGGCTGCGTCGGAATGCGTGAGGAGGGCGGAAGCCATCAGGTGTACATACAGCGCCCTCAATGCCTCAACAACGTCATTGCATGCGTCTACATCGACTTGCTGCAGCGGCTTGAGAAAAATTCCCCCCCCAACAACAGCGTAAGACGTGAGAGACAGCAGCAGCTGCAAGCCTTCGTGCTGTGTCACGGGATTATGATCCAAAAGTAACAGAGGCAGCAAACATTGCATTGCGCGCGCTAAGACATGGCATATCCGTCGGCTGCTGCTGCTGATGCTCCCTGAGGGCAGAACTGCATCAATAGACAGCTGCTGCTGCTGCTGCTGCTGCTGCTGATGCTGCACTGCTCCCTGATGCTGCTGCAAGAATCCATCCCCCGCCCTTTGCGCGCCGACAAAAGACAAACGCTGTTGCTGCATAGGCTGTTGCTGCTGCTCCTGCTGCATAGGCTGCTGCTGCTGCATAGGCTTTTGCTGCTGCTCCTGCTGCATAGGCTGTTGCTGATGTTGCATCCACTGCAAGGGAGGCTGGTGGTGGTGGGGTTGTTGTACTTGCCGCAAATGCGGCTGCTGATGCTGCTGCAGAGCTGTTTGGCCGGCTGTTCTCTGCACTGGTGAGAGCTCTGCATTGGAAACATCATCCGCGCAAGCTACCAAAGGAGAGTGCAGGGAAGGGAGAGTCTGCTGTTGATTCCCTTGCTGCGACTGTGTTCTTTGCTGTACCTTCTGAGGCTGGCATTGCTGCTGCTTCCACGGGGGCAGATCAGAGCACACACCGCGCTGCTGCTGTAGATGCTGCTGTTGCAACTGTTGTTGTTGCTGCTGTAGATGCTGCTGTTGCAACTGTTGTTGTTGCTGCTGTAGGTGCTGCTGTTGCAACTGTTGTTGTTGCTGCTGTTGTTGTACATGCTGGGGGTGTTGTTGTTGCTGCTGCTGTAGATGCTGAAGGTGCTGTTGCTGTTGTAGACGCTGCTGCGATTGCAGTTGTTCTTGTTGCTGTTGGAGACGCTGCTGCGATTGCTGTTGTTGCTGTTGCTGTTGTAGACGCTGCTGCGATTGCTGTTGTTGCTGCTGCTGTTGTAGATGCTGCTGCGATTGCTGTTGTTGCTGCTGCTGTTGTAGATGCTGCTGCTGCTGCTGCTGCGCAGGACGGGGATTAAAAGAGGCCGAAGGTTGCTGCACTTCTAAGAAGCCTGGAGGATTTTCAAATACTCTGTATTTCATGAGCTGCTGCGACTGCTGCTGCTGCTGCTGCTGCTGCACACCATAACGACGTGGCGCAGTCTGGAAAATGCCAGGAGGGGAATCAGGATACGCTGGCTGCTGCTGAGGCGGAGTTTGCTGCAAAAAATGTGGGGGTTGCTGCTGTTGACGCGGTATAGGCAAGCCTGGAGGAGTCAAAAGCGCGTTTGTGGACAGTTGTTGCTGTTGTTGCTGCTGTTGCTGCTGCTGGTGCTGCTGTCGCTGCTGTTGTTGCTGCTGTTGTTGTTGCTGCTGGTGCTGCTGGTGCTGCTGGTGCTGCTGGTGCTGCTGTTGTTGTTGCTGCTGGTGCTGCTGATGATGCTGATATATGTGTCGGCGCTGCTGCAGTGGCTGCTGCGCATGCTGATCAAGAGCGTGATGCAGCAGATGCTGTTGATGCTCTGGGTGCAGCTGTGAAGTCTCCCTCTTCCGGAGTAGGAGGCCAGGGGGGAAGTGCTGCTGCTGCAGCTGCTGCAATTGCTGCACAGGCGGGGGGGTTGGCTGCAGTTGCTGCGCGAAAAGAGGAGACGTTTGCTCCCCATGGTGGATCTGCTGCTGCTGAGGCTGCGTGTAAAGGGACTGCAGTGCCAGACGCTGATACTCTTGGCCTTCCCAAGGCAGTTGTTGAGCGCGTTGCAATTGTTGTTGCTGCTGCTGCTGCAGCTGTTGTTGCTGCTGAAGGCTGCGTGTGGCTGCTGAAGCCTCCTGTTGCTGCTGCGGCGTGTAGGTGAGGTGTGGCTGCGACGACTGCACCGATGGAAGCGATGGTTGGAGTCTTACGGGCTGGTGCTGTGCCTGCCAGTGCTGCTGCTGCAGTTGTTGTTGTTGCAGCTGCTGGTGTTGCAGCTGCTGGCGTTGCAGCTGCTGCTGCAGTTGTTGTTGTTGCGCCTGCTGCAGCTGCTGCTGCGTTCGCTGGTGGGGGGGGTGTATGCCGTCCATCGGGAGTCTCGGGAGAGCAGCGAACGCCTCCGTTTGCTGCCAACCCTCGACTTTACGGAGGCCCCTTAGGTGTCGTCCGTACTGCAGCGCATATCTGCGGGGGGAAATGCGCTGAGGCGTTCTTGGAAGGGAGTTTAGGGAGGTGCATGCTCACAGCGCTGCCGCTGCGGCGGTTCTAGTGGCTGCAGCTCCCTCGCCCATTGTTTGCGGAGAAAGAGCAGAGAAAGAGGTGCTACGGAGTGTCCGCACAGCTTTGCGTTGGTGAGGGGAAAGGCGAAGGGGGGAGAGCCGTGGCGAGAAGATCGCAAGATCCTTCCGCCTGGTAGCTGCTGGCTGCTTCAGCGGAAGTTTTGCTGCTGTAGCGGAGCTACGCGCTTGTGTGTCGTGACGCAGGCTTTTCCGAGTGGCAAGGCTTTTTAAAGAGGCACTTTTTTTAAATAAGCGGCAAGAAAGCGTGGACTGTGCGCAAAGCGTCTCCGCTTCCCAGCCCAGCCTGCCAGGGAGCCTCCCCAGGGGTGGTCGTCTCTGCAGGCAGGCACTATACGTGGAGTCTCCGCTCGACCTGTTGCTCTTCTCGTCGTCCTAACAAATATAGAAGAAATAAGGTCGGCAAACTCATGGCCTGGTGAAATACCGCGTGTGAAGAAGCCGCAGCACTCCCTTGTAGAGCCGCACTTCTGCTGAGAGCCGTACGAGGAGTCGTTCGTTCTCTCCGGAGGGTCGCCTCCGTCCTCGTCCAGGGCGACAGCGCCTCGCAGCGATTTATCCGGGCCCATTAATTTGGAATTAAGCCGAAGAGACACCCTTTTGAAACCCCAGAGGAGCTTTCTCCCCGCTAGAATTGGCTGTAAGACCTCCTCGCTAGCCGAGGGGGGTCGACGGAGGGTCACTTCCGCGATTCTGACGGGCTCGGCGCTGGCGCAAAAACCACACATTCCCTCCCTGAGTGCCACAGGCTCTTCTTTCATGAATTTAGATCAGCACAGCACTTCCTGGTGTCGAATAAACGGGGGGATCCATCGCGGAGGCGTCGCGTGTGGCTTGCGAATTTCCTGCCCGCCTTCCTACGCCCTCGAGGATCACCGGATGGACAGAATAAGCGCACCTTCGGCACGCTACCTCCTCCTGAGGATCTTTTCTCCCTCGTCTGCACAGCATCGTGCGCCTCCGAAAACGCAGGGGTTCCGAAAACGTGCGCTAAGATTCCCCTGGAGGGGCTTTTGGCTGCGTGTGCTCCTGTCGCCTCTGCCTCTGCTGCTGCTGCTGCTTGCTGCCGCAGCAGCAAGCGGCCTAGAAGATGAAGAGCCTGCCAGACCAATCTTGCAGCTCTCCCCCTCGGGGCGTTTGTCCAGTCTTTGGGAGAGCCAACAAAAAGCCATAGGTACGTCTGCGGTGCAGCGCTGCTGCTTCGCCCTCCTCCCTTGCACGACGGCTCGCACATGCTTGCTTGCTCGCTCTGATAGCCGTTGCGCTTGTGCTTGCTGTCTTCGCCGGCGCCCTTCCTTCCTCTCCGGAAGCAGGGGGGGAATCAAGCGGCGGAGATGCGGACGGACGCGACAGCGAAAAATGCTTCTGGAGGGATATCCGACTCGGCGTGGGAACCGTTTTCGCCGCAGTGCCCTTTGGAGTGCCTTCTCCAGAGGCCTGCCGCGCGATCTGCAGAGCAGCCGCTCCTCGTTGCAAATACTTTCTCTACGCCACCAACAAACTGCTGCCTCTAGGAATGCAGGTATGCAGCTGCTCCTGCTGCCTCGGCCGTCAGCTGCATCCACGCGAACTGCTGACGCTGTTTGGCGTATCCCCTACTTCTACTTCTACCCCCTCAGAGAGCTGCCGCTACAGTCAGTGCTGCTCTCAGTGCTGCTTTTGGTGCTGCTGCAGAGCTCTTGCCATTTACTTGCAGCGGCAGAACCTGCTCTGCCGGTGTCTGGAGAGCTGCGACAGTGGCTCGTGCTGGTAGGGGGACCATCAGAGTGCTCGCCGCAACATCCTGAGCGACCCCTCCAGCTTCTACCTGATGACACGTGTGCGTAGACTGCTGCTGGGGCATCTGATTTCGCTTCTAAACAAACAAAGAAGGCCTCTGCCCTATTAAAGCCCAGACGCGTATGGCGTACAAGCGATTATGGCCTTAGAATCGACGGGGGAGAAGGAGGCATTCGTTGCTGCCATAGAGAAGACACCCCCTTCGGCACTTCTTGTCTTGTTTCGCGCAGGCGTCAGCAGTCAGATCTGCGACACCGCAGGGCTCTTCGGTCTAGGGGGCAGCCGATTCGATCCGTTTTGCGCCAAAAAAAGCAGCACAAGCGACGACAGCAGCAGCAGCAGAGAGGTGCTCCAGCAGGATACGCCGCTTACCCCTGAAGACAGGCAGTATTTTTGCTCCAAGCAGCTCATGGGGCTTCCTTGCTGCACTCGATGCGGCGACTCAGACTTCAATCTATGTCCAGGTAGGTGTTCGCTGGCGTCGATGTTGTGTGTGCTGCCGCCAACGCTGCAGTCCACATGTGCTAACAGGTGTATGTACCCGTGCATGTACTTGTGTGTGTGCATGTGTGTGTGTGTGTGTGTATGCATGCATGTATATATATATATGTTTATTTGTTCGCAAGAGTGTTGTTTGCACACTTCACACCATCGACTGCGCTGCATGTGTATGCCTTGAGAAAGCCACCCTTCATGCCTTGCCCCTTGCCGCTGAAGGCATGCTTTGGAGCATGCATGCCGTCAAAGACTGTGCCTACTGCTGCTGCTGCTGCTGCTTCTGACACTCTGTGTGTGTGTGTGCTTGCAGAACAGGCGTGCGGCAGTCCAGGTGTGGATTTCCCTGATGGTGAGGAGCTGGGATTTGTCGCCGGGGGCATCCCTTCTCCTGCCGTCTGCAGACGACTGTGTCTCGCTGCTTCTGGATGTACGCACTACTTTTTCTGGACCTCTTCCCTCCTGTCAGAGTCTCTTCGGGGGAGTTGCAGCCTCAGGCGCTACCCCAAGCTTTCTCAGGAGCAGCTGCACGAGCAGCTGCAGCAGCTACATCGGCAGCAGCAACAGCTGAGGGATGAGCGCCGCAAGAAGAAGAGAGAGGCGAGAGAGGCACGCAGACGAAAGCGCATGCAAAAGCAGCAGGAAAAGCAGGAGCAGCAGAAGCGACAGCAACGGCAGGAGGAAGAGAACGCGGAGGAGAACAATCTAACTAACGAAGGGGGGCAGCACCAACCCGAAGAGAACCAGACATGGCGCATGCAGCAGCAACGCCAAGCTCAGCAGGCAGCCACTTCACAGCTGCCGCAAGCACCATCACAGCAGCAAAAATATCATCAGCATCGCGAGAAGTCACAGGACGTCAATAGTCGAGATGCTGCAGCGCCAGAAGCAGAACCCCTACAGGTCAATCGGCAGCAGCAGCAGCAGCAGCAGCAGCAGCAAGAGCCTTTCCAGAAGCAGGTGCCAGATGGGCAGCCACGGAGGCTGGAGGGCCTTCTGCCCGATGCGGAAAAGCTTGACACCGTGCTAGAGAGAAACGGGGATGCTGAAAATGGATCGACGGAGGCAGAAGAAGCGGAACCAGAGAGGTATCGAGGCACTGAAGGGTCAGCAGCAGCAGAAGCTCCAGAACGCGTGTCTGCGCGTTTTTCAAGAAACAGCTCTGTCGGTAGGAGAGACACCGGAGAGGCTGTAGCAGCCATACGCGCATCCGAGGAACCTGCGGCCAGGGCACCGCGTGCCGAAGCCTCAGAGAAAGCAACGCGAGCTTTTGAAGGGAATGAAGTTGATGTTGAAGGAGGCTACGATGAAGAAGACGACGATAAAGAGCATGAGGAAGAAGCGCAAGTCCCCTTCCCAACTCTGCTACCAGGGGCGCCGCATGCGTTCCCCATTTTCCAGAAGCGGCGGCATGCACCGCAACAGCGAGAGCAGCAGCAATGGTCAGGAGAGCCGCAGGAGAGGGGGGAGGCGGAGCACGACGACGACAACGATACGCAGCACCCACAAGCGCGAAAACAGAAGGATGTGGCATCATCGATGGTCCACTCGCCGCGTGGTTTCCAAGCGGCGTGGCAGTCTTCCGATTTTTACTGGCACTTTGGAGCAGCCGCTTGCGATCCCCCCGCGAGGCCGACAACGACCACGACGTCGCCTCCCCCTCTCCCCGCGCATGCGCAGCTTCCTAACGCATGCGAGGAGCACGACGCGGATTACTACGGGCACGACCTCTCTCGCCGGGTGGCTTTGAGCTCTCTGGAGTGCCAGGAAAAGTGCAAAGAAACCGAAGCGTGTCAAGGCTACACCTTCCTGCCCAGACAGAGGATCTGTCTCCTAAAGTGGATGCTGCTCCCTAGGAAGGTCCCCCACTTTATAAGCGGTCCCAGGTGCTGTGAACAGACACCAGAGGCGGCGCTGCTGCTGCAGCAAGAGGGGCGAGCACCAGAAGAAAGCATGCTGCGGACTCAGCAACAGCAACCGCAGACGCAAGACGACGCGGATAGCCGTGCGACGGCGTCTGCCACCAACCACAAGTGTGGCGCTAGCAGCGGCGGCGGCGGCAGCTGCCTCAATAACGACCAGCGCAGCGCCAGCAGCAAAAACGCCTGCCCCCCTAAGCGCACTCCCATGTGTCTCTGGCCAGGAAAGGGGCTTCCAGGAAACGACCTAGGCCCTCTCCTCAAGGAATGCGCCAGTGCAGCAGAGTGCCAGTTGCAGTGTGACCAGCATCTGCAATGCGGCCTGTGGGTGTACAGAGGGTCTCCCTACGAAGACTGCCAGCTCAAGGTGCTGCCTGCTGCTGCTGCGAGTGTGCTTGCTGCTGCCCCTGTCACTGTCTCCTTGAGTGCTCCCACATCCAGCGTCTCTCCGGATGCAGCAGTGGGCGTAGACACCCCGAAGGACCGGCTTAGCAGGCGTCAGATTCTATACCGCACAATCGAGAAGAATGGAGGCTTGTTTCCTTATGGGCATGCAATTACGGGACTGCCCGACTGCCCCTTGTTTGGAGACCCCTCGAGGAAATCCAAGCCGCGGTGGAGGGCCTTAAAGCAGGAGGAGCGCAGACAGAAGCACGAGCGAAGAAAGGCTGAAAAAGCCGCCTCGAGAGCTACAGCGAGACTCGAACGCACTCGACAACGGAAGCAAAAGAAGCAGGAAGAAGGCCTCGAGCGCCAACAGCAGCAAGACCGGCACGCAACGGAGCAGCAGCAAAAAGAAGCACAAGAGTACGGAGGAGAGCAGCACGAGCAGCAGCAAAAAGAAGCACAAGAGCACGGAGGAGAGCAGCACGAGCAGCAGCAAAAAGAAGCACAAGAGCACGGAGGAGAGCAGCACGAGCAGCAGCAAAAAGAAGCACAAGAGCACGGAGGAGAGCAGCACGAGCAGCAGCAAAGAGAAGCACAAGAGCACGGAGGAGAGCAGCACGAGCAGCAGCAAAAAGAAGCACAAGAGCACGGAGGAGAGCAGCACGAGCAGCAGCAAGGATATCCAGATGCGTTGCTGCCAGGGAAAGAGTTAGAGGCGGCAGCGTTTGTATCCTCAGCACCCGAAGAGACACGAGGCACCATGCAGTTGCGCAACCAGAGAGACGTCCCCGAAGAACTAACAGCCAGCTCACAAACGCAAGAGCCGCCACAGATCCACCGCGAACAAGGCAAGCAAGCTTTACAGTCCTTGCAGCCCTTTGAGTGGACGGCAAAGGCCAACCCGGAGCACACCCTAGAGGCACTCCTAGCAAGGCCGCTACAGCTGCTGCAGCCACTAGAGAGCTCATCCCTCATGCAGAAGCCGACGCTACAAAGCGACTCTTCACGCCCAGGAGGGCTGTTGTCTCAACCGTCCTTGACGCTCGCTAACGCAAGTGGGCAACAGCCGCAGCTGCTGCAACTGTTTCAGCCTCTTTCAGCACATCAGCGGCCCACGCACGTGTCACTGCGGCAGGAGACGCAAGGGGTGCCCTCAGAAATGCAGTATCAGCCAGCCTCACAGACTCAAGGTGAGCAGGCACTCCAGACACAAGAGGTAACACCGCCTCTACACGAGAAGCAGCAGGACCACCCACAGCAGACGCCTCCCCCGCCACAACGCGAATCGCGGCAGCAGCAGCTGCAGCCGCTGCAGGAGACGGAAAATCAGCAGCCCGCAGCACCGCATTTTTTGCCGCTTCCACCGGTGCTTCCCAGCAGAGGCGGATTGCAGCTACCCCGCCTGGAACGGCAACAACAAATGCTCTCGAGGACGTGGCCTCCTCGTACTCACCCGCCACTCCGGAAAACAGCAGCGAAAACAGAGCTGCCTCAGCAGTTTGCCACACAGCCAGAACAAGAGCGCCAGCTGCCTCTGTCCCCCGGTGCATTGCCCAAAGTTCGAGGCTTCCTGCACCAGGGAGGGCACTTGCTAGCCAACCGCCAAGCAGGGCAGCCAGTGCGAACCCCTCATGCGGAACCGAGTCTCTTCGGGAGCTCGCTAAGCGGCCGTTCGACGCCGCTGCCGTCTTTGCAGCCTCAGCAAGGGCGAGATCGGCAATGACTGCAAGCGCCTCGCAGAAGCTGTGCAAGAGGAGCGGCTTCGTGTAGGGCGAATTTGACAAGCGGCAGCCTCGCGAGCCGAAGAGACGGCGGCTGTTGGACTGCGCTACCTGCAGAACTAGCAGCGCCTCTAAGCGCATGTGCTGCTCGCTAAACCGTCGGCGCCTCCCTGTGTGCGTGAGGGAAGGTCAGTCCGGAGGCAAGGGAAACAACAGCAGCATCGTCGGAGTTAATAGCCCGAACAACCAGGGAAGGCAACGGGAGCGCTCGCTCAGTTGCATGCCATGCTTACAGGGCTTTTTCAGAAGCTTTCGTGGCGGGTGCACCAAAGCCAGCGGCAGCGAAATCGTCCGCAAAAAACGCCGCAAAAAAGGAAATATGCTTGGTGGCGGGGGCCAGTTGTTTGCACCACACGGGTTGGAAAGAAGCAGAGTCATAGAAATCTATGCAAGCCGTGCAGATCCTCCATACGGACGGTATTACATATTGACACACACCTCCTGTGAGGAGGCGCCTGGTGCGTGTTTCCCGCGAATGCGCCATCAGCAGCAGTTACAGCAGCAGCTACAGCAGCAGTTACAGCAGTTACAGCCGCAAGACCAAAAAGACAGCAAGATCGACCTCCAAAAATGGCAGGTCGACCTCCTTTTGGTGGCAGCAATCATGCACGATACGGAAAGCGCTACTGCTGCGGCCTAGCAGCGGAAGCCCACCGTATCATGCATTGAGTCCTTCTTCCTTTTTCGAGATCTAAATGAAGTTTTTATGGTGCAATTCTAGCAATGCACCGAACTTAGTTTCTAATTGATGCATGTTTTCCGTGCTAGTAGCCAGAGAGCGGCGTTTTGTGCAGCCGCATGCCTTCAGTCATCCGCTGCCGACCGACGCATGCGATCTCTGTCGCTCTCGCGTATGCCACCACAGTTGTCGATACCGCTGCTGCTGCTGCACGAGCTGTCTTGTAGTTTTTGTTGCTATTGCTTAAGGACTGGCCAGTGAATGGAAGCTGCATTCGAGACACGGCTGTGCATAAGCTGGATGTAGTAGTATTCGTATGTCGGTGGTCTCTGGCACGGCTACTGCCCAACAGGCCTAAAGCACACGTGGAGGGGGGAAGGGTTCGTATAGCTCTGAAGGATCCTAGTCACTTTCCTGCTCGTGTTTGCTGCTCACCTGTCCTCTGCTTGCCTACAATATTTCCTGAAGGCTCCTCGACACCACAGGACGCCATGAGGCCGCACTCTCGCCGCAGTAGTAGTACACAGCACGCCCAGCAGCGAGGTGGCCGTTCGGCTGCCAGCCATCGAGCAGCACCAGATGCATCGGAGGAACCAACGGAATCCTGGAATAACATCTCTAGTGGCCCTACTGAGAACGCTCTAGACGCTTCTCGCAGCAGGAAGGGCAGCGACGGTTTGCGGCTCCTCTTCCACACGGCGTGGCGTACATACACCGCAAAAAACCCCAAGCACGTACAGCTCCTCGATGCGTTCATAGTTTGGCTGGTGGTGACGCTTCTGCTCCTGTTGTCTTTTCCAGTGTTTTCCAGAACGTCATTCCCCAAACGTTCCTTCACAGCCGCTGTCTTTTCCTCCGGAGGAACAGCCGCCCTCGCCGGATGCCTACGCGCTCAGGTATGCGCTTTCTGCTTTTCTCGTCATAGGCTATTTTCGATTCTTCTGCCTCTTCGTGCCTGCTGCTGCACGCCCCCCTCGTGTGTCTGTGAATGTCTGTGTCTGTGAATGTATGTTTTTGGTGTGTCATGCACAGCTGGTGGACCCTGAGACGTTCCGGCTGTCGGAGGCGAGAGCAGTAGCAGACTTTCTGCTATGTTGCTTAGTTCTACAGATACTCTGCTTCTGCTTTCTTGGGTAAGAGGAGCTGCGCCTTAGCAGCAGCTCGGCTTCCCTCCCGCGAGAAAAGGGTTCTCTGCTGGGGATACAGCAGGCGGAGGCAGCAATAGCTGCGTTGCCTCAGGCAGCTAGGGATGGGTTTCTTGAACAGCTTCTCTTCCCAGCGAGGCGGCTCCTCGAGAGCCTCCTGAGAGACCGCCTCCGCACATACGTGTACCCCCAGTGTCGAAGCAGCCGGTGACACCGGCAGAACGCAATCGTGTTCATCTACAGCGGCAGACATCGAGGCAGACATCAGCCCGCGATGGTGCACAGCCTAAAGAGTCTGCTCCCGGCATGGCCATGTAGGCGGCCACTGCGCGTGTGGCAGTTGCAGAGCTCCCGTAAATACACAGCTGCTAACACAGCCACAGCTGCAGCGGCACATGAAAGTGTTTTGGCTGCTGTTGCTCAAAAGGTTTTTGGTGCACGGTGTACTTCGTATGCATTTGCTGCGCAAATGATTTTGCGAAACTATTTAGTTAGCTAGATACATGCCCCCTCCTCGAAGGGCAGCCTCTAGCCTTCCGACTAGCGGGAGGGGACTTTGGAGTTTGATTTTTCTTCCGAGGAGCTGGAGGGGGGGTGCCGCGACTGCGTAGACGGCCGTGGCGTGCAGCGGGAGCCGCCGGTACGAGCCGAATATACACCCCAGTCGGCAACTGCGGCTGCAGCAGCAGCGCAGCCGCCTCCAGGATACCTCGGGGAAGGGGGGTCTTTAGAACTTGCGCACAGAGAGCGCCATTCGGATGCGACTCGAGAACTGCCCCCCATAATCTTCTGCTCAGTGGCGTACTGCTGCACTGGCAGTCTGACACCTGCGCGTTCGCGTCGCCAGCTGCGGCGAGACTTCCACACGCCGCTTTTTACCTCTGCCAAGTCGCTGTGCCGCTGCTGCGGGGGATAGCGGCTGGGTTGCTGCTCTGGAGGGGAATAGGCACGGAAGTAGTAGGGTGACTCCGGGGCAGAAGGCTTACCGTAACTGTGCAAGCGCCTACGCGGCTGATCCTCCTGCTGCTGTTTCTCGCTGCAATACTGCGACATTTCGCGCGAAGGCGGTCTCACCTCTCTGGAAGCAGCTCCGTGACTTCGCCAAGCGACAGCGGCGGAAGGAGACTGCGAGCGACGAGCCAGCCTACGAGGGGGGAAGGGGCCATGCGGTGCGCCTTCCCGCGACGCCTCTTGCAGACGCCAGCGCGGCTGCTCTTCCTGTCGCTCTTGCCGCTGCTCGACGTGCCCCCCCCTCGCATGCCCAGACAGCACGGGAGAAAAAAGCGCTTCCTCCTCCTCGCGATGCGCCTCGACTCGGTGCAGAGCAACCGCTTCTCGTGCAAGCGCGGCTGCAGCTGAGTCACCCTGAAAGCCTCGCAGGCTGAAATCTCTTGGAGGCAACAATGCCTGTGGCAAAGGCAGCTCAGGCCTGCCGCTGGGGTGTCTGCGGAGATCTTGTTTCTGCTCCGTTCGTTGCGAGGGAAGACGCACCAGCGCCTGCACCTGTTGCGATTGCCTCTTTGCATGATGCTGATGTTCATATTCATGCACACGCTTCTGCTCCTCCCAGCCTCTCTGCCGCTGCTCGGGGGGGTAATACTCGCTACATCCTGCGGCGTGCTGCTCGCTGCCTCTCGACTGCCTCACTCTCCTCCACTGCTGCTGCGCCTCTTGCTGACGCCAATCCTGCTCTTCCTGATGCAAGCGCCACCCCTGCTGCCTATTGCTGCGCTGCTCGTGTGTCAACTGCTGCCCCCCTTCGTGCTGCTGCTGCTGCTGCTGCTGCTGCGCAGCTCTTGGGGGGAGGCATTCATGCCGCTGCTGCTGCCGCTGCTGCTCAGCTCTCGGGGGGAGGCATTCATGCCGCTGCTGCTGCTGTTGCTGCCGCTGCTGCTGCTCAGCTCTTTGGGGGAGGCCTTCATGCCGCTGCTGCTGCTGCTGCTGCTGCTGCTGCTCAGCTCTCGGGGGAAGGCGTTCATGCCGCTGATGCTGCTGCTGCTGCTGCTCAACTCTCGGAGGGAGGCCTTCATGCCGCTGCTGCTGCTGCTGCTGCTGCCGCTGCTGCTGCTGCTGCTCAGCTCTCGGGGGGAGGCGTTCATGCCGCTGCTGCTGCTGTTGCTGCTGCTGTTGCTGCTGCTCAGCTCTCGGGGGGAGGCGTTCATGCCGCTGCTGCTGCTGTTGCTGCTGCTGCTGCTGCTGCGCAGCTCTTGGGGGGAGGCCTTCATGCTGCTGCTGCTGCTGCTGCTGCCGCTGCTGCTGCTGCTGCTGTCGCTGCTGCTGCTGCTGCTGCTGCTGCTGCTCAGTTCTCGACGCCCCTTCATGCCGCTGCTGCTGCTGCTGCCGCTGCTGCTGCTCAGTTCTCGACGCCCCTTCATGCCGCTGCTGTTGCTGCTGCGGGGGATTGCCAGGCGGAGATATTGCGTCCTTCTGAGCGAACGCTTGCTGCAGGTTGGCGTCTCTGCTGCTGTTGGCGTCTCTCCTGCTGAGGGTGCTGCTGCTGCTCTTCCGCACGGGGGCACTACTGAAGCCGCCTGCCGTTGCCTGCGGCGTCTGCCTCTGCTGCTTGGCATCTGGTTGTTGCCACTGCCGATGAATTTCTTGCCTTCGTTGTTGAGGCTGAAGAAGCCTGGAGAGCTGCGTCTTTTCTTCTGAGGCTTTCAGTTGGTGTTTGCCAAGCCGCTGCAGCTGCTGCTGGTTGTGCTCCTCCTCCTCCTGCAGGGGGAGAGGCGGCAAGCCAGTCGAGGAAGCACCGTTTTTCTGCGTGACTTTTCGGCGAGAACGCTGCGAATCTGCAGAAGGAAGCGCACTCGCGGGCAGCTCTGCCTGCGGCTGTCGCGGCAGCTGCCGCTGTGGTGGCTGAAAGGAATGAAGCTCCGAGGCTGCCACGCAAGTGTCTGCCTCGCGCCGTCCCTCGCGCATGCATTCGGCAGCAGACGCCGCCGAATGCATGGGGGGGAACGCTGGGCAGGGAACGAACGATGCAGCTGGAGCGACACTGGCGCAAACAGACCGTGCAGCATGTGGCGGGGGAGGGGGGGGCAGCTCAGACAAAGCTGACGGCGACATGCGCAGCCGCAGCATTGCCTGCTGCTCATCCTGATGGGAAGATGCTGCTGCAGCAAGCGCAGCAGTACGCGGTCGAAGCAGAGGCATGCGCTGCTCAGCAGTCTCGCGGCTTCGTGCAGCTTTGGCTTGCAGACTCGAAAGTGATTGAGCTGGGGGATGCTCTGCAAGGCAAACACGCATGCGAAGTCTATCGCCTGAATGAAACGAGATGCCTATTCGCGTTCAGAGCAGCAGCTTGTCTTCTGCAGCGCAGACAGACGTCCACACAAGACTCTGAAGCGCAAAAAGACAGGGGATACACAGCCTCCTGGAGGCGCTGTATCCTCTGCTCTGCCAGAGAGAGAAGCCACTTACCCCTCACAGGATATCTGCTGTGCGTACCCACACAGCTGCTGCTTCCGAGAGATGCCGCCTGCGCTTCCTGCTGCTGCACTGTTTCTCCTAAGCCCTCTGGAAGGTTGGGTAGGTAGAAACGCGCTTTTTCAAGGCAGCAACTGCTGCTGCTGCTGCTGCTGCTGCACTGGTAGCGTGCCTGCTTGAAGGACCTCTCCTTACCGCTCTCCCAAGGCGCATCACCTACCGCTGCACTCAAACGAACAGCATACACCGCAGTTGCTGCCAAAAATCGACAAAGTCTCATCACGCTGGAATCAAGAGCAGCAGCAGTAGCAGGCAGCAGACAGACAGACGCCAAACAGCCATCTGGAGGTGTCGCAACGGCGGCAGTATCTCAAGAGCAGTAAGCCAACCTTCATGCACTGTTCGTTTCATCGCATGCCGTATGACGCCCTCTCCACATGGATCGCCTTCCCTGGTGCACAGAAGCACTCTGTATGGTCTTCTTTCCTGCAATACAGGAGCTGCACGCTGCCGCTGCTGCTGCTGCTGCTGCTGCTGCTGTTGTCGCGGCAGCAGCAGCGCGCGGCGACCCGCAGATTCGAAGGCACTCAACGGTGTATTCTCCTTGATGCCTTTTGCCGTCGCAATTGTGGGTGCTGGATTGAGCTGAACTCGTCGGTGTCTGTCTGTCACTGCATGCTCCTGCTGCTGCACGGCGTGTGGAGGGTGCCTCTCGAGTTCCTCCATTTCGTGCAGGTGCTTTAGGGCAGGCTTTGCATGCAAGCAGACGCGAATGCTGCGATTTGTGCATCCTGGCGAGGTGCTCCGGTAGGGGGGAAGCGCGACTGGCTGTTCGTAGTGGTGGTTGTTGCGGTGTAGACGTATCCTGGGGTCGCTACGTTTCTCTGGCAGTGTTGTTTCTCTGCTCCTGAAAGAGGAAGGCGCTTCGACAGAGGCTTCATGCCACCTCGGGGTAGCGGCAGTGCTGCTTCTGCCGCGCAAGCTGCATGCGCAGTCGAGAGCCGTAGTAGTAGAGGGAGCTTCGAGATCCGGGGGGGGGGGGAAGGGGGGAGGAAGGATGTTGTGATGCCCCCTAGCCGCAGAGGCAGGATGGTGACGACTGCCTTTGCCAATTGCCGCGGCAGCAGCAGCAGCAGCGGCAGCTGCTGCTGCTGCGTCTACAGCGCGCGCAGTCTCGTCATATGCCGCATGTCTGTCTGCAAGGGGGGGGGCGGTGACGAGACAGCTGCGAGAGGGGGGGGGGCTGCTGCTGCTGCTGTTGTTGTGCAGCATGGTCGGATCTGTCAATACGCCTTGAGGTGCCTTCTGAGGCAGCCAGCTGTAACGACACTGCTGGCGTTAGTTCGCGCGCACGTGGCTCCGCAGTGTCTACCCAGGTGCTCGGCATCTCCCTTCCGCTTCGTCCTGCTGAAACAAGAAGCGCAATTGGGGAAGAACGCGTGCAGCAGCAGCAGCACTTCAAGGGCTGTCTGTCAGTTTGTGTTGCAACGGCTGCTGCTGCGCCCAGTTTCAATAGTCGCTGCAGCGGAGGCTGCTCATGCTGCTGCCGCCTCGACAGCTACAGCAAGCGGCGAGATATCAAGCATAAAGCAGCACATTCTTGGCGTACTGCATTATTGCGAAGTGTGCAGCCTTTTGTGTGGCTCTTCTTGTGCTCGGCTTGCACTGCAGGAGGAGGCGCTGCCGCTGATGCGGCGTCTGCTGCATGCAGCCGCATGCAGCAGACACCGCGTTTCCACAGAACCATGCGTGATAAAGAATGGGGCAACCTCTGCAATTTAAAGAGTTAAGAGTTTTATGACTTTGTGTGTGTGTGTGTGTTTGTGTGTGTGTGTGTGTTTGTGTCTGTGTGTGTGTGTGTTCGTGTATGCCTCCTTCATGCGCCACTGTCTCCGTCCGGCTGCTGCGGCTGGTGACGGCGTTCTTCGTGCTGGAGGCGCTTCGATCCTTCCTGCCTCTCAGCGAAGTCGCTTTCCAGAAACGTGTTCTAGAAAACGTTTTCTTGGGCTTTTTCGAGGGGGGGAGGCGTGCTCGCGCTCCCCGGGGGGTACGGGGGAAGGGGAAGGAAGGGATTCTTCTGAATTGGCGCGAAAGCAGCGTTCTTGCCTTAGAGTTGCTGAATGTCTTCTGCTTCTTCCGCGGCTGTAGGCGGCAGGGGCTGAAAGCACGTTGAAGTGCATCCGCAAGGGAGGCGTTGTTCGATATATATATAAATATATCGAGTGCGTGGCGTGGTGTGGAGTGGAGTAGTCAGTCACCTTCAAGCAAGGGCCACATTGACAGCAGCTGCCGCTAGCGCTGCTGAAGCGGCATTCAAATTTTGTGGAATTTCGCGTGACACTTCAGTGGGGGGTGGCTGAAGGGGCGGCGCTCGCAGATGTTGGGGGCAGCTGGTAGCCGATTTGGCCCCTCTCAAGCAGCCGGGTAAGAAATACAGAGAGAGAGGGAGAGGGAGGGAGAGAGGGAGAGAGAGGTAGAGAGACAGAGAGAGAGGGAGAGGGAGGGAGAGAGACAGAGGGAGGGAGTGAGGGAGAGAGAGAGAGGGAGGGAGAGTCAGAGAGAGAGAGGGAGAGGGAGGTAGAGAGACAGATATATATATAGAGACACAGACACAGAGAGAGATACAGACACACAGACAGATACAGACACAGACAGATACAGACAGATACAGACACAGAGAGAGAAGAAGTCGAGTAGTGCTTTTACGGGAGGCTTCCAGGAAGATTTATGTGTGTGTGTGTGTCGGACTATGTGTCTCTGTGAGGATGCATGTGCATCTGTCTGTGGTCGTGTGTCTTGTGTCTGTGTTTTATACGCTTGCAGACTGAAGGTTTGTTGGAGTTGCCATGTGGGAGTGCCGCGTGGGAGTCAAAAGGAATCTGGAGGCGCTGACGGGGCAGCAGCAGCAGCAGCAGCAGCCGCAGCAGCAGCAGGCTGGCGTGCTGTAGCCGCTGACTTTGCCGTGGATGGCTCGCTGTTGCTGATTGCGGCAGTAGGAGGAGCAGAAGGCGGCTCAGCGAAGCTGCTTATTGTAGATCTTAAGGCAGGGAGGTGGGTGCATGCGGAGAGGGGTGTGTTGCACGAGCTGGGGAGTGAGAGCAGGAGCAGTGGTTTTTCGGGAAGGGTTGGAAATCGAAAATATGAGGCCATACGTTAGGAAGCTTTCCGAGCGACTGGAGTCTGCGCTTCTTCCAAGGGGGGGAGGTGTCTGCTCCTGCACTGCTGCTTTGCTACTGCGGCACTTTTTCATTGCCGAAGCTGCGGGGAGGGGGGAAAGGAGGGGGAAGAGGGGGTTAATTGCTTGCTCCGGTGATTTCTCTCTCTCTCTCTTTCTCTCTATCTCTCTCTCTGTATGTATGTGTGCTGCCTTTGCTTTGCAGTGTGGCACGTGTGTACGACTGCCCGGAAGGCGGAGTTTCTTCTGTGCGTTTTGTTGCAAACTCGACAGCCGAGTGTCTCCTTGGAGGTGGAGAAGGAGAAAGTGCGTTCTCCGTGCAGGGGGTGGGATTGTGTTGCCGAGATGTGTGTGTAACGTCGGAATGTTGCTGCAAGCTTAGGTGCCCCCGTCCTCCCCCCCGGATGCTGCTGCTGCTGCTGCTGCTCATTTTATGCACAAGCATATGCCTCTTGTGAAGCCGACGCTTGCTCTTCTTCTGAACACTGCAGATTCTGTTCGCCTGTGGGGTTTATTGGAAAATCGACTCGTTCTGGCCTATCCCCTCCCCGCACCGTAAGACACCTTCACGAGCCGAAGATTGCAAAATTCAGAAGCAGCAGATAAAGACAGAGAAAGAGATACAGAGGGAGAGAGAGAGAGGTAGACAGAGAGAGGCAGACAGAGAAAGAGAGATCGAGAACGAGGTATTAAACAGAGAAAGAGAGATCGAGCAAGCTAGACAGAGGCGAGCACGTGGACGGAGAGAGAGAGAGACTCTAGTGCTGCCGTTCTGTCCCTCCATGCCCGTGCCTGTTGCCTCCGAAACAGCAGACCCCTTTTTATGGGAGAGGACAGCTTTTTGGAGGGATATACCAAGGTGCAGTATGCACACCTTGGCTGGGTTTCTCGCTGTGTGTCTCTGTCTGTCTCTGTCTGTCTGTCTCTGTCTCTCTCTCTGTCTGTCTGTCTCTCTGTCTCTCTCTCTGTCTGTCTGTCTCTGTCTCTGTCTCTCTCTCTCTCTCTCTCTCTCTCTCTCTCTCTCTCTCTCTCTCTCTCTCTCTCTCTGTCTCTCTCTATTTTGATGTTGCTGCCCTTCCTCTATTGCTGATGTCGTTTTTTTGCAGCCTTACAGGAGCAGAGGGGCTGCTGGCGCATCCCCGGGAGCGGCTTTTTTTGGCGAGCTGCACGAACGGGGCTGTCTTTCTCTTTGACATGAAAGAATTGCATCCGCTGGTATGAGATCGAATTTTGCTGACGGCGTTTCGGGTAGCTGTTCGGGGTGACTCTCTAAACTCCACCTTGTTGCACATATTTCTGTGGCTGCATGGAGACTTGTATCTGTGCAGCGACGACACACCTCGTGCTCCTTCCGCTGCTGCTGCTGCCTTAGGAGACGGCGGCCTTTCGAGTGCCTCTTCACGTGCAGAAAATATATGTTTGCATGCGTATTGCGGCTGCTCGAGGAGCACACACCACGGCATTCTTCTGCATGCTGCGAACGGTCTGCCTGTGCGGGGGCTTATTGGTCTCCGCGGGTACATCCGTCTCCAGAGCATACATAGCCTGCGCACTGAGAAATGTCGGATTTTTCTTTGCTGCACAGGCTAGCATGCAGTGTAACAATCCTCGACCTTGCATTGCGTTTGACTTGGATGGACTTGTCTTCGCTGTTGCCCGATCGCCTACGCATGTTCACCTCGTGAACAGCGAGCTCACAGATCTCGTCAGCTAAGGATAGCGCAGCTGCATGTTTGCTGTTTTTTCCCGAATTCTCGATGCCACTTTGTATAATACCACGAGGTGGTGGTGTTGATTGCAAAAACGAGCTGTTTCCGCTGCTGCTGCTCGGATCTGCTTGCCAGCCTGTGTCGATACTCGAGGCCTTTCAGGTGTCTGTCTCATGGGACCGTGTATGTGACGCACCGAGTTTGTGTGTATTTATATCTGTATGTATCTCTTTGTGCGTATCTGTATGTATATGTGTGTGCATGTGAATGTATTTCTGCAGGATGTTTGTGTGTGTGTGTGTATGTATGTATGTCTGTATGTGTTTGTATGCGTGCAAATGTCTTTCTCTTGCTGTGTATATATGAATGCATTTTTTCTCTCTCGCTCTTTGCTTGTGTGGTATGTGTATGCGTGTATGTACGTGCATGTATTTCTGTCTCTCCCTTGATGTGTATGTATAGATGCACATGTATGTGTTTGTTTGTCTCCTGCCGCTGCAGCAGGAGTTCTCTGCCTTTGATTTATCAGCCTCCCTAGATCCAGGCAGCTGCATTGCGGTAGGTTCCCCGTGCGTCAGCCTTCTTGCTGGTGATATCGTGCTGCTGCTGCAGCTGCTTTCGAAAGGCGGCAGGCAAAGGCTGCGCTGCGTTCCATGAAGGCGCCCTCTGCGGCACTGGAGCGACTCTGCCGCTGCTTCGACAGACAGAAGTGCCACCCTGGGGCATCTCGAGGAGCTGCAGGGGACAGATCGCGTGTAGCTGCGCGGATTATCTTTGCGATAAATTTGCTTTCGCTGCGAGACTTGAGATGGCGTCCTCGGGTGTGCTGCGCGTCTGCAGAGTCTCTGCTTCAGCCCTGACGGGGAGGTCATTGCAGTAGCAACCAACCGCCAACAGCTCTTGCTGGTGAATGCATTTGAGGGGCACACGGTCAGTCTTTTCTCCGCCTCCATTTGCCTTGCTCGCTCGCTGGGCTTCGTTCCTTTGCCCCTTTTCCGCTAGGGCACAGAATTGGCTAGCCGACTACTCGCGGGTTGGCGCGTCAACTGGCGAGTGGCGAGCTACGCTTGCCACCAACTGCCCGCTGGTGTCTAGCTGACACGCAGTCCTGGCGTAAACGCATACGGCAGCTAGCCAGCGAGGTGGCTACAGCCGAGTCGCTACAAGGAAGGCCCTCGTGCAGCTTTTATTAAAAGCGTATGTTTGTTTTCGACAGCCTCTCAGGGGGCTTCCTGCGGCGCCACTGCATCTCCTGCTGCTCTGCCTTTGCTGCTGCTCTGCCTTTGCTGCTGCTCTGCTCTTCCCGCATGATGCAGATGGCAGAGCTCTGTGAGGCTGTGCCAGACGACCCTCCGAGCGCGTGGCTATGCACTCCTTCCTTCTCCGGCAACAGTCTCCTGCTTTTCTGGTCCAAAGACACCAGCCTATACGTCTTTCGTGTGCCGTCAGCTGCGACCAGCAGCAGTCAGCAGCAACAGCAGCAGCAACAGCAGCTGCTGCAGGCGAAAGGCGTCAATACAGCACTCTTGGTCGCCCAGCACAAAGGCCATTCGGAGCCTATTTCCATCGCCAAGGCCTCTTCCACACATGCCCTTATCCTCACAGGTGATCTTTTGACGCTTTTTTCGTTGCTAGGAGAGGGGCGAGGCGTCTTGTGGGACTGCTTCAAGGATTTGGTCGTCTCATGCCCGCCAAGCTGCCAGAGACACTGCACGAAGGGGCTTGCTGGCTAACTCAGGGTGGCCTCTGCTTACACGGGATGGCGCATGCATGCAGCAGTTTACGGGAATTCTCTGCCGGCAACTGGCTTGGGGCTGCGCGTCAGCACGGAGAGCTCTGTTGAAAGGAGCTCATGCAGTGAATGGGGGCGTGGGTGGGTCTGTCTGTCTTCGTATGCATGTATGTTTTTGTGTATGTATGCATTCGTGTGTATGCATGTATGGGTGTGTGTGTTTGTGTGTATGCATGCATACGTGTGCATGCATGTATGTATACGTGTGTATGCATGCAGGCGTATGGATGCACGTGTATGTATGCCTGAATATGTATAAATGTGCATGCATGCATGTGTGTGTATGTGTATAAATGTGCATGCATGCATGTGTGTGTGTATGTGTATAAATGTGCATGCATGCATGTGTGTGTATGTGTGTTGCTGTGCTTCAGTGGCGGGCGCTGTCGCTGCCCTGTGGCAGCCCGCGCAGCAGTCGTGAGTTGCATGCGTCTGCTGGTGCGTGTATTTGTGCGCTTGCTGCACCCGCGAGGACTGCAGGGATGGCAACTATGTGCAAGCCTCGCGATTGCTGCAGAAGGGTAGCGTTCATACTGAGTGACTGCAGCGGAATTTGTGAGGCCCCCTGCCCGGTGGTTTTTCTTTGTGTTGTGGAGCTTGGGGCTGTTGGCGCTGCTGTGTCCACTGCTCGCATGAGCGCAGCAGGCGTGTAGCGGGTTAGCCGTGGTGCACGCAGAAGGCTTTCCAAGCCTGTGTGGAAGGAAAAAGGGGCTGCTGCACAGAAAGACGCCTCGGATGGGGTCTGTTCAAGTCTCTTGTCACGGGCTGGCTGCACCCACAGCAGAGGGTGTGTTGCGGCATCAGCGTTTGGCCGCCTCGTTGGCGAGTCTGCGAGCTTCACATTTGTGCAATTAAGTTGCCACACACTGAGTTGTAGGAAGTGAGGGGGCAGTGTGTTGCCACGAGGGGAGGGAAGGCACAGGTACCGTCCGGGGAGGGAAGAAAGCAGACAAACTCTAGCCCCCAATAAACTTCGTAAAAAGGGGGACCAATGTAATACACAGCCCACTTGGGAGACTCAGAGACTCTGGGCTGGCACTAGCACTATCCCTTTTTGTTGCGTTCCGCGTTTTTTGCCCGTGGTGTCGGATGCTTTGCTGAACGCCCCTTCATTACACCCCGTGGGCCTAGTGCTGCTAAGGGGCAGCGGGAAGACTGCGGTCCTTAATACATAAGCAAAGCCATAGGGAATTCGCTGCCTGCCGCGTCTGTTTTGATCGCTGTATAGAACTGTAGTGCTGACGAAGGGGGTGGTGGGTGTGGGAAGGGATCCAAGTGAACAGTGCGAGGGCAGCAGGAAGGCTCTCTGACGCTGCTGCCCTCTTCCTGCAAGGACCCCAATACCAACCTGGCTGGCTGGTAGGAGCATCTCGTTTACGAGTGCTCGTACAAGTCTACTAGATGGCGGGAAGGCTCTGAAAATGCCGACATTGCTCTAGCCCTTTGGGGGAAGACCTCGACACCTGCCCCTAGGGGACGCAAGCTGACAGCGGCGGCAGGGGGGCCCTTTGGCTGCAGAGAGGAATGGATCCTCGTGGAAACGCTTGACCATTGCTCTTAGAATAGTACTTGGGGGATGGGATGCGGAGACAGGCCCGCGAACGCTAGAAGCCAGTTAGCTGATAGCAGTGCTGGCAAGCCATGTACGCTGGCTGTACAACTCTTGTGCCATAGAAAAGCCCACCTGAGAGCCCCTGCGGTATCGGTTCCACGAAAAAAAACATCCAACCGGCATCTTTCTCCGTTCCGACATTCATGATCGCATAGCCTAACGGGGGAGCGCATTTTGAAGCTGTGTTTTTGCGCTCTGTAGCCACAGGTTTAGGGTCGTCTATCATGCTGCTACAGCTCTCGCTCCTTCCCTCCCACACCTTGGTGGAGGAACCAAAAGGTCTCGTTTGTAGGGGTCCTTCAGGATTCCCCTGAGACCTCGCTTAGCTCTACGCCTTGGCCTTGTGGCTGGATGTATTCGGCAAGGCTATATCCTCTGTGTCTCTTTCTCTCTCTCACACGGCTCCTTTTAAGGGAACCGGTTCCGTCGTGGCACAGCAGCCTACTGACAGGCGCGCACGGTTTGAAAACCTATCGAAGGCCTCCCTACCCAACGCGGCGGCCCTTCAGCACTGATTGCGGAGCAACAGGGGGGTTTCTTCGATGGGGAAGGCTATTGCGACACTCGCCCGCGCGCGAAGTCACCCTGCGTTGCGACGTGTGCAGCTTATGGCCCTTTGGCTGTCATGCGGGCCGTCAGTTCGGACGACCAATTGATTTCTGTAGCAACAGACGGAGTTGCTGTGATGGGGAATGAGAGGGAAGTGTTTGTTTCGCTTTTGAAAACTGTTTAGGGCCGCCGGTCACTTACCGGAAATCTACGCGGCGTGTTCAAAGAATTCGAGGGTCTGCTGGCTACCCTGCGCCGAAGGAATGAACACTTCGAAGCAAGGAGAGAAACACACTTGAGAATAGCTATTTTTATGGCTCTCCACAATCCAAGGAAGCGCAGTTTCAAGGCACTCACGTGGGGAGTCGCTCGGGGTACCGCCGCCGTGTGGTGGCGCAGGGGGGCTACCCGTTTTCCCGTGGCCTCTCAAAGCGTTTCTGAAGGGTACAGTGGAGGCGAGAAGCAGCATTATTGCATTTTTTGGGAATTCGGCAGCTTGTATAAGTGGGAAAAGGGGCATTGTAGTGCTTGCTACGGGGCGGCTAGCCAGAGGGGTGAGCCACGTCCCGAGGATCCTTCCCTGAGGGGGCAGTAGCGGAGTAGGCACCTGCTGCAGTGGGGTACCCTTCCTACGTTTTGTCATGAGGCTGTTAGGCTTGAAAATGAATTTCGTGTGTTTAAATTGCTTTTAGGTTAGCGGGAAAGGCTTGAAGGTGTCCAGGAATGGGAATTAATGTGCCCTGCATGCGGGCGGGGAGCAGCAGCAAGCAACTGTAGCAGCAGCAGGTACAACACAACAGCGCCTCCTGTGGTCGAGGCTGCACCGCTGCCCATGTTACATAGCCAAATACCAGTTCATGACCACGGTGGCACTTGCAGCCTATTGCGGGAGTGGAGAAGATGTGCTTTATCCACAGGAGTTTGCAGAGGAACTACTCGAAAAGGCCTTAAATAATATGCCCAGCTCTCCCCCTGTGCCTCATATTCACACAGCAGTCCCCGCAGCACCAGACCACCAAGCGCCATATATTTACTTACACTCTTCTAGCGCCCCCAAGGAGGCCCCTTTAAAGAAGACCTTCTGTCTTGATTGGCTTTCCTTAAATTGATTTCTACACCTGGAAGACGCAGAGCTTCCACATGGCCTCAAGAGGGACCCCTCCCAGCAAAATCAATACAACACTGCCCCTTGCGATACACTGCGCCAGCGCAGGCGCTCTCTAACACAGAATATCCGCCACTCGGCCGGTGCTGGAGCTTGTGCGCGCGAAGAGGGAATTTTCTTTCCCTTTGATCCCTCGCAACAGGACGTTTTGGGGTCGTCAGGCGCTGCCACTGGCCTCCCTTCGCCACAGGAAGCCACGCGGCGAGTTCCCAACTGCGTTTGAGGCGGGAGGATCATCCCCTCTTGCTAAGCCACTGGTGTTGGTGCAGCTTGTTTTGGGTCCAAAGTGGCCACGGGCTTTTTGCGGGCTATCCAGCAGTATCCGTATCCTGCCTTTCTCTTCCGCAATATATATGTGTATATATATATATATTCATACGATCCTTCCCCGCGTTCCAGAAAGCCTTTTGATCCTACCTTCATACTGCGTATCTTCGCAAGCACGGATGCACGTGCACACACTACATAGAGACATGCAGGAAGCCTGACCTGACCAGCACGCGAAGTGTAGTTAGAGCAACGCCCCCATCGACGCGAAGAAGAGCAGCAGCAGCTACAGCAACAGATGTCTTGCTGCATTGGCGCGAATCGCCACTGTCTGCGAAGGAGGATCGCATAGTTCGGAGACGTTCAAAGGAGTTTGTCCAGTAGGGCCTCGTGCTCTGTGTGCCTTCAAGAAAGCAACGAGCTTCTTGGCTCTTTCCCAGGTTCCTCGCGGCAGCAGAGAAGCTTGCAGCCTTTGATGCAGTAAGCCTGCGAGCCACTTTGAAGGGCGCCGTCCCTGTCTGCAGGGAGGCGGTGTTTGCGGTTTGCTCTGACTTCACGATGAACCCTCCGATCGCGCGCATTCCGCAGCTGTCTTAGAGAGCACCCCACCCCAGCAACAGCAAGGCTCGACGAAAGCAACGCAGCAAGAGCTGCTTCCACGCGGCAGTGGAGGCAGCCTCGAATGAGGACTGGCTGCTGAGCACTATCCCCGGCGTCTGTGTATGTGTGTGTATGTACGGTAGTAAACGTCCCCATGCAATTGAGTCCTCCTAGTCCGTCCCGCAGCAGGGGCGGTTCCAGCAGGCTCCTTGGCGAGGAAAAAAAAACGGCGAGTCGTCCTCCTAAGGGGTCTTATCTCCCTTCCGAACTGCTGATCGGAGGCTGCAGCTCGCGCTGGTCACCCTCGATCCCCTTGGCGAATCCGCATCCTGGGGGGGATGGCGAAGCCGCCCCCCCCCTGGGGGGCCCCCCCGCACCGCCAGCCTTCGGGAAAGCAGGCTCCTCCCCGCCTCCCGGAGGTGACCTTCTCTCGCCTCCCTGGGAGCCAGAGGCGAAAGAGCTCGACGCAGGGGGCCCCTCGGATCAGCGCCTGTCGCTTTTGAGCACAGCCAGCGAAAGCACAGCCGTCTCCCTGCTTACTGGCGCTCTCCTTAGCCCAGCCGAGTGTCTCGGGGGGGGGCCCCCCTCGAGGAGCCCAGCCTCCCCGCTCAGCCCAGCCTTCTTGCTCGTGGGGGACCAAGGCAGTGGGGGCCCCTCAACTGTCTCTTCCCACAGGCCTAGTTTCCAAGACGGGCTGTCTCCGGCGCCGCAGCTTGCCGACGTGCTGCAAGGTCGTCTGCTGCTGGCCCCTCCGGAGCGGCAACACGAGGCGCTGCAGGCTCTCGGGTGCAGCGCTCGGGAGAGCAGCTGCAAGCAGCAGCCGTTGCCGCGCTTGCTCATCGAAGGTGAGGAGGGTGGCGGCAAATCTAGGGGCCTCCCCGAGGAGGGCTTGCGAGGCTCCCGCGGGAGGCGAGCTCCCTGCTGCCACCACGGCGCAGAGCCATTCGTGGCTCCTGCAATGCAGCCGGCTTTCCAGCGGCGAATGCCAAATGCGTCCTGTCTCCTCCCTCTGAACGCCGCTATTCACCAAAACTCTTGCAGTAGCAGCTCTGCAAGTAGCAGTGCCACCTTTCAAGGATGCGGTCAGCGGCTGGCAGCGCTGTTGCTGCATCTTTCTGCATCGCCGCCCTGCTGCAGCCGTAATTCTTACGGGAGTCTGCAGCTGCACTGGTGCTGCTGCAAGCCCTCCCGCCGTTTCGCTGCTGGCAGGCTCTGAACTGAGGACTAAAGGCCTCTGATGTCGCTTTCTGTGTGCCGTAGGCGATGAGGAAGTGCCGCCTCCCCAACAGCAACTGCTGCAACTCCAGCAGGGGGGGCCGCGTAGTGCAGCCGAAGGCAGCAGCAGCGGCGCCGAGGGCTTGTGGAGACTCCCCGGAGACTCTGCAGTGGAAGCACTTCTTGCGTTGTTGCAGCAGCATCCAGCCCAAATCCAACCCGGCCGGCAGCAGCAGCAGCAACAGCAACAGCAGCCACTGGATCTCGTGCCTTCCAGGAAGGCCTCTCCCGCGGAGGGGCCTTTCAACTCTTGGCACAGTCGGGAGCTTATAGAACCACGACAGCGAGGGCTTTCAGAGCAGACGTCTGCTACCGTTGCTGCTGCGGCTGCAGTCGATGATAATGCGAAGCCGCCGTTGCTCCTACTGAGGCAGCAACATCAACAACAGCAACAGCAACAACAGCACCAACAGCACCAACAGCAACAACAGCACCAACAGACAGCATCGAACAGAGGACCATTGATCCGCCTGCTAGATGAAAAGGAGGCCCCTCAACTGGAATGCCCCAGAGGCGACAGCAACGCGCCAGGCGGTAACAGTGTAGCAGATGGGCTGAAGGAGGGAACTGTTGAATCGCAAGTCTTGCTGCACTTGATGCAGCGCTTGGAGGAAGGCGGCACAGGAAGTCGCGTGTCGCTCTCGCTTCAGCAGCAGCAGGATGCCAACATTCAAAGGATGACAGAGAGCCTAGGGCTGCTGGATCTCAGCGAGGACAGCAGCGCCGGCAGGAAGGTAAGTTCATTCAAAGGTTCCGGCGTGCCTCCTGCGAAACAGCAGCCGCATCAACAGCAACAGCTCGCTGAAGAGCAGCTTTTGATGCTGCCGTCTTGCTTGAAAAAAAATAGCGAAGTGTGTGAGGAGGGACGCTTTGGAGCTGGTGGCCGACAGCGGCGCCGGAGAGAGAGACGCAAAGAAGGGAGATTTTCTGTCTCTTCTACCGCAGGACGCGATCCTGTACGTTTGCAAAACCGTTGATTAGAGATGCGTGGAGCACCTCGCAAAACATCCTGTGTGTGAAGCCAAGCCTCGCGCGCGGCTCGTGTGTTTAAGCCCTCAACTTTGATGTCGGACTCGAAGAAAGCCTTCGGTGCTCGAGCTTGCGGTGTGTGCCCCTCAGATTGAAGGAGCTGCGCTGTCGTCTAGTTGCAGTTTGCTGCTGGAGGAATGCAGGCTGAACGCAAGAGATCTGACACCAGAGGAACTGAGTTTGGTCCTAGTGCGTTTCTGCTGCACGCGAAAGGCTTCGCGCGCTCTCTGCTTATGCTGGTTCTGATGCTTTTGGTAATGCTGGTGCCGCCGTAAGAGCACTCCCGCCTACTTAGCATCCCCCCTTTCCGCCTGTTTTGTTCGCAGCTAGAGTTTTCTACCAACGCCCTAGGAGCCAACATCATCGTGCAAGTACTCGATAATGCCACGGAGGATGCGAGGAGGCTGCTGCTGACGCAGTTGGTGCCCCACATCCGAAGCCTCTCAGCAGACGCTGCTGGGAGCACCATCGTGCACAAACTCTTGGAAATCTGTATGCTATACCCCTCCCGAAAGTGTGGTGCAGAAGCTGGATTGCGCCATTCTGCAGCGGCAGTTGCTGCAGAATACTGCTGCGTGCCCCACACAGCAGAACCCCACTCGCACCTCTTCATCTCGTCGGCTTGTCGCTATATGGCCGCCGCTGACATTTCCTGCTGCGCTTAGGCCCTTCGGAGGAGAAGAAACTGCTGCATGCGCAGCTGCTTATAGACGTCCAGCGGTTGTCTTTGCGGACTTATGGTTGCCGCGTCATCCAGAAGGCCCTTCATGTGCGTCTTTTTGCTGCTGCTGCTGTGTGTGTGTGTGTGTGTGTGTGTGTGTGTGTGTGTGTGTGTGCTGCTGGGCTTGCCGAGGTAGCTGCTCCTGCTGCTCTCCCGTCGTGTGTGTGTCGCACTCCTCTTGCCAAGACATGTGGTGTCTGGCCTTCGCGGAGGGCGGCCTCCCTCGCTACGTACTGCTGCTCCTCGGAGATTGCGGCCGCCTTCCCACGGAAGCAGCGGCGGCAGGGCTGAGAGGAGTTCCCAATTAGACCCAAAGCGCTCCATCTCGTAGTGTTTCAAATGCTGCCTCTTCTTGCGCTCAGACTCTTGATGAGGACGACCGAGTGACACTGGCGAGGGGTCTGGAGGGCAGTGTGTTGACTTGCATCGGTGACCAGAACGGTTAGTTATGGAACGCTTGCCTCTTCGCACCCGTGTTGTTGTTGTTGTCCCTTCTCTCTGATGTCTTTTGTCAAGCATGTGTTTGTTCTTTTGCCTCCTCTGATCGAGTTCTGTGGTGTCTTCAAAAAAAGAAGTCCACTCAAGGACTGTACTCGTCGGAATCTCACTCTCGCGGCACAGCCGTTCCCCCTCACGTCGCGGTCTAAGCTATTTAATTCTCTCCTTCTGTCTTGGTTGTTGTTTTTCTTCTACCTCTTTGGCCTGAGCGGCCTTCCCTTTTTCGTATGTAGGTGTGTGTGTGCGTGTGTGGTACTCGAGGCCTCCTTGCTACTCCTCTGTGTCTCACTGCATAGAACTTCTTTCATCTAGGAGTTGGATTGCATTCTGCGCCCGTGTTTTGTGCTGTGCGTTTACTGAAGGAAACCACGTCATACAAAAGTGCATCGAAAGGCTGCCGAGGGGCGGTGCTCAGTTTGTCTTGGATGCAATTGCGGGACAGGAGGCGAGCCTCGCCTCCCACTGTTACGGCTGTCGGATCATTCAGCGTCTTGCCGAGGCTTGTGACATTGAACAAATCGTGAGCAGCCTCTCGCACGTTTCCCTGCCTCTTGCCCTTCGCCATTCAAAGCTAGCCCTCCACTTTGGGGAGCCTTTCAGGCTTAGCGCGCGCTGGACGTCAGCAGAATGCTGCTGGCACCGGTTAAAGGGTGAGGAGTACTTGTGCATGCGTGTGGCAACCTTTTGTGCAGACCCCGATGCTGGATGCAGTCATGGCTTCTCTGCGCTCTTTGACTGAAGATCAGTTCGGGAACTACGTCATTCAGCACCTCCTAGAATACGGAAGACAACGAGATAAGGAGTAGGGAGGCAGCACATTACTGAAGAGGTTGACGGAGGAGGCAAGAGGGGGGAGGGCGATGAAACAGAGGCCAGTAGCAGCAGAAGCCCATCAACTTGCAGTGCAGCCCATGCGAGGGCAGCTCCGTTTTTCCTGCCTTCGGGAGGGACGTTTTAGAGCACAGCTGCGCCATGGCAGGTGAGGGGACAGTTTCTCAGCAACAAAGCATGCGACTGCATGCGACTTCTCTTGGGCTGTGCAGGGAAATCGTGGAGCTGCTGAAGGCCAACCTGTCGAAACTCGCTACTCAGAAATACGCATGGTATGCAGAGCCTTGTCGCTTGTTCCCTGATGTGTTCACTGTTGATCGGAGCGCAGCCGGGGCTCTTTGTAGCTCTTTTGCATGCACTGTTGGGGGCGGCATTGCTGTTGCTCCGGCTTCTCCAAATCAGCCAGTACCGTCGCATGAAGCCTCGGTATGCGACTTTTCCCTGTAGGCGTGCTGTTTCAATATGCTGCCTGACGCTTGCAGCAACGTTGTAGAGAGGGCGTTAAGCCTCAACACGCTTGGTCGAGCGCAGTCCGAGCTGCTAGCGGTCGCGCTGCATCCCGACACACAGTGAGTGCCTGTGCCCCCTGCCTCCCTTATATCTGCTCCCATTACATAGGATTTCTTGCCGCCATCACAATACAGGACCATATAAAGTTTCCCTAGGACAGCATGCCTGGATTTCCTAGGCATAATACCTGCTGCTTTCCCATCGTGTATCGTCGGCTCGGGGTTAACCGGGTGGCTTCCTCTACCCTTTGCTTGCGCGCGTGCAAAGAAGACCCCCTACCGCAGAAGGTGGTATATGTGGGGCTAACGCCTTGTCAGAATATGTGCGAAAGGGAGACAGCGAGACACTTACTTATGCGGGCTCGTGAAGGATCTCCATCTGCATGCGTTTCCACAGAAAGGGAGCCCCCGTCACCGCTCTCATGCTTGACAGATATGGCAACTATGTCGTCCAGCGGATGGTGGAGGTTGCAGAAGGGAAGCAGCGAGAGGTCCTCTTTCGCCGTTTGCTTGATCACCTGCCCCTCCTGCGCAGCTGCACATACGGTAATCCTAGACTCAGAGTGGCCCCTCTGCCGCTTTGCCTAGCTGCAGCTGTAGGGTTTACGCCTTTCAACGCGCCCTCTAGTCGCGCAGCGTACAAAGTGCTGGAGTCCGCTCAGACGCACAGAAAGTCTCGAGGAGAACTTGATAGGTTCTCAGGGCAACGTTCAAGAAGTGGATGTGCAAATGCATCAATCACATATATGTATATATGTATATATATATATTTGCATGCGTTGTGTGGGCTTGTGGCCTTTCAGGAAAACACATTGTCGCCGCTTTGGACCGTCTAGAGGTTGGCGGTGTCTCGTCAGGGGAGGCATTGGCGAGCTCGTCGGCAACGGACAGCAGTGCAAGTGCAGCGCTACCAGCTCGACGCCGAGGATCGACTCAGCAGCAGCAGCAACAGCCGCAGCAGCAGCAGAAACAAGCAGGGCTTGTGTCACCTTCTGTGAGCCGGCGTAAGACGGTCCCTCAAGATGCTCGCAGCCAAAAGCAAGGAAGAAAACGGCAAGTGTCTCCCAGGCAGGCGGCACGATCAAGTGCAGCGACGGGTTTGGGGGGCTTTGAAGACATCTCCCTGGAAGCTCCCATCGATTACAGCATTTCGAGAGGATGGCAGCAGCATCACTTGAGGAAAGCCTCAGGACCCCCCCCCCAACGCAGTACTAGAGACGGAGGAGGAGGGTCTCCTCCAGGAGGTCATATAGGACTGCAGCAGCGGCAGCAGCTACTGCGGCTTCTGGATGGCCAGTCTGGTGTTACCGCCTGCACTTCCGAGGAATTGCAGCTGCAGTTGGATGTATCTCCGACTGCGGCGCTCCTGGGGCAAGACAACCGGGGGGCCCCTTTTGCACAGGCAGAGCCCAGTACCTGTGGACGAGGCGAACGACAGGAGGGCCCCTCCGTTCTTGCCGCCAGCAATGGCCTTTCGGACTTGCTTGGGATATGGAGGAAGCAGCAGCCTTCATTGTTTAACGGCGGATCTGGCGTATGCCAGCCAGCGCTGGTAGAAAGCAGCAGCAGTCCAGGTAAGGAGGGAACAGGCAGTTCTGCAGGCATTCAAAATGAGTGGGGGTGGGGGCGGACGCCCCTCTTTTACCACCAGCCTCCTCCTCCAACGTGGTAAAGTCCCTTGTGCGCGGGAGCAGCATGCAGGCGATCCTTGAACCGTGGAAATTAGCGAACTTGGTTCCGTACAGTGCCTGCATCGCAAGCAACAGTAATTATGGATCGCGCGAGCAGTTTTTAACTCGGAAGCCGCGGTGGCTGTCTGTCGAGGCAACGGCAGTCCTAAAGGAAGAGCCCGCAGCAACGACGAATAAGTATAGTGTGGAGTACAGGTCGCTGTGGTATGTACCGCAGCTGCAGGCTGATCCTTGTGTAGTGAGAGCAGGGCTGCAAGATTGGCAATTGAGGCTGTGGGCCCCAATACGTTGCACCAAAGAGACATATAGCAGTGGGGAAGGTCCAGTCCCTCTTCCTCGACGGAAGCACCCAGTTGGATTGAGGAAGCCGTGTCAATGCCCTGGTTCTCTGGGGTGTCAGAGTTTTGGTGTTCGGGAAGGGCTGCGACGTCCGCGCGTCATGTAATGCCTTCTGCAATGCAGAGGGCTTAAATAAGCTGTGGCGGGGGAACGATGGTTACAAGGATTTAAGGGAGATATGCCCTTGTCGGGGTCCGGGAAGTGATTACGCGCACGTACAGAGACACAGCCAGAGGAAGACCCCTGATAACAGGCAGAAAGGTTCCAGCTTCTCGATTCAAGTCAAACACCCCGATGGTCTACACAAAGCGTCTTCAGGCGCCAAGCAAACCTGGTGGCACAGCAGTAGTTGCTGTTGCGGATTTCCCCATTCCTATGATGTGGGCGCGAAGACAGGTGCAGCGCTTGCTGCGCCGCCTTTTGCCCGTCTCCCTGTGCAAGGGAGCTATACGTGTTAAATTCATGGCCCGGCTTTTATACGGTATATACCTCCCATTGTTGAGTCTTGTGCAGAGGCCCGCCCCGGCCCGAGTGGGATCTTTTGTATGTCTTTGCTTCATCTCCACTCAAAAAGTGGACGGCTTGTGCCATATAGAGAGCAGCAGAGACACTGCATCTACTACAACGTGTTCTCTCCGGAGAAGTGTCAGTTCGCCTCAGGTCTCCTGCACCTACAATCAGCAGCGTGACTGGCGAGGAATCGAGAAACACATGCAGCGGAAAAAAATGGGCTCACCTGGGGCCCAGCAAGCCACTTTTCCTGTCGCCCTCTCGGGTGATCGTATCAAATGAACAACAGATTCGCTTCAGAACAGCTTTGCCGGCCCTTCGGAAGGGCATCGGCTGTTTTCAAGAAATTCTTGCGTGGCTGTATATGGCGTATGTAATCTGGCGCACTGGGAAGCCCAAGTGCACTGCGCATGTGCAAGTGCCACGCAGGTACTGGCGACATCCTGCTGGGATGTGCGCCTTTCTTTGCTTGTGTAAGGCATTGGCCTGAATGGCTCTGTGGCGCTGGCAGCCAAAGTGCAGCCCCCACGCGTCTAGCAATGTGCCCATTGGGTCAGACACCAGTCTTCTGCCGAAACCTTCGCTTTCTCTATGCGTAGTTGCTTGTGTAGCCAACAGCAGTCCACAGCCCTGCAGTGCTTGAAACTCCTACCCCGGCCGACCCGTATCTAGTACAGGCTGTGGAGGAGAGGGGTTGTTCTCCCAACGAGAAAGGCGAGAGCGATTGTGTAGAGCAGCCTATCAAATCGCCGCGACAAGTAAGAAGAGTCAAAAGCCTTCATCGTAGGAAGGTGCAGAAGGACGGTAGGTAAAGCACCGGACGATGAGGCATGTGGACAACCGCGCTATTAAGTAGCGCAGTTATCCTCATGCCTCACGAGAAAGAGGTCCACGCGGACCTTCAGGAGTGGCGATTCGTGTGTCAGTGTTCCCTTTGATCTTATGCCTTAAGGAAGCAGGATTGCTTCCTTCTTATGTGGCTGCCCCCAAGGTTTTCAACGTGTGGGAGGCGCTTTGGGAGCTCAACGCTGACTTCGGCAGCTAGGTGGCTAGCTGCCTTTCGTTCATAGATCCAGTAGCTCTGTAACACATATATGCTGGTGACGCATGTACGTGTATGGGAAATTACCCGTTACATTTACGCGCTCGCGTAATTGGGGCTGCGATATTCGAAAAAGAATTCACTACTATTCGCTTGCTTATAATGCCTCCTCCTAGGTTTGTGAAAGATGCCAGGCAGCTATGGAGCGTAAAAACTGAGGTGCATCGTTTGTGTACTCTGTAAGCATGCAATGTCGGAGAGCAAGGGCCCCATAGGCACGCATTTCGGCTGCGTGGCGGATACTAGCAGGAACTAGTGAATCCAGCCTACATATGTGTCGTGCATGGTGTGTTCCTGAACAGCTGAATCGGCCTACATGCTTCGCCAAAGTTTTCACAATCAGTGTTGACTACATTATTGCACGACCTGAAAGCTGGAAAGTGCTGCCCATAACGGATGGCGTTTGCCCCCATTCTCCGCGCTTACTGCTTGCGTACCTGTGAAGGTCATGCTAAATCGGTTAGTACGGCGTGAGGTATCCTGTCGGAGGGAATTTTCTACATTTGAAAGAGTGCATGCGTCTGCTCGTGTCCTCTTTCTGCAAGGCGGCGTGGCGATGCGCTGGGAGTTTCCTGGCCAGGCGCTGCTTTCTGCTCTCTAATGATAGTCAAACGAAGAGCACTAGTGAAGCGTGCACGTAACTAAAGGAAGTTCGGGCGCCAAGTCCCAGATGTCAACAGAGTTTGCCACGGCTGCAAAGTGACCGATATGGAGCTGTTAAGCTATGCGGGAAGAGGCAATCATGAGGCAGTCATCCTGACTGAATAGCTTCTGGAGGCAGCGAAGGCCTCACTCATGATGAATCTATTAAAAGAAAGACTTCTATGGAGTCCCACGGACTGCTGAAGCACTTGCCCACACCCTGGCGGCCAGTTTCGGCACTTTGCCTCACTGCTGGAAGCAGGCGACTCGAGCTTCGGGGGGCAACACACGCCCAGTGTCCGCAGCTTTCCCTTAAATGGATTAATTTCACACCATCCCGCGTAACTCATGAAAAAATAACAGGTAAACAGAGTCTTAATGGGCCCGAATCGCGAACGGCTGCCGTCCGGCCTAAGGAGTGGCAAGAGCATTAGACTTGCGGGTATCGAAGTTTACAGTGTCTGAAGCTTTCTTTGAGTCCGCTGTGGATTGTGTGTTGAGTTCCCCAATATTCCAGGAGGAGTTGTAAAAGGCTGCAGCAGCATCGCCAACTGGGCATGCTGCTGCGTTTTGCCGCATAGGAGGGAGCTCGTGTGCTCATGCTCTCGCTGAAAGTTTCGGTTCTTGTTGTATTATCGCGGCTTCCCCCCTCCCAAGCTCAAAAGTAGAGCGGCAGGGGCTGCTGCGGCATTCCTTGACAGGAGGAGCCGGTACTGGAGGAATGAATGCGCGATCGAGCTTTCGCCCAGCCTCTGTTGTGTCCCTACACCCCTTCATGGCCTGCGACGCCGTCTTCATGAACAGCTTATGCAGGGCCCCTTGCAACCGCCTTGCCTCGGATCCGTCGCTGAATGTTTTAGCCCGCTCAGTTTGGGAGTGAAAAGGGCACGCTGGCTGTGGTGGCGGGGGCATGAGCCCTTTGCCGCCTCGGCTGGAGGCGTTCTGGTTTGGGATATCGTGTCGCAGCAGCAGACGACCTCGTTTTTAGGGAGCGTCTGCTGTATTTCCACTCATCACCAGAGGGGGTTTCGGCGGTCCCCGTAAGAGACACTACACCACGCAAGCCGACGAGGGGAGGAATGGACGGGATCGTGGGCGTATCTCAGAACTGCAGCACAGACGCAACACTGCCGCTGATGGAGTTGGCATCTGAAGGCCCCCTCGGCAGGAAAATTCGAATGACTCGTCCCCGCGTTACCCCTAGGCGAGCTGGTGCTGCCCGTACAGCGGATGAAGGCAGCGGCAGTAGCGACACCGTGGCGCAGCCCGTTAAAAGTAGGCCCCCAGCCAGCTTCGACGAGCACGCTCGTACCAGCGAGCAGCCTCACGAAGGAGCATGGCAGGGGCGTCAGCACCAAAGCTGGCAGAGGCAAGCCTCGGGTAAAAAAGCCAGCAAAGCAGAGTCGCTGATTCAAACCCATGCTCGCAGCCGCATGGGCAGCGGACCTGGCCAGCACAGGCGAGAGCACCAACACAAGAAAATCCATCGTGACGCATCCGATCCTAGACGTGGAGAGCCGCTTTCCACAGTGGCTGCACTGGGAACGGTACCAGAGGCGGCAGCTGCAAGACAAGAAGAGCAATGCCCTGGGGGGGGGCTGCCCGTCGACTCGCCATGTATCGCCTCTCGTGCCAACTTCTCCTGCAGAGACTTTGATGCATCTTCTCCCTATTTACCCATAGCCTACCTGGGAAGGGGTGCAATCGGCCGCGTCTTCCACTGCGTTGAGCGGTCCACAGGGGAATGCGTCGCCGTCAAAGTGGTATGTCTGTTTGACGGATGGGGGTTGTATATATGTATATACATAGATGTGTATATATGTGTATATATGCATATGTATGTGTATATATAACTATATATATCTATATATATATACATGGATGTGTATATATCTATATGTATGTATATATATATCTACATATATGTATATATCTATATGTATGTATATATCTATATGTATGTGTTTCTTGTCTTGTTTTTGCGCTGGAATTTGGACTTCGCCTGCTTTTTTTCGTGCTACAGCGGCTGAGGCGGGAAGCTGGTGCCTATGGGGATGCGTTTTAGTGGCCTTTGAGCCTTTAGCGCGTTTTCTGGTAGCAGGCTTGCGAAGGCCAGTGTGCTTGTGGCAATGCGATTTTCACGTCGGAGTCACTCGTGAGTGGCTGTGTGTTTTTTTCAAGGTTGCGAAGCACCTGCTGCGAGGGCGCCGCAGACTGCAGCGCCAAGTACTCGTGGAGAAGGAGGCTCTTGTTGCTCTTAGTGCGGGGGGACGACCCGTGCACCCCAGTGTGGGGTATCTTCGGCGAACGTATCAGACGTCGGAAAGCCTCTACTTCGTACTGCAGTATGCAGGAGCGCGCTCGCTTCGAGACGTACTGACACGACTCAACTGTGCAGGCCTGCGCCTGTCTGTGGGAGCGGCGAGGCTGTGGGCTGCTGAAGCCGCAGCCGCTCTTGGAGCTCTGAGGCTGCGGGGGATCCTCCACAGAGACATTCGGCCTGAGAACATCATTGTGAACGACGAGGGGCACTTGACGCTCGTGGATTTCGACTCGGCAGTGCATCTTGCCGCCTCTTCGGGGCAGCACCGGAAGCCGAAGCATCAGCCGCAGGAGGAGGAGCGGCAGCAGCTCGCGCGGGGAGGCCTAGAAGACGCCAGCCACAAGCGACGCATCCCTGCGCTGCCTCCCGAGCAGCGGATGTGCGGCAGGAGGGGCGCGCTGGAGCAGGTGCAGGGTTCTTTGGGGGAGATTCTGCATGCAAGCGGGCGCTTGCTAACTCCCGTTCTCTCGCCGTATGCAGGCACTGCTGCTTACTCCCCCCCAGAGATGTTTGTCTCCTTGGACCTGGATGCGGAGGCTGCAGTGCAGCAGCACTGCCCTGCTGGCTTTGGCTCCGACTGCTGGTCCTTCGGCTGCTTAGTCCACGAGCTGCTCCTGGGAGAACCACCCTTCAAGGGAGACTCCCCAGCAGCGCTGGCAAGGGCGATCTGTGGAGCTGAGGAGCTGTCTCTCCCGCAGCAGCTGCCCGCCAGCGCATCCGACTTCATCACGCGGCTGTTGAATCCGAGGGAGCAGGAGCGCCTCGGCGCGAGGAATATCAAGGAGCTACTGGAGCACCCCTTCTTCGAGGGCATCGACTGCATGACTCTCCACTATCAACCGCTGCCGATCGATGTGGCGCAGTATGCCTTCGCTTTCCAAGGATCTCGACAGGCCCGCCGTGCAGCAGCCGCTGCGGCGGTTGCCGCTGCAGCCGCTTTGGAAGCCGAGCTTACCCCGTCTGTGGGCGGGCACTTTTCTCCTCTCAAGCTGGCGGCTTCTGAGGCTCCAGAGGGCTGCTGCCCTGCATGCGACTGCAGCGCGACTTGCATGTGCTGCGGCGGGGAGGCCTCCGACGCCTCCCCACGCTCCTCTGCGCAGGCTTGCAAGTGCAGCAGCAAGCCAAAACGGTGCGTCTTCTCGCAGGAACAGAAAGGCGGCAATGGACCGTCCACGCCTTCGACTTCCCCCTTCACGAATAGCGATGCGGGGATCGGCGGGCAAGACGGTGCGCTGCAGCAGTTTGAGGCAACTGAGGAGCCTCGCGCCTCCTGCCGCTGCGCAGTGACGGAGGCAGTGCTCGGGTGGGGTCCCCCCTTGCTGCTGCGTCCTTCTTCTAGTTCGGAGTATGCAGACTTCGTCGCAGACTCCGCAGACGGAGCCGAAGGCAGCAAAAGCCCAGCTGGGGACGAGGATTGTTCAAGGTTTCTTTCCGGCGTAAGCGACAGCACGCCGCTGGCAGCAGACGGTAGCGCGAACGCAGGCCCTGGCGTTCCCAGCGTGAGCGAGGCAGGAGGAGGCAAGGAGCTCCAGCAAGGTTATTTGGCGGTTCAAGAAGAATTCCCCCTTCATGCCGCCAGATGGCTCCTTAAAGGAGAGCATTTGCATTATTACGGCGTTCTCCTGCGCATGCGGGGTGAGGCCCTCTTCCGGCTTTCCTGCTGCTGCTGCATCGTGCCCTACATATAGGAGGTGTTTGGCTGCATCGCTGCTTGTAGGGGGGCGGAGGAAGTGCCTCGTACTTGTTATTAAGGGCCTGCAGCCATGGATCGAGAGGCGCATCATACACGCCTACGGGGTGGGGGGAGGAGGGGGTACCTCAGGCGGCGCACGATAGATTTTACTGCACCCGTTGTTTTTGTCGCAGTGCTGAGAAGCAGAGCAGAGCGGGGGCAGGTCCCCAGCGATTGCGCATGCCTCTCTCTCGGATTGGCGGTATATTCGTGGGCTGCATGCTTGTCTGCAACATGCGCAATGTGGGCCTTGCAGAGCGTCGAAGCTTTTGTGAGCGGCTCTTCATGCGGCTGTGGGGGAGAACCCACAAGGCAAATTGCCAGTTGCAGCCACAGCGCTGCTTAGCACTTCTGACAGACACTGGAAGACTGCTGCTGCTCGATCCGAGTGGCAAGACGCTTCGGGTAAGGGAAGGGCAGGAGCGTTTTGGGGGGCCTAGAGGCATTGTGGCGTAGAGGGCTGTGGGGTTGCGGAAATCTCAATAACCAGAAGGAGCTGGAGGGGGTTTACCAGATTTTCAGAGTTGGCCACAGATGCATGAGCTGGAGGGGATCTAGTTTTTTCGTAAGAAAGCGTAGCGGCGAGAGTGAAGGGCTGCACTCGGAGAGGCAAGAAGGGGGGATTGGGATTCTGGGGAGGGTCAGGCTGCTGTACACACAGAGAAATGTGCATTGATTTGGATAGTTCTTTTCAGAGAAGGTGTGAGTGAGGGCTTGTGTGGTGTGTGTCTCTCAACTGGTCCTTCTCTTTTTTTTCAGAAAACGATTCGCCTCGCTACAGACGGCGAGATATATACCGAAGGGAAGGACATGTTGATCTACTCAAGTGCAGTCGACGGGTGCTATCTACTCTTCGCGTCCGATAATGACAGTGCTGCTTCGTGGGCACGGTCTCTGACTCTGTCTATACATGTGCGTCGTGTCGGGTTTGCCTGCTCTAGGGGCAGCGTGTTTCTTCTTTGTCGCACATCCTGAGGTTCCCGCCTAGGCCAGGGAGGCTCCTCTTAGCTAGCTTGCTTGCTTGCTGTTCCCCCTCTTCCCCTTGATTGGACCCTCGGAAGCTTCGGAGATATCAAGCCTATGCCCGCGCATCCACTAACACAACAGACGCCCTCCTACATTCGCTTGCATGATGGTATTTCCCGCAGGAGCTGAGAACTAGGTTGCAATCTGCGAGGCCTGTTCGAAGCGACGCCGCCGCATGCACACCAAAGGGCGCAGGCGCAGAGGTGACGAACTCCGTGTCGCTTGAAGACCAAGGATCTTGTGGAGCAGCTATCCACGGTTTCGATCACCAGGGAGACTCAGACAGAGACCTTTTCGCAACGTACTCCCACTTCGATAAGGGGCCTAGACAACGCAGCCGCGGCTCCTCGGGTGGGCCCCACGTTGAAGGTCCATCTATGTCGACTGCTGCTACATCCACAGCGCGCGGTGTACATACAGACCGCATGAGTGACCGCTTGCAGAAGCCGAACGGATCTGCCGTGCGACGGAGACAAGATCCTTTCCGCTATCGTTGTAGCAGCACTACAGAGCCTATTCCAATGCCTGGGAAGAGTGAAGTTGCGTACCGTCCGTTCTCAGAAGGCTCCCACCGTTACGCCATGCGATTAAACGCCGTTTATCCAGCCAAGGGAGAAGTGGCATGATTGGAGGGCCATGAAAACAGAAAATTCCCAGACGAATGACGGTAAGGAACCCAACTGCTCATCGTAATCCTGGCCCCGCCGTAAACTTTCGCAAGGAACGAAAGCTTTGCGCAGCAGCCCACACCGCTCAGCTCAGCGGATCAGAGCTGGGGGGTGACTCGCTATCGGCAGTGGAACGGATGATTTCTTAGTTTTCCGAAGTTGCACACAGTACACCCTTGAGGCAGTGCCATCTAGAGCCTAGACGGCACGATGGAATAAATAGCTAATCATAGGCTCTCACGCGTGAAGGGGTCAAAGCCTAGGCTGCCGCAATTTTATGGCGAGTGGCCCAAAGGAGTTTTCGTGTGTTGCTTCTTCTAATTTTCGTTTACATATTAATGTGTCTATATATATATATATATATATATATATATATATGCAAGGGATGCCGACTTTGGCCCCTAAAGCGTAGAATCGTATGGTGTTGGGGTCCTACCAGCCAGCACCACCACTGAGGGAAGGCAGATGCCTGCTGATGATTTCCCGCATTGTGCCACAGGCGCACCGCTGCGCGGGTGGGCGGGATTTTCTGTATATGTTGCGCGCAGTATGCATTTTCCTCTAGTTGTAGTTATGTGGAGGTGTGTTGCCAATCATGGTATTTAGCTCTCTCGATAGATCGATCGATGTCGTGGGAAGAGCCGAATTTGTATCTTGCCTCCTGGGGATTTTTGAATACATATATCACAAGTGTGAATCTATATTTTTTGTGTCCCCAAACCTTCCGTTCCCGCTGTTCCCGCCGATATATCACTGCCTAGAACGCCGCCGGTTAATCTTTTTACTGCCGGGGGAAATCTGGGGTGGATGCCGTTTGCTTCCTCGAGCACTGCTGCATCCTGCTTACCATGGCATGTCGGCCACTTCTGCTTAAGCGCTCACGACTTCCTAGAGGGGTGTTCCTCAAGTGGGCTGGCTGCCCCATAGCGAATCCCTGCAAAGGGGCATTATGTAGACACCAAATGTGCATAGTGAAACCCATGCACTAGCAACAAGGAGGCGCATAATCGATAGTACCCAGAGCTCGTCAGCGCATGCGCAAACACTCGCACTGGCTTGAGGGAGCAATAACACAAACCCTTGCTTGTAAGTGTCCATTCCCTCCAGCAAGCGCTCTCCGCACCGGATTCTATTATTTTTTCCCCCCGTCAGATAGTATAATACGTAAGAACTCAGCTTATAGGTGTGGGAACGCTCGCCGGTGGAATCAAGTGCTGCTGGCATGTGGCCTCCTCTAATTCGCTTCGTCGTTAAGTGCATTAAACTGAGCTCGTGTAAATGCAGTTTACGTCTCGAGTATCCGTCCTGCGTTGCGGGACGGTCGGCAGTGTCTGCGTCTTCTTGAGCGCAGTCCCATGGGTTGTCATTCTGCCAGCTTCATTACGCCAGCAAAAGGTCCGAAAGAACCTAACATTAGCCCGCGAGAGACAACAAGCACACTGTAAGCCATCGCTATTTACGCCGAAGGAATGGCACATGCATTGTAGGGAGAGTTTCGAAGTGGTAGTAATGGGAGCATGCACACACATCCACGATGTCATCACAACCAACTAAAGTGAGGGTGGCTTTTCCCAATAAATTGATAGACGTTGCAACAAGCTAAAAGGGGTTACCTGGACTAATAAGTAGGTTCGTGTCTTCTGGTGACCCTAAGGGCGAGTAGAAAACCGTGCAGTGGGCCCTGAATGTAGGATTCATCAAGCAAACATAGAAATCCGGATGCGCTTGCGTTGCTGTATGTTTAAAGCAAAAAGAAGAGTGGCCTGCCGACAGGGAATAAGGCAAAACTGGCAAATTGCTCACTAGCGAGACGCAGCCCTTCTTGCATGAAACATGTATCATCATGAGGCTTAGGGTAAGCGTTCTTTCTCCCACTCCATTTCAAAAGTTTTTCATTGTCTCTGAGTCAAAATTCGCTTCATTTGTTCAGTGTCTATGATTGGCTGTCTTAAACACCCTGTAATGGCAAGTAAAGAATCTCCACCATTTTGGCAGCTGGGAAAGCTCATCCCTACTCGCTTGTTGGAATGATAGCCACAAATCCATGTACCGTGTTTGCATGTGGTGTGTTGAAGTCGAGAGAATGCTCTAGGTTCCTAAATCATGCCAGCGACGGCAGGATAGGACCCCAAAGATGGATGCCAGCACGCAAAAAGGTCATTTCTAGATGGCCAGCGCCACGGGCCCAGTCTGGCAGTACTTGCTCACACATACAGACAGTGCACGTATGCCCTGTTGGCTACGTTCATGCACCCCTGCAGCACATTACCTGCCTTTCATCACAGAAGTTTCTTACTACTTCTAGCGGTTCAACTTGCCGGTAGGGAGACACCTGTAACGCTGTCTTACAGTGCTCCGTTTGTATTATCCTGAGGGAGACCCCCAGCTCAGTCTGACTATGAAAGCCGAATTACATGTTTAAATCGCTCACCCCAACAATATCCCTGCTCGCATCTCCTTGCCCGTGCACCACAGGATTTTTGTACGAGGGAAGGAAGGAAAGCTAGCATTCGTGTTGCCCCACCCTACAACCCTTCCAAGCCATCACAGCTCGAGTCACACAACATCTGGCCTACAGGCACACAATATAGATGATCGTCATCAACTGACTGTACTCCGCAACCAATATGAGGTACGAATAGGCAAATAATGTGTTCACCTCATTTTGAATATAACGAGTGTAGTAGAAAATGCTCAAGTGTAGCTTAGACTGCTACGTTTTGTGCGCATGAAGACAGTCTTCACTCTTACGTTTCCAGTAACCCTACTCTGCAACCAACCCTAGACACATCCAAACCAAATGTCCAATCACCTTCTGAATACATGCAAGACCAAAAGCCATACAGCCAAGGATTCTGGGTGTAACGCTATACTTTTGAGGTCTCCGTAGAATGACATGTAGGTCCCGACTCTACAAGTTCCTTTACTGCGTGCTCCCCTAGAGAGCTCCCTGCTTCGCTTGCCCACCCCCCTAGGTAGTCGAACATTATTGGAAAGCGGCAACTACGTTGTGCGTTGCTGCACCCTATAAACACTCCGAGCTTGCATCAGCTAGTCGCCTATGCACCTAGTGAAGCCGCATACAACGGAGCGTCTTTTGGGGTCAAGCTACGAGTACTCTGCAATAAATATGATTTGCGAGTTCACTAATCAAGTAGTCAATTTTCTTTTGATTTTTCACCCAGTATGATCAATAGAGAAGAGTATGCCCAATCGCCACCAGCCCGCTACATTCGCTGTACGCAGCATTGCCAACATTTACACCGCGGTTACCCAGTATTTTGAAAGCCATTTCCGTGTGTGTCACGCAATATTGCATTTTAGACGCGCCTCAAAGATAGGCAGATATAGTGCTAGAGTGACTACGGCACGCCCACACCCTGCAGTAGCCATCTGGCCCATTCTGGCAAATTGAGACAAGAGGAATGATACAGCAAGCTCTTAGAGGGCGCCACACGGACAAAGAAGCTGCTGGGCGCCTGTGTGGCGAAGATACCAAGGTGTCTCTCCTTCGCTTGTCCTTCTGTCCCTAGCTGTGCGATTCGCCTTGATATGCGCGTATCTGCGACGCATCGAAACTGGTAGGCAGCGTCGTGAATTCGAGGGCCAGCAAATACTCTATTTCTTCGGCCACGCTAGCTCCAATACGAAAAAGGTGTGGTGAGTCAATGGTATTCGCTTGATATGGCCGTCCATGAGGGCGACACAACGCACACATGGGGAGGGGCAGCAGTGGCGGGCGGCCTTTGGTGCTGCTGCCCGTAGATCCTACGCGCAGATCCCTGGGAAAGGCTGTCTGCAGACTAAGACCTCGAAGCTTAGAGTTAAAATACGCATTAAATTGCACGAAGTCACGTGGTTGACGCGGAAATGCCTGTTTAATTATCTGTCTGCGCGCACCATGGACGCGGCTGCAGTTGCTGGCACCCACCACACCAGCGGCAGCAGCTGCTGCCGCGCGTTGCAGCAGGGGCTGCAGCAGCAACACCAGCAGCTGCACGAGCACCTCATATCCAGTTTTCGTGCTGTCTGCCTTACTGCTTGCGGCCCTGAACAGACTGCCAAGGAGGAGCAGCGGCAGCGATTCACGCTGCTGTCGTCCGGCAGCAGCTGCAGCAGCCGGGTTGTTGCGCCACGCTACAGCCCTCCACTGCTGCTCGGTTGCAGTCCCCGACAAAAGGGAGAGCTGTATGCTTTGCAGCTTACCGGTAACAGCGACAGTGGCAGCGGCAGCAGTAGCAGCAGCGCGTTGCTTCCGCGTTAGAGTTTCTCACTTCGAACAGGGGCCGGCGGCTTCAGTAGGGAGGGGCACGGGCGAGTGGTTTTTCGTTTCAGAGCTCCTGCATTCCTCAGGATCTGGTTATTTCGTGCATTTTGAGTGCCTCCAGCCCTTGCTGGATCCGCTGCAGGAGCCTGCTCCTGCTGCTCGCTCTCCCTCCGCTCGGGGTGTTTGCTTCTCCAGTCGCGATCCAGACGAAGGGGCCCCTCGTGCTTTGCTGCCGCATGCACGACCCTTGAAGGCTGGCGCCTTGTCTGCAGCAGCGTTGCGACGGCTGCAGAAGCAGCAGAGGCAAATTGCAGCGGCAGAGGGCCCTCCTCTGCCTCACGAATACGGTCTACTGGTGACAGTGTTGTCTTTACTGACCACCTCTACCTTTGGTGTCCTACCCGCAGCCGTTAGCCTCTCTCACCTTCTGTTGCGCTTTTTTGTTTGTTTCGGCAGCCTTCGCTTCATGGTCTGGCGTAGTGTGTAGCTGCTTCGTAGCCAGCGCTGTCGCAACGCCAGCAGCAGCAAGGCAGGGGGAAGGCATTACCGTCGGTGATACTTGCGCTTCCCCCTTACCGCCGTCGTGGGGGGCTTGAGGGGGAGGCTGTGCTTCTAGCGCACGAGACTCGGTTTGCCGCAGCAGAAGTAAAGCCACGAGAGCAGGAGGAGCAGCGGCAGGCACCGACTCGCAGCATCCTAAGATCGCATTCGAGTCTTAGGGGGCGCTTTCTTCAGCTTCTTCGTCGATCCTTTGTCTTTCCATTCTGTCCAGGCTTGCGCTGCCGGGCTGAGTGCTTCTTCTTTGTACATGTCCTACGTATACAGCAGCTCTTCAGCTGCAGCAGCACCAGGCACGGCAGCAGTTTCTGAAGCAGAACCTGCGGCTGTGTCAGTCGAGTCCGACGCATCCTTCTATTCTCCCGCATCCTGTGTGGCTTCCTCGCCTCCCGTCGCTGCTGTGTGTGGTGCTTCTCTTCCTCCATCGACGAAGACTGCGGGCTATGTGTGTTCAACGCCTTTAGAGGGGCAGCAACAAGAGGGGGGGCAGCCGTGCAATAGCAGCACCAGCCAGGAGATGGCGCAGTCTGCAGCGGCAGCAGTCGACGGCCTGGCTGCTACTGCCGCTGCCGTTGCAGCGCAGGCTGCAGCGACTTCGCGCGAGCGCAGCAGCAGCAGCGGCTGGACAGACAGCGCAAGTGTCGATTCGTTTTGCAGCGCAGTCATGCCGCCAAGGCGGGGGGATAGCAGCGCAGAGCAGCGGCAGCAGGAGGAGGAGGAAGTAGTCTACATGGGCAGAAATGCGCATGTCAACTCGTGGGTGCCACCGTCCTTGTACGAAGACAGGAACCCCTGTAGCGGAGTGGCGAGTCAGCTGGCCTCGCCCTACTCGTCGTTGCAGCAGGCGAGCAGCAGGAGCCGCAGCAGCAGCAGCAGCACGAGCCGCAGCAGCGGATCTACAGAGGCAGCAGCAGCAGCGGTTGGCTTGGAGCAGCAGCAGCAGAAGAAGAAAGGCAGTCGCTTAGGGGGCAGCAACTGCCGCTCCAGCGGAGTCTTGGATCCCCCTGAGGAGGCCGATGAAGAGACTCCCGAGGGTGCAGCAGATCCCTCTGCAGACAGCGATGTGTATTTCACGGAGAGCGACGACGAGGATCATCGAGAGTACAGAAGAGGAGGTTATCATCCTGTTTCCATTGGAGAAATCTACGCAAACAGATACCGCATCGAGGCTAAGCTGGGGTGGGGCCACTTCTCGACGGTGTGGCTCGCGACGGACCTAAAGTGAGGCTTTTTTCTTGGTTTCTATGTATGAGAGAGTCGGTCTCGCTGTTGTTCAGTCCTCCTAGCCTCGTATAGGCGGGGGAAAGGCGGGGGGAAGGGGAGACGCTGGCAGGAGGTGGGGGGCGGGGGAGGGAGTTTGTTAGGATGGGAGTGTCTTGTCAGCCTCCGTTGTCGTCATGGTTGGAGTTTGTGGAAACGCTGACTGCATGCAGGGCTGTGCCTTTGGAGTTTGTGGCCTTGAAGTTTCAGAAGAGTGCGCGGCATTACACCGAAGCTGCTGCCGACGAGGTGCAGCTACTGACAAAAGTCAAGGATGGCATGCGACACCCCTGTTGGCGAGAATCCGCGAAGTCCTTTTCGGTGAGATGTTGGCAGATGAAGCGGCGGGAGAGGCTGAGCCTTGGCGAGAAATGAAGGGTAGCAACGGGGATGAGTAGGGGGGTTGTCGTGAATGGGGGGTTTTCGGGGTGCATTGGAAGGGAGAAGCAGATAGGCAGAGATGTTTGGTGAGAGTGAGTGCTTCGAAGGGTAGATAGGCGGAGATGTTTTTGCGTAAAAGGGGAATGGAAGGGGGGAGAGAGAGAGAGAGGCAGCATTTTTTCGCTTCCCGAGAGCGTGCATAATTGTCAAGAAAAGAGGGTCAAAAAACACTGGCGAGGGATCGGCTGTGTCTGCGATTATCGTCTGGGGGCGTAAGGAGGGCGATCGAGGCTCAAAAATGTGGAAGGCGGGGGGGGAGTAATAATCACTGGGAAGGGATGCAATTTTCGAATTTCCGTGCTTGCCTGATTTTTCTTGCCTCGTGCAGAATGCGATTCGAGAGCGGCATGAGGCCGCTGGTGTCGCGTATGAGGCTCCCCGGAAGCCGCCTCTTCCTCCTGTGGTGCTTTTCAAGGAGAAGTTTCAGCACACCGGCCCCAATGGCAAGCATATGTGCCTTGTCTTTGAGATGCTTGGTGAGTTGGCGTTAGCTTCGAGGTTGTCGCGTTCGCTAGGCACCAGCAAAGGCTGCGCCTGTCAACCTGGCAGCGTTGCGCAGCAGCGCATTCTAGCCAGTGTGTCTGTGCTGTGTTCTGCTACATGCGCCAAGTCGTCTCTTTTTCCTGTCGGCTATTGGCGCGACTGGCAGACTGGGTGATGGGCTCAGAGGCGGAGGCGGTGGAGTGGGGTTCAGTTCATCCTGTGAACGAGTCGGTGTTGTTTCTGTGCATGTGTGGAGGCTTAGTGGATCTTTGTGCCTCGACGTGCTTGCTTGGTCGTTTGGATGTCGAGTCATGCGCGTTTGTGTGAGTCGTGTTTGTTTGTGGGGAGGAAGCTCTGAGAACGTCTCGAGAAGTGCCTTCAAGAGTTCGCTTGCTGGTGCTGCAGGGCCCAACCTGCTCTCTCTCATCAAGCGATACAACTTCCGAGGTTTGCCGCTTCCGCTGGTCCGCCGCATCGCACACGATATTCTGCATGGTCTTCACTATCTGCATGACGTTTGCGGGATCATTCATACGGATCTGAAGCCCGAGAACGTTTGCGTCTCGGCCTACCCGCTACCCCCCCCTAATCCTCTCTCCGTGGCTTCAGTGACGAACCAGCAGCAGGAGCAGGAGATCGAGGGACTCACAGCTGAGATGCGCAAAAGGCTGAGGAAAAAGAGTGCGTGCGAAACAACTACTCCCGGGCTAAGCGGCAGGTGTCTATGCAGTCTTGGGAGCTTCTATTCAACTACCCCCGGCTCGCTGCCAAAGATTGCCCTCACGAAAGCAATTCTGCCCTTGCAAGGTTTCCTTCTGCTCTCGCCCTCTCCTTGTGTGTATGAGAATATGGGTATGAGAATATGGTCATGAGAATATGGGTATGAGAATATGGTCATGAGAATATGGGTATGAGAGTATGGGTATGAGAATATGGGTATGCGAATATGTTTATGAGAATATGTTTATGAGGATATGGGTATGCGAATATGTTTGTGAGAATATGTTTATGAGGATATGTTTATGAGAATATGTTTATGAGTATATGTTTATGAGAATATGGGTATGAGAATATGTTGATGAGAATATGGGTATGCGAATATGTTTGTGAGAATATGTTTGTGAGAATATGTTTATGAGAATATGGGTATGAGAATATGGGTATGAGAATATGTTGATGAGAATATGGGTATGAGAATATGGGTATGAGAATATGTTTGTGACAATATGTTTATGAGTATATGTTTGTGAGAATATGGGTATGCGAATATGGGTATGAGAATATGTTTATGAGAATATGGGTATGAGAATATGGGTATGAGAATATGTTCATGAGAATATGTTTATGAGAATATGGGTATGTATGTGGCACTGAGCTGTGTGTCTTTTTGTTTCTCCTGTTGGTGGGTGTGCAGAAAAGCGCAAGCAGCAGCGCCTCAAGAAGAAGGCGGCCGCTGCGGCTGCTGCGGCAGCCGCTGCAGCAGACGAAGACGCTGGACAGTCGGAGGAGGACGGAGATGAGGAGGAGGAAGAGGGGGAGAAGCAGCAGGGGGAGGCAACAGCAGCTGCAGGCAGTGCATCTGGCTCTGTATGTTCTCCTGGAGAGTCCAGCAGCAGACTGCCTCAGCAGCAGGAGGAGCAGCAGCCTCATGGGCATCCTGCTCCTCCTTATGTCAAGCATCTCTTGAAGCCGAGTCGATCAGATCCCTCCCTGCTGACGTCCTATAAGGATCAGATTCACGCCCTCCAGTGCTCGCTTCAGAAGTAAGCCGAACGTTGTTTCTTTTTCTTCATTTTTTTCTCATACGTGGAAGTCCAAAAGGATCCTCCTGCTGCATTTCACACGCGAGCCGACATCGCATCCTCGTGTGCTGCACTTCTGCTGCACTTTTTCTGCTTCTTCTGCTGCTGCACTTTTGCTGCTTCTTCTGCTGCTGCACTTTTTCTGCTCCTTCTTCCGCTGCTGCACTTTTTCTGCTTATTCTTCATCTTCTGCTTCTTCTCCTACTGCTTCTGCGATAAGGCCACAGACCCCCGGGAGGGGGGTGTTCGCTAGAGTAAGAGCGGAAGACTGAACCCGTAGAGGTTGCTGTTGTGCTGATGGCTCAAGGATGCCTATCTGTCTGTTGTGCGCAGGCACATGTACAATTATGTTGGCTACTCGCAGTATCAGCCACAGTCCGCCTACTGCTGCCCCAACACAGGGGGTCGCATTTTGTATTGGCTTCCCAGTGAGCGGCCTCGGGAGGCTCTTGGGGAAGATCACCTTGACGATGCGGAGGAGGCAAAGAATCGGCTGCCTCTGCTGCATGACGAGCTGCTGCTTCACCCCGCAGCAGATCGTCTGTACAACCAGAGGCTGAAGGAGGTCGCGCGGGAAAGCGAGAAGAAGCGGGATGCACATGGACATCTCTTGTATGGGCCTTACATCAAACTCGAGAACGATCAACAGGCGGAAAAAGACATGACAGTTGTTCGAACTTCCGAGGGGCCAATTTGCATCAAGTGCGTTTGAATCCACTGCTGAAAAGCCACCCCTAGATGCGACACGAGGAAATGTAGCTGCTGTGTCTGGACGTCCATGTGTGTGTATGTATGTGTACATGTATGTGTGAGGGGCCTACTGACAGAGACGGGGGAGAAGGCAGGCAGACAGGCATGCATGCATGCAAGCACGTCTGCAGGCAGGCAGACAGACAGATTTGGTCTCCGTGTTAATTGTTGCATGTTGTTGGACCCCATTTTCTAGCCACCTTTTAATTTTTTTGCTGCACGCGTGCCTTTGCCCTTTCCCTTCGCCTCACTGCTGATGGTTGCGCATGTGTCTGTGCTGCCTCTGCTGCAACGGCATTGCAGGCCGCTGCCACCTACTTCCTTTGCGTTTGAGCATCCGAACGCTGTTTATAAGCTCTGTGACTTGGGAAATGCCTGCTGGTCACAGGAGCACTTCACCGACGACATCCAAACACGGCAATACAGATCGCCGGAGGTGAGAAGAGTCTTCTTCTGGAGACGCCTGTCTTGCATGCGCTTCTCAAGCCACGGGCTTCCCAGGCAGCAACTGGTGCTGAGGCTGCGCAGCGGAAGTAGTGCAGGCTTCCTGGCGAGGTTGTGTTTGCATGGAGGGAGGAATAGCGCTGCCAGTAATGCTGCTTCTCCTTTTGGTGCTGTTTTTTTTCGCAGGTAATCATTCGTGCGGGCTATGATTGTACGGCCGATGTGTGGAGTTTCGCGTGTATGGTTTTCGAGTTGGTGACGGGAGACTATCTCTTCGACCCGAAGAGCACTAGCGACTTTGATCGAGATGAGGACCACCTTGCCCTGGTACGATCCTGACGGAGGGGGGGTGTCTGTGTGTCTTGCTTGCTGCCTTTTCTCTCCGTCTAAGAAAGCCGATGCGCCGTAAACTTTGCGGTAGGGCTTTCCCAATAGCCTGTTTTGGCGCTAGAGGTTGGATCGAGGCACTGTTGGTGTCGTGTGCGTCCAGATCATCGAGCTAGTAGGACCGATGTCTCTCAACTTCGTATCTCGCGGAAGACATTCCCATGTAAGTGTAGGGGTTCAGGTGTCTGCTGACCTGCCGTGCCAGCGCCAGCTGCTGCCGGGTATGTGTATGTATATAAGGCATGGGTGTGGAAGGAGGGGGGAGGGAGAGGTGTAGGTATGTGTGTTCTGCCTGGAGTTTTAAATATCCTCTTGAAAGATCGCACGTTGTGCTCTAGCGGCTCTCTGTCTGGCTGCAGCGCTTCTTCCGCGATCGTTCTACAGAATTACGAAGGATTGATGAATTGCGTTTTTGGCCTCTAGTATCAGTCCTTAGAGAAAAGTAGGTCCTTTCGCGTCTCGTGCGCTAATCAGGCATGCATGCACGCTCTGTATGCCAATTCCTTGCCTCTCACATAGTCCATGTCTCGATCCGCGTAGTTTGATTTGGCCGCTATGGGTGGGTGGGTAGGCAGGTAGGTAGGCAGGCAGGGTCTTGTGCTGCACACGGCGGATTCGGCAGCAGGTGCAGAGCTGCGCGTCGTTGACTGCAGTGCGTAAAATAGGCCTAAGGAGATGAGAAAAAACACCTTCAGATCTGCATGCCTGGTCCCGTAGTCGCATCAGGAGAGCGGCATATGAAGCTGTGTGCGAGTAATTGTGTATATCAGCGGAGGTGCATGCGTCTAAGAAGTAGCATTTGGCCTCAAGGTCATGCAGCACGTTTCGAACAGTTGCAGTGTATGCGCATGTGCAGGTGTTTGTATATCTGTGTATATATGTATGTGTGTGTATGTATGTATGTGTATGCTTGTATGTGTGTATGTATGTGTGTATGTGTGTGTGTTGCACATAAATGTATTTATGTATATATAAAAATATATATTATGTATGTACATACATACACATATATAAATATAGATGATTATTTTATGTATTCATGTATAGTTTTTGGACGTGCATGGTTTTTGCATGTCAACATGTACGGATGCGGGTCCACGCTATTGACGGAAAAGTTTGGTGTGCCGCTGCTTGGAGATTTCTCTCTTCGGCACTGGTGTGGTGTGCCTCTTTGTATTGCGATCTTCTTAGATACCACATGGGTGAAGCCGAGGCCGTTGCTTTGTCGGACTTCCTCGTACCAATGCTGGCAGCGGATCCCCTGAAGCGTCGAGGGGCGAAGCAAATGCTCAGTCATCCCTGGCTTCGTTTGCGCACTCCCGAGGATGAGATCGCATACTGCGAGATGGTCCGTGTGTGGGGAGAGTGTCTGGGGAGTGGGAATGATGCATGTGCAGCGTTTGAGAGGCCTCTGCATTAGGGATGGTGGTGCTTGCTTGCTTGCATGCTTGTTGGCATGCTTGTTGGCATTCTTGCACCTGAGCCTGCCCCTGCCGCCGCTTCTTTCTTTCTCCTTCCCTTTCTCTTTCCAACTCTGCCGCGAGTCTTGCGGAGAGTTCGGCAATGCCATGCGAGTCGGCGGAGAGCATGCGATAGGATTTCCCCATAATCTTCCGATTGCGTTGCGTTGCGTGATGACAGAGGAATAACATGCATATTTCCCGGCCTGATCTGGACGCACCGCTGCTTACACTCTCCCCAGGTCGAACGAGTGGCGATGGATCTAATGCCCTGTGGTAAGCAACAACTGCATCATCCTGCCGGCATGCACTGCTCTCGGCTAGCTGTTCAAAGCGGTGGTGTAGTATTGCTGCTATCGGTTTGCACGACAACTCGAAGTCTGTAACAACCCTGCTGCCATCCCGTGTGTCGTTTTCGTGCTTCAGCAGGGGGTCGGAGGTACCACACACGGCCGTCCCCCTGAGTGCCTCTGGCGCTGGGTGTATGTACAGCGCGGGGCCGGGCTTTGCGCCGCTCGCTCCTGTGATTGGAGTTTCGTCGCCGTATGCACTGCAGCAGCAGGTGCAGCAGCAGCAGGAGCAGCTGCAGCAGCAGCAGCAACAGCAGCATCACCACCCCCTCTATGGGCCCCCAGCAGCCTCGATGGTGCTCCCGGCTACGCGGGCAGGAAGCGGTGACTCCAGCAATGATCTATTCGCACTCCAGCAGCAGCAGCAGATCCTACAGCAGCAGCTGCAGCAGCAGCAATTCCAGCAGCAGCTCCACCTGGGAGGTCTAGGCTGCCCGGTAGATGGAGATGGCAGCAACAAAGCGGCAGAGACTGCGGCAAGCCTAATTGGTCCATTGTATGTCTCTGATGTGTGCCCTTCGCTTCCTTATTGCTGCCGTCTGTGCTACTAGGGGGCTTCGGCATAGAGTGCCACAAGGACCAGGGGGCCTGTAGGATATGCTCGCATGTCTAGTCAGTGTTTCGTGCGGGGAGGCTCCTAAAAGCTGCTCTAGAAAAGGCAGATCCTTGAGATTTCCGTAGACGCTGGCGGCAGAGCCTTGTCGTGGCCTCTGGCCGCCCTTTTTTCTGCATGTGGCTGTGTGCGCTTATGTGCTTGTTTGCATGCATAGAACGGGGACTACAACAGGCTGCAGCAGCACAGCTGTCACAGCAGCGAGCAGCAGCAGTGGGAAAGCCGCGGCAGCAGCAACGCCAGCGCTAGGAGCACCGGCAGCGTCTAGGGGCCTTGTGGGCTATACGGGGCCAAGTGATCCTCAATATTTCAGTGCGCCTCGCGATTGCTGGGACTGTCAATCTCCCCCCTCTTTCGCACCGATTGGCAGCAGCAGCGCAAGCGCCAGCGCCAGCGCCAGCGCTAGTGCTGCTAGCGCCAGCAGCAGCAGCAGCAGCAGCAGCAGCGCGGTCACCAGCGGAGGCTGTGGCATCAGACCCGAGCTCGCAGGGATGGATTGGATGGTGAGGGGGTTCCAGACTTCAGCTGTTGCTGCTGCAGCAGCCGATGCCCAGCAGCAGCAGCAAGGTCACCTCCAGAAGCAATCGCAGCCGTCGGTCGTTCCGGCAGCCTGCGTCGAGCTGTTGCAGCGCAAGCAAGACGACGAGCTCTCCGGAGGAGCACCTTCTGGTGGTTTTTGCGAGAAACGTGTTGATGGCCTTTATCAGATGGCAGGAACTCGTGTCACGCTTACCCCCGCCGAGACGGAGGGGCAGTCTTTGACTGCCGGCGTAGGTGAGCAGCAGGGGCCTAGTGAAATGTCGAGTTGAAACGAACTGGATGGATGTGCTGCTGCTGGCGAGGGAGACTTGCATCCTGCGTGGCCTGCCGCTTGGGGAGAGTGTGCAAGGGAACTCTTCGAGGGGCTAGAAAGTTTTTTTGGTCATGGTAGCACAGTATTACCCCTTTGTTGAGTGGCTCTTGCTCTTGTAAGCGTAGCGGTAGCTCTCCACGGCTGCATGTGCGTGGCAAGCGTCTATTGGATCCTGGGCCTTCCTTGTCTGTGAACCTCTTCTTATGCACGCCTGTAGGAAGGCTACATGCGGCCTTTTTTCTCTGTGAATGCATGGCATGCGTGCTCAATTTACAGACTGGGGGGCCGTGAGAGGGTCCATTCCATGGATCGCGGAAGCTCCGGTAATGCAGCAGCAACAGCAGCACCAGCATCAGCAGCAGCTAGATCCGCAGCAGGAGCTGGAGCAGCAACAGCAGTTGCGACAGCAACAGCAAATGCGGCGGCACGTGCAAGAGATGCAGGAACGGAAGCAGGAGTTCTTGAGGCAGCAGCAAGAGCTCAACAGGATGCTGAAGGGGGTGCAGCAGCTGCAGCATGGCCTCTCAGGAAGCTCCTGAGGGAGCAGCACGCAAGAGCGCTTGCGGCATCTGTTGTATTCCCTTCACCGCTCATAGAGCCCCGCTGAATGGCAGACACGAAGGCCTCAGCGCATATGCTCACAAGGGTTTACAAGTGGTGCGCCAGCGGCGCTGCTTAAAGCAATAGTTGCTTAACCTATGAGACTCGACTGCTGCGGGGTGGGGGTGACCTTCTTGCGCCGCGCCGCAACGCAGCTGCGTTCAGCGTCAGCACCTGTGGAAGAGTTCGAGTTCAGGCATCGTCTATGTCTATGGTGGGAGTTTCACCCTTTTTTGCAGCCCCACTTGCTTCGGCTGAGGGTGGTACAGCGGCTAGGGCACCAGCTGCTGTAGCGTTTCCGTCTAGCCGAAGAAGCTGTCCTAGCGATAAGGGTTGGCAGGGGCTGCCGCAGCAGCAAAAGCAGACTTAGGGGCCCTAGAGGACAGCGGAGCTCCTGGAACATTGCAGTTGGCTGCTAGAGTGTCAGTTGCTGGCGACGTAACGGCTGTTATGTCAGTGACCACATGAGCAGCCGAAGCTGGAGTAGTGATGCCAGCAGGTGTGCTTGAGCGAGCTTCTCGCCCCGCGCGAGCTTGAAAAGAGAAACGGGGATGAGCTTCATGGCGTCGACAAGATTCATGCATGCTAGTCCTACGGGCGCTTCCATGCAAATCTTAATCATTCCGGCACTCTGGACGTTGTTGTGTGCCTGGGGCGGAAGGCCGCGCGATTATGGGGGGTGGCTGCGAGCTCAGGAGATGCGGCTCGCAACAGGGCTCCTCGCACTGCAGCCGCAGTACTGGAACAGCATTTCTGCAGCTGTCATTCGGAGCTACACATGGCTCGTGGGACCAAGGGACCGTTGGAGCGGCATTTTAGTAGGGGCATTCTGGCGTCGATGTCTAGCCGTCTCCCCTCCTAGGTAGTACCTCAAGTGTTAGCAAAATGCACAAGGTGTTTCAGTAATGCTCAGCTCCTGCCTTGAGTGCTGGCTGAATTTGAAGCCCAGGGGTGCACGTGGCGCAAACATAAGTTGCTTCGCCAGATATTTTGTTGTGTGCCGAGGCTCTGGCTCGACAAGGCGCACAGCCTAAGGGCGGGAAGCAACATGGCTGGACTCTATTCAATTGGTGTACTTTTTGACCTACTAATAGGAGAACGCGGAGAGGTGCCACAGCCTTTGTGCATATATGTCGGGCGCACGAAGTCGAATATTTAGCAGCTTCGCTGGGAGGCAGGTGGCTCCACCAAGGTATTTCAGATGGACACCTAGACGCGAACGCCTCCGCTGTCCTTTTGCATGCTCTACGAATCTTATTTCTAACGGGTTGAGGAGCAGGGCCCTTGAGTTCGTTGTATCCCAGTTAGTCGCGGTAGCATGGCGCTGCGGGGGGCACAGGGAGCTACATAGGCCCAAAGCCTCATTAACACCAGCATTCAGCTTTTCGGTTTCGCCAATTCACTTCCAGTTTAACAAGTTCTGTAAAGTAACGAACGGAAAACAAGAAAAGCGCTACAGCGGAAGCCCCAGCCGCATGCAACAGTCGACCCCTCCAGCGTAGCCCCACAGTTCCCCGCAAAAGGCCTGAAGGCCTCCCCCTGTGCAATTGTCGAGTGGTCAATCATCTTATCCCTACACTCTGGCGGAGAAATACTTATCATTGTTCAGTCGTTTGATTTGTCGTGCTTGGGTTTCCTCCCCTCGATCCTGCTTCAGCGGTAGCAGGGGCCTGAGAAAGTGGAGGTGTTGCTAGGGCCAGTATGCAAGATTCATTTCATAGCCCTGCGTACTTTGAAATTGGGTAGTGTGTCCAGTGGTGAAATCTGACTGATGCTAATTAGGGCTGTGCAAATTGAGAAGCCGCAAGAGCCTCGATTCCCCAGCTGGCCACGCGCAAGGCACCGCCTTCACTTGTCGTGTTGGTGAGCTAGTGTACTGGGTTGTGTAGCCGTTTCATCTTTCACATCCTATTTGTTAAGAGGATTGACATTTTTGGCTGCTTCAGCGTTTGCTGGGACCAGCGTATCCTCTTGCGTGGGCACTCACTTGGCACTTCCATGAGTAGGGCAATCGAGCAGGTGTAGCAATGAAGAACAATCTTGTGCTTGAATCGCATGGTCTTCTCCCACCATCCGATGGCTTTGTCATCATGGAGGGCCGGGCAGTCCTTTACATGCGAAGATTGGCGCGTCGCGTTGCCCTCCATCAGCTGCCGCTGCTGTCTGTGCTGCGACTGTTTGACTCCGGGCGAACAGGAATTTTGTGATTTGTGACAGCAACAGCAGAACCAAGGAGCAACTGGTAGGCAGCGTGGCTGTTTAGTCTAGTGGTATGATTCTCGCTTAGGGTGCGAGAGGTCCCGGGTTCAATTCCCGGAACAGCCCTTTTTCTGCGCATGGACATCTTGGTCGTCTTGTGGTAGTGAAATGCTGTTAGCAACGGCGTACTCTCTAGTATTTATGGGCTCCTAAGCGAAAAGGCCCCCTTTTGCCAGACGAGGATGCAAAAACCTCAAAGTGCTTGCTGCGTGCGGATTTCTCGCTCTAATCTTTGTATTATTAGGATCTTTACAGTGTAGGGAGCGTACTACGTGCTGTGCTGTTTGGTTAAGCAGCATGTGTAGCTGTAAGGCCCCCGCCTGTTCCAGTAGGAGCAAATGAGGCCTTATTGTCACGAACATTGGGGAGAGACGCTTGGGAGTATTCTTTGCGTACGACGGGTAAAGAGGTATGCGCGCGTTTGCAAGCAAAGTCGTCGCTCTATTTGAGCGAATGCAATATCTACCCAAAAGGAAGTGATAGACGAGGAGAGGCATGATGCTGGTGGGTGTATTTGGCTGCAGACAACTGCGCACTTCTACAGTTGTCATCCTGTGTAATGTATTTTAGGAATAACAGCGAAGAACAAAAGCCTTTTTCTCGACTATCATACTGAACTGTAGTGAGAACGCCTGCACGCGTGCCTGTTGCTTGAGCGCTTTCTGCTCGTCGTTCTGGTAGTTGCGACTGCAACGCAGTGATTTTTGGCTGCAAAGAACGCATGCGCAACTAGCTTTTCAGTCAGTGTGCCCTTTAGGTGAGAAGTTGACACGTTTTGCGCGCCACTAGCTATGAAAAATGATCCGTTAGCAAGGATGCACTGGTTTTTAGTAGGCAGTTGTTGAAGGGCCATTAAGTGCAAAGCACTTTTCTACCAGAGAAGGCTACAGGGTCCTAACCAGGACAGTAATAACCTCATGAATGGGAACAGCAAATCCAACGTTGAGGTTTCCTTCGCATTTGTAGCTTGAATTCTTGCCTCTTGACACTCCTCAATCTGATTGCCGCTTGGACCCCCGGGACGCGTATGATGGTAGGCCGAACAAAGGCGCGAAACCACCTGAGCAGAAGCCTTGCTTCAGCATCATGCAGTTACACGTTTACGTTGCAAAACAGCGAACAGTGGCAGCTTTAATCCTAAGGGAAGCGAGTCGCGCCCAATTTGCAGAATAGGAGCAATGGCTTGGGTACTGCGGAGGCCAAACTCAATGTGAACCATGCATCAACCTAATACTTAGCGATGTAACGATGGCTATTCCGAACATGCACATATATCAGCAATTGTTCTACAACTTTGATTCTTACTTCTGGTTTAGATTTTGATAACCAGCAGCGGCAAAGCTCTCGCACAATTACAAGCCCATACCAGCATATACACTTTGAAACGTGGCCCGTTTGTAACTATCCTGGAATGAAATATGAACTACAGTTTATCAACAGACCGTTTACGTTCTACCAAACCAAAGCGAACGGCTTTGTTGGGAAAAGTGCGTGTAGGTCTGGAAAGAGAGGCTACACGAATGTGCATTTCGAACAAGAGAAAATTGGATTTTGTGGAGCAACTCATACTCCACTATGGAAGTAATGCGCTCGTGAATTTCCATGCGTTGAGAGGCGACCTGTAGGGGTAGGCTCTTGTAGGAAAAGACCACTTTCTGTTTCACTCTCCTCCTGTATGGCAAAGCCGCATTCCATGTGATGTTGGGCCACTGTTATCCCCCATATAGTACTTGCCTCTCCTGGGCTTTCTCCTTCGCTGCTTTCTCCTGTACTTTCTGGCACTTCTGCTTTGTCATCTGCCGCACCTAATCGGTTCCCACATAAGCACAATCAACCCTCTTGATGTATAGGTGCATCCGCTCACTTTCACTTGCCGCAACAGTTTCATGGCCTGACACGGCCTTTTTCAACTCGCTCATTTCCTCTTGACTTTTAATTTCGGTTTCCACTGTACATGGTAAGCAAGATGTGGCTGCAGCTGATGAGTTTGTACGAGTATTCCTTTTGATCCCGTACCATCGCCGGCTTCTTGATCTGCAGCTTCAGCTTCGCGTTCAGCAAGAGCAACCTCATCTTCTGAGTCCTCCTGAAAGCATTCTGAACGAAGCTCAGAAGCATCGGCAGTCCAATCACGGCGTACTTCTTTCTTCCCTCCTGTGATTGCTTTCAGTTCCCCGGCCAGATGTTTCTATTCAGCAACAATATTTTATTGAAGTGTCCGTTGCAACGCAAGCTAAATGTCTACCTCTGCGTCAAGGAGCTCCTGTAGCTTTTTCTTCTCATGAGTCAATTCTGCCTGCTTTTTCTGTTCGTGGAGCTCAGCAACCACTTTTTTGCCAGATTAAGACATCACTCGGCTTTCTCCAAAATTATATACGCTCAAACCTATTGCTTCGGCTTCCTCATGCTTCGTCTTTTCCTCCTGTACCCGATTTTTCTAGCATTCTCCGCTCACACATCCAATATACAGTACCTGTTCTCGCAACCTAAGTGGCAGGTTGGTGTACACTTCGCAAGCTATCATGTTCACAAAATGGGTTTACTCATGCTCGGCATCCTCTTCAGCTTCTTTTGCGTGTGTAACTTCCTGAGTTTGCCAGTTTCATGTACAAACTAGCGAATTGGGAGCCGGGAAGCATGATACCTTCTCCGCTTCAGCTAGCTCTTCGACAGCTAAAAAGATAAACGCTCAGCATCTGGCAAAAAGTTCCCCATGGCATGCTGCTAACCTTCTTTGTGTTGTTTCACTTCGGCGTCTTTGGCCTAAACTGCAACATCAGAACCAAACAGATGATGTCTTCTCTCAACAGTTTCGCACCAACTTGCGAAGGAGCGCCGATTCCTCATGATCCAAGTGCACACGCTCCTCAACTTGTTGTTGAATTGCTAAAGTAGATATGCTTTCATGCTTTCTCTGCTAATGCTGCAGCTTTTCAGTGGGCCCACACCTTTTGCGATTTCTTTCTCGCCAGAAGCTGCATCGGGAGGTAAAAGGCGATACACCATGAACAATTCAGCAGTCAAGCAAAGGAGTTACCATCAAGTGGAATGCAGCATCCGCCTGGCTCTTTCTTCAAACGAACGCCGAAGACGCACACTGCGTCGAGGACCAACAACCATCCAGCAAACGCTGTTTCAAGCCGCATCCCGTGCAACTTGACCACTCTCCCTTCAATCAGTGACAGGCTGTGAATTCCATGTAAAACAATATGCAAGGAATCTAAACTGTGGAGATTCGCAGACTCCGATTCTACGCCCTCATACGCAGTGGTGGGCTGCACGATGCAGGCGCCGCAAGAACCGTGCGTACACCGGATAAAGCTTCTGAGCAAGAAAGCTATGATGCCAGCTCTCTTTGAACTGCTTAGTTCACAAAACATTCAAGTTTTTTGGTATAGAGGAAGCTTTCTGGTAAGTTGAAAATTTTTTGCGTTCGGCTGTTGGGGTGGTTTTTGACAACATCGTACGAACAGTTCATGGCCATCCAACCTATGAGTCGTATAAAATTATAAAAGACAGTCAATCTGTTTGCGTGAACACGAAAGTTACAGACCTTCAGACCTGAAACAGCTATTTGAGCAGTCTCCACACACTCACTTCCCCCATCTTGCTTCCTTAGTATCGAAACCTGATCACATTTCATGATATTTGAGAAACGCCAATTCAGAGCCCTAAGATTCACATATAGGAATCTCATATTGTATTAATATCGTGTGTCCACATTTTCAGTCATTTGAAGCAGTAATTCTTCACCTGTAGGCGGGGAAACATGCAATCAAAACGCCCCCTGCGGCGGAGGCGTGGCGATAAGGGATTGCAGTTTATGGCACGGATCTCGGCGCTCGAAAGTACCGACGACGAATGTAGAGTATCGCCATAAACAATGTATGCAAATAAAAGCCGCTCTATGGACACCCATTTTGTAATCAAGAAGTTGTCATTTGTGAGTCTTTGCCCTGCAAATATGGACAGTTTTTCCCTCCAGCAGGTGCGGGGCATGCGGCCAAGCCCACTGAAACCAATGTTCTTGGCAGAGTCGTCCACTCATCTTTTTTACCCCCAGGAACGATATGAATTGGGTGTTAAAGAGCCAGACCAGGCAAAGAGTGAGTTCGTTAGAATGACATGCTGATCAAAGGTCACCTGGCAATCCTTGTGGACGTCACCAAAACCATTCCACATGGTTTCGCTCGGCTTAATGGGCATATTTAGCTCAATATGCACACATGTGTAAGGCTTTTGTTGTATGCGGCGTTGATAAAGTTTTCCTTCCTCCTTCGGTCGCAACCCCAAAGCTGCCTTGGGTCACGGGCTGAATTCAAGGGTACTTAAATAGGACCGCGTGGAACAATGTAGAAACGTTGGAGCCGCATTAAAACTGCTTTTAGAATGTTCGAAAGGGTTCTCTAGCTGTCATGTCCATCTTTGGACAGTTTTTCTGAGTCTTGAGGGACTTCTAGGCACAATCTTCAGCACAATCTTGTTCAAGTATGAAGTATCTAGCTTCCATTAAGCTAATAGCAAGCAGAAGCAAGTGCAGGGATGACGCAGGAGCACCACACGCCAGACGAGTCCTGGGAGATTACGTCGGATGTAGACCGCCCTCCATGGGGGGGCTCTTTTCAAGGCCCTGCCAAAGTGTCAGATAATAATTTTAGGCAGTCGATGTCGTCTTTATCAGGGTCTGCTGAAAGTCTGTGCTCCTCGCTGTGCCGAAATATCGAACGACCCTCAAAATTACTTTCACAGAAACAGAGCCCCGCATTCGCGGCCAGGCAGCCACTAGAAAGCCAGTCGGTGGCGCCTTGGGCAGCTATCCCCAAGGATCGATATGTTTCAGAAGAATCAACTACCCCAGAGGCTGCGGCGATTGTAGATGCTGTGGGGATCACGCCTTCAAAAGCTCCTGCCGTCTGCTCACTGCCCGCAGAAGCCGCCAATGGACCTACGGTGGCCCCTCCAGGGATTCCTGGCCCTGATTCAGCAACAAAACATCTGCACCTAGCAAACCAAGCACATAGTAAAAATATAAGACCGACTGATTTATTTGGGGAAGAGCCAACACGGTGCCACCTTGCCCACTTTTCGCCCTCTAGGCTTCGAAGGGCCCGGAATGACTGTAGGACGCCCCGGGCCAGCCATGGGCTTCAACATTGGCAAAACAATGGGGAGCAAAAGCAGCAGAATGACGGTAAAGGGGAAACGAGGCTGGCACGTAGAGTCCCTCCGTGGACGCGGCCCTTCTTGAGCTCTGGGAGGCTGCGCTCAAATTCGCCGGAGCGCCATCAAACCCCACCACTAGCGCTATGTCCCCTCATAAAGCCCATTGCTGCACAGAGTATGAGCATAAGCCGCAGAGCAAGCACTTCCGACATGCTTTCTTATAGGCAGCATGCTTCAAAGGCTGGCCTGCAGAGAGAGGCTTCCTGGTCTCATCCAGTGCACCACCCTCGGCTACTCCGGCTTATCACTGCCGACAGGGAACGCAGAGGATTTGTGGAGGCACGAGAAGCCTTAGAAAAACTTCAGGTTTGCTGGAGCATGCCGACGACACAAGGCTTCTCTGCATGTGCTGCTGGGGCCAGTCGAGCAGCAGCTGCTGCTGCAGAAGACGTCACATCAGCGCTAAAAGCAAGATGGATGCACTGTCCAGTAGCTTCGTCGGTAAAAGAGATCTCAGAGAACAAAATATCGGGGGTTAATAGTATGAGTGCAACACGAGCCGACTCCTCCCGAGGGATCAGCGATATTTCCACGTCTCATCAGGGGAGTATTTCATGTCCTCATGCTCCTCAAGAAAGCAGCAGTCCTCCAGCAAGTGTTTCGACGGTGCACTGTGGGCGCTACGGTAAACGAGTACCCATGCAGTGCTCCTCTCAGTACGATAATACACCAGCCGCCATGTCAGCTTTGAACGATGCTCCTACAGACGCTGCACTGACGTCTTTAAGCGCCTCTGCAGCATCTGCAGCTCCCGCTGTTGCTACTGTGGGATTAGAGAACCTAGCAGCATTGAACACAGCAAACGTGGAGTTGCAGGCACTGTATGCGAAAACAGCAGCGCTCAAAACAAAAGGGGATCTAGCGAGGGTGGAGGTGCGAGAAACAGCAGGAGCATTAGGAGATGCGGAAAGGGAAACAGGAACTGAGGCAGCAGCCACTCTGCTCGAGTGGCAGAGTTACCATAGTACTAGTGCATGGCACTCAAAAAGAGGCTTTGGCAAAGAGCCCCTTTTTATTTGCCATGACCCCGAGCCACCTGCAGGAGACAAAAATAGTAGTAGCACCAAGTGTGAGACGCCCATTCGCCTGCCTCGCAAGGTCTGGAGGATTTTCAAGACTCCACGGATTTTGAGACTCAAGGTTGTTACCTTTGGGCCCCCTAAAAGTGGTAAAAGCTGCTTGGTTAGGCGTTTTTGTGAGCGGCGTTTTGTTGGAGTCTCTCCAGGAGCCCACGAGCAGCTGTGGGGGACCTTAGCGAATCAAACCATCGGCTCTGACTTTGGCTTGAAGGATGTGGAGCTTGCATCTGGAGAGACAGTCCGATTGCACTTCGTGGATCTCTCAGGGGCTCCCGTGTATGCAGAGGCGGGAGAAGGGGCCTTCCTAGGCGCGGATGTAATGATGTGCGTCTTTGACTCGGAGAACCCCCACTCTCTGAAAGAGGCCCTCGTGCAGCTGCAGCAAGCAAAATCCTTAGCTGGTACCGATACACCCCGTCTTAATACTAAGGTCTAGATATAAAAGCTGTGCAAAGAAATGTGCACTATGCCATTTGTGCCCAACGACGTGTAACGGGAGGGCAGCTGAACCGAGAAAAGATATGTGGAATTTACAGAAACTGCAACTGCAGCTAGCAGCGTGACCCCCGCAACAGCGCCAAGGGTGCATGCTTTCTCTGTATCTGCCTTTGGCACTGCGGGAGTTGATACGGTGCTTCTGTCCAGTTTAGAGTGCAGCTTTGGAGCGTAGGGTTTCAAGCACGGCTCCGATACTGCAATCAGGAAAGAGGTCTGATTTGTTTTCCCTTCTGTGCACGCAGCTGAGAATACCATAATGGCCTTGGTCGCCGCCAAGTCAGGTGGATCTACTGCTGCAGTAGCCGCTGCTGATGCTGGGAGAAAAGCAGCATCTGCGGCTGGAGCCCACTTTTACGCAGTGTGCGCGGAAACAGCTCAGGGCGTCGACACCCTCTTTCTTGAAACAGCTGCCAAGGCAGCAGCGCGAGTGAAATCCAGCTGCTGCTTTCACAATTTCTAGCCTTATATGATCAGCGTATTTTCAGGCAGTCACCCCCTGTACAGGATCAAGGGTCAGCTATAAGAAAGCGGCCCTCTATGAGCGAAGAGGCCTCTACTATGCAGAATGGATCGGCCAATATCTTGCGTGCCATGGTTCAGGCTTTAAAATTCGTTGGTGCTAGGATGCAAAGTTGCTTGCTCGTTGACTGAAGGCCTATACACAGAGGCAAAGGGGGGAGCATTGCACCAGCGCGGGGCCGATAGATCCACGGTTCCTGTTTTGCAGTTCTCGTGAAGCTGTGAAACATGAAGATTTTAGAACTTTCCAGGAAGAGTAAATAGATCGCACAGAGGCACGGCATCAGCCATCGCACATGGCACGGATGCTGCTTCTTTATACATGCCGCTACTGTGTTGTCAGCAAAACTAATCGCTCACTGAGGCAGAGCCGTTGAAAGCAAAGCGGGCATGAAACTATGGGAGGACAATTGACCAACCACATGATCGTTATGTTGCTCTGGCCGCCTTTCAGCATGTAGAAGCCCCCTTTGCCATCTTTACTGTGGCAATAAACAACCACTTGCAAGCACGGATCAGTACGGCATTAGACGAAATTGTAGGACCCATAACATAAGTTGATACCTAATATCTCCCTGAGTTATAATAAGTAACACTACGTGTATATGGCCTGGTAAGCAGGGTATTACAGTTGGAAGCCTATCATGTAGTCCAATTGGGTCAGGAACTGTGCGCCCCAGATGATTGCGATTACGGGTGGAATGATCACTAAAAGCGTGCCTGATAGTCTTTGCCGATTGCTTCTGTGTTGCCGCGCAAACTATGCTTGTCCGGAATATCGTGAGCTGTTAAAGGAAAGCCTGACATCAGCAGTAAGGTAAATGAACCAGACCACTCTTCGCTTACTAGTGAAGCCGTTACCATTGCCAGACTCGCCCATAGTCTGATATTTCGATATTGTTGTTTGAACTAGACATATCTCCTTTGTAGATCGTACAGTAGCTTGCTAATGTAGGAAATAAAATTAGATGTTTAATTTGCACGTATGTCCCCGAGCTCACTCTCTACCTAACAAACCTGTTGCAGGGATTACCGCTATGCCAGATCGAAGGATGCCTTCCAATCGAATACAGAAGCTTAAGATTGGTACTCTGATTTTAAGCACAAACTCTTTTTTCTGTTGAACTGCTAAGTGCCCTGAACAAAAATTCTATCCAAGGTTTAGGAGGAACAACAGTTGGTGCCTTTGGGACCTAGTTGGTCCCACAATAGTCAGTCTGGGCACTTAGTAGACGCATTCATTCAAGGCTTCCAAATTTACATCAGGTTAAGCTACCTAGAAAGCTTTGTTGAAAGCAGAACCCTTGCACTGTATTCTACAATCCTTGATAGCAGTGCGAAATATGCTGGTGATACACATCCATATTTTCTGTGTATCGGCCGTAGGTTGGGCTGCCTATCAGAAGCATTCCAGACACAGGCTTGAATTCCCGTGATCCGGCCATCGGCGAGCCGGGAAAATTTGATGGTTTCGTGAGTAGCATGATTCGCTTTAGCGGTTTGAGGCTTATTATTTCATCCAAGACCCATCAGCAATGTACCGGTAGCACAGTTGGTGGTGGGGCCATTTCGTTTCTGCTGCCCAGGTAGCCCATATACGCAACTGTAAATAGCAGGAATGGTGTCTCTGGAAGGCAAGAAGCAGCACAGAGGGAAGGTGTCAGTCTGCAATAAAGGAATACATGTGGAGTATTTCTACCGTTGTTTGTCGCCTCCCTGTATGCAAATTAGTGTGAGCCCCTAATGTTTTGCGAGGCCCCGCACAATGTAGGGTCAACCCGTAACTCTTGGGGCTGCTTGCCCCCGTGTGGAAGTTACGTTCATATTGCAGTTTATTTATTTTTCGCTTCCTGCTTTTTGTGATGGAGGCGGACGCCCCCCGAACGTCTGAACGGCAGCGTCCTGTGCCGTAAGTGGTCCTCATAACGATCTCCGTTGCCTTGTGTAGTTTTAAAATATTTCTACTGTCCCTGCCGCATAATTGTGGGCGTGTTCTGTTCTCTGTTGGTGTATTTTTCTGGCATGTGTATTTTCTAGCCCTGAGCAGCTTTCTTCGTCCGTAGAACTCCAACAGAGCTAAACGGACAAGTTGGAGGCTCAAGGGTCACTTGGGGCCCCACACCCGATGCGCTCTGGTGTCACTCTTCCTTTGGGCTTGCTCACCATCCCACAGAAAATTTTCTTATTTTATCCTCTTATCTATCTGCTGTCATATTTATCTGCTGCTCCTGCCGGTGGATACTTTTTTTCAGGCCGGGGTTCCCTCGAGAAACCCACCGGAGGCTCCTCGATACACAGGCAAAGGCAGACGCAGCACTCCGTACAGTCAAGCAGCAGCTGATCCCAGAAGTGTTGTTTCTGTCTACGCGGTCATATGAGCACCAGGAGCCTCCGGAAAGCCCCCTTGGGTCCCCCGCATGGGAGTTATGGATGAATTTCCCCCTGGCTCTAACCAAGTAAGGATGGCAGAAAGCAATATCGCACCGAATGCCTTACAAAGAAGCCGCAATATAATACCTCATGACAACAGCGTGGGTCCCTCTAAATGGCAGTCCAGAGACTGAAACCGTTGTACGTAGAGTTCAAAGTGTATTGGAAGGGGAGAAGCAGCAGTCAAGAGTCCCTTCCTTGCCACCTTAGCCCAAGGTATATCTGGTATTTGATTCGTTTCATGCTTGAAATTTCAGTACCCCTGAAAGTTCCCCCAGATCCTCAACTCTTGCCGCTCCGCCGTCGGCAGCTGCAGCAGCAGCTGCTGCTACTCTCACATGCACCGGGAGAGCTTGGGCTGCGTTTCCTGCTGCGGCTGTAGAGGAGGAACGACTTGCACTGCAGCAGCTGGAGCAGCAGTGGCGGCAACAGCAGCGGCCGGTGCCCCTACAGAACCCTCTAGCTGGCTTTGCAATATCAGCCGCTGCAATGGTTACACAGGTGCCTAGTGAGAGTGAGGGCCGCACTAACGCCATGGACGTCGTTTCCCGCTTAGCAAAGTCCTTTGTTGCAGCTGGAGATGTTCTGGGGCAGCATGAGATCTTGAATGGCTGTGAAACATCTGCAAGAGCATCAGCAGCGGCGGTTGCAGATGCTCCGACAGAGATACCTCTGGTCACCCAACAGCAGCATGAGCAGCAGGGGCAGCAGTCTCCGGAATCCGATCCACAAGACGTTCAGCAGCAAAATGCGGTCATATCTGGTATATGGCATGTAAGGGGCACTTCCGAGCTGAGAAGTCATAGCCTGGAGACCCAAGAGAGTGATTTTCTGAAAGAACGAGGGGCTCAAGTTGGCGCCGCGTTATGTTCTGCTCTGCCTACCCCTTCGTGGGGGATATGCTGGCTAGAGGGACGCCGAATAGCTCTCCAGAGTGCCCAGAATGCACTAGGGGAGCCCCCTTGCAGGGAGGGGTGCTCGTGAGGTTCCCTTTCTTTTCTTGCGTAGTGAGAGCCCCTTTGCTTCTGGTTGCCTCTAGAAGTACTCTGAGCTACCCTACCTTTTTAAATTATAGTTTCCAATGGGTCCTTCAGTGAAAATGGCGTCCTTGGACAGAATGCTGCCCTATACGTTTAATGGCAGCACAGTCTGAGGCACCCGCCGCGATGCCGTTAATTTTTTTGTTAGGCTTCGCAGTGCCTGAAGTAACTACCGGTTTACCAGCCAAGGGGTAACTTCCACTGTTGGCCCTGCTCTCAGTGTGTTGGCAGCTGCAGTACACCTCTGTGGCTGCCGAGACACTGTAGCCATAGAGCGGGCCCAGCGCCTTGTCAAAGCAAGGCAACATGGAGGAAATGCACTAGCGCCGGTTGGTGTCGCGGCATTGGTGGCTGCTTCGGCCGCCACACGTTTGCTCCTCTTCGAGAGTCTGTACGACCTGAGGCGAGGAGCCAATCAGAAGTTTAGTCTCTTGGACCGTACGGCTTCCATGTTTTATGACAGCATCCCGTCACTCACACGAGTTCCAAGGGCTTACACAGATAGTTTACGGTGTCGTGCCTGGGGATCGAAACTGCTAACGTACATTGTTCAGTGCTTGCGACATAAATATTACGCCATGCTGTGAGTCTTCTTTCTCCTGGAGTGCATCAAGAGAGCCGACCCATGAGAGTGACTGCCGCTGACACACGGGGATAGCGACACAGTCCACTACCGACCTCCAGCAAAGATGAGCAGGCTGCAAATAAACCCCACGGATAATCTGCGATCTTGCGCGCCCCTAAAAGGAAGGCAGACGAGGCAGAGGCATGCCTTAGAGCCAAGAATTTAGATACTCATGCAGATATATACGTATCCCCCTATACATCGCTCCATATGGAGTTCGTAGTCACATGTCCCTATTTCCGAACAGATAGATATATAATTTAAGCAGCGGTGTGTGTGCAAAGGTACAAAAATATATGTGGACGGACATGCGGAGCCCTGCAGTAGATAATGTCAGCATGCAAGTGACGCACAAACACTGTCTCGATGGCGCCATTTTTAGCTCGTCAGCCTCAGGTGCTACGCAAGTGCCTAGAAGACTAACAGAAGGAAACTGGCAACGAAAGTGCCATACAGGTGTCATAACTGGGCAAGATCCCTAAGATAATTGCGTCGACAGTGGGCAAATAGGTGTTTAGAGTATCCGCGAGTGTGTAAGGCACTTTGGGGGGCAACTCCCACTGGCGTATTGTTCGGCATGTCCGATCGCGCTCAAATCTAAACAGAACACCAACAACAAAATCGAAAAACCGCAGAGCGAGCTCTAGCGCCGCCCTTACATACAATGAGTCCATTTGCCTCCCCACTGATGGCACCGGCATATCCAGCAGGAGCAGAAGTAGTCGCAGGGGAGTTATTGCCGCGCCTTTATTTGTGTTTGCCTGACTTGTATACTTTGGGCAGCTCATCAACCAGCGCTGATTTGTAACGTTCCCAGCGGACAGATTGGAAGTAGTGTCTCAGTAAAGTGACATCTGACGGTAGTGGGCTGCTTGCCAACCCGAAGCAGAGGCGCAAGGGCTCTGTCAGTGTCTACACACCCCCAAAACAATTAGAAAGCAACAACTCCTTGTGTCTGCCCCACTCAAAAATATGTCCGTCAAGCTACGCAAACCGCTAATAAGAGAAGAGTCTTACGAAGACTTATCTGCTTTTGTGTGCCCTTTAAAGAGACACCTATAGATGAAGATGACCCTCTGTACATTAGTTCGTGAAAAGATATGTATGCTTGCACGCGCAGCAGCTCTGACCTTCAGGAACAGCCGTTTTTCAATAACGAATATCTGTGGCAGCACCCGAGAGCAGCAGCAAGGGCAAACTTTTCTTCATATGGGAAGGCTGCGTACTGTGCATGCAGCGACGCTGAAAGCTGGCATTTGTAGGTATAGAACTTATCTTTACCTTATAATTCCTTTCTAGGCACACAAAAATGACATATGTTTGATGTTTTACAATAGCAAACAAAAAGTAATTGGGTGGATTTGACGCAAGTGTGGTGATCGTTTATTACTAAACACCACAGATTTTGAGCGGATCCACTTATCCTCACCTGCGCGGCGGGGAATGCCACAAGGGTTGCGCTGTAAGTGCTTCCACGCTGCTGAACTGCCGTTGCCTTTTCTCCCTCTAGAATCTGCAGCACCAGGCACAGGGAAAGCGGGGGTTTCATGCTGTTACGCAGAGCAGCAGCAATGGCTCTGCGAACGACTTCAGTTCAAGCACGCGACACAGCTGCAAATCCACGTGGACCTAAACTCACTACGAAGAGCTACAACACAATGGATAGAGAAGGCATGATGTGCGGGGAGAGACACAGTGGCCATCCCCAACAGCATGAGCAGCACAGACCGCATTTTTTATCGCACTTCGCGGGCTCCGTACGTAGCTTGCTTTCCCAGAGTCGCAACCTGGAGGACCAGTTTTTTCTGGCAGTCCGTCTCTTGTATACTTGTCTCTGAAAACAATGCCAAACTCTGAGCCCTGGTTAAGCCTTTCTTAATCAAACAATAGAACTTACGGAGTCCGGTAATAAGGCCTGTCGGCATGTAGGAACACTACGCAATGAAGGGTAGACAGTTCTCTTCGCGTGTAGAGTTATACGTTGGGTTCCAGCAATGGGCCAAGTAATAACCATCAAAGTGTATACCTTGAAACTCAACCGTCTACCTGTAGCGCACTTGTTGAACTATTGGTTGCTTTTTGCTTCCCGGCTTGGGATCTAAGCTGCTGGCCATTTCCAGTTTCCTTGTGTTTAAGTCCTACAGACCTTCCCAGATCGTTGATGCTGGAGGGAGAGCCTCCTGCAGGCTTTCTTAGATCAAAGAATTTCCCTTTGGCTCCTGTGTTTACGGTTCTCAGCACCAGCACGGACCCTCTCTTCACCAAGACAACTTGGGTGGCCTCTTGGCCTTGACGGACAATTACCTGAAGGCATCCTCCCATGTCTTACTCCCTAGGTAACTGCTGAGCCCGAAGGTGAGCGCCCTGCCAGCTCGAGATAAGCTGCATTTTTAACAAGCGCATTGCCCTTTGAAGCTCAGACCTTTGAGCTCTTTGCTTACCTCAGGCCCCGAGTAGGTTTTCTCAACTAGTTGCTCAGCCAATGCCTTGATGTCCCCTGTGGGGCAGCCAACGAGGAAAGGGAGGCACTGCAAAAAGCTGACGCTGCAAAAATAAGAACAATGGATAATTCTCCGCAGTGATCACGTGCAGCGAAGGGGCCTACCGTTACCGGTGTTTTCGCTGGACCGCTAGATGAGAACAGGGGTACCTAAATCTGTATGTGTGGGTACTCCATCAGGCGCTAATGCCAGCGTCCACTGTGGTAGAAGCCCCTATCTATGCATGTGCATCTTTGCTTCTTAGTGCAGACCATGCGGGTAGCGAGCCGTGTAGGACTCTCTACACACAGGCCAGCTGGCCCAAATGCCTGCCTGCAAGCGAATCCCTCTACTACACACGGTAAATGTATCAATCCCTCTTGCATACGCAAGTACGCATAGAATCAGGCAAAACTTTGTTTTTAGACTATGTGCGTGGATGTAGCTTTCTGTCCAGTAGTATGCGCATGCTGGACATTAGCACGTCGAGCCAATGCATGCCTGCAGACTTAAAAGTGCTCATTGTGAGGTTGAAGTGCTGACTTGCGGTGGAAGACTTCTCTATGTTTTTCCATAGCAAGGGCCTGGTAGTGTTCTCTGTCAAGCGCTGCGAGGAATCACACAGGTTAGCCAAACCACGTCATCTGCACCTTGATGAATGAGCAGTGCACTGAAGGTACGTATGCACCATTCGCTCTAGATTCCTGATGCAGCTTAACTGGGAAGGCATGGGCAACTCTTTGGTTTGCTCTCAACACATATCGAAACGCCCCTCATTCCGTTCTAGAAAGCCACTGATCCACTTAAGAAGCATCTTTCTAACAGGCCGCCAAGTCGAGAGGAACATGGGCTATCCGGCTGTCTAACCTTTGATGATTCCGCAAGCGGCAATGTATAGGGTAATCAGTTGCGCTGAGTCTTTGTCTAGCATTGGATCTGTCAAAGTCTTACAAAGTGTTTCTGTTGGTTCTAGGGCCTGAATTGTAGCTGATCTTGGCATATCTTCCAATAGCGCCATTTCCCCGAACCCTGCCCCTGCTTCTAAGATGGCAACTTGCAGGTTGTGCATTGCTCCGTTTGGCTGAGGCACGGGAACCTCTACCCCTACTCTGCCCGTCAGCAGTAAATAGTATTTGTCACCATAGTCGCCGTAGCTGAAAACCGTTTGCCTAGGTTTAAAGCGCTCGTACTGCACGCACTTAGCGAGGCTCTGAACTGTCGGCTCATCTAAGCGAGAGAAAAATACTACTGTACTGAGGGCTGTGCAGAGGGCGTCCAGATCAGCCACCTGAGGTCTCACGCATATGAAGAACAAGCACACAAAACCATACAGAATGACGATATACGCAGGGAGCGTGGAAGCCCAGAAGATTATGTCTTTGAGCACCTTAAAGCTAGACATGCTGGCAACCTATTAAAAACAGTCGGCCCTCATTGATGCTTTCTACAGGGCATGTCTGTGGGCGGAAGACTTCCTCTGTAAAGCGACAGGCGTGCAAGTGCACACCCATCCGTACAGGCGCGTACGCACGTACATACGTAGATCATATCGACAATAGACAGCAAATGCGATTTAGAAAGACTACTGCAGCTAAGCTAGGGCGTTGTCACGAGCCCCCCAGCACGGGTCTTTACGATGAGTATCTTCAACATGCACCGACGCCTACATATTGGCGATTGGGGATATATGTCAGTGTGCTTTTATTGCGATTGGTTATAATTGTATTCACAGCTAGTAGACAGATACAAGCGCGAATTCGCCTGCTTAGGTGGACGCCCTTCTAGAAGGCTTGCACTGCTAGATGGACTTGGACACTAGGTGCGTCTACAATGCAGCAGCCTTTCCCCCACCGTTCTATCTACCGGAGCCTGCACAGAGCATTCACACACCACAATAATTGCACAGAATTTTACTTTAAAACTTAGACTTCTGTGGATGCAGTTTCTGCCTTGACCGTATCCACAAGTCCCTTATACCCCCCCACAGTCCGCTTGGAAGCTTTTCCCTAATGCCCCTCCCTCTGGGGCAGGGGTCAACTTTCCAGAGCCTCAAAATCACCGTTTCTTAAGAAAAAGGGAACAGACAATGTCTAATCGTTGGTCTAAGAGCACGCTACTATAGAGTAATCAACTACGGGTGGTAAAGAAAGAAGTGCTGTGAATGGATATGGGAGTGCTGTCCCCAGGACGAACTACAAGACAAGAAAGTGACTGAGGCCAAGTTGGAAAGGGGTCGAGAAATATTCATTTTAAAAGAAGAGGCGAAGTACATACAAGAAGAGCGGATTGGTATTAACAGGAGGCTAACCTTGCTGGACGCCTGCCTCACGGCCTCGAGTTGTAAGAAAGAAAGAGAATTCATTTTGGAGCAACAAGGAACCAGGTCCAGGATGGTTGACTAGGAAATACCTCCTTCATAACAGTCTGGTCAAACAGGTGTTTGCGCTGGCAAAGAGGCTGCGTTTTTGTACAAGAGCCCAAACTTTAAAGGTTCTCAGGGAGGACAAAGAGCCAAATGTAGACCTTAAAGTCTCAGATTAGCTATCCGGGAGTTCTACAGCGTCACAGGAAACTTTCTTAGGGACCGTTGAGTGGTGCACATGTATAGGATTTAAGGGCTTCAGAACCAGGGAAGTGAAGCAACACAGAGCCCTATAAATGGGCCCTTCGAGTTCTCTAGACCATTACGAGTTGCAATTCTTTGTGAGTAGGCCGATAAACCCTAAGCTTTGGGGCGCTCACAAAAGACTATTTTAATAATGTGGAAAGGTAATAGTCTATTGCACTGAAGCCATGCAAGGGGTACCTCAGCACAGTGAAACAAATCCCTGGGGCCTTGTTATCGCATGCAATCAGCGTGGAACACTCATGCATGCCTCTACCTTGTTGTGGCTTGTGGAGCAGAAATATTTGAGCCTTTAAGCAAAAGCTATATTGATCAGCCCGAAGAGGTGACAGCGAGAAATAGCACAAAATTTTTGCACACCCGGCGGCACCCCACGCCTAAAGTGACCCTGTGGACTTTTTAGACGAAATGGGTAGGGCAGCTGGTACACACCATAATGTGAAAATTTTATACAAAATATCTACTGCGTAGAGTATACCGGTACTGGTTAAGGGCGCGATCAGGGGAATGTGGTTGTTCCTAAAGCTAAATCGGGGAGAGCAAAGAAACAAAGAAAAGTGCACGAAAAACTTGAGCACAAATGGGGAAAGCTGGCAGCCAACCCTGCGCAGCTATTTGTGTACCAAAAGAGGCGTTTTGGCAGCCCTTTTATCTGCCTGGGTAGTTGCAAAAGGCCCCTTTCCCCCAGCCGCGAATGCACAGGGCGAACCCGGCTGGGGTGCCCTCTCGAAAAGGGCTAGTATACAGCACTGCTCGCATTGTATTGATGGCAACGCTCACAGGATTCAGAATATAGATCCGCATATCCAAAATTCTAAGAACTAGCAGTAACAGTCCAGCCCTAAAGAGTAACACATACACTAGTGAGGCAGGATAGCAGACCGTGACGTCTTTTAGTGCTCTCACCCGTAGAATCCACATGTGGTGCTGGCTCTGCTGCCTGCTGCTGCATTCATCGTGGGTAGCCTCTTTCAAGGGGGCTTGGAACTGGCGTTTTTTGCCGACGGGAAGAAAGCCCTGAACCTCACAGTGTGGCAGGCTCCCCACACCTTTCCTTTCCCTTGTGGTGAAGCTCCTTGCTGTGACAGCTGCTCTTGCTGCTAATGCTACTGCCGTCAGTATCCTTGTTTTCACTGGCTGTGTATGCTTTTGGCAAAACATTGTGTGCTCCGTCGGGCCAGGACCCCCAAGAAGGATCAGTTGTGCTCGTCGAATACTGCGGTTGGGGTTGTTGATCCTGCTGCGGCTCTTGAGTTTGCTGGTGAAGTAAGGAGATGTCGTCTCTATGAGAGACTTGTGTGTGTTCATCGAGACGTGTAGCTTTTGTCGCATTTACCTCGTCTTCCTTGAAGCTCTCGCCGTGCAAGCCCTGCTGCTGAGAGGCGGCTGCCTGGTGCTGGAGTTCTAGCTCTTGCAGCATTTGCTGCTGTTGCTTATATGACACTCCAGCAGCTGCTGGCGCTTCGTAGGAGCCATGGACGCTGCACCTCTGCTTGCTGCAGGAGTACTGGCCAGCGCTGTGAAAGCTGCTGCAAGGCAGCTGGATATTCCATTGCCAGTCTACGGCCGGCTGGTGACCTTCGTGATGCTGCTGTTGTTGTAGCAACAGCTGCTGCTGTTGTTGTTGAGGGCTAAATTGCCAGCTATCCAGAACGCGTGGAGCCTTATACGCAGTGAGGTTTACAGCACTTATTGGCCACAAGGCTTCAGGGGATCGCAATCCCTCCGGTGCCCCCACCGGTAGTGGCCCCTGCCAGTCACTGATCTCAACCGGTGAGAGAGCTGTAATTACATCCCATGGATAAAGCGCTTTGAACCCGAACGGAGTTGCAGTAAAAAGTGGCGGCTGCTGCAAGTCTGGTTGCTGCCGCTTGCCCTGTACTTGCTGCTGTGCATACTGCACATGCGCTAGCTGCTGCACCTGTTCTAGCTCGTCTTCGCTACCCTCCCTACTGGCAGGGAGACAGCCGAAAGCTGCGATGTGCTGCTGCTGCTCACAAGGCTGTGGTATCTGATAGTTTGGCAGCAGAAGCTGCCTTTGCTGAGGCTCGTAGTGCGTCTTATGAGAGCGGTAGACTGGGGAAGCCTTGTGTTGATTGCAGCTGCTGTGCTGGGTTTGCTGCTGCTTTTGGTGCTGTTTTTGTTGCTGTCTGCGAAGAGTTTGCGACATCCGGACCAGCGCGGAGGGTCTCAGCGGCAAAACGAAGGCTGATGCACGTCTCTCACTCGGCGGTTGCTGCTGCTGCTGTTTCTGCTCACAACTCAACTGCGTGAAGGTGTAAGAGGGCCTAGGTTCTGAAATACGGAAATCCTCAGGACTTGGAAAAACTGGAGGGCTCCAGGAAAGGGCTAGAGATGTCTGACAGAGCGCCCCTTGCTCTCCTACAGCGAAAGGCGCAGCAGAGCACGCCATCATCGCCCACAGCAACTCCTGCTGGAGGTGATGGTCTCGCCACTGTTGCTGAAAAGTCTGTTGCTGCGTGTGGTGGTGGTGGTGGTGCTGCTGAATCCATTTTTCTCGCGATTGTCGCATTGGTTTGTTATGAGTAGTGAGGGCAGCTGCAGCGGCACCGGTCGCCTCTGCTGCTGGCGAAAAATATGTCATCTCTGCCTTTTTTTCAATCCGCGAAATGCCCTCGTACAAGGCCTCTTTGCCCCCCCCTACAGTTGACTCAGCACCCAGTTCTTCTTCTGCAGCTGCTCTTAGAAGCAGTGGAACTGATTTTCTACGGGTGTTCTGTGGCTTTAAGAGCTGCGCTCGCTTAGACTGCAGCAGGGGAGCATCAGGAGGCGTCTGGGGGCACGTAGAGGGTGTGGTTTCACCTTCTGCTGGTGTCGGCGTCGTATATGCGGGTTCACTGTTCGACGAAGCTGCTGGCATCATGCATCTCGACAAGTCAGGCAGTGGGGGTGGGCTTCGCTCTGTGCCTTGCGGCTCAGCCGGGATAGGGGGCCCTTGCAGGTCGCTTGCTGCTGGAGTGTGGGGCCCCCCTGCGGCCGACCGCAGGCCAAGGCGCTCCAGGGGAGGAGGATCCCTAAGAACGCGTGCTCTGGGAAGGCCTGGCAGCTGCAAAACGTTGGCGGCTGAGGCTGCTGATGCTGTGGAAGAATAAGCCTCCACAGGAGTAGCCAAAGCGGCAGCAGCAGCACCAAGAGCACAGGGAGAGGAAGGAGGGGAAGCGGTAGCCTCAGACGCACAAGAAGAGAGCAGCGTAGCGGCTGCCACTGCGGCAGCCTTCGCTGCGGAGCACTCGCGTTCCTCGCTGAGCAGCGAGATGGAGGCGTCGGCAGTCAGTGCTGAGTGTCGACGGCTGCATGGGGGCCCCAGAGTCGCGGGCCTGTTGCCGCCAGGGATGCATTTTGCAGTCTGCCTTAGGGGCTTTCGAGTCCTCAGCGAGGCATTTTGTCCGAGCAGAGATTCAAGCCGATACACCTCCGCCTCTTCAGCGGCAGAACAAGGGGTCCACGGAGAACACCTGGGATAGGGCCTGCTCCTAGGCCTTCCTCGTGGGTGTGCTGCGAGAAGGGTGGGATTTTCTGAGGTTTTTGACTGCCATTTCGCTAGTGACAACGGCGTCTGCGCTGGTGCTGCTGCCGCTAGTGACTCTGATGGAGGAGCCCCTAATGCCTCGGCTTTCTCGCTGAGGCGTGGCTGATGCAAAAGTAAGGAGAGGGAGTCAATGGAGAAGCCTCTGGAGAGAGGCAACCCCAACGAAGAGCCGCTTTCTCCTACAATAAGGCTTTGTTTTGAGCATTTCTGTGGACTCTTAAAGCTCAAGGGCACGGAGGGGCCCTCCGCTTCCCCTGACAGCAAGTGCTGTGCCGTCGGTGAAGTGGGCTCTCCCAGATGCTTTAGCAGCTTGTGCTGAGGCTTGTGCTTCGGCGGCTTTCTACTGGACCGCGAGAGCAGCCGTCTGAGGTGTTCCATGGGTCAAGTGAGTGATCAAACAGCAAAAGGTGGACAGAGGACCTGGAGCGGCACTGTCCGCCGAGTTCACAGCCAAAAATTGCCTCGCTCTCCTCAAGGCAAGACAAACAAGAGCGCGAAGACTCAATAAAGGTGAGCTGCAAACACAAAACAATAAAATGTAGACCCGAGCGGAGGTGTGGTGTGTCAGCGAGTTCTGTGAAGGTGACTCCTGACACGTCGAGAAACGTCTCTACGAGAATGGAGGCGAAAAGCTGCAAAAAGTCATGTAAGATGTATCTTCGTAGTGTTCTCGTACATTTCAGCTATTATTTCAAACAAAAAGGGGGGGTCGGCGTTCTTGTTCGCTTCCAAGAGGGCTCAGGTGTCCTGTGGGACGTGGAGGCTGCGGTCTAGCACATAAGCCGAAGGCACGGGGTCTGGTTTCGTCCACGCACAAGAACCTGATATCTTACTCGAAATCACTTCATTAATTAAGCAAGAAATGAATTCCACATTCTAGTGCAAGGCTGCTTGCTGAGAAAACCGGGTTGTACCTCAAAATTCAACAAGAGCAAGAACTCAACTGCTCGCTCTCTTAGGGAGCGCAGGTCACTGAAGGTAGAAACATTGCACAGAGGGTCACACGAAGGCCCTAAAACTGGTAAAGGGGTAACTGAAAAGAATGGCAGTCATAGTAAAACCGCGCTGTGGCAGGAAACAGGATACGAAAGCATACTTGAGATGCGGTGTCCCTCAGAGACGAAGGAAGGAAGAACAAGCCACACACAACAGCCAACGCATCATGCTTTCTTCCAAGTATACTCCAGCACAGCGTAATGGATGAGTGCATGGAGGATGTGGAACGCTTGGGCAGCCAGCGGAGCGACACCTGGCGCAGCACCCCCCCTCCAAACAGAGTTCTTCTCCATACAGCCCCAATATATCATGCATTCCCACGTGCAAAGAATTTGCGCTGCAGCTGCGAGACTCGGGCACCTAGCAGCAGGCAGATATTCACCCATAATCAATATTGTGAACAGCACTTTTAGAACTAGGAGTGTTCTCTCGTTTGTGAAGTTTCAAAGTGGAAAATGGAGAATCCGGCAATAGTTTCTCCCGATATTGAAGGGGAAGAGGTTCGGAGTACGCCGAGGGAAAGGAGAGATTGATGATTGCGCACTACATTTTGCTGTTCCAAACCCTTCCCAAAACAAGTTGTGTCGAGTCTACTTTAGCTCATGCTGAAGCTACCGTATGACCTAAACCGTTTTTCCAAGTAGACCCAAGATCCTCCCCACCGAGGCCGCTTCTGCGGACTCTTTCGTATCATGACATATCCTTTTAACGGCTCGATCCTTTGCAGCTGTCCTCGGGAACTGCAGGATAGCCTTCCCCCCCTGTAGAGCGCTGTTGGACTTGCGGTATCACCTCATGGAGAGCATATCACCGCGCTTAATAAGCACGTTCAAGAGCAGTAGCTATTTTGGCAAGGAGGAGCTGTGCATGTGAGAATCTACAATGAGTGAGTGCAAGAGCACAGCTGGTTTAAAAGGGAATTCCCTTGTGGGTGCTTGTCCCTCCAACACGTTAGTGCTTTAGCAACGGTGCTTCTTAAAAGTATCACCTCCAGTCTTTGTATGACTGTAGAACACAAGAGTGTATTCTTTCTCGACACGAACGGACCTGCAGGCGCCTCCTACCTTAGAACCTTGATGAAATTTAGAGCTTGTGCAAAAGCAACGAGCCCGTCGCCGCACAGGTTGAAGATGTGGTCAAATACTCAACCCCTCGCGTATGGAACGACGTGAATTACTCGTCAGTACCATGTTAGCCAGTGCCATGGTGGCTACTAACTAGCTACAGGCATCGAGACGCAGGTATATGTCGCTGCCGTTCCACTTCCAATTCATGTCACACAAGCTGTGCCCAGCAATGCTGGTGTGCCTCGACTGTTTGGGTGACCTTGCCGTGAGTGGCCCACATAGCAAAGCATGTGTGGACCACATAGAGTTGCTCTGTTGTCTATCCTTTTTGCGCCTTCGCGCAATCCTCCTTGAGAAATGTCCAGGGGCAAAAGTTCGCGCACATGTACGTAGAGCTGCAGAACCACTAACTTCGTCTGCTGACTGCTACCTTCCGCTTTCGCTCAGATGGCAAGTGGTTATCCATACTGCGCATCTGTCCGTATGCCAAAGTACATTGAGCTGAGAGTGTTTTGTGTGCATTAGGCTTTGTGTATGTATGTATGTATATGTGTAGGCATATTTGCATGCATATATATGTGTGTGTAGGTGTGTGTATGTGTGCGCCACGCTTGTGCAGCAGTGAGTGCCTCAGTCATCGTCTTCATCTGAGTTAGGGTCCACCTTTGCTGCTACTGCTCTAAGGCTACTAATGTCCGCCTTCTGTTCGAGCTTCGCGAGAGCCTCTTGGATGGTGACCTCCATTATACCGAACTTCTTTTCCGCAACAGCGAAGGAGCGCACGGTGGCGTCCATCTGTGCCAGCGCTTCTTCCAGCTTCTTGACAGTGTCCTGAAGCAACTGAGTGCTGTTAGTCAATTCACCGAGTTTAACCTCTGCCCGCTGCGCCGCACTTGTCACTCCTTGGATCGTCTGCTCCATGGCTCCAGATGCCTCTTCAAGCCGAGACACCGTATCCCGCATCACCCGCGTTTCCTGAAGTGTGGAATCCATCTCGCTTCGCACCTGCTTCACCTCCCCAACTGTCCTGGAAATGTCCTGCCGCAGAGATCCCAAAGTCACCGTCGTGCAGACAGGGGCAAGCCGGTACACATCCGAAGAGGGATAGCCTGCAGAAAAAAGCGAGACACAGCGCGTACCAGGAACTGCCTCTAATATTTACGCGTTCGATTGTAGACAAGAAAGCGAGGAGGTGAGCAAACATGCCCAGCCAGGTCAACTTCCTGCGAGCGCATGCCTACAGCCACGAGATACATCGAGCTGTGCGACAGGCACAAAGCGGCCAAAGAGGCATAATTCAGCACTGAGCTAACAGTAACACACACGCGTACTAGAGCGACACGAAGCAGCACAGCGGAAAACAGAGGCCGCCAGACAAAACAGAAAACCCAATAAACGCGGGAGAGAAATAGAGGAAAGCGAGAGCATGTCCGTTCAAGGAAAAGAAAAACTGTGATTCTACTCGCTGATACCCTCAGAAAACTACAAGGGCACAGGGCGTGGATTACCGTGTTGGTCAGCCCCTCCGAAGATGAAGATGGCACGACTTGAGGGCAGAACTGTCAACGAGCCGATGTCCGTGTGGGACCCCAGCTCCTTTGGGTCCACATCGCATTTGAACCAACACTTGGCGAGGAAATCAAATACAAAAAAGTCTGCGCATGCAGCAAACGGACAGATGCGTTTTCGTCTGCCAGGCACCCCGATTCAAGAAAACGGCATTATTTCAACAGGAGACGCCTGAGCCTCCTGGGCCTCGCATCGCCATGAACGCATCAACAAAGCAGTGTGCACTACACGGCATACACCTATTTCTCCAGCGTACTGTTTTGAAATGTGTGATTGACCTACCTGACATCACGTAGTTCTTGAACCATCCACCGTAAGTGCCTCCAATAACCCAAAGACGGTTATCAAAGAAGGCCGCTGCATGCCTGTGCGAAAAATTCCCTCCCAGAAGCAACAAAATACCAGACTCTTCATCTCATACGACCTAGTATCTCAGACATTTTCCTGCACCCGTTCCAACCCCGATTGTTCGTGCGCAATCTTTTCGTCGGCATGACGTTGAAGGAAGCAACCCTAGGACCTCCAAAAATATCTATCTTTGCAGCTACTAAGGCACACTATAAAGGGCATTTTTGCCTTGGCGTCGCTAATATTGCTCTCACTTCCATCTAGGGCAAGGCGGCTCCCCTGCAAAGTCTTCCATCTTTTTCCATTTGTCTTTATCGATATCGTAGAGCCAGAGGTCATTGTCGCCCTTGCCGGAACCCGAGAGGTCCCCACCAAAGATAGCTACCACAGATTTACCTTCCAAATTGCAGAGAGAGGCAGAGTGCCCGCATCGACCAGCAGGGGCGCACTTGTCCTCTGCGGATTCGATGTAAGACCAAGTTGCTGCAACCAACAGAAACAACCGAATAGATGGCGTGTGAGGCGGAGGAGGTCGCCTTTAAAGCTTCAGTTTTTAGCGCATGATTCAAGAGGTATACAGGCCCTCCTCACTCACTTCCTTTAAGGACATGAGCATCCTGGATCACCGTGCCGTCTGCTTTCTGCCCCCCAAACAAGTACAGTCCGTTGGTCTTTTCGCAGAAGACAGCGGCATGAGAATACCGCGCTTCAGGCCTGGACTTCAGCTTCAGCTCTTGCCACGAGCTTTTGTTCAAGTCAAAAGCCCAAGCCTCGGATTTCGCCTCCTTCTCATCATCGATTCCTCCAAACAGGAGGAGAGATGGCTCCCCGCGGCTGTGTGCCCTCCATACATTCAGAGTCGCTCCACGAAGGGGACCTGGGCCGTCGTCAAGATCGTCAACAACTTCGAAACTGAGAAACAACATTGTCAGCATCAGTTCAAAAAAGCATACACACAGGCGTAACAAGTGCAATCCTTTCATGCTGCTTTACAAAATATAGTCCCACAAGTCCCGATGTGAAGAGAATGTCATGATCTCTGCACAAAGCGTTTTTCATCGGACATCTGACAGCGTTACTGTACAGAAGAGTGTGCCTCCCCTGTCGGCCTCGGTATGTGTGCAATAGATGGCTTTAGGAGGCCACAGTCTCACCTGTTGCTTCCAGGGTTAAATTTTAGCAAAACTGAGGTTGGGTTCCCGTCGGGGTCTTCCCCTCCGAAGATGTAGATTAACCCCTTAACCTCTACGACGCAGTGCCCAACTTTCGGAGTGAAACACTGGCTGTCATGAACAATTTTTGAAATGAAAAAGTCAGGAGGAGAGAGGACACCTGTTGCTTTGTCGAGGGCCGGTAAGGATTCGGAGCCACTGGCCATCCGCCGCCCAGGCTGCTTTGTGCTTTTCTTATGCTTTGGAGGTTCCTTCTTCTCACTGTCACTCCCTTTCGACGACTCCTTCCTAGCGGGAGGGTTCTTGGACTTCTCCTCGGAATCCGGTAACTTGCTCTGTGCCTTGGCTGGGGGATCCTTGCTGGTCTTAGCACGGCTGAGGCTCTTCTTGTCCGAAGAAGCTGCCTTGTCAAAGTCTGACTCACTAAAGTCCGAGAGGTCACTCATTTTCAAGTGGAAGGTTCGTAGACAAGAGGGGGTTTGAAAGGGACGCGAGGCAAACGCAAGCCGCAGATTCTGGGGGAAGGGACCCCCAGTGGTAGATTAGCGAAGCACTTCTGCAGCCCTCCTGTTGTTAGCATACACCAGAAACGGAGAAAAGGGTGCAAGCAGCTGCGTCACTGGAAGCCAAAAGTTGGGAACTTTCGTGTTCAGCAACCTGTCCCTTCCCTTCCTGAAACAGAAGCCTCAGGTGTAAGGAATTTCAGTGCCCGAAGAGTTCACTACTAGTAGAGAAAGCTTCTTCTCTGGGACCCTCTAAAGCGGGGACAACTCGGGAGAAAAGCCGAATTGAGTTAGGCCTAGCGCTGATATTTCGCCCGGGCACACAGCTCAAGGCGCGGTTCGCTACGGGGGGGCAGCAGGCCAAATATATGAGCCCAACCACTAATGGTAGTTCGCAGCCGCGAGGGGCATCAGAAAAGCACGACTATTTAGTCAAGCAAGAGACAAGAAAAGGCCGAAGTGACAACCGTACCGCGGCTCCGCTGCAGTTCGCTGGCGTCAGTAAGGCCTCAAGAGGACGGGATTTTCAGCTCTCGTCCCAGCATTATTCCCTAATATATCACCCCGTTTCATATGTCATTTGACCACGGTAGCAACTGGGACAGGAAGCCGCTTACAGCAATGAGACCGTGGGTCCCCTGGTGGCTAGTCGACCCGTTCCCGACTTCAGGGAAAATATGAAGTCCTGAGAAATTCCCTTCACCAATTTCCAAGTAAAAACACTTTCTTAAAGTGCATAAACACCACCAGCGCACGCCAAGTAATGAAAACAGCCCTCCTAGGCCGTATCATAAGTCATGCTCCCCCTACCAGCGGATAGGCTGAACAGTGAGTCCGAAGTGTGCATGCGTGGGCGTGTAATGAATACCAACCTTCCGTGACTTTCCTCCTTAAAAAGTCCCTTATCATTGATCTTAGCATGGTTTTCAATTGGTAGCTCGGCAAATAAACCACCTTTGACTTCTGTGCACAACCCCAAGTCGCCATGAAGGAGTGTGCAGTAGAGCACAACGCACGTGTATGTACGTGCGCTATAACTTCAGCTCTATGCGAGTTCTTTCCTACTCCAGTAACTCAGGTATTTCAAAATGCTTCCCATGAACTTAATTTTACATGAGGAGAAGCAGGCAGGCTCCATCATATAACTCACCAAAGTGTCTTGTTCTGCTCTGGCTTGTGCCTGTGGCAGAGCACGTTCAGCAGGGACATGTTCTCCTGCTCCCCCGGCACACCGATATTTGCGGCTAATTATTTCAGCTTACAGAAGGGGCCCGAAAGCGAAATAAAAGCATTCCACGGACTGCTGTGTGCTCGGGTGACCTGGAGCTAAGCACGCAGTTTGCTTTTCTCATTTCCGTAGGATTTATTCTCCAGTTTTGGGTGCGGAAAACGCGGAGTTCATGTTTAATGGCTTATAATTTGTATTCGATGACGGGCATGAGCCGGATTTTGTATACCTTCCTCTAGGGTCGTCATTAGAAAGCATGACGCGCCCCAATTCCGCCACAAAGTAGCTCTGTAGAAAGTTTAAAAAAGTTCTCTCCAAAGGGGCTTTCTCTAATACCTCCTTCTTTTCACCCCACTGCGGCCCGGCAGGAAAGCAGAGAGGACAGCCTGCGTGCATGTTGCCACACTCTTGAAACACTCGTAACAATTACTTCCACACAGTTGAACATAACAACATAGGGTTGATGATGCACACGGGAATTAATATCATAGGGTTGAGCGAATTCCGGATTGCAGCAAATAACATTGAGTAACAGCGTTTTCAAATAGTCAATTCTCAACAAAGTCTTAAACAGAGCTAGTGTAGTTCACTGCGTAGCCTGCAAAGTGCAACGCTCTGGCGAAGGTCTCTGTAGGGTGGCATCTAACTCCAGAATCAACACAACTCTATTGAAAATCATTGAGTATACACTCAAGGAAACCCACTTTGCCCTGCTCACCCCCCGCAACAGTCGCCGACATTGAGGGAGGAAAACACCAAGAGTGGACATTTCTGCACCTTTGACTCACTCTGAGCGTAAATGGCGAGCTGCCCATAGCATCTAGCTCTCATAGACACAAAAGATTGCGTTCTTTCATTTCAAACTCATAATACTCCGCAGGGGAGGATGTAAGAACAGGAACAAGTCATCAAATCTTTACTAGTTCGTAGTGCGGTGCAGCTCAGCAGCTACATAACGCTACACATTAGCACCTTCTTCTACACCACTAGTATCTAACTAAAAGTAAGTAGAGAATTGACCATTTGCTTTGGCTGTTGGTACACCATTGGTTGCAGGATAGAGCTAAATCCATATGACACAAATCAAGATTGTGTACCTCGATGCTAGACGGTATGTGCAACTGGTTGTGAATGATCGAGCACATCGAAAGTGCATACAACCGTTCCTTAGGTGTTTTTCCTGCTCTTACTCTCTAAGCGGACCCCTGGAGGGTGAGCACACGCAGAGGCAGGAGCTTCACTGGAAAGGCACCGACTCTCGGTGATGTGTTGAGGTGAGTTTGGAGGCTAACTGCATCCCTACACAGACCTTGCATGGGTTGTTGCACAAAACGTCGAGGTGTAGCCTGGCCCGCTACAAATAGAAACAGACATATAACCGGCTGGTGCAGCTTACATGGGTCGGTAGAGGTGTTAACCTCGGATTCTTTTGAAGAGGCCACTGGTACAAGATGATCTTTATTCCGCATTCAGGCCAGGGCTGAAAGAGGAATATCTGCCCCTGGCTTTTTCTGTAGCACACAAAACTACTGAAGCAATATTGTCTCTTGGCTTTCCGTCGGATGCAGGAATGACGATAAGAGAAAGGTACCCTACAGAAATCGCGCAGCGAGCACATTCTCTTGAGATCTTAGGTTTTGACTGTGGAAAGAGGCAAGTGAAGGAACTTCATAAAGCGCCTGGGTCTCTCTGTCCCAATGTTAGGTTTGTAAGGCTACAGCTATAGCTGCCGAAGTCTGGGGACAGGCAGGTCGAAGGAAGGTCTTTGCCGGCCTTCCGACAGCCGTTCAGCCCATTTAAGCCCCGAGCAGGTATTTTTGTCTGCTGGAAAGCAGAGGAAAACACCAGTAAAATACTGACGCAGGCGCCGGCAATAGTGTGCCCCTGGGGCCTGCAGTGAATTGTGCGCTAAGATAAACATCCACCGGAGGTACACTATATTGAAACAAAGGCGAGCCGGTCTCTGTACGGCTTATGGTGTCTGGATACCAAACAGAGAGTCCTGGGATGTCGCCCAGAATACTGTCGGGCTATTCGCTTCAGATACTGTACCTTCACCCAAAAGGTAGAGGCACTCGAAAGCCAGCACTTTTGGAAGGTCCCGGATTGCCCCCAAACCGTTATTTGCACTACTCAGCAAAATCTGCTAGGCAGCAAAGCTGCACGGCATACAAAAGAATGCTTACAGACTTCACGCAGGACCCTCTGGGAGGAGCCCGGGAAGGGTTCCACCTGCGGCCTGAGGCCGCAAGACATTGGGATCAAAGGGCTGCCCCTTGAATGGCGAGCCCTCCATATCCCACGCCTCTCTCAATATATTTTCTTGGTGAATCTCCTCTGGAGTTTTAAGACCTTAGATACACGCACGACAATAAGATTGCACAAAAAAGGAATGACAGGCGTGCAAGCTCAAGGGGGCAGAAAGTAACGTGGATCGCCAGAGTCAAACGGGCCTACAAAAACGCGGGGAGCCTTACCCTGCATCTTGAGTCTCTGCTCAAACACAAGCTTCCGGATATGGCCCTGGGTAGCCTCATCAAAATCTTCAACCCTCTTCACGGACTCGATCTTCGAAAACAATGAACGGGAAGCAATGAAGATAGCCATGAGGATGCCAATAAGGAGTAACACGGAAGCGCACTGAAGACGGGTGTACTGAGTTCATATTGTTAGTGTAGGGTCACAATAAGGCCCGTTCACTCGGAAAAGGTGGAGAACGCCCACCTTTTGTGTATCGATGGTAGGGTCTCCTTGAACCAAACAGTCCCACCAGAGCTCGCTCTTCTTCTCAAGAGTCAGAAGCAGAAAGGTTTTTTGTTCCAATACCCAAAAGCTCTCGGAAGACCGTATTGGGTGGCACCATTTTCCCTCGAACAACACTTGACCTGCAGTGGAATCCATGAAGCCCACCAAGCGTTAACGAAACGGAAGCGCTAGGCTTTTGAAGAGGCAAAATGGTTAATAACCAGATCATGAAAATCTCTTTCACAGATTCATCATGGTGCTGCTAAGAAGAAATACGGGAGTGATGCTTTAAAACATTGTCTCTTATGTAATCGTCAATATCCTCTATTGCACGTGCTGCAAGAGCAGAAGACTACGCGTGCAGTGTTCCCTAGATGCATTCACAGGGTGCAGCTCTCCTTTAGGGTGAAAAAGATTAGCCACTAACGTTGTATTATTGTACATCGATCCCGCGTGGGATGCCGCGCACCCTGATAAGTCACTCTAATAGAATCATCGCGCAGCACGACAGACAGCAGCTTAGTATTAACCTCGGTAACCCGCTTCTGCTGCTGTTGCTGCTCTTCCTCGCTCTGCTGCTCTTGCTGCTGACGCTGCAGCAATTCTAGAATGCGAAGTTGGCAGGTGGCCTCATTGATACTCTGAGACCAAATGTATCGGTCAAGAATGGCACCATTCCAGGGATTTATAAAAGAACTCTTTCCCCGTTCACTAGGAGGCCCTCTGCTGTTGCTGGTGCTGCTGGTGCTGGAGTCCTTGGCATGAGGTTTAAAGGCTTGGTGGCCGTCGGCAGCATGTGCCTGTGGAATTAAGGAAGCATTTGGATCTGTTGGAACTGTGCACGGGGACGCCCCTTTTCCTGCCTCTATCCCTTTGTCACCTTCATGGGCTCCTGCTGATGATACAGAATCCGCGCCTACAGCACAATTTGGTGACTGTGCTGTTTTGGGAGCCCTGAGAGCTGATTGTGGTGATGCTGGCGCGGGACGTGTTGCTTGTGATGGAATTCCCTCCATCGACGAGAGGTCAGGGGGAGAGGCCAATACAGCCAACCTGCACACAGGGCTTGCGTATTGCATCCGTGCTGGCTGCATTTTTTCATTTAGATTTCTTGTTAATTTTTGAAGCTCTTGCACGCTTCTGTTCCTCAAGCTAGGAGGCAGCAGATGCGACTGCTTTGTGGACCTGTACAGGAGCTGTGCCTGACCAAAAGCCTCAGCGATCATCGCCTCAGCAGAACCAGAAGTAAAGCCCATTGATGGCCCACCTTCCTCTATGATGTGGAAGAAATCAGTGCGTGATGCGAGGAAAGAAAAGAACGTTTCAAGCAAAGGCGCAATGCCTTTATGAGCTCGGGCCAGCGCCAACAGAAGCCCCTCGTGATCCATTTTTTAGTCACAGGGAGACACTAAAAGTTGATATTCTACACGGGACAACAACTGCACATGAAGAAAGGAAATACAAGTGAGGTACAGCAGAACCGACGTTAAGCTCCATCCACTGGCAGCAGCGCTTACATGAAAGCATACTGCGTAACACAAAAATCACATTAAAAGATACGGAATTCGTCAATAGTCATGCACTTTCGCTGCTGTCGCCCTAACATCACTTCGGGTCACTTAGATGAAAGTGCATTCAGCGTTGTGGCGGCTGCGGCCCCTGCATGCACGCGAGCATATGCATGCAGCTACTGGCAGAGTTGCTAAATTTGCCTTTCCTAGAGCCTTCCCCCACCTCCTTACGCCATATTCTACTTTTGTTCAAACCTTAGGAGCCCCTTTTGTGGCGGGAGGCGAGTCCTGATGTATAGGGCATCTTGAGTTGGCAAGGAAGCTTTGCAGCCGACTCCTCAGAAAGCTCGAGTTTTCGCCTCCATTGCACAAGATTGTGTTGTTTTCAGGAGGCAGAGTTGTATTACATCAGTAGGTCAGGATTCGGATCTTGTTTGGTTAGGACCTCACCATTTAGAACCACCGAAATCCAACTTTCAATCTTTCGGATCTGTTGGGAAAATGCAGTCTGAATTAATTGCACTAACGCGGGACGGGCTCGAGCTCTATAACGCCTCCCTAGACAATACCGGAGCACTGACGGTCGATAAGATCAAAACCATTGAAGGAGTAGAATCTGCTGAATGGTCTCCCCAAGGCGATCTGGTAAAGGCGCATTTGGAACTAAAATGACCGTTCGATTAATCAGGTTGCGCAGGTTTCGTAGACATGAGCAGTTCGCTTTAAACGAACATCGACTTGAGCCGTAGTGATGCGGATCTTGAGAGAGATAGGACGTTCAGGCCTGGATGCTTTTTTCTCTGCTCAGCATGGGCGGTACTCCAATAAAGCTTGTAGTGCTCTATCTGATTGCAGGTTGCTCTACTTCGAAGTTCTTCGCGTCAAAAAGTAGATGTTTTGGATGCCGATACATGGGAGGTCTTGCATTCTTTTGAGGGACGTGAGTCTGCTCTGACGCATGAATTTTAGTCGTTCCTTTGTATTTCGGTTCCAGTCATGACACCTTCCTTCGTTCAAATCCATTCGTTAATTCTATTTTTAACGATGACGCCGCACTTGGATACATGCTGCGTTGTGGGATAGCACAAGTTCCCCGCCGATGCTTGCTAGCGGCACGTCGATACATGCCCTGTAATGGTTTCAGGCTGTTTGTATCATGCCCTTTAATCTATTTCAGTGGTATTTCCTGCTTTTGTTTTCAGCAACCCACGTCTCCAAATTCTCATTCAGCCCATTAGGGCGATATCTCCTTATTTGTTTTCGATTTGAACCAGACCGATGCCCTGAGAACCTCCGACTTGTGGAGGCCCGCAGCGCGCGTGAAGTTTTGCGTATGCCACAGCGTAGTGTTGGAGAGCTCTCATGGCCTCCCCTCCGGTGGACTGGGGGTGAAAGCTTCATGTGTCGCATGGTGAGCAAGTGAAGCCACAGCGGCTTACTTTCGTGGTTAGGAGCACTCAAGTTTCCGCAGAATGCACTACACGGCCAATGTGAGCGGGAGCAACATAGTTCAACGCCAAGTCGTGCTATTCTCAGCTGCAGCTTTGGGGTCTTAGTGATGATGCCCATCCAAACAGAAGTTAAGGGCGCCACGGATGTGCTTGCTAGTGGCTTATACTGCTGGTATGGCCATTCCGAATATCAATACCTGTGTGATGCTCCCTCATATAAGTGTTGAAATTTGTGCAAATGGCTTTGTTTTGAGGAATTTCGTTTGCTTCACGTTGGCTTCTTTCCCTTTTAGGTGAAGGACTCAGTTCATGTGTTCACCCGTGAGAGCCTAGACTCTCCCAATTTCAGCATCAACCATCCTGCATTGCGGATCCCGGCTGCTGGAGCATCTGCTTTCTTCCCGAGTCCGGAGCGTCCCAATACTACTAGCTGTACGGCAGAAAAGGAAAGGGGGAAGGACGGCGGCAACAGCACTCAGGCATCGCCCCAAGGCCCTTACTGCGCCATTTTTTCAAAGGAAGTGAAGGGCGCACCAGCCTCACTAGAAATTTATGCCTTGGGGGCAGAAGCCAGCTGCGTAGCTAAGAAGTCCTTCTACCAGGCGCAAGAGGCGGAGTGCCACTGGGCGTACGATGGCAGGGCGGTGCTCGTTAAGACACACACCGATGCTAGCGATCTGACGTACTACGGATCCAGCGCGCTGTATTTTCTCAAGGTGACTAACTAGCTGAACATAAGGTGAAACAGCTATGGATTCTGAGATGCTTTTTCGTTTGCTTCAAGCCTGCCGCAATCGGGATGCTCGACTTAGCTGTCGAGTTCTAGCGCAACCATCAGGGCTTCTTTTATCGGTCTGTTTGTCAAGCCCTCCACGCAGTCATTTCAGCTAGGGGGGAAACAAATGTCTCAGACCAGGTAGTGCACGTCATAATGAAGCATGACAGTTTGTTACTTGATCTGCTGTGTTTTTTCGCTGCTCAGTCGCAGGGGCCATATGACACGCGTCTTGTGGCGCCGGAGGAAGGCCCAGTACACGCATCCATATGGAGCCCCTCGACTTTAGAATTTGCAGTTTGTTACGGCAAAGTGCCAGCCACTGTATGTTTCTGTATTCCTGTCCTGTTTCATGGCTTCTATGCGTAGCCTCCCCTGAGTGCACTTCTTTCCCCATTCGACTGCCGTGAGCTGTTAGGCGGATACGAAGTTTGCGGCCATTTGGTTTGAAGCGCTTGAACCATTATGCAGTTCAGCGTGCAGAAGCGAGTGCTTTCCCGCGGTCTGTGGATTCATTCAGGTGGCAGTATACGACGGCAGCGGCAAAGCGACATCTCCCAAGTTCCGTTTGGGTGAGGGGATGCGGACTTCTCTGCAGTTTTGCCCCTTCTCCAAATTGTTGCTGTGGGGTGGATTCGGCAATTTGGCAGGGGAGGTTGAGGTGTGGGCCCCCCGAAAGAAAGGCATCCTCGGGAAGACAGTGGTGAGTTACGCTGCATATTTTAGTGAAATAATGGCAAGTGATGCTGCTGTTTATTGTAGTGTTTTGGGGGCACTAGGAAGAGTTGGGCTGTTTTTGTCCGTCACTGGGTATATGTGACACGTACGACCAGAAGGGCATGGTAGACTGGTTTGTGTACCGAAGGGATGATGTGATCCGTGTAGATCCTACCGAACGATGCACAGTATGATGGGCTCATTGCATGCAAGCGATACTTTTCTGAGCCTCGATCCTGCAGTGTAATCGACAGGCCACAAGCTTTATGGGTTGAGGGTGCACGGGCTAAGGGCTCTGCCGTGCTGTTTGTTTGTGCAGTCCCCATCCGCTGTGTGCGAGTGGGCATCGTGCGGGTGTTTCTTTGTTACTGCAAATATATCCCCTCGGCTCCGCGTAGACAACAGAATCTGCGTAGGCCGCCTCGACCTCCACTCCTTTTGCCCTCTCCCTCGTCCCTCCTCATCCCCTTGTGGCAGTGACGACTGATAGCCCTGGTTGTTTTTGCTGGGTTGCACAGAGAGCTGAAACTTTTTGTCTCTATCATATGTGTACGGTGCTGCTGATCCCTTCGAGGGGCAACTGGTCTCACTTTTAAAATGCCCATGTACCTGTCTTTGGTGTGTGCGTGCATGTATATATATATGTGTGTGTTTGTGTTTCTGTTTGCTTGGTTTTTTGTTTGTTTGCGTTCATGCGTACAGTTTTTCAGCCTTTCTGGTGCATTGTTGAAGCGCGTGGAGTTCCCGTGTCTGTACAGCGTACAGTTCCGTCCTTTGCATGCACCAGCAGCTGCTGCGGCTGCTGAGGCTCAGAAGAATCTTTTGGAGAGTCTCAAGATCTACGAACCAAACAAAGCACCACTAGCTCCTGGGGCCGAGTGCGCCCCCAAAATCGGCAACTTCTCTTCCACAGGAAGGTCCCTGAGCTCTTTAACGCAGAGCAAGGTGCATAAGCGCTCTCTCACACTCAAATAATCTCGCTTTGCGATTTTCGCCTCGCAGTGCCGTGGTTCGCTGAAGTAGCACTTGTGTTTCGAATAAGGATAAAAGGTGGAGTCCATGTGTCGATACGCAAAGTTGCTGAATGTGCTTTCCGAAAAATCATATGTGCAGTCTTGAGTGACATGTGGCTTCATGACAGATTTGTTGCTTGTCTCACGTACTAATTCTTTTGATCTGCTGGATACTTTTCAGTGGCTATATCCCTGTTCGCCGGAACTGTCGAATAAGTTTCCCATCTCTATTAGTTGTGTTTGTCTACTGTTTCCTGCGGAAGCAGGCAGGAGCCCCCCCAGGGGCTTATAAGCCCCCAATGGCGCGGACTGCATGCCCGAGGTTGCCTCCTGGGGCGGCTGAGCCACCAGCTGCTGGTCCTTCGAAGAGCTCAAAGAAAAGGCAGAACCGAAAAAACAAACAAGCTGGTCAAGGAGACGGGCAGGCAGATGCGGAGCAGGGAACCCACGCTGAGCAGAAGACTGCTAAAGACCAGGCGCAAACAGCAACGCAAAACGACCAGCAAGAAGGAAAGCCACCAGTGGCAACCGCGAGCTCAGAACCGAAAGAAAACGAAGCGAAGGACAGTATAGTGCGTCTTGTATCCCATTCCCAACAAAATGCGACTAAAATAAGATAAACGGCCTCCAGTTGAGCTGGAGCAGCTTATGTGCTCGAATCATGCATGACTAGCAGTGGGTCAAACAGAGTGAGCGGTAAAGCAATAATGACATGTTGAGATTCTGTAGTCTCTCTTCACGCCAGGAATATATAAGAAGGAGGTAGTACTTCAGCTGCCCACTGCACAGCCACTTGCTGCGCAATGTATCGCGTTCAGACAAGCTATCCGCACATGTAGAATTGCATGTGCATCTCCTTACTTATTTGCCTCTGGGCCAATTCGTATTTGTCTTTCAAAGGCTGAAGAACTTCGCAAGTCCATCCGTGCAATCAAAAAGAAACTGACGGAAATCGAAAGGCTCAAGGTACAAGTTATGGAGACCTTTATTATATATGTTTTTCCTGTCGTTGCTTGACCGTGGTTTCGTTTTTGCTTATCAAGAGCTCCCATTGTTTGCTGTCCGTATACCGTTTTGGCATCATCCTGTTTTGGTGACTTTTCATGAAGTGGCTTTTGTAGTTTTTGTGTTTAGCGGTGATTTGGGCCTTTTTGCTCCAGCAAAACCATTTTAGTCTAGTGTAGTTTTTGGCTTTTTCCTCGAGCAAAAATGCAGTCCAAATTATTCATGTATTCTTCTTTGCTCTGTCTTTTGCGATATGCTGTGTCGTTAGGGGAGGAACGACCTGAACGACATGCAAAAGGTGAAGGTTGGTAGCGAAGAGTCTTTGAGAACTGAGTTATCCAAACTGGAGACGCAGTTAAAGTCCCTCAAAGTCTGATGTTATACCGAATTGTCTATCCAATCATTTCGTTCCCCCACTCTCCTCGTTCTTCAGTGTAGCAGAGACGAGGAAGAGGTGCCATTGCTTTGGGTGGCTACAACATCGAGCCGGCCACCAAACTTATTTTCCTGAATTATTGTTTGCTGCGATTCGCATGGTTGTGTCCCGCAAATTCTACCGATGAAAAAGCAGGGACGATATACAAATGCCTAGATAGAGGCTTTCGTAGTGCAAATAGTTGATGGCGCTACTGGGGCTCAGAAGCAAACCACTGTTGATGGGCGTATGAGTCTGTCAGGGACTGCCCACCCTACAGCCCACCACTAGCTCTCACTTGGTTCTAAAAAGAGGTTCTTAAGGGATAGAGAAATAAATTCATATTCGAGAGAGGACATGTCTGCTCTGCACACTTCAGGGGTGTCCCACATGCCTGGGAATTCCTGCCCGGCAGTACAAGAGCTGTGAGTTTTCACGCACGAATGTGTCTTCTGTTAGGAACCGTACTCAAACATCTTTGGTTATTGCGGTTATCCTATAGGACGAACAACATCCCGACAGCTTGACGTAGTCAGCTGCAGCACTAGATCGTTGGAGATCGCGCTGTTCATTGCAAATAGTAATGTTTTGACCTTTATTCCTGGCCATTCGGCTTCAAAGAATACTTTCTACAGGTCTGAGGCAAATGAGACGGAGTACATGCGTGCAATTCCACTTCAATATTTTTCGAAGCGAGCGGTGTTCGTGGGGCTGCACACCGGGGACTCCAGCGGCGCCAAAAGCTGCCCTATTAGGGCATCTTGGTGTATCTTGCAAGTCCTATTAGCGGGAATGAACTATTTGATTGAATATCGTATGCTTTCGAGAACAGAGCAGGTAAAACAGCTGCTGCGACCTGATAGCGACTGAAATCCTTCGCGAGGTGGCGCCTTCTGCAGCAGTTATTGACCGCTTTCTGACTTGATTATAATTTCTACTTTGGGCTTGATGCTATTGCAAAACGTAAATGAACTTATGTCAGTTGGCCGTCCTGAGGGGCATGAGGAGATGATCAACCTGCAGCTGTGTCCGAAGTAGCAGTGGTTGTGCTTCCATTAAACGCTGTGCAGTTCTCTTCAACAGCATTATTACAAGGCCCATTTTTCCCTCCGTTATACTCACAAGCGTATTTCTTGTATCCCCTAGTGAAATTTTCCCAAATCGCATCGGTCCCAGGAAAGTATGCGGATGATGGCTTCCTCCTCTGCTACCGCCCAGCAGAGCCTTTGCAGCAGATGCCACCAATATTTCGACCTGAAGGACCCAAACAATAAATGCTGCTTTCACCCAAAACCCTATGTCTGCCGATACCACCCCGAAGGAGAAAGGTACTATGCAGCAGTGGAGGTCAACGAGGCACACAGAGGATGGCACGGAAAATGCTGGTACGTCTTCATGTAGACACCCCTCTGCTGCATTTTGCGTTCTTCTAAAGCAGCAAACCGTTACACATATTATACGACAAGCGTGTCAACGTCTTAATGCAAGGTACGAAGTGCCCCGCCTAGGAAGTAGTATACAATAGCAGCGCCAACACAATACCCTGGTGAATGAAGGTGCCATGATTCCTCAGGGAGTGCTGTGGAAATGAAGACAAAACTGCACCAGGCTGCGTATCTGGACATCATATGAAGTACTAGCCCTGTTGTGCAATAGTTCAACGACACAACGTTGGAGCACCCCCGCTAAAGACTATGCATTGCCTTAAGGCTTTGTCTGCATAAACTGTTTTTGGTCTACGAGTGCATGTGAGCAAACCAACACTTTCCACCTCTTCAAAGAGCTCCTAGAACATGTATGAGAACTTAAGCACTGGCGGGGAAGTATCTTAAACTGTCCTTAATCGGTAGCTTCGTAAACGCACGAAGGGGGAAGGGCTGCGCGAACGAAGTGCTGCCGCTCTTTCACGTGCAAATGCACCCTAAAGGAGAACGGGAGCAGGATAATACAGAATCGTTAACCCCGAGGGGTCGAGAGGGTACGCCGCTCCCGCCGACAGTGCAAGGGCGGGGCAACGCCTGAAGGTGAGCAGAGCAAGCTCTAGACTCATCCCTCCCCAAGCAAAAATTGTTGTGACATTGTTGGATCCAGTTGGATCCATATCAGTTGTCACACTGATAAGAACAGATACTACACTTGATCATAGCCAAAAGGCCGAGAAGGTATGAAGGTTGGGGACTCGACGAAGCAGTACCCCCACAGGAGATGAACAGCGGATTGTCTTCGGATGACAAAACGGCCCCCTGTCGTCCAAGACCAAACAAGGCTCCTATGCACTTGATAGGAGTTTTAATTCGTAAACTTTGTAATTGCATTAATATTAGCAAAGTAATTACTATGATAAGGCTCTTTTGCCCGGTAGAGACGACAGAAGAAAGCTGCATGTCACTGACCGCTGGGATAGCCACGCTGTCACCGTTCGTCCGTGCCATTGTGCTACCCCATGCGCTCTACGCTACGCTCCAATGATATTTCCGTTGTATCGAAATAGCGCACTACAGTCGGTTGTACGCGTTATTGTAGCTGCCACGCGAGTTACTGCTGCGTACCACGTATAGCCTCCGTCGCCCTCTACGCGCATGCTCTCCGACTCGGATCCATTGCAGAGGAGCAACAACTTGTACGCGCCGACGCAGTTACTGGTGCAGTTTCTGTACCATTTCTCATATGGCTATCGTACCTGCCGCTCTCAAATTTCCCCTTTCCATCGGAGCTACAAAAGACATGCAGTTTAGATCACCCTGCAGCATGCCGCGTTTGCCGGACCAGTCTCGAAACCCAGCTTAGTTTAATGGAAATAAGTGACTGAGGACTACTTGTGGTTTTTCATGCGGAAGCTCCTCCTGGAGGCTCCAGACTGGTCCATTTAAAGCCGCACCTGTGAATGGCTTTACCCTTCGGATGCATTCCACAACACATGGGAGGAGACAGTGTCTAACCCGTGCGCTTCTGTCTCCACGGCATTTATTTCAAGCACACTGCCATGATGGCGTTTAAGAGGCTGCTGTGGTCGAGTGTTGACGTCTCTGGCGCCCCTGGCAGCCGATGTAATAACAAGAAACTGTCAAAAACCGCTTTCCTTCAGAAGATCAAACGAAGGGCGGGGGTCTGGGCTTTCCTCCTCCTCCTGAGCATCTGTATATACAATGTCATCGTGTTCTGTGGTCTGCCTAGACTATTGCCCTTGCCCAACATCTCTCAGGGCATTGCAGACCGCAGCGCTCTCGTGAAGTTCATAGATGATGCCATATTTGGAGTGGCGCTTCCCCTGGTTCCCAGCCACGACCTATTCGACCAAGCCGCAGTTATTGTGGGCCCTTATGGTAAGCTGGCCAGAGATTCCTGGTTTTGTGTAAGCAGTGCTGGGGGTTTGGGTGTCTACAAGATCATGGCGGAGGTTGTTTGCTGCAGGCATGTACAACCGCTTTTGCCTGGGCAGCGAGCGTGTAATCTGCTTGTGCTTTTCTAGCTAAAGAGCCTCTGCAGAGCTTGCAACAGCCTTGCCTGGTGCTTCCTTTTTATTTTCGTAGATACGGAAGAGTGGTTAGAAGCAACCAACATTTGCTCTAAATGTCTCGGCACAAGTTTACTGTCTCCCACTTGTCCGTCTTGCCCATACGGATCAGACGCGCAAAAAAATGATTGGTTCGCAATGCTAGGTATTTTTGCACTGGGGCAAATAAATCTGTGCAGGCCTTTTTGCTGCAGGTCCCGTGAGGGCACCTTATACAAGGAAGATGGCCATGTTGATGCGAAGAATTGTGCAAGACATTTGGCTTGACAGAGAGCCTAAACAAACAAGCAACGACTTCTCCATAATCATCAGCGCCAGAAACGAAGAGGTCGGTAGGTGCAGGGGCTGGCCGACGCGTGAACTTTTTGGCCAGTACGGAGGCGCAGATAAATAGTGAATACCTTATCTATTGGCTTGTCCAGCACCAACCACAGCCTTTTGACCACTTATGAGCTATTGCTTGGTTAGGCCTGACTAGACTGGCAGTGTCCATGGTTTGCTTGATGGTGCTGATATGAGGGTGCCGCCCGCATCGGCTCATTCCCTTGTACTCTTCTGCACAGAAGTACATTGTAAAGACTTTGGAATTTTTGTTTAAGAACACCGACTATAAGGCAATAAGAGAAGTTATCATTGTGGACGACGCGAGCACCAAGCCCGTCAAGGATTTGTTGAATGCGGATGCATTGGAAGCTCGTGTTCTGGATAAAATTAAAGTCATTCGCTTCGGTAGGAACTGCAGAAGACGTAACAGGATACAAAAGTGATAGGAATCTAATCTGTTAACATACGCCCTTGCTGTAGGAAAGATCATATGGCTTCACTGTGTGCGTTGATTTGGCGTATACACGTATATCGATACCTACAGGTTATCGTGTCCATATCTTACCTCTGTGTTTCTGTGTGCCTCTCTCCCAGATAAGCCTCAGGGCCTTATACGGGCCCGCATTTCTGGCGCGGATTCTGCGTTGAGTGACAATCTCTTCTTTCTGGATGCGCACTGTAAACCCCGCGCTGGGTGGGAATATCCGCTGTTGCAGCACCTGAAGACGAATTACAGGAGGGTGGCCTGTCCAGTCATTTACGTAAGTCTCTTCCCAGTCACTCAAACAGATAGAAGTAGACATAAGGAGCGCGATCCGCAGAGGCAACCTAGAGGAATCACACGTTCCTGCTCATGTAAAAACAAAGGGCTTCAGGTCACCGATGTGCCCAGTTGCAGCATTTTAAGGCTCTAACGCCGTCCTCTGGAGTCTGAGAAGCTAGCTGATGTGCAATTAGCCTACATTATTGAGCCCTTACTTTCAGGGTCAGAGTGTGTTGTGGAAATGAAAGAAGAAATAAGCAGTAGCAGAACGAACTAGATTGAGGAAGACAGAAAGAGAGAGCTCTTGTTTTGGTGCTTCCCAGGATGTGAAGGAGCACAATTGGGACGATGTAGGCACACACGGCTCCAAGATGATGTTCGAATGGACGTTTGAATTTGGCTGGTTTGAAGACCTGGAAGAGGAGATTCCTTTGATGTCTGGTGGCATACTGGCTATGACGAAAGAGTGGTGGTTGGAATCTGGTAAGCGTTCGCGCCATTTGGTTAATGAGTGGCCAACAAATCGCAAGCGAAAAGGAGAAGGCAAAGCTCGATAACAATAACTCGGGGCTGACTCTATACAGATACCACGTTTACGCCAATGCAAACCCTCGTCAAGCAGCTGCGTGGCAAGGGCCTTCCTTATTGCTGTGCTTCCCTACTTCTCGTGCCAGGGGCAACTGCATCCCATACGTTCATGTGCTTGTCTATGTCTGCCTCTGTTTTCTATTTCCGTTGAAAGAGAAGAGGCTTGTAGCGACATCTTCGCCCAGATGTTGCAGTAGCTCGGATGTTTGGTCCACAACGGCTCGAAGGCTGGCCCTCCCCGTACTGCTTTCAGCCTCCCTTTTTGTTTCACTGTCTGTCTTGGCATTTCTTGGACAGGGAAGTATGATCCGGGAATGCTGGAATGGGGAGGAGAGAACCTTGAGCAGTCGATGCGGCTATGGATGTGCGGAGGCGAAATCGTTGTAGACAGACGATCTGAAATAGGCCACATCTTCTCCCGGCCTCCGAAGCCCAACCCAGGAAACCGGTTGGTCATCCAGGTATGCCACAGTATTTGGCCAAGTGACAGACAGCCAGTAGCTGACAAGACGGTCCCTAGTAGGAGCATGGCACCGCTGGGCATGAACGAAGGCTTGCATCACAGCCCCGGCATATGCAAATAGGCTATCGTCCCCCCTAGAGCTTTCAGAACATCATAGCCGTGGGCCTTGCCTATGAGGTGCTCCGAATTCGCGCTCATGAGATGAACCTTTGGGATAATTTATCATGGGAAATGGATAAATGACCACCCAAGGGAACCATGAAAGAGGGCCCCTGCAAGGTGATCTCAGAATCAAGCACTGGGGGGCAGCTCTGCGACTTGCTACCGACTCTTTTACAGGTGCAGAAAAATCAGAAACGTGCAGCGAAGGTGTGGTTGGACGAGTATTACTACCTGTTTTACAAGTACCACCCTGAGGCTCGGCCTCATCAGGAGGGCGACATTACATCACGACGCCTTCTGCGGTACGAACATCTCACCTGCATGCCTTTCCAGTGGTACGTGGACAAATTTCGGCCCGCATTTGAGCGGAACCTTCTCCTGGACCACGATTTCAAACACATCGAACACGGAAATACAGGTAAGGCTAGGAGGGAGGCAACAGAGTTTGTAGAGGATGCTTTCCTCAAAAGTCATCGAGGTTGATGAGCTCTTAAGTGGATTTGAAGGATTCTCCAGTGCCTAAAACCTCCAATAAACGTGACATACAAAAGTCCCCATGAAAAAAGGAGAGCAGGATGGAGGGGTTGAATCGGAGACGGCCCCTCGGGAGGGAGAGCGTGAATGCACTACGGGTGTAATGATACAAGCGTTCACTTCATCTGCACTGTGACAACACACACACGAAGCAGCCAACAAGGTGTTTGCGTGGAAGTGTGCGGTTTCAATGACCTATTAATTACACTCAACATTATGTCATGCTGAGGGCCACCAAGATGTAGATCCGAGCAGTCCTTGATTGTCCACCCACGGCTGTTTCGTATTCACCCCCCGTTCCTGTTTCCCTATGCAGTGCTAGGCGTGCTCTCACTCTCCAGATGCGAATCATTCTTTTTTGATATCCGGCTACTTGTTTTACATGCAGGTTTGTGCCTCACAGCGGATAGACGCACACAGGGGCATGACCGAGTAAAACTCGAGCGCTGCGATATTTCCAACCGTGACCAGGTGAGTTATTGCCACGCGCTGCCTTTAGTTTATGCTGTCATATTTGTATCATAGCCCTTTGAGAGGCATTTTACGCGTGTATTGATGGGCGACCCTAGAACTGCTCTTCCAGCCGCACATGGTCGAACACTGCGATTAGGTGCTGCTGCTGCTGCTGGACCGGCATCTGTTGCTGATTTAGGTGTACCCGTGCATCACTTACTCCCAATCTTTATCCTACTTCTTGTGTGCATCGTGCAGCATTGGCAAGTGGTAAGTGGTAACCGGATGCTTCAGAACCGGGGAGTCCGCAAGTGCTTGGACGCCGCGTCATATAAGGACCCTTCTCCCATACTCTACATGTGCGACTGGTCCGGCGTCATCAGACGAGTAAACACCAACCAATTCTGGCAGTGGGATGCCAGCACAGGCATCGACGACGTAGAGGCCACCGGCAGAATCTTTGTCTATGACGAGTACTGGAGTCAGTCTCTCACAGGCGCTGATATCTTCCCCCTACAGCGTAGCCACCTGGAGGGGCCTCAAGCCAAGTGTCTCGCGGCAGAGGAAACACAAGGAAGCCGGGGGCCTCTTGTCTTCATAAGGCCCTGCCCAGGTGTGCAGACGGGCAGGGAGGACCCCATGAGGTTTATTCCAAAGTGGGTCCGGGCGCCTCTCTCCACACGATTCGGAAAGAGAACACTGAACGACGCAGAAAAAGTCACAGACCAGGCAGCGTTAAACTACCTCAAGAGCAGCTTTTAATGCCGACGATGGAGCGGATGATTTCTGCGAGTGGCGAAAGCAAAGGGAATTCTAGGTAGGGGAGGGAATGAAGAAGGAACAGGGACAAGGGGGTGAGCCGGCGATAGCTTGTCTATTTGCCGTGGAGCTTGTGCAGCGCTTCTGCTAAGCTCGTCAGCTACCAGCCAATGCTTTTCGTTTCCCTAACCATACCCTTGTATGTACAGTCTGCTATTAAGCAGCGACATGCCATAGGGAACGCAAACAAAGTTAAACGGGAGTAGAAAACGTGGTTGGATGCCTTTAGTAGGAATCAAAAAAAACATGAGAGGATCAAGAAGTGGGGGCCAGTAGCTGGCCTACATAATGTACCTGCGGCACTGCAGAAGATGCCTATAAGAGAACATTGTTTCTACTTCCAGTGGAACTGCCAGGCAAGGCAGAACAGAGTTAGCGACTGCCTTTCAAGTCCTATGTTCACACGGTGGATATTCATATCAGTTGGCCGAATGCTCCTTCTCATGGTGTTGTCACTCGCTTTAATTTAAGCAGTTCGTACATGGAAAAATTCGTCCTGAAGGTCAGAGGCAACATCGGCCACAGTAAAGCCTCCTCGGGTGCACACAGTGCACGACTCTTTGCAGTCCCGCAATCACAGCAAATGGTACCTCTACAGCTCACACTTTTGTTTTGCCAAGTTCATACATGCGGCGTACAACTGTGGGACATCGGGGGGGGGCCCTCCAGGTCCCGCACCACAAGGAGGCACGGCTGAAACTGACGTGTATGCAAGGGGCACAGGGGTTGCCGTGGATTTGTTGAGTGCCTTGAACTCTCTGGCCAGGAGGCTACCCGTTGTCAGGTCAAGAAAATCATCCAGAGCGACCTTCTTTGCCGACGGGTTGATAAAATCAGCAGCAAAGAGCTCTGCTAGTTGCTGCACTGATTTAAGAGAGTGTTTTCTTAAAATGTCAACTTCCCACAAAGACATGCGCGCCTCCTTCCTTGTTAGGGGCTGTATCTCTTCCTTGCTTATTTGCATGATCTTGGGGACCGCCCGGCTCACCAACTCCAACACTGGAGTCCCTTCGCTCACTTTCTTCTGCACCTCATCCTCGTCAGAAGAGAAGGAAGGGTGTCCGGCTTTCTGTCCGCCCTGCTGTCTGACAACCAGCGTACTATAATCAAAGCTGTCGCCCTGCACTCTCAGCTGGGAGGAAACGGATTCGGGCACGCTCAGCAGGGGTTTGCAGGTGGTGTGGTACTTCTGCAGGAGAGACAATACGAGGGCCTCTAGGCAGAGTGTTGCCGGTGGGGGCACAAGACATGCAACTCGGCTGCATTTCTTTATAAACGCAGCCACAAGGCACGTAGGCAGGAGATCACTCCTCAATGCCATGTTTAAAAGACGGAGGAAACGAACTCGCAGGCGAGGAGCAAAAGCTGCGGGGGTGATAAGCCTGAAAAGCCGCTGATAAAAATGTGCGCCAGCCGCCCCTGCTGACTCCGTCTCGTCTAGAGCAGGGACGGGAGCACTTCCTTGTGTGCTCTCAAGCACGTCTGGGTTGCCCAATCGGTGTTTCGTCAGGAGATAAAACAAACCCGAGAGAGCTGAAATGCGAATGGAAATACGATTGGCTTCGTTGAATGCTTTAAGGTAGAAGTCAGCAAGGAGAAGAGGATTCGATAGAAAGGGGAAAACCGTGCGAGGAACGCGAACCAATAGTCGCTGTGTCGTGCTCGTATCATGCTCCACATTCAGCAACAGCGACAGCCAGGTATTCTGATATGCAAGTCGATGATTGCTCATCTCCAACGCCTTCGAACTCCCCAAACCCTCGATGAACGTCTTTGAATGGGAGGAAGCAGCTTTTTCATCGTCGCTGTAAGGTGCTTTTACCTCCTCTTCTACCTCGGTGTCCGTGTCGCTACTGCGCGATGCAGGCGGAGGGCCACCAGCTTTCCGTTTTCCTCGTAGGGATACCATCTGATCAGCATCAGATAAGCACTTTGAAAGCCGCAGCAGCAGAGATGTCATCCTTTTGCTCAGCTCGGCTTCGCCTTTTGTCCAAACAAACCATTCGCAGCCCTGAGACGACGCTGCATTGTCATGGCTGCTTTCATTTACGCTGGGAGGTTCTACTTCGTCGGTCGCCTCATCTGAGTCAGATCCGCTAGCTCGATGTCGCTGTTGTAGTGTACGGGCAGCAATGTTTCTGTTTGTATCCAACTTCCTGTTCACAAACTCTCGTAAAATCTTGCCGGTGACAACGAGTAAATAGTAGCGAATATCGAGGTACCTAGTCACGTACTCCTCCACCAACAGCTCCTGCACATAATCTGAGAAGCCGTCTGACTGCAGAAGCCTGGCTACGAGAAACTGAAATGCAGAAAGCGGGAAAACAGCAGACTTGTGCACTTCGGATTCGTGCTTGACGATCCGAAACAGGTATGCGAGGCCAAGGCGTTGAACATGGGGCTCTGAAGATGCAAGCAGCTCGAATACAATAGAAATAAAGACTTGATAAGACTGCTGCAACCATTGCAGGAAGCCTTTTTGATGCCCATCACCCCCCGCAGAAGCGGCAGCAGCGCAGGATGCGAGGAAGGGGGCCTTGAGTTCTATCTTTTTGTCCCTCAGTAGCCTGAAGAGGTTCTCGCAATTCTCCAAAAGGATCTTGGCGTCCGTAGCAGCTTGGCAAGCAGCCACGAGATCTTGAACTTTAGCTGCAAAACCGGTAGAAGAGCAACGAACAGACACAAGTCTGTCTTCCGTCATTTTCCCGCTATCTTTTCATCATACAGGGCCATACTGAAAGCTTACGCGTGCACGAAAAAAGTGAATAGGTCTAGAAACAAGTATATAGAGAGGGGAAGGCATGTGCCGTCGATTATTCCGAAACAGGGGGGCCCCACGCCACAAGCCTTGGCCGGGGCTGCCTTCCACCTTCATAGGCGTGTAAGTTCATTGGCTGCAGGTTGCTGAGCAATGGCAAATAAGGTATAACTACTTTCTAACCCTTCATCTAGGCTATGTGAAAGAGAAGGAGAAGGGTACTGCCAAATTGCTCCACTGAGCTAACCGCTTTACTTTTGTACGTATCGGGTGTGGGCAGGTTTGGTTTGTGTGGGCGTGGCCCATACTCAAAAATCAACGCTCTACCCACCAATAAAATTGAAGTGAGTTGAACGTGTTTACCTGGCTATATCCTTATTACTTGCTCTTTATGAATAACCTCAAATTGAATATCTGTCCACGGTACGCGGTGCGCAAAACCACGCGCTCTACCGCTAAGACTCCACTGACGGCTAATACAAACCTGCTGCGCAGTAATCACACTTGCCTATAGCAGATGAGTAATTTTTTCAGAAGCAAGGGGCTTAAGCCTTAGCTGCTGTTCTTGGGGCCGCTTTGTATGCCATAGTGGCGTGAAAAACTAGGAGATAGAAAAGGAAGTCGAATTACAGTGGCACTTAAGGTGAACAGGTAAAAACAATATAAGTTCATCGTTATATGTGACGAATATCCAAGAACACAAGATGTTTTTCGTAAGGAAAAACTCGAAGGGAAATGCAAGTGAAGCAAAGCTCTTGCTCGCAGTGGACTGAGTTACACGTAAACACTTTTTACTACCCCAGTCATATTTGGATAGGAATTAGCAGCGATTGACTAAGCGTTCGGTCTACTCATATATATTATTTATTGCAGAGTACTGCAAGCTTGATAACGGAGGCACAAAGATGTTCGCGTGTGGGCTAAATGTTGTTTGCAACTAGCTGTGAATGTTCGGAGTACCTAGAGGGGGCAACACCACGCACCGTAGTTCGCTCCCCCCTTTTGGCAAGAACACTGAGGGTCGCGTGCAAGGAAATGGGGTTCTTATGAGAAATACTCAAGAACTTGCGACCAAATTTGTATTATCTAAAAGTGGGTGTCTCCCTGTGGGGACGCTAGGTGAAGCGCTACATTTTGTAGCCTGGTTGTACTAATTTACTATCTATTCCACAAGCGATCTACACCGCTCCTTTGGATAACTTACTGCCTGTATCTGGTGCACACACAGTCGCAGCTAGCCGATGCATCACATAGCCTTCCTAAATGCCCAACATGTGTTTAAAGGAGACACTTCTCTTAATCACATTCCAGAGCATGAGAAAAGCATAGCTTGTGTTTTTCAAAAAAATACTCGATCACCCTAGCCTTACGCCGTATGGCGGTGGCACCGAGAGAAAGGAGAACCGAGGTGCATGTGGATCCAGCAGATGAACACTTCGAGAATTTGCAGCCGCTTGCATAGCCTAAATTCAAGACAAGCGCAGTATTTCTCCTTCTTCTATCCTGATGCTATTCACAAATGCTGAATTGACCCTTAAGTTCGGTATGGAGATAACCGTTCATTCAATCAGCGCATACACTAACAGTCAAACCAAATAATCACTTCTCAAATAATCCGTAACTGACTAGAACTAATATAATGCAACGCGTTTTAAGGTAACTCACCCCGTTCCATCTATCCTCCCATAACTACCATTGGCTGAATACTCAATAGCTCCGAGTTCTTAAGCCTTTTAAATGCTATATTTGATCGGTCACCTCAAGGTCCGAAGATAAGTTCCAGGTATGCATAGTGCTCCCAAGGCGGTTGACATGCTGTACATCCTTCTGCGCAACCTGGGGGCGCTGAGCATCAGCGTAAACTTCACGCCAAGGGTTTAGGCCTTATTTATTAATCTGACTAATTCATAATCGCCAGAAGTACTCATCTTTTCAATGAATGATGCTTTGTAAGTTTTCGGTGTGAAGATGTCGAGCGATATTAAAAACATTCTACGGAAATCATGATTTTCTGTCAGTGCGATGGGAAAGAGAAGAGCGTCACATCGCTGAGTGACCCTCTTCTCTTTTTATACGCCTGTGTGATTCCCCATGTCTCCTTGTTACTGTACTCGTAGTCAGGAGGCCCTCCGTCTTGGCACCTCCTTGTACACAAAACGCCAAAAGGATATCTTTAACGTCGCTGACGTAGATGTACTTGATTACTTGCCTTGCTTTGAAGAAGAGGGAGGGCGTCTACGCGCCATACAGTGCTCTCGATGGGGAGTCCAGCCACAATCCTTTGGTTCATAAGACCAAATATCGGAGGAGCTGAGCTACGGGAGCAGCCACGCGGCGCCACTGATGGAACGCTTATGTCCTAATGCTAGGCAGATACCTCATTTCCTCCACTTTCCTCATCACAAAGAATTTTGTGTATTAGCCAAGAGCGCTGTAAAGATTGATCGTATGGGGTCATCAGAGTCTCAATTTCGGTATGATATCAAACATTTGAACCAGAAACCCCAGATTAGTCTTATCATGACCGGTTTACAAGTGTTAGGTACAAGCACCCTTCTTCCCTCGTGTGCTTCTATGTCCAGCTAGGTATCAGGCTACCATGAACTGAGGATCATGGATATAATGTGTCTTCTTCTAAGTACCGTAGTAGTAACAGTATTGGCACTAGTATCTGCGGTAAGACCATGGGAACATTAGTCCTACTAAAGCGACCAGACAAAGCCTCACGACCTCAAATACAAACATGATGGATATTAGTTCCTAACTTGTACAATAAAATCAGGGTAGCAAAAGGAAGAAGAGGGAGACTGGCACTCCAAAAAAAAATGTTGCAAGCTTCTGCTTGCACTTGTGGCGTTGCCTGTTCGGAGAAAAACGAAGCAGTGAGAAGATGGACTAACAAAGGAAACAGAGAAAGCATATTGCTTTCAACCAAGTTGTTGTATAAAAATTGCTCGACTGAAACGATTTATCTCCACATTGTTATCGCTTCTCATTTATTTGTATTCTTTGACATCTTGAGGAGCAGCACATCTACCACATTCCCCATTACGAGTTGGCCCTTTTTTGTTCTCGCTTGCAGCTTCTTATTGGTTAGCTTATTAAACCGTCGCTTCTCCTTCTTCCTCTTCTCCTCCTTTTCTGCCTCAGCTAGCTGAGCAAGCCGTATTGCCTCCCTCTCCCGCTGCTTTGCTTCGAAGGCTCTCTGCGCTTTCAGAAAAGGAACATAGCCTTTCTTTTCACCCGAGGTAGGCACCACCAAGCCCGTCATGCCATCTTGTTCTAGCGTTTGTTGTTCTCGATCCCCACTTCCGACTGACACAGATTTGGTCTCCGCTAGAGGGCCGGTCTCCACCGCAGTTTCACAAATCTCACGGGGTGAACCTTGGGCCTTACAGTCCCCATTCCCTTTATTACCTTGCCCTCTCCTGCCTGTGTCCTTCCCCACTCTTCTGGTGGCTGTAGCAGACGAAGAAGATGAAGAGGCAGAAATATCTTCCATGGGCTTCAATTTGGCAAACGGGTCTAGCAGCTTCGCTAGAAAGGCCTCGTTGCTCTCTGCAGAGCCTACTGGGCCCCGCGTGAGAGCCTCCTTCGCCGTTTCAACATTGTCGGTCTTCCTCTGCATCTTGGAAAACTCGCTCCTGGCCCTTGCATCCCGGATCCTGAGGAACTTCTTGCGAACCAGCGTCTTGTCCTTTGGCTGGACCCATCGCCTTTTCTTGCTGGCCTTTGCCCCTCCTTGAACCTTCGAGAAAGAAGAGCCTTGTCGCAGCCCCCCTTTGTTGCTCTCTGTGGGGGATTTCTTAGAGATCCTGCGGCCGCCATTCGGCCGAGATCCCTGGATATCCTTCATGGAGCGGTGACAGAGACCAAGAATGGGGGGGCGGGGGTGCTCCAGCGTTTCTCTACAGATGGAGGGGACCCCACGTAGGGCACAAAAAGGGCTCTTAGCCAAAAATCAAGTAAACCAACGGAACGCTTTCAAAAGAAGTATACGGACAAGCAATCAGATGGCCAAAGAAGATGAGCTTGGACCCTCGTAGATAGTGGCAGTTTCTACACAATAACCATTCGTCTGGCCGCTCTGGGAACTATGTTCTGCTCAAAAGAAGTGATGCGGGAAACAAGGAAACAGTAAGGTGTTCAACGGAATAGCCCGAATGGATCCGGTCAATATGGCGGCAAAGTTACATTCGGAGAATCTTAACAGAAGCACGCGGTGGGGGCCCCTGGACGAGCCAGAAGGGGCCCCTCGCTGGGCATGCACTCTCACGAGGCCTGGCTGTTCAACTTTTGCAAGTGCATATTAACTCCTACGAAGAAGTACAGCACTGAAGTTTAACTTTTTCTCCCAGTTATACGTTAGAAAAGGACTACACAAATTTTCTCCTCTTCTAGGGGCTCGAGTACTCACCCCTCTTGCTACCAAGCTCTGCGCATTACACCACCAAGCACTGATCGGAAGATTGCCCAGCTACCTACATCCAACAAGCTGCGCGTCATCAGGGCCTAGGGTGTATATGGGCTGGGGTTTCCATATCTTGCCTGGTGCAATGGGGAGCTCAGCATCCTCCGCTCGTTCATCCGAATCTGCCGCCCCCGGGAGTGGTGCTGCTGCTGTCGCTTCGTCTTCGTGCCCTTCATCGTCATCTTCTTCCCCTCCAACAGGTCAGTCTAAATGCCCGGTGCAACGCAACGCCGCAGGGAAAGGTATCTGTTGCGTCTGCAAGGAGACAAAAGCAGCCAGGGATGAATGTGTTCTTCTTAACGGCGAAGACAATTGCCTTGCGTTCATTGAGGCGCACAAACGCTGTCTTCGCAGCGAGGGATTTGATGTTTGAGGCTGTATTTGCCGCTTCTACGCTCATGAGGACGGCACCTCATGATCACCCCAGTAGCAGGAGAAGGGCTACTGCCTATCTCTGCACTTGCTCGCTCTAACATTAAAACACTCTCTTTGTCGTTACCAAGTTGTCATGTAGCTTGTAACCTCCTCATGTGATCTCTCAAAATAATCGTGGTTCTTCACATGAAACTAGCCCCTTAAGGCTCAGTGGGCGTACTCTATAGGATCTTTAGCCAGAGAATCTTGGGCAAGGGCATGAACGGAAGAATTATGTGGATAGATACGCAGAAATAGCTTTGTGCACGAATGGAATCGCCGCCGTTGCTTTTTGTGTCCCGCTAGTTCAAGAACGATGCCCGTGCATTGCACGTCCTCTGCTTTCCCCCTTCCTCAGAGTAAGGTGTCACTACACCTGATGAACGTCCGAGTGAGCTTGCTTAAGCTTGATGTCACGACTTTACTGTGGAATACTGTCGTGTTTCGCATCACGGTAGAAAGGGACTTTTTATGGGCTGAATTTACACTCCAGGTGCCCCTTTCTGCACGTCTGCTTTTTAAAAGTCCTTACATTAGTTGGTTCTGTTACAAGTGTGTGAAGCACATCATATATATCCGTACTTAGATAGATGTACGCACTTTCACTACTCTTCATATTATTCTCTCCATCTGATCCCCTCAAAGCCCTTCTATTAAGGGTCGTCTTCTTCGAGGCTTACCTGGCTAGGACCCACGCGGGGATGTGCTACGGGAATAGCCTACGGAGATGCAGAGAGAGGAGGGCCACAGCATATGCATTCTTTAGGGGCTGATTCTCTGATTTAGCCTAGTAGTGATATTGGACGGTTCATGATGCAGGACATGGCCTGAATCAGGGGAACGCGGAAGATCTGCAGGCTAACGTGACGAAACGTATTTGATGAAACGGTAAAGGCGCACCCCAACGCCTTCCACTGATCTGGCTTGGTTTCGCAACTCGATTCTGCTTGTAAAGTCAGTTGCGGGGTAACCTACACCTAGAGAGTGCGGTGGGCTAAGTCACACTTAAGCACTTTTTACTACTCTCGTCATATTTAACGAAGAGCTGGGCAAGTTGCCTACTTGTTTTTGCTTGTGTATGATGTCGTACTTACTGGGGAGTGCTGCTTGCTCATTACGAAAAGATGCAATGTTTGTGTGTGTGTGTGGGTGGGTGGGTGTGGGTGTGGTAGATGTTATGCGCAGCAAACTGCGAGTAATCGCAGTGCTTAGATGATGCATCTACGTTGAACTCCCCATCAATAGCTCTGTCCTAAACTTGTATTGAGCCTAGTGTAGAAAAGTATCTGTGGAGACCTCAGCCAGAGCGCTATTGTTGGTAACCCTGCATGGTTCGATGCAACAGTTACCGCTCTCCCACTGGCTGTGGACGGAGTGGGATGTCAGGTTTCCCTACAGCAATTGACTGGTTTCAAATGAAATATTTGGTCAGCTAATAACTTGCTTTATGTTCGCAAGATGCTGGGAGGAAGACCATGTGGCGATGAAAGTAGATGGTGGCACAATGCCCATCGGGACGGCAGAGGCCTCAATGAAAGCTGATGTGAACGCAGTAGCTCCACAGCTGGTAGACAGGTATGGTGTTTCCAGCCGAGAAAGTGCTCAAAAATTGCATCGATGAGGGCATGCTGGCCAGAAGTGCTCCTCAAGGCATTTTGATCAAAGGGCGAAGCACACAAGTGGCTTGCTTTATGTAGAGGATGCCGCCTGCGCACTGAGATTCTCACAGTTTAAGCCTTCATACAAGCCGTTGCTCATCGATGTATTTGGAGAGCATATTAGCAGTATGGCGTTCTATCTATAAATCGATGTACCAAGAAACCTAATACTCTGATTTGCGGAGCAACGAAGTACACGAATAGCTGCTTTATCAGTGGTCTATAACACCGCTGCCCATAGTGTCACGTCGAGGGGTTACAGGATGGAAGACCACCTCAGTGGCGAAACAACCAATCGGTTAGGCTTCAGCAATTGATGGACTACCTGAGGTCTCAAGAGCAAATAAGTGTAATGGGTCACATCCGCGTCGATGTCAGCTTAGGCTAACAATCAACAATTGCTAGTATTATTTTACACTAAATATGAAGTGGATCTGTAATCCGAGGAGACGGTACAAAAGTGCTTTGCTTGTTCCCTCAGTAGCGCAGCCCCTAAGACTCAGATTGACTGACAGGCTGCAGAACGCAAGGATCGGCTAGCCTGCGGCAGTCGAGCGCCACTTCAAGTCGAAAATGCGTCCGATTAGCATGCTCCGTCACTTCTGTATTGGATCTGTGCACTAGGATGTCATTCTAGGTATGCCACGGGTGAGCCAGTGGAGGGAGCACGTGCAGCCAAAAGCTGCGCGCTGTGGAGGTTAGTATGCCAGGAGGAACTGGAGAGAACCAAATCCTTGCTCTTTATCCAGCGCAGGCACTGAGCTAAAATACATAGAGTCTATCCCAAGCAGTGTTTCGGGGGATCGGGAGCCCCCACAGCAAAAGAGGAGATTGAATGGTAGGAGGGCGATTTGTAGAGGAAATGCAAGGTGCAGTAATCGATTGGTGCCTTTAGGCATATCCCGGTGTTGACTTTAAAAAAGGATGAAAGGTGGTACATGTGCGATAGTTTGCATTAGCCTCTCTCTAAGGGTGTTGCCGAGCAGAAGCTTCCAATGCCCAATATTGATGAACTCCATAAAGCTCACGGATCTCCACAAACATCTGATTCAAAGACGCTTACTTCCAGATTCATTCACCTTGATGAAAAAACAAGATGACTTCCCACGCTCACATTCGCAAGGCTCGAGTACACTACGGCACCGTTGGTCCTGTCAATACTACAGCTGAGCTGAAATCAGGAGTCAATAGGGATTCTTTAATGCGTGTCAAGGAAGAGTGGATGGCTCTCTACTTGAACAGTGTTTCACTCTACAGCAGAAACATCCGAGGAAGCCTGCAGCATCAACCCCGTGAGCTTTAGCGGTTGGGGGAAAGGCAGATGTATATGAAGGCACGCATTCGTATTTATGAGTACGTTCCTGCTCCTGGGACTCGGTGTGTCAACTGCAGCGATTGATCCAGATTTGCCTAAAATTGAAACGATCAAGATACACATACAAGGACTTTACGCATTTCTCTTCATTTGCACCGTATTACCTAGATTCACTAAAATCGCTGCTCCTCTAATTGACTTACTAAGGGAAGCACAATCACTGATCTAAACAGAGAGTGCTGATGCCACTGCTGGGAGCTTCTGGGCCGCTTGACAGCCCCTCGTATGCTTGTGCTGCCCAATCATGAGCGCTGTCTTAACTTGACAACGCATGTTAGGGATGTGGAGGTGGATACTCTTTTCTTCCAGCAGGTTATCAAGCTCTTCGAGACATTGCTTCACATTCTCACGCTGTCGTCGAAACCAATCCGTAGCATCCAATACGGGAAAAGAACTCTATGCAGTGTGATGGGACGTAAGAAAATGATGGCCCTATAAGCATGGGCCATTTATGCAGGCCGCCGCAGCGCGCTGCCAGAGCAAGGAAAGAGGATAGGTCGCCGGGGGAAAACTTCCAACTTGCCCTGAAAGCGACTAAAGCAGTGCAAAGTCTATTCAAGTTCGACTAATCAGCAGTAGCAGGAGCATCAACAGCAGTGCCCGTAGCCTTAACAGCAGCAAGAACACTAAATGGTCACAAGAGGAAAACAAGGGTAGTAAGCGAGAAGACCAGACAGGGGCTTCACGTGTAGTAAAATAAAGGGTAAAAGAGAAAGAAAAAATATGGTTTCTCTAGAATCCTGAATTTGCGTGTCAATTTTACTGAGTGTCTCAGTGTATCACACTTCGTGGTAGTGGTCTAGGCGGTTCCACTTAGCTTCCACTTAGCCTATTGGCGCATAGCTCATAAACTATGAACCTAGCTTTGTACATTCAGAGATTAAGCCATCTTGTACTTCTACCCTTTAAACTGAATATATACAGCACTGCTGCAAATTTCGATTAGTGAAGGCATATTAGCCGGACGCCGAAAGAACGAGCTCGGTAGGCTGTGCCCCGGCAAGGAAGCACGGTAGCAACCCCTTTTAAGCCAAGCGCGCAGAGATAAGAGTTAAAGCTACACTGGAGCAGAAAAGAACAGCGCGTAAAAAGAGCTCGTTGTAACCTTCACATGCTACGGTCTACCACGGTCCTAAAATGTGACTCGTCTTGGGGCCCCTCGGTGGGGCCCCCTCCGCATAAAGGGGTTCAAGCAGGGCTAGAGTAGAAGATAAGGCATAATACATTTCTTTAGCATAGTACGCTTGTTCAAAGAGAACGTTTGAATCTTCAATGAATTGTCTTTTCCTAATGAAGGCTCTTTGCTTCTGCGTTGGAGTGTGAGCACACACTCCAAATTACATTTGGGGCTTTTCTCGGAGTTTCTTTAACCAAAATCTTTGTTCACCACTTTTGGCTCCTCCTTCGTTCTTTCGTTCCCCATTTGTGAGGGGCCGTTCCTTCCACTACTCCCCTTGCTGATGCAGAAACAGTGGGTCTCAGCACTCACCTTCGAGTAATTTGCTTTCGAGCTCTTGTTTCTGCCCGACCTGCCAAAGGGAACATAAAACAAAAATACGTTGATTTTGACCTCGCTGGATATGAATTAAATCATGAAGACCTGCTCAAACGATCATTTGTCTATTATCCTTGGGATCGAAAATGAAGGTGAAGAATGAACGGGAGCCCAAAATTATCAAGAAACTTCCGAGCACTCCTAATGCAATAATCGCTACTGAAGTAGCCAGTTTCATGCTAATTTCAGCTTCCTTCTGCCCAGAACTTTCCCCATTGAACTCCACGAGCGAAACGAGACCTTTGCTCGTTGGTTCGTAGGAGTGTTAGTTTGCGTCTCGGTGTTGCGACCTATAATTCTAAGGCTATTGGTGATATCTTCTTTGCATTTACAGGTAGCAGTAAACGGTTGCTGCCACGGCGAGCTGAATGCGCTCTACGGAATGATTGAAAAGCTGGAGCGGCAACAAGACATAAAAGTGGACCTCCTGATTTGCTGTGGCGACTTTCAGGTAGGGCCGAAGGTACAGAGAAACCAGCAGAAGCTTCAGAGACTTGGGAAATTCGAATCGATGGGAAAAGAATGGGTCACGTAGAGGGAGGAGCGAAGGGCTGAGAAAGTACCCTCAAATTCAAAAGGAGGGCTGGACCGTGTCGAGTTGCCTCTTCGATGCATGCCTCCATATAGTTTATAGCCCATCAAAAGCAAAAACGCACGAGACGCCTTTTCAGCTGCACATAGGCATGGGCTGTGCACTGCATCCCCTATTGGGTACATCCCCCTTATATTCATTCCACCTCTTGGGAATGGTCCTCGTGTTTTTCGCTCAGAGCCTGCGCTCGTCCGACGATTTGCAATTCTTTTGTGCACCTCCAAAATATAGGACCCTGAAGGACTTTCATGAATATTTCTCCGGAAGCAAGAGGGCGCCCGTCCTCACGGTCGTAGTTGGTGGCAACCACGAGGCCCCAAATGTCTTTCGCGAGCTGTAAGTTCACTGGAAAGGCCTTTTGCGGCTGAACCGCAGGTGTGCGTGCCCGACCAGTGTGGCGTGTGTGTCAAGGCATGTTTGAATCTGCGGTGCATGCGCATCTATTTACAGCTACTACGGGGGCTGGCTGGCCCCTAACATCTTCTACTTGGGGCATTCTGGGGTGGTGAAAGTCGGGGGTCTCCGCATCGCTGGACTCTCAGGCATCTACAATCCGCATCATTTTCACCTGGGTATGGCCTTGGATTTGGGCTGTGGTGGTGGTTGGGTTTCTCATATCGGGTTAGGACTCGCACTGTAGTTTGGTGCTTGAGGCGAAGTGTGTGGCTGGTCATTTTTTTGTGATTCCTGCCATAGGACACTTTGAAAAGCCGCCGTATGATGGAAACAGCGCGCGGAGCGCTTATCACGTCCGGCAGTTCGAACTGCTGAAGCTGAATTGTGTAAGGACGTGAGACGGGAGAGGGCGGCAGTCTTTAGGTTCTAGGCTGAGGCCAAAGGACCAGGGAGGCGACTCCTCTGGTCAGACGTGCGGTGACAACTGGGCTCCGGCAGCTATGAGCTCGCTACATGTTTGCCGCGTCGTATTTTGTACAGACACAAGGAGGCAGAGAACAGTAGCATAAGGGCGGTCTATTTTAAAGGCAGGCAAAAGGGGCTGGTGCAGCACTTCAATATCCATTCCGACGCCTCAGTGGTGTCCTTTTGCCCCGAAGCTTAGGGCTCACACGTGTGTGGCCTGTGGCCTCAGGTACAAGAGCCTGTCGACATAATGTTGAGCCATGACTGGCCAGAGGGGATCTACAACTTTGGGGATAGAGAGGGTCTCCTCCGTTGTAAACCGCATTTCAGGGAGGACATTGAGAAAAGTTGCTTGGGCAGTCCACCATCAATGGCCCTCCTGAAGAGCATGAAGCCGTATGTACACCTACTGTGCCTGCCTGCTAGAGGGGCAGATGAATAGTTAGCTAACCAGGCACTGCTTGTGGAAGCTTTTGACCCGCTCTTGACATGTTTCTACCGCTGCCCATGTGGAGAAGAAGCCCCTCCTGTTAGTGGACCCTAGCACGAGATGGTTAATGTCTAGACGCGTCCACGGCGGACGCAAAAGATTGATACAAGGATATGGGGGTCTTGGTTGAGATCGCCGTTGCAGCTTTGGGTTTTGCGTTGGAAATTTAGGGTGTGTGGCTTCGAGTGGTGGTTTTTCTTTTTCTATGTTCTGCCATAGGAGTTTCTGGTTTTGTGGTCATCTCCACGTGTCCTTCCCGGCCATCGTTCCTCATCCTGACGGATCAAAAACTCTCTTTCTCGCGGCAGATAAGGTGCTACCGAACCGCCGTTGTCTGCAAGTGCTAGACGTACACCCCAAAAGCACTGCCAAATATTTGAAGAGACCTTTACCCCAGACAAACATTTCTACGCATCTTACGATCGAGTAAGGGATCAGCGCGTGGGATTAGTTCTGTGAGTACGCTGGGGTTCATGCACTTTTAAGCAGTTTTTACGCAAGTCGATGGGCAACAGACCTGCAACTCGCAGTTCAAGACTTAGGGCTTAAGCTGCTGTATTCGTTGTGTGTGGTGTAGGTATGACTTGGAGTGGCTGTGCATCTTGCGGGCGAACCAAAAGAACATCCCGACCAGTCGGTTTCGCTGCAAGAGCCAGGCAGAGTAAGCTTCAAAGGTAGACAACAGCCCCGAGAGCAGACTTTCCACTTCATAGACGCCATATGTTGGCTACAGCCCTTTACCTCAGGAGAAGAGGGACCCTAAACACACACGGCAACCAAAGCCCGTCTGCCTGAGACGGCGCTCCAGCCCATTTGGTCTCTGACTCTTTGCTTGTGACCAGCTCTTTCGTGCTTTGGGCCTTACATTCTCAGCTCTTTATATCCCTGTTGTTGCCGGAGTTTTAATGTCTAATGGGTGTGGTGGAAGAGGGCTAAGCAGGGGCAGTTCTGTGCATGTCTCGTACAGGAAGCAACAGCCTCATTGAAACGGACCCCGCCACAGTTGCCATATACTACTGCATTTATACAGTGCCCCGTGTCTTCTTCCGTTCATGTTTTTGGTCGCCTCCTTCTGTATTCTTGCTTCCTCTTGCACCCTCATGTATGTGCGTGCGCAGCTGCCCTTCGTCTGAGGATAAGGACGCTGTCCTCAAGAACTTGAGGCACTTCGCGGCGACTAGGCAAATGCACTCAGAAGCAAAAGCACGATCAGTGGAAGACCCCAGAGACATCAGGGGGGGAGAAGATGAGCACGCTGATGGTGCTGAACAGAAAATGTCAGATGGAGAAGAGGTTGGGCCCTTCCCGTGGCCTCACTGGTCAGACCCGCCGTTCCAAGAACTGGAAGCCCAGCGAAAACGTCTCCTTCAAATAATCGGACATGCAGACCGCGATGTATTTACAAGTCGTGAGACGCAACCCCATGCACTAGAGAAGAAACTGCCCAACCTAAACTTTAATTCATGAGCGCACATCCCGAATGTGCATTGGGCCTGTGACGCATTGTGCAGAGCCCGGTCATCCAGGGATATCTGCAACTGAAACGACACCGAAAACGCAAAATGGCCCTCCTAAACCAGACAGAGGCCCCCTAGGAATGCCCCTTGAGGAAATCCCCTTGGATTTAGACGACCTATGAAGTGTCCTCCCACAGTCATAATCGACTGCAGGTGCGATGTAAGGCCGAGGAATTAACCGCAAAGCCTGCGGGCCAATTCACGTCCTGTTAGCAACTCTCTTTCATGAGGATACTGCATTCAGCTGCAGAAAGTCCCAGGGAAGAGAATAACGTCGTGTTAGTAAGGCAGGAACGGACCAATCTTGGCTTGCGCTCTCCATCTCGCTAGCTCGGGCTGGCTATCGTAGAGTCACTGTTAGGCAGTTGACTCAAACGCTTTCCTCTACAGAGAGCATCTTAACATTGTAATTTAGAAAATCTAGAGTGCCAGAGGGTTGCTGCTTGAGCGTTGTACCCGGGCCAAGGGTAGGGAAGGCATCACAAGAAAGTATTTGAAAGTATGGGGAATTTCTGGTCATCTCTTTGCCAGCCACGTTTTCAGGCAGAAAAAGCTCTTTACAGCCTCTAAACACTGAGTAGGGACCAGCAGAGTACTTAGGCTAGGTTGCCACTTCTGCAGTTCCCCGCTAGTTAATGGGATTCCGTCTGGCTCTGTGTCCACCTTTAGAGCTTATTGAACGAGACAATTTCAGCAGATTGAACGAGCCCAGACAGCTCCTCATCGTCTTCGTCTTCCTCGCCATGATCCATCATGGCTTCCCGCTTTTTCTTATCTTCTTCATTCATGCCGATCTCTTCGATCCGGTCCGTGATTGACTGCGTCTCCACGATGTCGTCGAGGATGACGCATTGCACCTGATGTTGAAGCACAAAAACGGCGGCCGCCGACGGCACTGAAAGAAAATTTGAACGGACAAAGCTTTTGCTGCCCTAAACGGCCAGTGGCAAGCAGAAACAGGAGACAAATAGACGACAAGCGCAAACAGGAATTCAACACGACAGCGCAATGGGGCGACAGCGCGGGAGAGCAGCGAGCCAAGCATATGCATATGCAGACTCACACAAAGACAGAGGAAGAATGCCAGACCCAAGCAGACGCACATAGAGCGAATAGGGATGAGGACAAGGAGCGGCCCGCTCAGCAGCGCAAGGCCAACAGAAAACACAGGTACATACTTGCAACTTATAGAGGCCAAATGCGATGGGGACTTTTTTGGTGTTCTCTCCCCAAGTCAATCCTTCGATTTGGATCTTTCTGATTTCCTTTTCGATGTCGTCCAAGTTAGTTTCAGAGCTGCTGGGCTTCACTTCAATAACCAACATGGACTTATTGATAACCTGCTTCTTCTTCTTTTCATTTTTCTTGGAATCGGACAGCTTCTTCAGAGCTTCCTTGTCCTCCGCAGTTTCCTCTCCTGCCGGACACATTCATGCACCGCACAACGAATATAAGGGGGAAAGTGCGAGCAGATATCACATCGCTGAAAGTCACGCAATACAGGGGCTCGCTTGATCAACAGAGGAAGTGCGGTCATTTGAGAGCTTCAGCTGCAGTCGGAACTAATAACCGACGGATGCTTTCTTCTGTATCTCCGATGTTCCCCGCTTCGTGAACACGCTTTCCCACCACTTGCACAGGAGGGACGGTCTGTGCCACCCGCTTGCGAGAGCACTACAGGAATGCGAAGCCCTCGGTGGGGCGCAGAGAAAGACAATTGTCATTTCACAAGCGCTACACGTCCACAGGCAGTCATCAGAGATACAGACACCGGAGGATTTGCCAGTGTACTGGATGAGATGTGGCGAAGGCACCGTGGTCATGCTTACCAAAGAGGTCAATATCATCTTCTTCTTCCGCTGGTTTCCCCTTAGGAGCTCCGGTGGAGCCTAGGTAATATGCACAGGGTGTGCTAAGCTCATGGAGATCTGCTAGAGGTGCCATTTTGCCGTTCCCGTTCAATAATTTTGCACTTGCGGAAATACGCTGTGTGCGCGCGTACACCTCAGGACCTAGCGTTGCCAAGACGCCTTTCACGTAAAGAATACATATAAGTGTTGCTTCTTGATTTCTTGTATCCTACCTGCCCTTTGGCAAAGGCCAAAAGGTGCGCTGTCTCTCTGTGGGGTCTGTCTTTCGATGCATGCGAAGCAGCCCCAGAGCACCGCAGTAGCGCTGCTCTAGTATTAATACTTGTATCTAACTTCGCATAATATGACTGTTCTCTGTTTTATCTACGCCGTGGAAGCACTCCATGCAGCAACCCGGATAGACTGAGAAGCGGCATGCAGTCTGCAATACATCCCAGCGAACCTTTGAGCCCGAAGGGTTTTACCTTCTCCGCTTGCTTGGGGCACAATTGGTCTGCTTCCTTTTTCGCAGTATAAGGCCGACAGGAGGGCCAGCCCTTTGTCATTCGCCCCGCCTCATCCCCGACATACAACATAATCGAGCGTTTGTAGCTTCAGATCTCCACACTGTGGCCTATTGCCACTAAAGGCTTGGTATCCTGGCTCCGCGGACAATGCCGCGGAAGGTTAAAAGGGGACCTAAGGGCCCCCGGGGGTGTTCTGACTCCCCGGGGGCACCTTCTGTGCAGGCTATGGAGGTGAAGGACCTTCTATGCGATTCAGACAAAGAAGACGCAGAGGCGGGTGGAGAACAGCACAGAGCAGAGGGGCAGCTCAAGATCAACAAAGCCTTCGCAGAGAAGTATGATCAAAGAAAGCGAACAGAGCTGCTAAGTAAACACAAGGAGGCATTGCAGGAATTGAGCGGTGCGTCTGCTCTAACCCCCACCGGCAGCTACGGCAGCTGGTCGAATGTTTCGCCAACTTCATTGCTGTGCAAGTCTGTACACTTTTTCATTGCCCAGCTAAATGAACGTCCAACTCTCCTCCTCTACAGCTTTAAAGAGAATGAACCTGAACATGTATTGCTCGACTTATTAGGTCTTGAAAGCCATGAGGGTATTTTATATGGTCTCCTGTGCTGCGAAAACGCATCCATACGGCTCTATTGCGTTCTGGCGTGTCTCTTTTAGATGAGGAAGCCTCCTCGACATCATCAGAGGACGAAGATGGATCCTTGTTAACTCCCCGGGTGGAGCGGAAGTTGCTTAAAGTATTGCACCTTATTAAAAGCAAGGACCCCAAGATTTATGATCCACAGAGCGTTTTCTTCAAGGACTCAGACTTCTTACCCGAAGAGGCGGAAGTGCCAGTTCAAAAAGAAGTATGGAGTAGAATCGCAGAGGGAACTCAACGGGGGGGATAAACGAGAAGTGATTAAAGACCGTTGGATTTTTTAATGCGGAGGCACCCACCCGACAGAGACAAATGCAACCCCGTTTGTTCACTTCTTGTAATAATGTCGCCTCATAAAGGAATGTATATCTTTGGGTCCATGGCTTTCGCCTAGTCAAGATGGACGGAAAGGCGCCTCTAGAGAGATGTGTTCATAATTTATGCGTATCGTGTATATACAGATGCTTTTCTAGCTAGCATTTCTGCACTTCTCTGCAGTTCGCCTTTTTTTCTCTCCTGGATTTTATGTACTTAATCCTTCTAAATATATGCGTTGCGCATTCAGGGGATACCCCGTAAATGCCGTGTGTGCCTCTTAATGTTTCGCATTTTTATGCGTATCGGTTTTGTGCATCGGAATACAAGGCGATTTACATCATGCTATGGCTTTGTCTGGTCGTGTGATTCTTTCAGCGACCGCTGCGATATCAGGAGATGCTCGCCAAGACGCTGAAAGAGGAAGGCGCGGAAGGGTTCGTGCAGGAGGAAGAACATTTCGAGCAGAGGGCAAAACAAGCAAAAGGTGCACTTTTGTACAGCCCGGCCCCCTTTGTCCTTGGATGCTGTTGAAGCTGCTGCGATTTTCGATGCATGCAGCGCCGTGATGTGCATATGTGTGCATTTCTCGACATGAGGATACTTCTGTGTGTGTGTTTGCCTCCCTTGGTATCTTGCTCCGTGTTCCCCTTTTCCTGCCTTCATTTTTGTGTCTTTTTCGTGTGGGCAGCTTGCATCAGAGGGGTATTTCTAGCGCTCCTCTGCTTTGTCCATCCATGCCTTGTTTTGTTGCTGTACGAATAGCAGTGTGCTTACCTGTACATTCCTATTATCGCCTGCCAACCACCCATGGACCTCTGTTTCTTCGCTATTTCATCGTATGCCGTGTTTCCTTCGTAACGTCTGCCCCAGGGTCGTCGTACGAGGAGGACCTGGCTTCGCTTAGGAAGTCTTTTCTACAGGCTGCGGAGGAAGCCACAGAAGGAAACAGAGAGGCTGGGGAGGGCGAAGAGCTGCTCGAGCTGAAGTGTAAAGGGATGAAGGAGCAAGAACAAGAAGATACAGACTATAGGCAATTCCTAAATGTAAAGACCCCGTTCTACCTAGCAAGCACTACGCTCATGGGGACCTAGCGGCTGATGACTGCAGTTGTGTTTTTGATGACGTCGTGGCATACGAGGAAAGCCGAGTCTTGTTGAGGAAAATATCTTCACACATGCTGGGGGCTGCTTGAGCCTCAGGGTCATTGAGGGCGTTGGCGTGCCTGTGGAGCCGTGCATCGGTGTGCGCAGGCGAAACATGCACAAAGAGGGGTGGCTTCGGACTCTGTGCTTGCACGTTTTTGGGGTGGGTCTCTTTTTCCGTAGCTTGTTAGGGATTGGGATGTGAGATGCGTATGCACCTGCATGCGTAGCTAGACGGGGCAGTGGTTGGTCTGGGAATAACTACAAATCCAATCGAAATGTAAGTAGCAGCAGCGCCATGAGCGGCTGCTGTCTCGTGCTTTTCTGTCCTTGCTATGATTCAGCTGACGACGGGAATCTCAATGCCAACGAGCGCTTCCTTAGAGACTATATCGTGAATGAAGCGTGGAGGGAAGACAAGGCGCAGGCCCAATGGCAAGGCATGACGGAGTGAGATGCAACACTTTGCGGTAACTTCATGTTGAAGGATCGAGAGAAATCTTCCTTTCGATCTCCTTAAATGTATCCCCTAATTCTAGGCGTGCACCCATGCTTACAATTTTTGCACAGTATGAGAGGCAGATGTTGCTTAGCGTTTTTTGTGGTAGTCAAACACCCAAGGTACGACATGAGAGAGGAGGAGAAAGTTGGGCAGAGGAGGGGAGTGCTTGATGGAGAGGACGACTCAGAAGCAAATTTGCCACATGGGCATCCGATTCCCGCCAGTGGTGTCTTTCTGTCTTCTCTTCTTTGCGCCTCACCTTCTGATGCCTCTCGGCTTCTACCGTGCTGTTGGGGCTGGCTTATGACGTCTGTCACATGCTTCGGGGAAGTTGCGGGGTGGGCACAGGAGTTCGTAACGGAGTTGTTTCTCCATCCGTTCTAGTCATGTGAAGTAGTGCCTGTGATTGACATTGTGTGTAGAGGAGCCTCTTCGTATGTCCTTGATGCTGCTCAGGGTGGACGATGAAGAAGATGATGAACAACTCGAAAAGGCGGAGGCGTTTGAGGCATCTTACAATTTCAGGTGGGGTAGGGGGGACTTGAGGTCTGCGCGCTGTGTATCTCGGTGTTCGCGTGCATGACTTTTTCTTTCTGTATGCACTTTTGTGCTCGTTGATTTTGTAGCTCCTATAGTGCAAGTGACTTGTTTTCAGATTTGAAGAGGAGGGGGGCACCAATATTCAGGGTCATCCCCGTGTAATCTCAGACTCCGTCAGGCAAAAGGATGACAAAAGGAAGAGGGCCAGGGAGAAAAAGCAGAAACAGAAGGAAGAAGAACAGGTACCTTTGCCGGCACTACAGAGGGCATAGAGCTTGGGGCTCAAGGATTAGGGTTCACATTGTCAAGCTTAGCCTCAAATGCTCTGTCTTGTTGTTTAGTTGCGTCGTCGGGAGGAGCTGAAGCGCTTAAAAAGTCTCAAGAGAGAGGAAATAGCCGAGAAAATAAGGCAAATCCAGCAAGTGGGCGGCCTGGACGAAGCAAGTAAGCATTGTAATTTACTGCTGTATCTTTTATGTGTATATGCGTATCTGAGCCTCTAGGTGGGTTTCTTTCGGCTCAGCAATGGTAAAGGCCTAGCTCTGCTGCCTCCTATTGCCCGTTGTTGTTATGGACATGTGCTTGTGCTTTTATGCACTAGCTGCTGCTTGCTGCGCGCGCGTATTGTTTCGCTTCGGTTCTGCTCGAACTCTTTGAGGTGCAACTCGCTTGTATATACAAGCATGCCCCTTTTTATGGCCCCAATTGCCTCCCGGAGCTTCTGTGCTTTCGTGTCTTCTACCCTCTGCAGCTGTCAGCCGCGTGCTGGACTTGGGCGGGGCCTTTGATTCAGAGGCCCACGACGTGGAGATGCAGAAGCTATTTGGGGAGGACTACGATGCGCAGGATGAGGAGGGTGACTGTTTGGGTAAGATGCCCTTCTCGTAAACAGGACAAAGGGCAACCAATGCGGGTATGGGACTGGGAGTAGAAAAGCAGATTCAGCAGGAGTCCTGCTGTTCTGTGGGATTGCTGCAACTGCAGCGGTTGGCCCAGCACGCTGGCTTTGTGCTGCAGCGATGCCCGAGGCTTGTGCCGACATTTTATCAACTGCCCATGAGACAGAGCCCGAGGCGCTGACCAAGAAGCAACGGAAACTCCTAAAACTGGAATCGAAGCGAAAGAGGCAGGGACAGCGGGTTGAGGGTTATGCCAAGGACGCGGAAGCACAAGTGGTGGAGACGGAAGATGCGGGAGCGTCAGAGCAAGGGGAGCCTCACTCAAAGGGAGGTGACCAGGACTCTGCAGGACAAAGGGCTGAGGAGGGAACGGAAGCCGAATGGTGGATGTGCGACGGATGTGGAATCGGCATTCGGGGAGGAAAGAAACGGTACTGAGTGAATCCTAGCTAGAAGCTCAGCGGATTCGTGCTTAGGTCCCGAAGTGCAGTTGGGAAGACAGAGAACCGATATATGGGGCTTCTGCGACTCAAATATAGCAGAGGACGCCATGTGGTGTAGGATGCGAGTGATTGGCTTTTGTGCACTGCTTCATGCAGATTTGATTGTACGACGTGTGAAAACTTCACGCTTTGCAAACCTTGCTTCCGTAATGTCCGGCATCCACACCAACTTGTTAGGAAGACTGTTCCTCCTCATTGCAACGTAAGGCTGGCTTTTGGGTTGAAGGCTCCTAACTGCTATATTGTTGCGAATACATTTTCGCTGTTTCGCGTATACTCGATGAGTATGTGTTAGTGTGTGGACGCCCTGGGCTTTGGTGGACTAGTTGTCAGGGGTATTCAAAAATGCGTGCAAATTAAAGACATCGCCCTTCCTATTTTGCCTTTGTATTCCGCTAGAGTCTAAATGCAGATTTTTACTTTTCTGTAACAACGGATCCGTATGCCCTTCCCACCCTGATGGGGTGCGCAATTGCGGCTGGCAACATGGGTGTACTCTCTAGCTGTATGCTATGTGGGCTTTGGGACTCCCTCCTAGTTTGCAGGCAATGAGGTGCACATACATCGCCTGGGTGTGCGCAGGCAGACTTTAAAATTCTTTATCTGTTTGAGCATAAATATCCGCTTACGTATGTTTTGGCTTGTTAGCGGCCCTAGGCTGATCTAAAGGGCATGTGTCAAGTATGTACAGCTACGTTTGACCGTGGACGCATTTCCGCTACCGCTTTGTCAGCAGCACTTTTATCTCTGCTCGTATTTTTACTTTATGCCTGGGCGTAGGAGTTGATTTATGCGGATGCATCTGCAGCCCCCCAAGGACTTTGTGTCTGGAGCTTTGCATTGTCCTCCGCCGGCGGAGCTTAGCGAATTGTTGGATGAGTACTTCCAGTTGGACTATGAGGATATTATCGGTGGAGATCTGCCTACGAGATTTAAATACAGAAAGGTTCAGCCAAACAACTACGGAATGACAACAGAGGAGATACTTAACTCGTAAGTCGGGAGGGTGGCTGGGATAGATGGACGAGATTGCGGGAGGATACATAACTAAGTAGATGGAGGAAAAATGTGATCTTTGAGCGCACTTAGAGAAAAGCTTAGCGAATTGGGCATGAAAGGAAGTAGGAGTGTAGGAAGGGCATGCATACATTCATCATTGTTTATTTACAAGCTGTTGCCAAGTAAAATAACGTAGTCATGCTGGTAGGGACGGCTAAATTATGGAACGCGCTTTGCTACATAACTTTGGTTGCACTGCTGTGCGGTGTAAACGCTGCGTTGTTGTTTTTGTTGGAGGGCAATGGGGAATATTGGCACTCCATCACGTGATATACACATACACCCGTGCTGTACTTTACTGCGTTGGTTGAGCGGGTCTCTGCCTGTTCACCCAGTAGGGCAGGCAATGGAAAATACGTGCAACGATATATTGTATTTTTGTTATCATGCCTGCACGTGTCTGGTGGCATATCATCCATCTTCGACAGATGTACCTATTGCATAGGCTCGAACTACACTCCTCCACTACGAAGATACCGCAGAAGGGCCAAATTACTTATTCTCATTAACCGCAGAAGTACCAAAGCATTTATGCCATCATTCGATCTAAGCACAAGCGGGGGAATGCGTGTTTTTTTCGTTGTTCCTTTGAACAGGACAGACGCGGAGTTGAACTCGAAAGTGTCCCTGAAGAAGCTGGCGCCCTACAGGGAGCAAGAACATGTGAGGCCACCCTCTTTTTCCAGTTTCAGCACTTGCTGATTAATTTTTGTCTCTCACTTCAGACTTGTTAGATACCGTGTTCATTATATTGTACATCCATTGATACGTGTCCGTTCATGTCTGACCTAGGGGTTTAACAAAGCATTTTATGTCTGTTTTGCACATTTGGGCCCAGTCGGGCTGGTGCTATATTCCTATCGTACTCCGAGTCTCATTCTAGGTTCCAAAGCGTTTAAACCGAAAAAAGGATTTTGGCAAGAGGCAGCGGATACGTGTCTTCTCATTATCTTGTTCTTCTCTTTTATCATGAAGAGCAACGGTAGCCACAGTTACTGTGGTAACTTTCCCTTGCCTTTGTTTTTGCCCTGCCGGTGTCTCCTACAGAGTGGAAATACTGCGGAGAAGCCCTGGCGTCAGCAATGGCGCAGCAAAGCTAGGGAGAGCCAGCCCACAGACTCCAAGTTGAAGAAGAGGGAAAGAACAGATAGAGCAATGACTCCCTTTGGTAGGCTCATTGTGGGCATTATGAGCTCGGATACTGTTGCGTGACTGTAAAGCTTGCATGCCCTATGGACCATGCTCACATGTATCCATATCCGTGTCTCTTTCATCTTTGCTCGATTTCGTTCATGCCTCATTGTTTCCCTGCGACTGCCTCAGGCGTTCGAAAGGACAGACTGGCTGCGTATGACGCCTAGTCGGTCTCACCTCATCCCTCGGTCGCGCCCTCGTTCATGTTGTGCTGTACCTCAGCGATCGTGGGCACCGCTATTTCATCTCCATTGACAGACACCTGGGAGAAGTATGCCGCTACTCTCCCTATCGTCAATTTCGTGTCCGTGGAGCTCACCTTTGGCGGCTGGCCGTATTGTCCTGCGCTAATCTGTCAGAGATTTACTTGTTTTTAGAGATACTCTGGCATAGGCGAAATTATTGCAAACCTCAATTTCAGGCACTCCTTTCTGCTCCGCCTTTGCGGATAGCTCTCCCGCCTGACAAATAGCCAATAGATCTAGCCGTGGCTGCTGGTTTGTTTCGCTGTAGTATTCTAGCGTACCTCAGCTTCTTGAGCCATCTTTTCTCCTTTAGGTTGCGCAGCAAGCAGTAGAATTCGCTCATTGATCAGTAAGTGCCAACACATTAACTCGCTGCACATCTTGCTTACTCTCCTTCGTCTGCTGCTCCGTCCAGCGCTAAGCAAGTCGATTTTAGATGTCACGACAAGCATCAATCACATTGTACTTCTGGTGGCAATGTACCTGCACTTTTGTGCTTTTGGCGGGTAGCGACACGGCGTTTCCTTTTTCTGCGTGCACAGTCGAGTCGGCGCAAGTTAGAAGGCCGGGTTAAGGAAGCCTCCGGGTACCTGTCGGGGCTTCTGCCTCCTGGCCCTCCGGCGCTTGCACGCCAGTGTTTATGCAAAAAATGGCTTTGTATATGTCCTTTATCCATTCACTGTGATGCGTCCATGAAGAATTGAGCCCCGAATCAATTGTAACCTCGGAGGGAAAACCGCATCACTTACTTTCTTTCTGCATTTGTTTCTGTACAAAGCACCCTCGGAGAATCCTCATGATACATCCTGAAGCCTGTTGATCTTTTACCCACTCAGATCACACGATCCGTGTGGCCTCAAAGACGTACATCTACGGCTTCTCCTAAGGGTTTCAATCGGGGTTTTGATTTCTATGATAGGAAACTTGATGAACGGCGCTTCTGGGTGGTCTGATGGAGCGGTGAGGCATACAGGGAACACACGCGATCGAGCGCTTTCACTACCTGGATAATGCACTGTAAAATATCTCTTTGTTATTGTAGCGGCAAAAGGGCCAACGGAGAGGACATCCATGGGATCCCTGGCCACGAGGATTTTGCCGCTCTGTCGTCAACCCAACAGCATAGAAAGCCAAAATTGCCCTTCAGAGAAATGTCACCTCCCTCCAAATTGCCCCCTTTACCTTTTGTACCGAACACGCAGGAGGCTTCGCCTCGATCTTTTCTACAGCCTCCTCAGCTTCATGTTCCTGTTGCATCAACATAGGTACAGCTTTTAGTAGCCTTGGTGATGGGGGAAGGCAAACTCACCGCTTTTGCGTCTTGTGCTTGAAGTTGCTCTCTGTGACCAATTTCACCCTCCAGGTTTTTGGTTGCGAGAGAGTAATCTGATCCGATTCAAATTATGTGTCAGTGCATTATGGTGGATGCATCACCAACAATACCCATTTCTTCTGTTTCAGCTGCATTTGGTATTTTGCAAGTGTAATGTGCATTGAAATCCACAGGAATGGTATGAAACCTGCGTACTGTCTTCCTCAGATTTTTCCTTTCCTTCCTCTCCTTTTTCATCTTCATCTGTAATGCCGTCTGGTTCATCTTTTGGTTCATGGACCGCCATCGAATCAACGCCATGATGGCTGCGGAGTGCCGTGCACGGCGTGCAGATCCCCAATGAAGAAATACAAATGATGAAGAAATGCAATCTCATGGCTACTGATTGTTAAAATTATAGAATCCAGTTGCGTATAAACGAATGATTTTTTTTCTAAAGGGAAAAGATGGTTGATGGCCCCGCACACGCGCTGCCGCCTCCCCAAACGCTCTGTTCAGTTACAGTGCGGCTGGAAATCCGCCGGTACCCTGTATCTGCATTTTCGTGGAAGGCATACTATGAATGATTGTTGTAATTTTCATATATATACCAAATCAATTCCTATTTCTGCCTGTTTGACGACTCTGCAAGACCACGGAAGCAGCTCTGCTGGTCAGGGCTGAAACCGTCCGAAAGAATAATAATGAATGAAGCATTTCTCTAGCCACTCAGCGTGGCCCGGACGACTGTTATCATGTCATGATTGAAGTAAATCGCACTTCATTCGCGTCACAAACTTTCCTATATCAGTCCTTATCAATCTAGTTGTACTCTTCTACTGGGCCCCGCTGTGTACAATGATTTGCCAAATACGGACATCCACTTTCTCATAACTTAGGCAGTTCTGTTGTTCAGTAAGCCAGCAAATTGAATTGATTCTTTCAGTTTCGTTTTCATTTTGGATGCCCACCTGCAGGCTGCCTGCGTTAACAAAATGAAAGGTCCGAAAATAGGTCCAGGGGAAAAAATGAGTGCGTTATTGGCTATGCTCGCCAAGTTTCTCGTTGGAAAACTACCGCTGCATCAGCGTGTTTTCTTCTTCGGTTGAAAGGATCGAGCTGCCTGCTCTGGCACTCTCCAAACATGCAGTGGCTGCCGCGCCAGTGGCACACCCTGCATGGGCCTCGCCGCCATGGAGATACCGTACGGCAGCGCTACTGCTGGATGCAGCTGCGGGGCTGCAAGATGGGTGTAGTGACCTGGAAGCATATTCACGCCTGTCCAGATTGGCCGTACTCCAGGTATTACTGCTGGAGTCAGCACGCGGCGTGCCTGCATCATACTATCCGCCGGCATCATCAAGTGGGGAGCCCCGTACATGGCAGGGGCCACTTGCACTCCAGTAGTACCCAGTGTGGGCCGAGAGAAATCAGCTACCTGACCAGCTAGCTGGCTAGCCGGCTGCGAAAGTGCCGGACGCTGGATGTCCTCTGCTGACGATGCATCAGACAACTCGTCGCGTTCAGAATGTCCCCCTGGGGCATCTGAGTCCTCATTGCGTCCTTCCTACAAATCCAGAGGCAGCAGAAGCCATTCACCTAAGCAATATAGAAGAATCTTTGCTTTTACCTTCAAATAGCCACTTTGCCTCCCATACTAGAGAGGTCTCTAAACAGAAAGCAAAGAATTTCAAGACAAAATCCAAAACTTCAAGCAGCGCGCTTGCTGGCGCCGTGGCATGGCTGTGGCTAGGGATCGAGGATTGTGGTGTACTCACGGTTCCCGCTCTGCGTCTGGCAGCTTGAAGACAGTGCAACTGAGAATGCCGCAGGGCCAAGAGGTCTTTGACAACCAAGGGCCGGTGCTCCATGGGAAAAAACGACGGTAGACGCGTCGCCTGCAAAGTGGCCATCAGGTAGTCCACCATGTCAGGATCCGCAGCTGCAGCAACGTATTTTATCGCATGAGTGGGCATATATAACAATACAAATAAACTTGAAATATGTACATGCACATGCTTACAGATGCAAATATTGTGTAGAGAAACATCTATGCCTCGGCAAACAAGCAAGTTTGTGGATTCAGTATGTGCATGCACAACGCCAATTAGAAGCAAAGAGGGGCCCGAAATAGCGTATGCGACAACAGATATTCATGCAGTTCTCGACACGAGGATACATATAAGCACAGTTTTAGGGTCATGTGCATACACATATTCGCGAAAACTAGTATAACATGTCTCCTTCAGAATCACGTTGGAGAAACTGGCTTTTTATTCCACTTCATTCTCTAATAAAGAGCGCGTTTAACATCGTGTGCCAAAACTTCCGTACAGAGCTTTCCGTTGGCCTTGGGTAGGAGGGCGACTATATCACAAAGAATCTTGGGGGGCGCAAAAATGGGGATCTCCCTGGCTGCTTGGGCTTCCATTGAATTCGCAGCTCCATGTGGGGCTTGCTGCACGGAGTCCGGGTGGTACAGGATCGATAACTCAGGGTGAAAGGCAGCCATACTGTCTATATCGGGCCGTGCAATCATGGCATACTGGGCAGCTGTCTGTGCGGCCTTCCTAGCTGCTGGGGCCTCCTCCTCTATATCGTCCTCCTCATCTTTTGCTGGTACCCTTCCTTTTCCCCCCTCCGCCCCCAACAAACGCTCCGCTTCGGTGTCTTCCGGGGAACCCAAAGCCTCCAGCATAGAAGTCTTAGGGGCCATATCGCATGTCGTGTACAGCTCGTACAGATCTTGTAGGGAGTCTAAGAGGCAACAAAGCGGGGGAGAAGACAATGGAAAGTGAGACCACGGAGAGGCAAAAAAAAATACAGCAACGAACACAAAAACAAACAAGGCGCCAGCTGATGTTGCAGCAGATCGTCCCGTACCCACGATGGAGCTACTGCTGTAGCGGTTGTTCCACTAGAGCTGCAGCAGCTGCTGCACTAGCTGCACCTTATGAGGAGGCCTGGATAGAAAGCTTACCTCCTCCCATAAACTGCCTCTTCCTAATGTTCAGCTTAGCGCATGCGATCTCTCGGGGCTCCATCTCCCCGGCTCCCCTTTTGTGGGGGAGATTGCACAGTGTCTCTTGTTCTATGATAGCAGCAGGCGAAGCCGCCTCCCCTTCCCCCGACTGCTCCTCTCGCCGCTCAAAGCCCATAATTCCCAAGTCCAAGTCTGTGTTCAGCCGCTGCATCGCCCGCAGCTCCACTACCGCGCGGAGAGATGATCTGTGAAAAGCATAAAATAAAAGAACCAACGGTTGTATATCTTAATATCAAAAATGCCGAGCCCTACACCCCGCATTCCCATTGCCAAAGGTCTCTTTCTTACGCGTCTCCGTATTGCGCTTCCAGACGGATCCACTTCTTCCAAAGGAGGCGACTGCCGGTCCCCAGCTCCGCCTGAAGTGTCAAGACGCTCTGACGAAGTAACTCGCGAGCCCCTAAACCCCCAACGTAGAAACGCACGAGAGCGAATGGCAAGATATTAGAGCTCAGCATTTTCCTGCCATGTTCCCTGCTAGATCCCCGTTTCCACAGAGTTGGGAAGAGGGGAAGCGGAGGGCCTCTCTAAGGTTTTGAGGTTAAGGCTTAGGCTAAAGGTCGTTGAATTGGCGGACCGTCTAGGCGTTTCATATCGAGCAGCATGTCTGCGTAGGCTGCAACAAATTGCGGGTGGGCCCTGTACCGAAGGGCCCCCTTCCTGAGGGCCCCCAGGGCGTGGGTCTCGCTGCCAGTGAGTCGCCATTCAGTTCGTGCCTGCCCAATAAAAACCTGCCAGCTACAGCCCTCCAGCTGAGACACTTCTTCAAAACAAGCGCGCCAAGCAGATATACCCTATGTACCACACACCACAAGTCCTCAAAAACAAAAGCTTACGCAACTCGCACGCCATGTGGGAGAGCACGAGTCTGCGCACAGCGACACGTTCCCATGAAACTTGCACCTTCGAATGCTCAAAACTCCGACCACTAAAGCCTTACATATGACCTCCTTATGAAGTCAAGGTAACGCAGCAAGAGAACTGGGGATGTCCTGAAGTTTGCGGGAGGAAGGGGTCCTCCTTCCGGGCCAGCCCCTATGAGAGTAGTGGCACTCAGGGCGTTTCTGTAAACCGCGTCTGCCGCTTTGGTCAAGCGGCGATCTTCAAGAAACTCTGCCAGAATTATTTGCAGCAGCTCTGCGGCCACTCACAGACAGAAGAACCGTGAAAAAGGCATAGAAGTGGCTCAGCACCGTGCCAGGAAGCTGGGAGACAGAAAGAGAAAACAGGGTGAGAAAGGGAAACAGCAGGACAAAGAAGGTTAGCGGGCAAGCCACACATGTCGTGAATACGCCAAAGCCCAGTGGGCAAAGAAGTGAAAGACTAAAAGGGGAGGCAGAGGGAGCATTATGCATATAGAGACATATGTTAGGCGACGGGAAGAAGCACAGGAGCCGCATGCGGCAGGAAGGCTCACGAAGAGCCTTCCATGATGAAGGAGGGAGCGAAAAATAAATGCGAACGGGGGGCTCACCATCCCCAGGAAGAAACCTATCGATCGCCCGACGCAACACTTCGGATGCTGCACAAAGTCATAATGCATCCTAGAAGTGGCGGTAGATTCTATTAGACCCCTTAGAGACGCTGGAAACCCTTTGCATCATAACTACTGGAGGCCTTCAAAAGCTACTGTTTGGTTTCTCCATAATTTTTTTAAAATCTTTTTACGTGTTTCGCTCAAGCCCGGCCGCCCGCCCCACAGCACAGCGGCAAGTACCTCTCGTGGGCATGTGCTGCGCGAGCAGGAATTGGAAGAAATCGAACCAAATATTCGCGTGAAAGGCGCAGGACAGGAGGCACGTTTGGAAGGCTTGCGAAACCCGATGGCAGAACTGGGGGGGAGACAGCTTCAAAGGGTTAGTCTTTTCGAACGCCAAGACTGAGCGCCACGCGTCCACATGCGCCTGGCACACGCACCCCGAGCGCAAAACGTAGAGCTAAAACCGCAAGGCTGCATTCACTAGTAGGAGAGCGCTTTCTCCCTTAACTCCTCGCGAGTTGTGACCAAGGGAAGAAGCAGAGGAGGCAGGCAGCTGCTAATCAAAAAAACCGCCAGAAGACGAGCGTAGACTGGAAAATGAACGGGCGAAGTGCGAGCAAAACCGGGGACAGCACGTAAATATAGGCTCTTGAAGAAAGTGTAAAAGAGAGGAGGGAGAATGGAGGGAAAAGGGAAAAAAGGGCCCCACTTGGCGTGACTTATCGGTGACAGTGAGGGGTACCGCAGCAGTCAACCAATCAATATCCCGCGTTAGACGCGCCAGCTCCTGAACGCAAAACCGTTGAATCACTCAGAGCCCTGAGCGTATTCAATACTTCACAAAAAGAGCCGCTGTGTCTGTGTCACGCTCCCTGGATACATGCGTGTGCACATGTATTTATACGTGTATATTGACACCACTAGACAATAGACCCCCAACCATTTGTAGGCCTCACTGCATGCGCCTTTCGTGCATCGGCAAAGCGTTGCTCGAATGGTGCAAGGATTTTGGCGCTCAGCTGGGGATTTGAACCGACACTCCTCTCGAAGGCGCAGTATCCAGCCCACACGCCGTCCAATCCCGCGATGGCGGTTCCCAGACACTGCGGCAAGCCACACACATAAGCACATATACATATATGTATAAACAAAACGCGAGCCAACAGACCCTTGCAGCAAAGGGCATCCCAATAGAGCCGATACCAGCGACAGACGCGCCCGCACACGAGCTTCGACAGCGGCTACGCGCATACAGAGCAGAGCGCCACACTCCGAAAGCTAGACCCTGCTGCACATCTTACAGACTGGAAAGCACTCCGAAGGACGTTGAGATCTGCGTATTCGTCGATAAGAGCCTTCCCCCCGGGGCCCCCTGGCGTCCTAAAGGCCCTCTGTTCGACTTCGGTGGGAACTAAGGGCCCCGTGGCCTGACAACAACGCGGCAATCACCCACTACACCCTTCCACACCCTGATGGGAGGACTAAAAAGGAAATAGAGGCGGCGCGACAGTGCAAGGCGCGCTCAAGGGTTTGCATTTAGTCTGAATGACGGGAACAACGGGCTCCCGGGATGAATTACCCTGCCCGTGAAATCTGAGAGAAGCCCTTGTGTGAATCCCCGATGCAAGAGAGACGCATTGTACACTCGAATGTGGAGCAGCAGCAATTCTCGCCAAAGAGGAGCCGTGCGAGGATCCCACCGTAACTGCAGCAAAACAAACGACTCTACACAATCTCTTTAACCACGCGGAGGGCAGCAACGGGGTCTGAGATAGGGCAGGCTTGCAAATAGCGCCCCAGGCACCGAAGGGCCCAGACGCAGAACAGGAAGCTCCGCTAATTACCATCTCCACTGCACGAGTGAGAGCCAGGCGAAAGTCACTGACAGATCCCGTGCAATACACGAATTTCACGTAGGACATCCATAGCTCTGCGCAAACACAGCAGGCCCACTGCCCAGCCCTACATTGAGACGGCACCGGAAATAGCCGCTACACCTTTCCATTATAAAGAGGGGTGCCTGGAAGACGCAGATTTAACCGTCCGTTTTAAAGAGTTTGGCGCTCGTAAGCCCCTCCACCCCACACCCAGACAGCACGCACTTTCGTGGCTGCCTGCTTGACAAAGGGCACGCGCGCACCCCAAAGACTTCTCTTGTTTGCGTGCAACCAGTTAAGCATTAGGCAGACAAGAAGGACTGCCAAAGTCAGAATACGGCTTAAGAACTTAGGGCTTGCGGACGTATGTGTGTGTAGCAATTTGGAAAGAGAGAGAGAGAGAGAGAGAGAGAGAGAGAGAGAGAGAGAGAGAGAGAGAGAGAGAGAGAGAGAGAGACAGAGAGAGAGAGACAGAGACAGAGACAGAGACAGAGAGAGCGAGGCTGCCTTTGGGCTAGCCCTCCACTGCTTATCGGATGGCGCCTCGGTGTTTTCTGCACTTACCGAGTTGCGAACACGCGCAAAGACTGCGTTTATAAACGCTATTTGCCTTTTGCGTTCCCTGTCTTTGGAGCTCAAACTCCGCCAAGCGCCTCCAGAAGTCCGCAGACGTCGGGAAAATCTCGAGCACCCGTTCGAAGGCCTCCGTGGAGGGGTTCTCCTAAGAACACACCGGAGATTGCCACTAATCTGCAGACTTGCCTTCCCCATCCCACCCAAAAAGCAAGCAGACAGGTAGGGCGAGGAGGAGGATGCTTGGGGGCGATGCAGCGCCAGAAATTGCGTGAAGGGCCATGAGATGGAAGGTGTTGCCCCCCTTCCTCAGAAAGTGAGCCAATAAACGCAGAACCACAGAATGTGAGCCCCAGCGAAGAAAGTGGCAACAGCAGTAAGCTCTGCGTACAGCAAGAAGCGAATCCCATGTCTGCTTGTCAAAGGGGTTTGCCCGGATCTGGCTCTCCAACGCCAAGAGGGTGGGGCTGTTGCTGTTCTTCGCATCCACATCAGGAGGGCCCTTTAACCCTCTGAGGCTCGCAAAGACCCCGTCCAAGTCGATAGAGTAAAGGGGCAAGGTTTCACATGCTAGGGGTTCGGAAGCCACCTGAGCGGAGGCCCCAAGGGAACGTGGGGCCCCCGCCGGCACCCCGCGCTGCATGTTGCTCAGACAAAGTCAGCGGTCCAGCGGCGATAGCTCCAGTGTGGGTCTGTGCAGGAAAGGGTTTAGAGAGGGCGGGGGCGGAGGGGCCCTCAAAGGGCCCCTGCCAGTTCGGCCCGGGGCCTCCTCAGAAAGACGTAGTTGGAAAGCAAGAGAGGGGCCTCCACAGTACATAAGCATGGAGGCCCCCTCAGATATCACCTAGTGGAGGAGGACTTGGAAGGGCCCACCAAGAAGAGGCAACTATCAGAGCCGTGGGTCCAGGTCTTGGTCCGCAAGGGCAGTGTTGTACGTCTAATCATCTATTCACATAAGCTGCATCCTGGATGGACGGACCCGAAGCGTAGGTGCACGCAAAAATGAGCTAAAAGGGAGGAGGAAGGGGGAGGAAAAAGAAAGACCAACGCAGGCGCATGCAGCTGGTGCTCTTTGGGGCTGGGCGAGGTTCTTCCACGAGCCAACAATTTTTATTTCTGCGTCATTAAAATGCATTCAGAGCAAGTTTATAGCGGAAAGACAATTTGGAGGAAGTTAGGCAGATGCTAAGCACCTAGTGTCCACGCTGGGATGTACGCTCACAGAGTGTAGGCTCACTTGAGCGGAGAATGGGTAACTTCATCTTTATTTATTGATACAAAAACAGTGATCGAGACTAAGGTATAGAGGTTTAGCTGTATTAGGCTGGATTTGATAGACTTACTGCAATAAACTATAGAGAAATCTGTCCAATAAGCTTTGCGTGTTCATGAGCAGACCCTCCTTGAAATGATTTAGCAGCAGGCATGCTATGAAATAACAGGTAATTTAGTAAATTGCCTTGCTCATACTGCACGTGGTGTACGCACACACCAGCTTGTGTTTAAGGAGGCAGCAATGGTGTAGCCCTTATCAGACGGTGTTCCCCTGGCCATTGCAGTTCCTCGTCGCAGCAATTGATCTTCAGCTGGCATTATCTTCCTCAAAAGAAGTCTTATCGGCCCCCATCTTGCAAATGCTGATTCACCAAAATGACTCTTTGGGGGGCCTTGCAGCAACGAGTGGTAGGCGAGTTCTTCGCAAAGGTCTGCATGGCGCAGGGTCAAAAGGTTTGCAGAGGCCCAGAGGACTCCTCTTGTGTTGATTTCCCAGCGAAATTCAACATCAGAAAGGGTGCTGACTGCGTTGGGCCTCGTTTTCCGCCGCTGTCTCAGCCTGAGCTATGGGGCGAGGTCCTAATATGTCCCCCTCCAGCAACACATAGGAGCCTCGTGGCCAGCCTCAAGGCATTTCATGTTCGCCTGTATGCCAGGGATCAAAATGTCAGGACATAGGATGTAAGGCTCACAAGTGGTGCGAGTGGGCCTGTTGGGTTTCGCGGGTGACCCTCTTAGTTGGTGCACCGTTTCTATCTCCTGCGCCAGATATATTTTAGGTTCAGGGCTTTGCTTGCAGTTTTCGAGGCTTCAGGCAGATACGGAGCGCTTGACGAGCTCTCTTGGCAAAAGAGAGGCTGAAAAGTAGGGATCTCGAAGATGCCATAGAGATGTTGCAATGTGCATACACCGAACGTGGTGTGAATATAGTAGGCTCCTAAGGAAGCACTTCAGCCCCTTTCTTTGCCCTATCAAGAAAATCAGGGGCACTTGATAAATAGCTTACAAGCACAACTCATTCCGCTATTCAAGGGGTTGCCTTTGCCTATTAAAACGCATTCATTGCAGCATTCTTTGGATCATGCATACTTATCACTGCACAAAAATATATTGTCTCCCAAAAAAACGCTTTCACGTACACGGTCTGCTTCCCTACTGTCTGCACCTCATTTCCTTAGCCAAACAAAAGTCTCCAGCACCCCCCAGAGAGAAAGGGCCACAGGCTAGTGCCCGGAGGCCTCGCCTTTAGTAAATATAATCCTGCACGCATGGAGTCCCTGGCAAGTGAGAATGATGTGGCTCGGCTCACCTCCTTGTTGGCCCCAGAAGGACCAAATGGGGCCCGATAAAGGTTTCTACTCGCCCTGTTGTGCTCCTGTCTCCTGAGGCTGGACCTAAAGAGAAACAGGGAGCAGGTGAGGAAGAGTAATAGAAATAGTACGACATACTGCTGCTTGTGCGGCAAAGCAAACATGCAGGAGGGGGCTTACGGGGTCCCCGAAGCAAATCACACTGCTTAACATTATTGCGCCCTTATTCCAACCACAAGTCGCCAGGCTGCCAAAAGGGATGAGCCGAGTTCTTTACCGGGCTTTGGATCCAGGGTGTCGGCTCTTAGGGACCGCCAAGAAGAATGGAAAGAGTCCCTAGAAGGAGCAATCACGGAAGGAAGACAGGAAGACGGAGAAGGAAGATGGTAGATGGACACAGTGTAGGCGCAGTGAGGCAGAGGCAAAATTGGCGAGGCAGGCAGAAATAGAAAGGGGCGACTACAGCACGCTCCTCGAGTATGGTCTCTCTAATGTTATGCAGCATGCTTTTATTGATTTACCTAGGGGCTTATAGAGTCCATTGTGCCTTGTCTTCCTTTCGATGTTTGGAAGGTCAAACGCACCCTAAACCCGGGTGGTCAACCCCTAAGCCATTGGCGTTACCTACCCCTTAGTGCTTGGAGGCTTGACCACACGCCTTTCCATGAGCTGCCCGCTGCTGCAAGAGTTTCAAAATAAGGCAATAGGAGAATACCGATGGCAGCAGCAACCGCAGCAGGAACAGCACCAGCTGCACCAATATCAGTAGCAGGCGCTTTGTGGGTCATAGTACTCCTTCTTCAAAGCATAGGGCCCAAGCAGCGTTTGTGACCCTCCAGACTACAAGTTTAGAGACTCAATATCGGTATGTGTGTAGGGTCCGAGCTTATACATGGCCGGTGTGCTGCATTTCGCTGAGAGTAAGTGCTTCGGGCTTGCTTACAGGTTTTAGTGCGTACGAACTGACGACTAGGCTTTCAGGCTCGTGTTGGCGTGTAGGGTACTTTCAGCCGAAGCACAAGCGGCAGAGGAGAAGCGAGGTAAGGAGAAGGTGGGAAGCCTTAAGGTATGGAGGCCGCTTGAGCATTTTCCTCCTCGACTTTGGGCGGCAGTTCGTCATTGCAGACTTCTGCAGAGAAACGATGAACCCCTAATTTGGTGAACACCCCTACAAGGTAGAGCTGGCGGTCGAGGAGATGGCAGGCAGGAGGAGGAGCGGTTACAGTCTGCGACCATGCTGCCTGCCTCTAAGTGCTTACCCTCCTTAATAACACGAAAATAAAATACTCTTTTTTCTTCGCGCTGAATGACGCTCTGCTTGTTACTTTAGTACGCTAGCTACGGCGCCTCTTTCCTGCTTTCCCCCCTTTTCGTCTTCAACATTTATTTGTTCATGTACTCCGTAGGCTTTGCTTCTCCCTCTCCGTGCCCGCTTCTGGTGTAGTGTTTCTGAGTGCCTTTGTCGCCGTTCGCCGCTGTCTCGCCCCATGATATGACACTGCACACTGCTACCCGTGGAATTGTCTTACTTAAGTTTGCATCGCGCAATCAGCGGGAGCGGAGATAGAGTTGGAAGAGCATCTTCGTTCAAAGGTGAATAAACAACTTGAACCAACAGATGCAGACTTGCAAAGGCAGCGACAACTTGGGTCACAGGCTCTAAGTGCTTCCAGGCGCGACTATTTGTATGTATATTTGCATTTTTATGAAGTTTCCCGAGCACTGAGGCTTTACAGCTTGTGTATGTCCCTCAGACAACCCTCATGAAAGGGGAGCAGCTGACGAAGAAGCGCGCAGCCTTATCCAGAAAAAACATGCTCCCCACCCTGATTTTCGGTCCCTTTGATTTTTTATACCAATTAATTCTCATCTCTATGTCCCTCTTTGCCACTGCCTACGGTTTTGACTCCTTGCTCAATAGCCTCTCTTCTCCCTGCCTGTGTACCTCCATTTCTTTGCCGTACGCTGCCCCTCACCCCGCTTGCGTGTACGTGCCATGCATTGATCTGTCTCGTCCTTAGAATGACTATACGTTTAGAGCTCAGCGCTGCTTTAGTTCCCTCATTCTTCGTGAAGATGCTTTGGCTTGTGTGCGTCTGCAGGGCTTCCTGCGTGGGCACTTGTTACCTGCCTGCTTGCCTGCCTCCTTCTCCCACCCTGAGTCGCCGTCTTGCTTGTGTTTTCTGTGTTGCGTGCTGCTTTCGTGCTTGCCGTATGGTGTCTCTCTCTGTGATGCAGCTTCGTCCTGTTCCTTACCTCTTGCTGCAGTTTCTCCTAATATATGTCTTCCCCTGTTGGGCAATAGGGATTCAATTTTGCCCTTCGGGTCGTGCATGACTTGCAGAGGCTTAAGGAGGAGCTTATTAAAGCAAGGGAAAAGAAATTGTGGCGCATTTTAAGCCTGGGCGTTACGATTGCGGTTCTGTTTGGCTGGCACCAGGCTTTGCATCGGTTGCTGAAAAATCATCAGCCTTTGGGCCTAGAGTTTGCGCCGATTCCACGTAACAATTTTTGTTCGTAGTGTTTGTGGATAAGGAGCTGTTGTGAGCCCAAGCGGGTGCTCGGGAGATATAGGCCTTTCGGTTGTAGCAGGTTCTTAAGCAGCTTCGATTGCAGCAGCGAGGCAGCGGGACACCTCAAAAGTCCTGCAAGTCCATTGTCTGGAAGTCTAGCACGCTCAGCAAAAACTGCGCGTATGACTTGGGGGGTGTGCACTACGGCTCGATCTTAGCGTGTGGGCTTTAGGGCAGCTGCACAGACCTACAAAGGTCCGCAAGGATGTAGGGTTCGTGGTGTTGTTTAGGCAATGAAACGATTCGGTGCCTCTCTCTGCAAGCTTATTCAGAAATTCTATTTGTTGGCCCACAATAGATTTCATGGTGCTCTAAATTCTGAAGCCTTAGCCGTATTGTGCTCTTAGACAACCGAGTTCTTGTCTGCAACGTAGCACTGCTCACACACAGCGCACACCAGGCGAAGACAGCCTCTTTCCGAAGAGTTTCGGTTTGTGCTGCAGGAAGCACAGACCTTGGGCTTCAGGATGGTGAGAAGGAAACAGGCAAGAAGCACAGCAAGGAGCTCGCGAGGTTCCTATACGGGTGGGAACTCCCAGAAAGGCCTTGCGGGTGTCTATTCAGGGACCACTTGGGCACCGCCCATCAGGCGAACTACAGAGCCCCTTCCCTCGTTGCACCAATACCCAGAGGAGCTGCTGCGGCACAAAGCAGCAAAACCGTACTTCATGGAACCTTAGGTCAGGAGGAGACCTCCGACACAGTGAAGGCCTCTTTTAACCCCCCTCGAGGGCCTTGGCGAGTCCTTTCGAAATACAAGGGACACATCTGGGATCAAAAGAGGGTTTCTGCGACCCCCACATTTTTCGGTAGGGTGACGGCACGAGAACAACGGGTTCCCTAGGCTGATGGCGGCCCACTGCGAACAAACAGGATTAGGCCATCCCTGAGGGCTCTTCGTGCATGCCAGTAAAGCGCCCTGCAGGGACACCCACTAGCTGCCTGCTGAGACTTCGCAGCACGCCACCCTGCCACGCCACGAAGAAGTCAAACAACCGGCCCACCAGGAAACTCCACGGGTTCTGGTGAAGGCTTGTGCTGGCCCCTAATCCTGTGTTAGCCCTTGAAAGGGGGGAGGACAGCTGCCATTCCTGCTGCACCCCGCCCGTGTGCTGAAGCTCCACGGTGCCGGCCGCGTGTGCAGCAGCAAAGCCTGCCGTTGATCGCACTTGCCCAAAGGCCTCTGACCTCCCTGCAGGGTGCTTCTGGCAGCAGGAGACCATTCTACACCTCAGGGGGGGAAGCCCGACTGCGCTCTATTTTCCTCCTGCAAGCCACTCCAAAACGGAGCAGCTTCCATTAAATCCCCTATTGCAGCAGCTAGTTCAGAAAAAGGGCGCTCATTGGAATCCCAAGAGAGTTATGGAGACTAATCCTACGGAAGGGCCCCCGTTTCTGCAGGATCAAGCAGGCCAGCCCTCGACCCTCCGCTGTGAGTCCTCACTAAAGTCCCCTCTCCTTCTGCTTTTCGTCTAAAGTAGCTATAAGTCCCCTCGGGGCCCCCAAGAACTCCTGCAGCTTGCTAACTCTGTATGGGATCACTTATGGTACTGCTGCTACGGTACTTGCTGCTCTGCTGCAGCAGCAGCAGACGTGGACTCGGTGAGCCTGGATACCCATAGCAGAGAACACAGCCCTATTCGGCACCACCCGCTGTCTCCTCATGTGGACAAAGAAGGTGTCCACCTGGGGAGTTCACAGTATCCGCGGCAGCTTCCCCATGACATGAGGAGGACTTCCACTTCAGCGGGGCCCCCCGTCGGCCTCTAGGCTATCTGCCACAGCACCACGTGCAGCAGACGAGAGCATTAGGCTCAGCCACACTATGGTACTGCTGGCGGCAAAGGGCCCCGTGTTCGAGGGCCCCTACTCCGAGTCGTAAAGGTCTCCTCAAGGGGCCTCCTCTGTGCCTATAAGGGAACTGGCAGCACTTTCAAGAGTGCATTGCATTCATGCCTGATGACTCACAACCCTCTCCACATTCGATGATATCCTCCAAATACCTTATCCGCCCCTCTCTCCACATATAGACTGATATATATCTATGTTGACAGATATGTATCTTCTGCCCCTGTCTTCCCTAGATCCATAGCCGGGTGTCTCCGCTTACCTGCCAGTGGCTTAGCTCAGTCTGCCTCCTTCCTGAAACTCCCACAAACCAAACAGCCCCCAGCCTTCTTCGATCCACATCCTGGGATGAACGTTCATACACCCCCTCGGCATGCCGAAGGGTGTGAAGCGTGGCGACATCAACCCTCCTTCTGTCTGTCCACCGTCCAGCGGAGTTTCGGAACCCTACACAGTTTTTGAGGATCGACCCATGCAACTAGGAAAGGCAACCCTCTCGCTCTTTCTTTGCACATGCTCAATGGAAGCGTCCAACATGCAGCAGCGCTCATACATCAATGACACCGGCTTCCGTCACAGCAAAGGGCGTGGATGAAGGAGCAAGATGCGGCGCGAAGAGCAAATGCATGTATCGCATGCTTCCAAAAGGCCGGTATGTCTGCTGGCGCTGCGGAGCATCCGTCATGTCGGCAGCTTCTTCCGTGGTACAGTGGGTAGATACGCGCGAGAGAAAGAGGCGGTAGTGAAGACAGCTTCCCCATAACTCCCCTAAAGCAGCACGAAGTTCTGTGGGAGGACCTGTTGATGCAGTAGCCTCAGTAGCTATTGGCCATCCATGGGGCTGCTGATGATTCTGCCCGTCACTAAGCTTACACCGCTTAGCGTTCTCTGTCTCCTGATGCTTCCTCCTGGGTGCTCCAGCAGCGGCATTAGGAGGACCGGCAGAAAGTGTAGAACAGGCATCAAGCACAGCGGAGACGTGATTAATCACGAGGCAACAGCAGGTATGCTCTGCAGCAACTCGCCTCAAGAGCGCAGCAAGCCGGGCGAGCTTGCTGTTGTGCGTTGTTGCTGCTGCTGCTGTGGCAGCGCTGGGCTTTAGCAGGGCAGCAACGGAGTCGATCACAACGAGGACCAGGCGGCCCTTCGAGACCAGCAACCGCGGTAGTTTGTACAGCACGCACGAGACAAGCTCCTCTTCGCAGTTTATTTCTTCCACCAAGACTTGCTGCAGCAAGTCGGCTGCCGTTGCTGCTGCTGCTGTTGATGCGGTCTCTGAGGGTGGGTAGGGGGATCTTCGCAATAATCTCTGGTGCAGCAGCTCGCCGAGGCGACTTGCTGGAAACGCTCCCTCGGAATGTATGTAGTACACCACTCCCATGGCGTTGCTGCTGCTATTAAAGCTGCTGGCCCTGTTTGCGAGAAGGCTTTGCTGCTGCTGCTGCATCAAGTGCTGTTGCAGCACGCACTCAGCAGCAAGCGACAGCGCAAACTGCGTTTTGCCGCTTCCCGCAGCTCCACAGATCTCGCCAAGCATCGCAGCTGGCAGACCCCCGCCGAGGGCCTTATCTATCCGAGTCTCCCCTAAGGGCAGCAGCAGCTGCTGCTGCTGCTGCCAGTGGAGAGGCAGCAGCCAATGTTGTTGGTGTGCTGCAGCTGCTGACAGGATCTCCGCTGGCGTCCTGTCCCTCCACAGCATTGTCTTAGGCGGCCACTGCAGCAGCTCATCCGCAGAAGCAGTAATTCCACTTGCAGCTGCTGCAATAAAGGCACTTGCCGCAGCTGCAGCTGTAGCTGCCTCTGCATCTTGCTCATAGGGGGCATCTTGCTCCAGGGCAACAAGCTCGCCCAAGGCTTCTGCATGTCTAATGCCTGGGGAAGTGTCTTTGAGCCGCTCTGGGGCCTCTTCGGCGGGGGTGCCCATCTCGCGCGTGCTACCTGGGATATGCAGCTGCCCAGATAGGTCTACCAGGTGCTCAAATCATCGCCTTTGCTATGGTCGTTGGTATGGGCCATACTGAAGCCGAGCTGGTTGCTGCTGGTGCAACGGTTCCTGTGGTTATTGCTGCCGATGTTGGTGCTTGCGATGCGTTTGTTCCTGTTTCTGCGGCCCTATTCCAAAGTCTGAAAGCTGATACCCTTATGCTGTCGACGAGGGGAAACTCCTTTTGGAATCTCGCGGGTTGATTGCCGGTTCGTCAAGGGGTCCAAAAATGGCGGGGCCCCCACCATGCAGGGGGGCCCCTTGTAGTTAGGATACCTCGCCTAGAATACACGCAGGAGAAACCTATATGTGTTGTAAGAGGGCGTTCCATCGCCTTTAATAACGCAAGCTAAAGCGTGGCCATTAGTGGACTCTCCATGCGGAGGAAATATATCAATTTATGGAGGCGTACAATGCACGGGGGCGTCCTGAACCTGCCCCCGGTCAGTCCACTGGCTATCGCAGCAGTGAGAAGGCTGCCCAAGAGGGGTGCGCATATAGGTGACTGCCTGCAGACATTATTATTATTCCAAGCTATGTGGCGTTTCGGGGGCTAAACTACGAAGAGACAAAGGAAGAAGCCAAAAGTAACATGCTGGTGCGGTATCACCAGGGGAGAGCGTCCGTGGGCTCCAGTAGATTGCATCAAGAGAACATGTCTGCCACGTTTACCATCTCCACCTCTATTTCAGGGTTTTTTCAATATTAGAGGGAATGCCATTGAGCAGCGCACACAACCCAACTGCGCAATCTATTGTGCACATAGACCCCTCGTGGGCCAATAATGACGCGCCCAAGATATTCTCATGAACGCCCTTGCAGCAGCGTAGTAATTCGAATGCATGAGCGCTTTGACTCACATTTCTAGCCTACTGTGTGGTCAAATCAACCCCTCAGTTGCCAGTCGCGCGCTCTCTGGTGCCATTTTTCGGTGTGACCCCCTTAATCGGAATGCTGGCAACTGCACAAAGGGAGGCCTCTTCCCTTTTTTTGCCAAGGAACCTGTCAAGGGTTCTCAGGAGTATTCCAATGGCGCGGGATATGCGACGAGCAGCGGCCGTGGCAACACCCAGCATATGCACTCCGCGGGGCCCTCTGCGAGTGCTGCATTATCACACTGGCACCCACGTTCACCACCGCCACAACAACAAGAACAACTGCAGCAACAGCGACTCTACTGCGCCGGGTACTTCCTCATGTTGGGGCTGCAGCTGTCCGGTGGTCTTGGTGCAGCGCCCACACCAAGTGGCTAAGCAGGAGCAGCAGGAGCAGCAGGAGCAGCAGGAGCCTCATCACCCTCATCAACAACAGCACCAAAAAAGAACTGAGGGCCCTGAGCCTGTGTATAGCTTTGCCAAGGGTGGATACTGGCAGCTACAATGCCGAAGACGGATGCGCTTTCCTTTTGGAGGCGAGTTGCAGAGGCTGGACATAGCATTTGAGGTGTACGGGCACCTCAATGAAAAAAGGGACAATGCTATACTACTCGGCTGCGGTGTATCCGCCTCGTCACACGCCAAGAGCCACCCTCACAACAGGGAAACAGGTTTGCTGATGTTGCTGCCTGTCACTGCTTTCGGCCGTTTCCGTCGTTTCTTTTCTTAACGCCGTATAGGCTACCAGTGAGCTGGTGCTGCTGCTTTTCAAATGTCATGATAGATATCTTTTAAAATGCTACTACGACCATTGGTTTTGCCCCTTCAGGCTGGTGGGAGGGATTCATAGGCCCTGGGAAGGCGCTTGATACGAATCGCTTCTTCATCATCTGCATCGCCAACTTGGGCGGTTGCAGTGGCACTTCGGGGCCCTCCAGCTTCATCCCACAGCAGCAGCAAAAGAAGCCGCCCGAACCGGCAGCAGACAATGAAATTCGTTACGGGCTCAACTTCCCTTGGTTCACCGTGCAGGATATGGCGCGCGTGCAGCTAAGAGTCATTGGTGAAAACTTTAAACCGTAATCCGTAACCAATAATTCCAGCTATTAGCCATAAAAGGTAAAGCTTTAGCATGCGTGCTTGTGTGTCTGAGTTTCTTTCAGACCGACTGCAGATAGGACGTCTTCACGCTGCAGTGGGCAGTAGCTTAGGGGCCCTGCAGGTGCTCTGTCTAGGGGCCCTTTTCCCTTCGAGGGTTGGACGCTTGGCTGTCATCAGTGGGGCTCTCTACTGCCGGCCCATGGCCATCGCTTTTCGCTACATACAGAGACAAATACTTGTATAACAAATCCCGAACCCTTACTTAATCCTCAACACTACCCGCAGCCCTAGTAGTACACCGGTTCTGCGTAAGGAGCACACCCCCCACGATTTCCTTAATTTCGAACTCCAAATAATCAAGCTGAGTTTGCAATATAAATTGCAATTCCAAGCTTAAAAACCAGCAGCCTGAGAGCTGATCTGTGGCTTCAGATGGCAGACCCCGCATTCGCATGTGGCAATTATTACGGCAAGAAGTATCCCTCTGTCGGCATGAGACTTGCCAGGCAGGTCTGTCGCTGCTGATGCTGGAAAAGGAGCTATTTGCCACTATTGTTCCTACTGTTGTTCTTTCCGTTACACTTGCTGTCGTCGGTACGCTGCTGCTCATTTGGAGCTTTTCTGCCGCTGAGGCTCTTGTTGTACCGGGCTTGATATTGCTGCAGATACTGCTGATACCGAGACACTTGAGCGTGCTGCGCTACGTATGCCTTTGTTGCTGTATTTAAGTCGACGCCTGCTGCTTAGAAAATGAAGCTACGTCTCTTTTTATAGCGAATGCTGTTTAAAGTGCTGAATCTGCTGCTACATTTGCTGCGATTTTTGCCACTGTTCTTGTAAATAGGTGGCAACAATTACATACAGAAGCGGTCCCGAGTGGATGCTTCGCTTTGGGCGGCTACGGGTTCCAGGGGCCCACCAGACTTCTTCTAAAGGGGAGGTCCTCGGCGAGGAGAAACAAGGTGTAGGTAGCCCCTTGGGGCTGGGGAGTTTGTGGCCCCTGTTGGGAGACGATGAAAAGCACCTGAAGGCGGGCATCCCTCCGCCCTTGCATGCGCAGGAACCAGACCAGCAACAGCAGTTGCAGCAGCAGCAGCAGGATGCAGAGCAGCACCACCACCAAAGCATGCCAAGCCTTGGGGCTGATTTCGCTATTGAAGCCTACGTTGAGCAACAAGGAAGAAAGTGGAGGGCCTACGATCCAAACTCACTCCTCTACCTCTCCAAGGTGTCACATTAGCCTCATACGATAAGCTTATCGATCTATGCCCGCAATCAGTACTTGCTGCGTTGCTCAGAGGTGTCTAAACTTCAGTACCCTTCTGCAGCACACGAATGCCCTAGACCATAAATCTTAATGCATGAGAGGCGTTTGCAATTCCGTCGTGCTTCCTGTCCTCGACGGACTTTTATGAAGTCTGTATATCCTTCGTTGACGCCCATTATGGAGGCCCGTGTACATTTTCCTGTGCGCTCATTTGCTCAAGCATTGACTTATGTCCCCTTGACTCTTCACACTGTCTGCGTTCACTAAGTTCTCGCGTGCTTAGTCCACTGCATGCACATGAGAAGGTATGCATTCCCCTATAGTGCATCTATCAGCCCCTTCCTGTGAGTTTGCGGTTTCAAAGGCCATGGATCTCTTTTCTCTTGCGCGGCGGGACCCGCACACCGGCACTTCCTCGTTGGTCTACGGCGTCCGCAACCTACAGATGCCCGTGTTGGTGATGGGCGTTCATAGCGATCTCCTGTTCCCTCTGGAGCAGCAGATTGAAATAAAGGACACATTGCGGAAAGCTGGAAACAAAATGGTCTCTTTCTACTCCCTAGACAGCATCTATGGCCACGACACGTTCTTAATCGATGTCACCAATGTTGGTGCTGGAGTTAAAGGACACTTAGAACAGGAGTTCGATACAAACCATTCAGCGCAGTACCTTGGTCAATCTAAAATAGAGTACCAGGTAAGCGCTTCGAGCACACAAGAAGAAGGCCCCCAGTGGCTACCTCGGCGTGTGGTGCACCCTAGGGGCCGCCGGAGTTAGGGCCCACAACGAGATCTCTAGCAAGCCTATCCACAACTCCCTGGGCCGTAAGGCTTCGTAAGCATGAGCTTAGCCTCTTAATGGCCCTCCCTGCTGGCGATGTGACACCCGTCGATGGCGACAAGCGTGCGCTCCTGCTTGCTTCTGGAGGGTTTTGGCGTCGCCGTATGAAAGAAAACCCTCTTCACATCATCAGCTTGTATCTACATGGGCATCTAAGGCTTTCCCAACCATCGTATAGGAACTGAGGAAGAGATGTGAAGTACCTGCTTTATCCGTCATTCCGTTGTCGCATAGTAGCGTGCCGACTGTAGTAGGCAAGCCCGCAGTCACCGTTGTGCACAACTGGGGAGCACGCTCAAAGGCACTGGTTACACCATGTAGCTTTGATCGTGCTTTTTCGGCTTTACACTCAAGGCTTTGCTTGAATATGGGAATATGCGTGCCGATGCCGTGTAAAGCCAGCTGCCCTAGGGCCGCTCAAATCACGTGGGCAACTTCTAGAACGCTGTATCTTGCATACGTGCTGGGGCATGTAAGGTCAAGATACAGCTTGCTTGCAGTATTTATTTGAAACATCGAAATAAAAGGCAGCTATCATATGTAGGAACGTAAAATGCCGCAGTTGGTGCACTGAATTCTCCCAGGGCCCCTTGTGGGTCACCGGGGAGGCCTATGGGTCTCTAATTCCCTGAAAGTTGCCCGCTCCTATTCACGCCTTATTCACCTTTACTCAGGTGCCTTTGTTCAATTGACTTACAGATGAACCGGCAGAGGGGCTGCTGGGCACAAAACAAGGTCTTTGACCTTGACTGTAGACAAATAACACAAAACCTACAGGCCACGGAATAATGCAGTGGATAGACACGAGCAAGAAAACGAAGAGAGCTCCAGATGTGTCTATAAACAAAGAATGTATGCTGGCTTGATGCAAAACAGGCAAAATCGAATTCCTCCTTCATGCATAAACCGCCTATTTTTCCGGCGGCACCAGGGGGACCCCGGGGGCTTCTCGCCAGAAACACACAGGCCCACTCATTGAGAGACCAAAAAGTGACTACTGAGCCTCAGAGGCTCCAGAAATCGCATCTGTGCATGGGTTCCATGAAGCCGGAGCAGGGCATGGCCTTGCTTCCAATGGCGCCCACGGGCAAGAAGCCTGAGCAGGACACATTTAGGGGCCCAGTAGATTTTGTATCTGCTAATAGGGAAGCCGTGAGCATGCTCGAATGTAAAAAGCCGAAGCAGAAAACGCCCAAAGGGCAATTTTCGAGGCACAAGAACTTCGGCGTGATACCAAGATACGTCAAAGTACGTTCAGCGTTTGAGGTTTCGTACAGGATCACGGGACAGTTTTGTCGATCATGATAGTGCAATGCGAGAAGTGTTTATGCACAACTGGCGCCTTTTATGAAAGGTCTACGCTCGAAAACGGACCACTCTCCAACCCCCCACCTAGAAAGCAGACCCATTTGAGGGGAGTAGATTTAATCCCTTAACTCGCTTTATACCTTTCAGCCAAGAGCTTAATTGACGGAAAATGGAGTGCACATCATGGAGGTGGATCATTTTCTCAGGCACTGCGTACTGCTGCTGAACAAAAAGGGCGCTCTGAAGAGAAAGGCGCATGCGACGATACACTGCCACTAGGAGTACGCCGGCTTCCAGAAGCAGAGCGGCAGAAGCTTCTCAGCCTTGTTGTGCAGCAGCAGAAAGAAGCAGAGGTAGGCACAAGAGTCCTTTAAGAGAACCTGGTGATAAGCTTACTATTAGAGCTTCACACCTGCTAAGTAGCTTCTGTGGTGTAGCATCAAGATGTTAGGCTGAAGCGCCAAAGGTCGCTGCACTGTGTATAACTTACAAAGGAGCTTGTTGAGTAGACAAATAACTGCCTGAGGATGTACGGATAGAGGGAATGGTATAGCCAGGAGACACGAGCAGCGACGTCCTTGGCTCCAAACCCTAAGTTATTGATGCTATAAGCTATACCACACACGCTAGTTACGTGTATGGAATTTATTTTACAACCTAATCTTAAACTTCAGGCCCTTAGCGTAGGCAATTTGTCTAGCCGGTGAGTGTGTGCGTGGTATACCTGCCCAGAAAGAGCTGAGCTTGCTGCCAATAGCCCTTAAGACCGAGCGCCAAAGAAAACGTCATGAGGAGTTGCTACGGCAGCTGCTGCGCGTGGACAGCTATATTCTAAAGCTTAGCAGCAAAAATGTCCTGATTGAAGAGACATCGCAAACAGAAAGTGCATCTTCGACTCTGGGGTTAGCTGGGATTCGATGAAGAGATCGGCTCTAATGGTTTAGGAAATGCCGAGAAGGGTGTAGGGTTGAGACATCCTATACATAGGGCTTAGGCTGTGCAGTCGCAGCAGTATGTACGGATAGACAAAAAGGTACAGGTGAGAAGACAGGTGCAGCGACTCCTGGAGTTCCAACTCGCAATTCTTGATGCTATGCTACAGACGCTGAATCCCAGGTGTGGAGCCTAACTAGTAAGCTTTACATCTTGAGTCGAAAACTTCGAGCTATTAGCGTAGGCAACAGGTCTAATTAATGGTGGTTGCGTGGTACCACTGCCCAGAAAGAGCTGAGAATAGTAAATGGGGCAAAGGACAAGACAAGAGACAGCATGGAAGCTGAAAAGATGCAAAACTATGGGTATTTCACCAGCCACCTAAAGGCAGAGCAGTGAAAGCGATAGGGCCATCATGATGACAACTTCACATGAGGCAGTTCTCGCGCCTCAAGGCCACTTCGCCTATCGGCATCTCTTGAGAGAGTTTGTAGTGCCCTAACCAACCCCTTTGAAGCATACAGGCAACAAATATAATTATTATTTTCCCCAAGTGCATGCAGAAGAGAAATCGTGCAGAGGTCGATTCTCTTCCTCATAAAATGGGGATCTCAGCAGCCTCCACGCATTTTCAGGGATGTTAAGACGTGGCCACGAGTCCAGATCGTGTGGATAAAGCACTAATATCTACACCTTATGGCCGAGACCAGCCCCTAATGTTGCAGAGATGCTTACCACATAGCACATTTATACGCTGATGGCCACACGAAGGAGACATGCATGCATTCCTTAGTCCGCTGCACAATGAAAATCAGTCATAATGAATAGCTGCAAAAAGTTTGCGAACTAATGTATCTGCTCCTTTTAATCAGCCCACAAGCAAATGCCTATGTATCAAATGATATTCCATTCTCTCTAGTCCCCCTCTCGCTTTCAGGGCAAGTTAGCTCCATGCTGCCTGCCTGGTTTGTGAGGGGAATGCAACTCGGAACCAGGAAAGAAGGAATATAGGCAGAGGCTGGGCATCATATATTTTGGCGGCATACTTATCGAGCTGAAAATATCCTCGTACTGTACGTTTTAAGAGTGGCAGACACTGCTATGTCCAAGTGTGTAGCAGCCTAGGCTACACTGAAGTATTTTCTTTCTCTCCAGTGATACTGAACTACGGATTGGTAACGAATCGACTACTTGGCTTCTCTACTCCCACGTCGCACTTTTTGCATATCGCTACCAGCTCGCTAGAAGCAGGCGCATTGTTATGTGCATCTGTTCCACATGTTACGTTATGCAACTAGGTGTGAACGCCCAGAAGGCGTACAGGGTACAGCTACGCACCCAAATCCCCATCCCCTCATATCGGAGCTCCAAGTGGAGCGGGCATGGGGAGACAGGGACTCTTTTGGAAAATACTCCGTAGCTTTTCATTAATTTTGAGTCGAATCGGTTAATAGAGCGCCTTCTTACGAAGATACTGGGTGGGCATTGTAGTTGGTAGCTCTGCATTGTTCAATGCAGCTGTTTCTAGCTGATCAAATGCCTATGGAAGCAGTGGGACGCCAGGCCGCCCTACGACGTCTCCTGGTTCTGATCTTACGATCTGGTAATTCAACAATCTGATTTTTGGCGGCAACAGTCATAGAGGAAAAGCACATGGCAATGGAGGGGGACGGTGCTGGCACGCCGGTTGGGCGGTGGAGCCCAGCCTGCAGGTTGTTATTAACGCTCTTGCTCCATAGCTGGTATAAAGGCATGACACTCCAGCCGATAAAAGATTGATGCATGCATCCGTGAAGTTAGGCCAATTAGAAAGGTAAGACGGATGGAAAGATTGGCAAGTACTCAAAGATTGAATCGGCCAGTTGGAGATGTACCTGAAATTGTACCCCCCAGATGAATAGAAACGAGTGTTTCTCGTGTGTATTGGAAGGCGAAGCACTTCAATGACAGCGCTATTTACGCAGAATAGGTTAGTACGTGCAAGAATCACTAAATCTCAAGCCTCATACACTCCCTTTACCATCGGTCAACGCCAAGATACGCTCAACAGTGAGAGACTTGACGGGAGGGCGAACGCTGAAGCATGAGCACACACAAATAGATCGGTATCTTGAAAAATAGGAAAATTGAGTCCGCAAAAGCCGCAGCGCAAATAAAAGCTGCATTATCAGAAGTTCATCTCTTCTTATCTGAACCATCACGTCGGGTAGTCGCAGATTGGGCAGCGACTCAGCAATTAAGCAACAGACTACCTAGGCTCTCGCAAATGACGGACTCGTCGAGTTTTCAGGATTACATTAGCGCCAACCCGGCGTCTTTGATTAGAAAAAAGAGCAAGACTGGATTTCTTAAGGTTGGCCATAAAATTTTTTGAAGAGGAATCTCACGCTCCTGATAAGCCCCAGAGAGCCTTCTGACAACTCACTTGCTTTCGGTGCATAAAACTGGATCATCAAGTCCAGAATTGCAAGCGTTTGCAAAGCGCCAAACAACGTAGGCAAACTAATTGGCTCCAGCGGAAATACACTGCGTGGTAAGTACGGAAGGCGCACAAGGGAAAAAGCAAGATATCCATGCACGCTGAGTCGCAGCTTAAGAGGGTTATAGAGGATAGAGTGAAAATTCGTGACCCACCACTGTTCAATTATGCCCTGATACAATCGCGCAGTAATGCTCGGAAATCGTTAGTGCCACTTAAGACTGGATGTAAATTGGATTTGTTATCCGATGAGACGGCACAGAAGTGAAATCTGGCTCTTCACTAGTAAGCGCATTTCCCAAGGCTCACGTTTTTCTGACAGATAGAACCACAGAAGAATCGGCAAGGCGGTGGCAATTAATTGCCAATTTAAATTAGCTTGTGGTCTATCAGCATCGTAAGTGAGTTTTTTGCTGGACCAGTGCGCCATGATATGATTGTAGCCCATAGGAGACCCAATCGAAGGAACGCATGCGGCGAAAGAAGCACGCTGCTGCGTTAACTGAGCCAGCAGTCTTTAGGGAAAAGGTTGTTCTGGCTTTCTCAACAACTCGCATTTTATTCATGATAAGTGGGGTTGAGTTGGTGCCATGGCAATAGGAGGCACGGTCTTTATGCGGGCGGTAAGGCAGGGCACGCAGGGAAGACGGTTCTGAGCAGGCGACCCCTTTTTCTGGCTCTGCAACTTTTTTCTTTATCAAGGCGTTCTACTAAAAGTTCAATTGCAAATGACAAGAGTGGGCGAAGATAAAAGAAGTTCGCACATGGGCTTAACAATGATGAGCTGCCAGTAGGCTGGCCATCTGCTGGTCGTCCAGAGCACCGTATCAAGCAATTCTTAGGCTCAGCCCCAAACTACACTTCGCGGCATTGCAAGCCCCTAAGAGGAGACGAGGTTCAGCAGCAGGTCGATAGTGTGTTTAAAAAGGCAAAATATTGGTATCAACCAACGCCTTGGCGCATATTCCTGCAGTGGATTGGAAGGACAAAAAGGGGTGCATGCGCCTTAAGTTTAATTCCTTTGACAAAGTCGCTGCTAAGCAAAATTTCTCAATTCCCTGTATTGACAACTTGTAAAAACCACGTATACCGAATAGTAGTATACTGGATAGCTGACTTTTCAGACGCCTCCTTGCAAATATCCGTTCACCAACATGACATGGGTAAACGGGGGTTCCACACTCATATTTGTAATTCCGAGTATGCGCATCTGCACTTGTTAATGCTGCCGTTGATCCACAAAGGCAAGTAGATCGCGCTTTCAATGGGCCTAGGACTGGATGTTGTAGGTAGTAGGTGTCTACGTGGAGGACGCATCGCCAACAGCATGAGCACCGAGGGCACCCAAGGCTTGCACGTCAGCTGTCCAGGGATAACAATTTACGTGAAGGTACGTAAGTTCTCGATTTAATTAGAGTAGTTGTGGTATGGTATCTACGAATTCAAGCTGCAGGATCTGAGCTACAGCCGTCGAAAGCTGAAGTAATCAGAGTGTAGCTCGTACTTGCATGCAACAGCGAATATGTTGAGAGATCCCATGGATTCGCGTCTTCTTCCCGGACGCTTTTTATCCTTCTTGGCCTTGCTTGGATCATTTCTTATTGAGTGATCTACGAAATAAAGTTCCATCCCTTATCTGGGAAGAGAAGGCCGGTGCTGCCGCAAGGATGCGATTCAGCCGCCTTGCAACGCCTCCTGGACCCGCATTGCCTCCCGAATAACAGATCCTAGTGGCGTAGCAGTGAATGCGTTTCTCTTCCAGCAGCCTACGAGTGCTCCGAAGCATCAATTTATTCGTTGTTATTCTTTTCACTCCGCCCACGCCTAGCAGCGGTTCCACTTCGGGAAAGGGAACTCGATACGGTGCAGTAGGCTTGACCATTGCCAGCACTGTGTGTATGGGCTTCACTTTACGATACAGACCAATTATCAGCCTTTGATGCAGTGTACGGAGAGCTTTCAGCACCCTTATCATCCTAGAGCTGCTTGTTGGACTGGGTGCTTCGAGCAGTACTGCTTCACAGCGAAATCTCTGAAGCGCTTCGTCGACGTGGTTTCTACCTTGCTCTCGCGACGTCCCAGTTGCTCACTATTGTGCGACACAGCCGCTTCTGTCCGTAACGATATGCAGTTTCTATCAAAATTGCGTTTTGTTTATGCGTTTTATTTTTAACATTGGCTATCACTGCCAAAATCCACAATGCCAAAAGAGTGAAGTACCTCCGCGTTGACGATGGCCTGCTGTGGTTCAAAACAGGGTGGGAACTCAGACGTTTCCACATCCCAGCTTTGCCCCGCAAATCCATTTTGCTCAAGTCACCTGATTCTGTTTGCTTGACTTATTGTGTAATTTACACTGCAGTGGGAAAAACCCACAAGTGCTTTTGGCGGCCTGGGATGTGTCCTGCCGCATAATAGTTTGCGTACCATGCTCAGAATGCCAGCCGCCGAAGCTGCGAAGATCCTTCGAAGCCTAATCTTTAGCGAACGCATGAATATCTGTAAAAGTACGTGGACTGAGCTAAATCTGGACTTAAATGCTGGAGTGTTGTAGCTCAAGGGTGTACGTCGTTGTCCCTAGACTGAGCAAACATGCCCAGTTTATCCCTTGCTCTAGGTCTGTGGCGGCTAACCACGTTGCTCAAGAGCTCCTAACTCATTTCCAGAAGCTTCAAAGAATTATCAGAAATATCACCACGGATATGGATCTGAGGTGCTTTAGTGCGTCCTGGCGTGCCCGTACGAACCGCCTACGCGTTGACCATAGTATGATCATTGGAGTCACCTTGAGACAGAGGAGAAATAGCGCATTGAGTGCGCTCTTCTGCAGTATTTATGGTCTCACGCCCAATATCTTCAATTGCCTGGGCTAGTTTCCTCCATTGTGCTTAGTGGGATTGTAATACGGCAGTTCCCTCGTCGATTGATCACCCTCTCGCATCCTTGCTCTCTAGTGAGAAGTCCCCTTTAACTCAGGCCTGGACGTATCGATTCAAAAGCACCAGTCAATCTTGGCAACGGAAAGAGTCGAGGAACAACTGGCTAGTGCACATGAAGGTATGGGCAAAGCTCAAGAGAGACAAGCACGCCATTACGATATGCGGCGACCTGCTGCATGTTTCGAGCCTGCAGGCTTGCTTCTGGTGAGTCGGCAAGGTTTACTAGAAGGTGTAGGAACGAAGAAGCTTGCGGATAGGAGGATGAAGAGATGAATGCTAAACGAAGCAGCTTGCAGCCAGGTGGCCAGGACCATTTGCGAGTGTCTTGCGAACCAGTGCAGTTTCTTGCCCCGATTTCCCTCTATCCTGGAGGTGCTACGGGAAATCCAATATTGGCCTGCTACAGAAGCTCTAAAACTCTCCGAATCATCCACTAACGTTGCCGCACAGGCAAGTGAGTCGTAAGGAGGCGAATGATCCCCAGGAAGCCATAGCACTGATGGAATCTAGAAATTTAAAGCACCGAGAACAAATTAGAGGAAAGGCTCAAGTGAATTGGGGAGAACGACCGCCCGGAGGGGCGGTTGTGGGTTTAACTGCACAAGGGAGTATTCTCGGCTTTCTACAGTGCTAGTCCCTATGGACGGGTGCTCCTCGTGTTCCTTTGAATTTTTCCCATGCCAGTGCGGGAACTGCCTGAAATAACTACGTTCACGTGTGCTTGTTGCTTCAAAAGCTTTTCATCAACCAGGTCTTGACACTCAGACTGATGCACAAGCACCCTAAGATATTCTGTTCCTACATTCGTCCTTGGGGCTCTTTAGGATTTTGAAGTAAATTCAGTTGCATGCATCGCCTGTGTTGGTATCCAGTTTGTGCTATCTGAGGCGCGGAGACATTGCACATCAGTTCAGCAGTATGATTCCCCTTCACAAATTCACTTGTTCTGTTTCTCCTAATAGAAGGCTCATGCACTTCAGCGCTCGGACAACAGGAAGCCGTTACACCGCCAGAATTGTGTTGGTTTTGATCCTTGCTCGCTTTTTGCTAGTGTTTGTACCTTCTTCCCGTCGATTTCTCTTTATCCTATGGTGCACATTCGGATATCCGCAATTGCGCTGTTTTTCGCGTTTCTACCTGCGTGGAGAGTGGCGATAGGGCAGAAGCCCACGGTGCCCTGTATGCAGGTTGTCTTAACGTACTGGTCAAGAACACCGGGGCAGATATTTTAAAAGCGAGGTAGGGATGTAGGGAGCGGAAGATACAGCTGACTATGCTACAATTCAACATTGTTCACTACACAAGTTATATTTTTTTATAAAGCAAAGAATTGACTATATATGTGCACCGCTTCATCCAAGGCCTCCTTGGGGAGACACTTAACCAGAACTTATACACTGTTTCTAAGAAGGTCCCTCATCTTCCTGCCCGTGCCACTCGGTCTTCTGACACAAGGGGAGTACGACATGTAGGCTACATATAGCTACACTCTTCTTCGCTCTCCGAGCATTCACAGCTAATAGTCACACAATGCAACTAGCGTACACGCAGGCATTGCGTCTTCTTGTCTCCAGCAGACGATATTTTGCAATAAGAAAAGATATTCGAATTGACTGACCAAGTAGGCAGGTTTCACTAATGCGTAGATATCATTAGAGTTGAAGAAAGTGTTTTCGTACATCTAGTTTACTGCAGGTTAGAGCTGGTCAACATAGCAAGACACAATGTTGTGTGCGTCTACCCTAAAAGCTATATGTACTTCGCCGCGAATAAGGAGAATACATGGATTATGCAGCAATGAAGACATTAGCTATCCCTCACCCCCAACTTTAGTCTCTGAGAGGTACACGCAAGGGGAAAAGAGAGCTAGAGAAGGAGTATCCAATGACTTTGAATTAAGTTTGTATGCAGTATGGAGTTGAATGCCTCTGCACGGAACCCTTGGAAGGATCGACATAGGGTGATCCCAAAAAACAAACAGGACAGCTAATTACGTGATTCCTCCAAAAGTGTCTGCTTGCCCTGCCTCCCTCAGCCCACCTTCCATCGGCGTGAAGGGCAAATGTACGTTGAAGTGTTTGTACCGGCATACATCATAACACCGTTCGACATTCGCGCTCAAGAACGTACAGGCTGCTCAGGGGTCGGCGTGATCCGCAAAGACTAGAACAAGGCAAACCTACAAGATATAGAACTGTTGCAATACCAAATAAACCATAAAGAGTACATGGTTGACTGTCATGCAGCGTGTCCTGCTTCTCGAAATGCTACTCAACCGGCCGGGTTGAGAGGGACGCAGATCGTTTCTAAGGCTTTTCTCGCAGAAATAAAAGGCTTCATCGCCGTTAAGACATTTATATGGTACTAAGTGCACTTGATCCGTAAATTGCACGGCCATTGTTATTCACCTGCGGAGTACTACACCAGAGTTGAGTGCATGACGAGGCACGTGCATGCTAACACATGCCAAACCCCATAAGCTAGGTCTGAAGCCGATTGAAAGACTTCAAAAAAAAGTAAGGAAACCATACAGTCTAGGTCTAAAGCTCATTGAAAGGTATCAAAAGGGAGTAAGCAAGGAGTTGGCGACTGTAGGGCTGAGTCTCGCGGTGGAGGATCTCCGTGATCTAGAGTCAGATGTGCAGTGAGGCGACAAGGTCCGAGAGGAAGCTAGCTGTGCGTTGGAGGAACAATAATAGGAGCGAATTATTTCTCAACACACAAATATGCGCCTATTACTTCAAATGTAACAACTTTCTTGGATACTCACCTTGATCTTGGTTATTGGACTGGTTGTGCCAACGAGGTGTGGGCATCCAAGAGCTGCTATCATCCACCATCTCTGCGAAGAAGGGCCTACTTACAGTTGTCAAAGACTCACTATAAGTAAGCCCCCCAAAATATTTTGCCTTCTTTCGTAGTGGGCCACTCTTTGGGGGGTCAACATATACTTATCGCCAGTGGGCTTTTCTCAAAGCGACCACCTGGGAGCGTTGCTAATGCTTGTTCTTGCTGCTTGGCGTTTTGTTTTGCTTGATCCTGTCCATGGCTGTGGAGTTCGATCTCGGGGTGGACGGTGGGCTGGTAATGGGAGACAATGCAAACATTTACGTTGCTCCATCGTTGTATAATACAGGAACATGGAAGTCTTCCCTTCATTCGACTTACATGGAGAAGGCAAATCCCCTGAACCAAGAGAGACACAAGAATGTGCGCGAAGCCAATGATGATGAGACTGCATCAGTCCCTTCTGCTCAGTCTCCAGAGGGCAGACGGGGGATATCGCTGATGTACGCGGTGCGGACCTCTGGGAGGTACACGGGAGGCTTGCGGCGGTCTCTTGTCCTTGTTGGAATCGCTGCAGTTATGTGTGCTCTGATTGTATCATTCTTTACAAAGGGTTTAGCCCAGGGCTCGCGGCTCTGGTTGCCCTCGAAGGAGCCCTACGCACCCTTGACGCAGCTTCAGGAGCCTCCATTGGGCCCCGATGCACCGGTCAAGGGGCCTCAGGTGCCTGTAACGGAGCCAGAGGTAGAATCCGAGCAGCTCAAGGTGCCTCCACCAACCCCAGACGCAACATCGAAAGACCTTGAGATGCCTCTAACGGACCCGTACACAACAGCAAGGCATACTGGTGATCATGACCGTGAGGGGCCGTCCACTGATGATCAGAAGAGACCTCCGCCTGAAGATGTTCACCCATCATTTGTGCCTTCATTTGCTGCTTTGTACGATATATTCCTCAACGAGTTTGAGGGGGATCCGTCCAATGCCCGTGGCTCGGCCATTGAGGACGGCTTTTTAGGGGGTTATCCCAATATTATCTCGGAATTCGAAACCTTTGTAGAGACCTGCAGTAATTCTCCTTTTATGAAAATCGTGCCTAAGGACAACGATGAGAGGCGGCAAAGGGACTGGCTGATGTACAAAATGCACATGGGTACTTTGGCGAAGGCGGAGGCCACGGTGTCGACGGAGCTAAGTACGCTAGCTATGGGAGGAGACTCGGAAAAGCGGTTAGCCATATATGAAAGCCTGCTGGACATTTATAAGCTGAGGCTGGAGGCAGCCACTAATTGGAAGAATTATCATGAGCAATGTGGAGGGATACACGCGAATACAGAAGATGTTTCAAAACTTCTTCAGGCCCAGGAGGTCTATTACGCAAAAATGGTGGATAAGCAAGAGGAAATAATCGAAAAGGCCAAGGAGACTAGCAGCGCACCTAAGACGAAGAAAGCATCTAGAAAGCCTAGCCTTCGTGCACAGGGATTCAAGGGGGAACCAAAACAGGTTTATAGAGATGCCGTTAAAGAACTCGCCCCTGAAGATGGTTGGATGATCTACCTAGTCCTTTGAGACAATGCTATAATTGCCTGGGCGTTTTTTTCGCGGACTCAAGTAGGCGTTGCCTGTCTGTCCTTCCGTCCAGTTTCCTCCTCGCATCTGCGCTCCCCCTTGTCAAGAGCCAGAGGTAGAAGCACACCCAGACGCGTGCTTCTACATAATTATTCTGGCATCCGCTTAAGTCCACGCTGTTTTTTCTCTACGCCGAATACTTGATGCATCGTGGCTTCATTTGTTCTTGCCAATGCTCTGTACAATCTGTGGCCCACTTCTGTAATATCGTTTTGGCTTTCGTGCTACAGCTTGGTTTTGAAGTCCTTGAGGGCGCTGGCGAATTTTTCCGACCCAAAAGGCATGCATTCTAGGCTGATGCCCGCATCATTTGAAGCGGCACGGTTGACATTACTAGGAATGCTTTCAGCAGTTTATTACTGGTTTATTTGTGTGTATCCAATAGTGAAATTCGGCATGCAAGGTCGCTCTGGGGTGTATAATGGTGCATCGTGGATTTTTCCGGGGACTCATGTTTGGTCAATTTGTCAGCAGCAGCAGCAGCTCGCGCAGAAGGAACAGCTCCAGGAACTCAGTGCTCAGTGTTTGCAATGTAGCGAGCATTCAGGCGCGCAGAAATGTGTGGCATCGACAGCAGCGATTGCTACAGCAGCAGCCCCACTAGAGTATGTATATGCGCCTGTCGCCTGCTGCGAATGCGCAGTAAGCGAAGGCCTCCACAGACTTGCAACTGCGGGATATCCAACAGGAATTTGGAGTTCATTCGAGAAAGTGTACAAACACACTTAACGTGAATCGTCTGTGGCGTACCGAGTCCATATTCAGTGAGTGGGGTGGGGTGGTAGCCTTAACAAGCTGCCCCCGATAGCCTTGTATCCTCACATCAGGAGGCTGCTTTAGAATAGGGGCACTTGAGAAATTTGGTAAGGAGGTCAAGCTGCTTCTGATGGTAACTACATGTACAAAGGGCCTGGAGGCAGACAGACAGATTTGCAGGTTCATGTATATTTGTGCGTAAATACAAACATAAAAGCGTACATATGTATGCATAAGAAGAGGTAATTTTCTTGCATATAAGCGCTAATATTAGCAGCCAATTACATAGCCAACACGCAGATAGGCAAAGACAAACAACTCCACTGGAAGCACCAACATCTAGGGTATCTGTCGCCCAAACCCCACAGACTGCTGAGTTTTGGCAAGTTACGGACAAGAGGATAAGCGGCAGGCAATAAAAGACTGAAAGAAAAATGCAGAGAGGAAGGAAGGGAAATGATGCATCTGAGAAGATGGTAGAAAAGGGATACCCTCTATCCAAGGGCCCCTCATTGGCATATACCCAAAGCGGGATTGCTGTCTGGGCAGAAGAGCAGGGCAGGCACCCGCATGCAGAGTAAGTCCTACAGTGGGGAGAAACGGGGGCTCAGTCTATGCGTCTGTCGCTTACGTGTTGGAACAAGAATAGGAACGCACCTGCGCTTCGGCTAGAGTCGCCCAACGCTGCTGCTGTTGATGCTGTTGCATCACCGCGGTGTCATTTACGTGGACCGAGAAGACGTGGACAGTGTGGGACTGATGGGTGAATTGGTGTGTTGCCATGCCTAGCTGTACATACACCCCAGCTGTCCACATAAACCCCAACCCGTTTATATATATATATATATAGACACGTATTCGATACGACCCTGTGCACAAGCGGCACCAAAAAAGGGGTGTGCTTTGTAGAAGAGTACAAATGTGAGCGCGTCAGGCGTACGTAGCGAGCGGTCTCCTTGCCTGACTCTTGCCCCCGTAGCAGGTCTTTCCAGTGCTGAGCAGACAAGCCTCCAAACGAAGAACCCCAGGAGTCTTTCCCTTTCATCCCACCATGCCTTCCCTCAGACTGTACTGACTGCATGCGGCCTGCGCTTCGGTGGAAGGAGGTTTTCTAGGGTCTTGAGATGACCTGTGCAAGAAAGTGACGGGCTGCCGCAAGTCTGGTACTGCTTAGACCCTTTGTCTCCGAGCCAGTAGTAGAATCCCAGTTGACAGTCAGGGGCCCCCACTGCCTTGCCAGGAGGCCTTCAGAAGCTCGCATTTCCAATAGCACCTTAAGGGGCTCCTTGGATTCTCCTTTAAGGGTTCCGACGGTCGCAAGGAGAGACAGCACTTCCACCTGCTGCTTCCTTGCCGGCTTGCTACTGTTTCGCAAGGGGAACCTTTCTGCCATGCTGCCCTCCTGCAGCGAAGGCCATCGCAGCACACAACCAGCTGTCGCGCATGTGTGTCACTCCACTATGCACCAACCCCCAGGGGCGGCAGCTCGAGTAGACAGAAAGAAGCAGCCTACTTCGGATGCGGCCTCCTCTTGAGTGCAAACGCGGCAGCTGCTGCAGTGAGCCTTGCGGCTCAGCAGCCCCTCCTCCTCCGCCGCTGCAATGCACCAAGGACGGACTGCGATGGCAGGCACAGCAGCAGAAGATACGCAGAAAGCAGCCAAGGCTGCCCAGGCGTGCACGCACAGTATTTGCACGAAATTCGTCATTTTCGCAGCAGCACCAGCACCTTCACAACAACCCACTACGATAACAAAACGCAGCAGCAGCAGCAGACCAGGGCAGGCGGAGCAAGCCGGAGAACGGGGGAGGCAGATGGTGGCCCCCAGCTCAATTGCAGCTTCATTCCAAACTCCGGGCTCTTCTATGGGAATCAGCGACTTTATCAGACGCCTGAAACACAGCCCCTAGTCCCCAAATAAAACCTCAACAAAAATTAGTAGCACGTTGTCGCATAATTTTTTAAAATCTCGAGCCAACCAGAAAAACTCTCGAACCCCCCTCTATACCCCTAGCCCTCAGCCCTGACGCTCACGGAAGGGTCTGCTGCTGCGTGCGCGAGTCCGAGGGAGCCGCCAGGCCTTGTACAAATGCATGAACACATGGGGAACAAAAAGGGGCAGCGGCACGATTACGCCAGCACGCTGAGATCTGCATTAGCAAACACTAGGTAGAGACATGGAGACAGAGAGAGATAAAAAGATAGATAGAGAGAAAGAAAGAAAGATAGATTGATAGAGATGTACATATATGTAGAGAAGGCAGACGAGCAGGAGCGAACAACTCGAGTCCCCGTCAGCAAAAGCGAGAGGTGCCTCCCACACACGGCACCCCGGAAGATACAAGGCTTTTCTCCCCGGAGTTTGAAGTCCTTGTAGCTTGATTCCAAGCTCTAGCTGCCTTACCTAGGACCCTGCAGAAGACTCGCGTGACGTTGCCATCCACCGCAGGGGCTCTGATTCCAAAGGCGAGGGAAGCAATCGCTCCTGCGGTGTATGAGCCGATTCCTGGTACTCCCTTTAGGGCTTCAAGCGAGGCGGGGAGCTGTAGAGAAACCCCAGCAGCAGCAGTAGAATGCAAAGAAAGAACAAGTGCTGCCGCTGCAATTTAGCTTCCCCACAGGCAGCATGACTGGTAAGAGAAGTCTGCGGCAGTAGTAACAGCAGCACCTGCTGCAGCAACGCGTTTCGGCATACCTCTCCCCCATGATTCTCCTGCAAATATTTCGCTCCCTCTAGAAGCAGCACGCCTCTGAATTCGCAAAAGCAGGAGCATCAACGGTGCACACATGGCGGTGCTGCTGCAGTCGCTGGCAGCAAAGCGTCCTCAAGGCAGCAGCACCACGGGAAGGCAGCTTGCCTCCTGTAGTAACCGAGGCCTCTCCAAACTTGGTAGATTTCGTCGACAGAAGCTTGGGCAAGAGACGAGATGGAGGGCCATCGAGCCATCCTAAATCAAGGAGGAGCAGAAGGAAACAAGGAGAAAAGTGCCGCCTTGAGAGAGAAGTTACAACGAACGCAGTGCAGAAAGGGCCTCAACAAAGGGAGAGACAGACACTCGTGGACGACCAGATCCCCAGGAGCACAAAAAGACATTCCTGGCAAGAACCACGCTCCCAGTAGACATACACCAGCAGGGCAGGAAGGAGGCCTCATGGAGATGTGTTCTGACAAGCAGGGAGGCAAGGGGACGGGACGGAGTGCAATTCCGATCCTAACCAGGTTTTCCAGTAGCGAATTGCTGTATGTACTTGCGTTTGCTGCAGCATTACTTCACTGACCCAAGTACCGTAAGCGCTTCGAGGAGGGCCTACTACTGCTGCTGTCGCTCCAGTTGCATGTGCGTCTGCCCCTGCATCTGGTGTAGTTGCTGCTGCTTCTACCTCTTCCTCGGATAAAATCACTACATCTGCGTTGCGGCCTTGGGTGTGCTTCTCCCGCTTTCTAGAGGGGACGCTCTCAAAAAAGGCAGTAATCGGCCGTTGCTGATGCTTCTGCTGCTTGTCGCTCTTGGATATCTTGCTTGATGCAACATCAAAAGCAGCAGCAGCCTCTGGGATGCGAGCAGAAGAGCACGAGCTCAGCGTGTTTTGCCGTGTGGCCTTCCAGCAGGTGTATGGTGGGGGATCTCCTCTGCAGCATAATGCACACGGAATAGCTGCTGCGGGAGTTTGCCATCGCTGCTGCAGCTGTCCTCATGCCTGGTGTGTTCGTTCTTGTGTGTAGGATCTAAACGATCTCTGGCACCCTTCCCAGGATGAAGGCGGCAGCGCGGATGTGCCTCATCGATTGCCACTGCCTTGCGCATACAGTGTCTGAACGATTCTGCATATTCATGGGGTAGCTGCATTGCCTTACCTCCACGGCAGCTTCCTTCGGTGCGTCTTGAACCAGCCCTGTAGGGCTGTAGCAAAAGCCAAAGGCCTCATGAGATGCAGATGATACCCACAACACTGCAGCAGAGACGCGGCGGATGCAAGCTCTTCTAAAGGCGTGGATTCGTTGTCTGCTGCTGCTGGTAGCGAGGCTGCTGTACGAGGTTTTTCTTGCCCCTCCGTCTCGTCACCAGACTTCTCCTTGTCATGGGAGGTGCCAGCTAGTGTGGAATCCCTCCGCTGTGCATGAAGCCTGTTACAGGCATCACAAGTAGAAGTAGAAGAAAGAGGGGGCACGTCTTCTTTCTTCTGCTTCTTTGTTGCTTGGAGGGATTTTCCGGCCGACATTCTGCTCCGGCGGGAGACGCCTAAAGGGGTTCGTGGAGACCCTTGAGGGGCCGCTCCAGCTGCAGGCGGGGGCGAAAGGGGAAGTGCTCTTTCAGAGGAAGTAGTCTCGCCCGCTAAGCCTTCTGAGAGAGGGGTGGGGACTTCTGGGGTTGTTGCGGTTGCTGTCATTGCGTCTGGTGCTGTCAGCAGTTTTTAACAAGCGTAACCAATTATTTTGGTGGAGCTTCTGATGCCTAATTAGGACCAGCTAGGCCTCAGCCAGAGCATCGGGCGTAGCCGCGCTGCTTCTAATGCTCTTTTTGCATCGGGAACCGCAGGAGGCATCGCGGAAAAACCCGCGATTTTCTCCGTCTTCTGGGGCTCTGCGGCGTCCGTACACTCCATACCATTCATTTGTTGAAATTTCGACGAATCAAAGCCAGGGGCGTGCGAAGGCCTACGGGATTTTGGAGGGGGGCGTGGTGGACTGTGCTGTATCGGGGGGTTGCGGGGGCCCCGGAGTGACCTCCAGGTGGTGTTCGTGGTGGTCTTGCTGCTGCCACTGCCGGTGTGTTCGAGAAAATCGAGGAAGACGGTTTTTCTGGGACGCACACTAAAACTGGCCAACGCAACAAACTCGAGAGATATAGTGGAGAACCTGCAGCCATCCTTACCCTCGTCCTTAGCGTGCCTGCCTAAGGACACCCTCGTCCTCGCCGAAGCCTTCTGTGCTGTATCCGTCTCTGCGCTTCACCTGCAGGGGTAGAAAGTAGGTACGGCGATTTGAATGCGTGGCGGGGAGCCGTGCTACAGGCACAGGGGAGGAATACGCGAAGGGTATCACACGCTGTGAACTGGTGAATTCGTCTAGCCCGATAAAGGCATCGACTGCCTTTACAGAAGCAAATCGAGGTGTGAAAAGGCTCCTGAGCTGAGAAATCGACGGGTTCTGTACACACGGGCTGATGCACACACACAAACATGCACGGACACCACAATGACGTTTGCCTGCGACGAGTCCACCTGTACTTCAGTGTCCAAAGATGCCCTTTGGCACCCTGCTCGTTATATTCAGACAAGGATAGAATGCTGGGTATGGCTGCTTGTATTAATTCCAATTCCTCGGAGTAGGGAAAGTTCTCCGGATACCAGTAGGACGAACGGCGTACTTAGTGTGTGTCACTGACTACTAATGCCCCGACTCTCTAAAGGGTGCAGCTACGCGCATCTCAGCTGTTCAATCTCCCATCGCGGCGGGTCCCTGTGTATATGGGCAAATACAGGGGAACATTTTTAGGAGAAGACTTCATGAGAAGCCACTTAGTTTTGGTTTGGGTGCGTTGCAAAGGGTCCTCCAAGGGGGCTAAAGAGAGCACTGCACTACCACCTACAGCTTCAGCAGCGAGTTACCCCGCTGTATGCTCCAAAGACTGCATATAGGCTTGGTTTGTTGCTTGTTGGTGCAACGTGCATCCGCCGCTGAAATCCGCTGCATCTGAGACTTCGGAACGCACGGCAGCCTGTTTTTCTTTTTGGCTTCTACTGCACCTCCCTCGCATCATCTCAGTTTTCCCGTCCTATGTATCTCTTTGGCTATCTGCATCTAAGTTTTTGCGTATCGGCTGTCTATTGTTTCTCCGTAGACGCAGGCCTTGCCTGCTGTTTTGCTGCAGCAGCAGAAGCTAAAGTAGAGCAGGTGCGCGTAGAGGCAGTGGCACTCGACTGCACAAACGAACAGTGTCTTCCACCAAGCACGGAGGCCAACTAGGGAAGTAGAAGCACGACCGCAGGGGCAACTAGGAAGAGTTCAGAAAGCACAGGGGGTGACGATCCGGAAGAAGCAGCGCGCAAAAAGAAGCCAGAAATGGAGGAAGCGGGTTCCTTTGGACCCAAAGTTGCATGGCTGCGTGGCTGCAGTACCACGCGCGTTTAGCTGAACCTTTCCACAAGAACCTTAGAGGTCTATTCGAAACTTTCACTTACACATTTTAAAAGACAAGGAAATGACAAGCCAAAATTGGGACGGATTAAGAGACCGCTGCCCAGTCTAAGGCATCCGTTTCTTCACTAAACATCTGGGCCACATCCTCAGGGCTCAGTAACTGCTGCACGAACTTTGCATCCGACAACCAGTCATTGCTGCTGCTGCTGCTGCTGGCTAGTTGCTGCTGGCGCTGTGGCCACCCACAGTTTAGCTGCTGCTGTTCCATTTGCTGCTGCGGAGCCTCCTGCCGCATATTTCCACTCAGGCACGTCTTCTGCTGCTTGGGAGGAGATGGCGTAGGGCCCTCACCCGCAGGGGGAGCCCAGGAGGCTGAGCTGCCGTGCGAGGCAGCGAGGCGCTTGATAGGCGTTGACGAGCTGCTACTAGGCCAGGCTTCCTGCTGCTGACGGTCCCTTGAGCGTTGGAATCCCTGAGCTGCGAAGCCACCGGAAGGGCAGGGAGCCCTGCGTACGCAGATCTCTTGCTGTTGCCACCACTGCTGTGCATGTTGTTGCTGCTGCTGGCTTTGTTTGCATGACACTGGAGCCCCTGGTGTGTTGTAGCCTCTGTTTCTATGAGCATCAGAAACGGTACCCGCGGCAGCTGATGCAGCCTCATTAATCACTTGGCTCTGTTCTTTTGCTTGAGAGAGGGCCACATCTAGGGCTACATCCAGATCCTCCCAGTCGGATGCACTCAATGCAAAGGGAGACAGGCCCTGCTGCTGCTCTTGCTGCTGCTGCCGCTGTTGTTGCTCTTGTGGGTACTGCTGCTCCTGAATGGGCTCTCCTGTAATTTTGGCTTCTATTCCATCTACGGGGGCAGGAGCAAAATCCGAGGCGCCAGCAGCACTATCAGAATGCTGTCTTGTGCTCTCTGGTGCTTCTGCTCCTGCTGCTCCTTCTGCTTCTGCTTCTGATGGTGCCCGTGGAGATTCTGGTGTTTGTGCCTCTGCTGATGTTGTTGTTGGTGATATTCCTGCTCTTGTGGAGAAAACGCACTTTTGTGACCTTTCCGCGGCGTTTACTACCGCTTGTGCTGCTGATAACGATGCTTGCGCTTCAACATGGGATGCAGACGCGTCTTCTTCTGGTGACCTTCCTGCTGTTGCTGTGGCTGTTACTCGAGTGAGCGGCTCTGCTCGAGATTCCTGTGCTAGTCCGTGCTGTAGCTCGCTGGTCTGCGGTACGCTTGAGGCTTCGAGCACAACGGTCGCTTGGGAGTCGCTGTCATATTCCGTTGCTACTGCAACTGTCTCCGCTGCATGTGCTGCATCTGCTGCATGCGGTGCTGAGCCTCTGTCCACCTGGGCATTCTTGACAGGTGCTGCTGCTGCTGCTGGCTCTGTTGTATTCGGTTGTGGATCGCTGTCCACTTGGGTCTCCCCGGCGTGTGCTGCTGCTGCAGCAAAGTCTTCTACCGTCCACGTGTATGCCTGCTGCTGCTGTGATGACAGCTGCGAATCTTCGCAGAGCTTCTCCCACAGGGGCAGCAGTCGTTGCCGGTACTGCTGCGGCAGCTGCTGGGGAGGCGCAGTAGACGCAGTATTATCTTGGCTAGCAGCGGAAAGCAGCGAACCCCTCCTTTGTTGGTAAAAAAGACTGGTATCCTCCGCCTCCGACTGTTGGGACCACTTCAGCTGTTGCTGCTGCTGCTGCCGAGAGAGCTGCGTAAAGTCCTGAGTGCACGGAAGCCGCCCAGGGCATACACCCCTCTGGCTTTCTGGGTGCAGCAGCACCACTAGCGGCTCCTCAGGAACCTCTGGATGCTCCGGGGGCCCCCACAGACCCAATGCAGATAGCAGGGTCATCACACCATGAACACCCTTAACTCTGCGCCTCTTCGGAGCTGTATGCGGGGGAGTGTACCTGCTTCCTTTGTATTAGGTCACCGGGGCATGCCCGCGGTGGCTCACCGTGGAGTGTGGGAGGCTCCGAAGCGGCTGCACTCCTGGCAGGAACTGCACTTCGCTTTACCTGCGAAAGCGGCAAGGTTGGGGAAGATGATGCATGAATGCAAATTACTCGGTATCGGGGGTGTTTCCCAGTGGGGTTGCTAGAAATCTGGGGTGTATGTGCAGCTCTGATGCTTGGGCTGTCTTGCAAAATTCGTAAGTTAGTTCCAATACATGCATGAGAAACCTGAGACATGGTAAAAATTCAAGAGAGGGTTAGAGTGTGTAGGGCTTACAGCGTCCGTTGCATGTTTCCAACGCCGCTGATGGGCTCCCGGCATCCAGAGATTTAGAGAGATAGCTGCATCGAGTGAATATTCAGCTCTCTTCCTCCGCTTCAATTCCATGAAACTGATCGTTGGAGCTACTGGTCTTGTATGAGCATGACTGTTAATTTTAAAATAAGCTTTCGAAGCTCGCCGACGCACACACCCCCGCCCCCAACACAGCCGACTTGCCCTTTTCAGCTCCTTCCGCCTATTTCCTCAGACCCTCGTATGCCTTGACACATGGTCTACGACTGACATATATCTTTCCACCTTGTCTAGTCGTCGTGCCCACCGCTTGTATAATCGTGGAAGCCCATACACTCCCCATCGAGAGCCCCTCAACGCACCCGAGCTTTCGCAATCGCCTTAACCAGCACTATTACTCCCGTCAGCCCAGGTCTTAGCGCTAAACGCAGAAGTTGCCTATGCGGTGGAATTTTCTGCTTCACCCGTAACTCGGTTAAGTGAACGCACCTAAGGAAGCACACAGTGCCGGCCATAGAGCACTTTACAAGGTCACACTGTGCGTGCAGTGGTCGCCAGAGGATAGGCCGTACTTACGGACTGTCCCCTTGTTAATTACCGCCATCCACATTTCCAGGGACGGACACGTGAAGGCTAGTAGAAGTCGCATCTCGACCCAGCAAATCACGCTATTGCAGCTGCTATAGGTGGCTTTGATCTGCCGAAACCCCCGCTACCCTGAACCCCAAGCTTTCTAGTCACTAGAGCAGCCCGCCCTCTAACTGGAACATCCTGTAGGGGATGCTACTTCTTCAAACAGCGAACCACTGAACGGCAAAATCGAGGCCACCCAACGATCGATGCAAAGCAGGAGTCGTATGTAGCCCGGGCCATGCGCATTTATCTCGAGACAAAGCGAAAGTCATCGGGGTTGAAGAACGACAAACAAGGCATTGCTGCCATGTATCTCCCGTGCCCGTCGTGTATCGCCCCGGAGCATTCTATGACCGCACATGACTATCCCCGCGCAGGCGAGAAGGAAATATCGAAGGCATATTGAAGAAATTCGCTCCTGACTGCTATGCACACTGAAGTACTTCAAGTGGTTTACTTCTTGCCAGTGGCCTTCTGTGCGCTCTTTGTGACCTTGCCTGCGGCCTCCTTCTTGTCGACGGCCTTGATGACACCAACGGCAATGGTTTGCTTCATATCTCTGACGGCGAACCTACCCAAGGGCGGGTACTCAATGAAAGACTCCACACACATGGGCTTTGATGGCTCCATGCGGACGATGGCGGCATCGCCGCTCTTGATGAACTTGGGGTTGTCCTCAAGGGCCTTGCCGGAACGCCTGTCGAGCCTCTTTTCGAGCTCGCTGAACTTGCAGGAAATGTGGGCAGTGTGGCAATCGAGCACTGGGGTGTAGCCAGGGTTGATCTGACCAGGGTGGTGGAGGACGATGACCTGTGACTGGAAGCTGGCGGCACCCTTTGCAGGGTCGTTCTTGGAGTCGGACGCAACGTAGCCCCTCTTGATATCCTTCACGGAAACGTTCTTGACGTTGAAACCGACGTTGTCACCAGGCACTGCCTGCTCAAGCTGCTGGTGGTGCATCTCAACAGACTTGACCTCAGTCTGCAGGCCAGAGGGAGCGAAGACCACGACCATACCGGGCTTCAGGACACCAGTCTCCACTCTGCCGACGGGCACCGTGCCGATACCTCCAATCTTGTAGACATCCTGAAGGGGGAGACGGAGGGGCTTGTCTACAGGGCGTTTCGGGGGCTCGACGCTGTCGAGAGCTTCCACGAGAATCTTTCCCTTGTACCACGGCATGTTGGAGCTGCGGTCGATCATGTTGTCCCCCATGAAACCAGAGATAGGCACGAAAGGCACCTTCTCAGGGTTGTAGCCGACGGTCTTCAGGTAACGAGACACCTCAGCCTGGATTTCACTGAAACGGGTCTCGCTGTACTTCTCTGGGGTGGTAGCGTCCATCTTGTTGATACCGACGATCATCTGCTTGACACCGAGGGTGAAAGCCAGCAACGCGTGCTCACGAGTTTGTCCTGAAAAGAAAAACAGCAGCCTCAACGGTAGAAAATAGACAGAAAGAAGAGCAGACAGCAAATCAGGCTTGCTCTCCAGCCGCTCGAAACGCCGGCCCCCTAAAAGGCGTCCTAGAACCGAATGTACCCACGGAAGCGTCACAATAGCCGGGCACACAGGGGAAACAATGCAGTCCCAAAACTTGTGTAAAAAGTCCCCCCGAACACTTCCCACACCGATTAGGCCAAAAGCGCAAGGGAATTTCACGAAAAACATGCACAAGAACAGGAGCCCCACACTGTCTATAAGCGAAGTGCACCACTCTCCGGGTATCGTCTCGCATTCTGTTCACACTGAGTATTAAAAAGGTCGCCTCCTTTGTGCCCGAAATGCACAAAATACAGAATAAAGGAGGTGTCTGGGCTCTCGGAAGGAAAAAAAGCACGCACCTTCCTTGGAGAAAGCACCCTCGAAGCCACCCTGATCAGCAGGAACGACCAAGAGCGCAACGTCGGCCTGGGAGGTACCGGTAATCATGTTTTTGATGAAATCCCTGTGGCCCGGCGCGTCAATGACGGTGTAGTGGAAAGTGGGGGTCTCGAATTGCCACAGTGCGATATCAATAGTGATACCCCTTTCTCTCTCGGCCTTCAGCTTATCCAGCACCCAGGCGTACTTGAAGGAGGCTTTACCCATCTCAGAGCTCTCCTTCTCGAACTTTTCGATGGTACGCTTGTCAATACCACCCAGCTTGTAGATAAGGTGGCCTGTTGTTGTGGACTTGCCAGAGTCCACGTGGCCGATGACCACTAGGTTGATGTGGGTCTTCTCCTTCCCCATCTTGGCTGTTTTGCGCAATTAATGAAGCAAATCGGAGGTATAAGTTGCTCTTTGCAACGCAGAGAACAGAGGAAATTGCAAAACAGACCAAAAATACATCTAGTGAGCGTGCGGAGGGGGGCGGCAGGCGCTCCGTGCCCCGCAGCACCGCCGGTGGGGAGGGAGCAGCAGCAGCAGCTGCAGCAGCTGCTGCTCCCGCACCCCCTGTCCCCTCATATCGGTCCTTTCTTAATGATACTGCCTTCGTGACGTGCTTTTTAGCTAGCATCCACAAAGCCTAAACAAGGCGCATTCTCTTTGCAGTGGCTCTTGTCAAATTAGCCGTAGTATCTCCACCACACCCTGCTCCGTCCTGCTATCTCGGTTGTCTTCGTCGCCTCCAGGTGTCTTCACGCCTGCATGCCCCGCAGCCAGCCCCTCCATTTTCGGGCTTTTTTCTGTGGATTATTAGAGTACCATACTCGGTTGCTGCCGATGCGATTATGCAGGGGTGCCCGTCGGTCCTCATGCCTCGAGGGCTGATTGGCCGCCTCTTACATCTGTCTCAGTTTCCCTCTGTCCTCTATCCTGCTCCTCTACCCCAAGAGGGCCCCCCTTTCCACAACGCAGCCCGCTAAACACAGGGTCCTTCCGTTCCCGGCTTGCAGAGCACCCAAGGCGTGGCACTGGGAGCCCCTCATGGCGTGAGCCGTGTGTCCTGAGGCGGCTTGTAACGCGGAGTTCAAATTACCAAGACCAACAGTAATGTCACCTCTTTCGGTAGCGCCTCGGCTGGCAGGCGCCATCCGGGAAACCACCCGACTGCGCCCCCCGTTGCTCCATCCTGCTCTCCCAGAAGCATCGCTGAGCCGCTATGGTGTTGCAAAACCGTCTATGGTGTTGCTCCATCCGCATCACAGAAGAGCGCTTTCGATGTCTTCCCGTTTCACTCGGCCCACACGAACCCCTTCTTCAACAGTTGCGGAAGGAGCAGCAACAGGTGCTGCTGCTGCTGATGCATCAGCAGCAGCAGCAAGCACCAGCAGGTTCTCACGTCGCTCTTCCGCAATGCAGCGGCAGGCGGAGCTTCCGGCTATGCCAGCTAGTCCCCTCTCGCTTTCAGAAGTGCGTCTTATCTCGGCATCTGATTTCTCACAAACTTGTATGGCAGCCCTAGCCTCGAGGTTTTACGGTCCCTGGAGTAGCGACAGTAGTAGCCTGCCTGAGGGAGAACGGACTGTCCGCTGCGCTCCTGTGTCTTCCAAAGGCGCTGTACCTGTCGAAGGAGGCTGGGTGCTTCACGGTGAAGGAGTTGCAGAAGATTGTTCTCACCTCTCCGTCATTCTCCTCGGTATACACCCCTCGCCCTGCACCGATCTGATCTTCCTGCTGCACTGCGGGGGACTATGTGCGCTTGGCGGTCGGCTGCCGCTGCAATTTCTTCTTTGCGGCTGTCTACAGCCCGTGTTGTTGCTTCTTTGTGGGTGTATGCACTTCAGGACTCATCCCCCTTTTTGTTGGAGAACATGTTTTCATCCTTAGCTGCACCGCCAGAGAAGGAGGGCCCCATGATGGAATTTGGCGAGGGTATTGACGACGATGACGATGTAGCAGCCGCAGCAGCAGAGGAGGAGGAGGCAGGGATGAACTGTGCGTTGCTGTTATGGTGTCTTTCTCTCTAAAAGCCTCTTGTTCTGGCTTTTCCTCCCCCTCTCGCTCCATGTACCACACCGCCCGCCCCTTCCCTCCTGGAGGCTGAGTGTTAGGCAGTGCACTTGTCTTGTCTTGCGCGCAGCCACGAGAGATGCAGCAGTAGGTGCTGTAGATCGAGTCCTGAGGGCACATGTGCATAACTGCTTTGATCCTGAAAAGCGCAAGGCAAGCCATTTCCTTAGCACCCAAGGCACTAGCCCTCAAATTATAACAAGAACCCGTAAAATACACGGCACGGCCCCTTCAACGCTCGCAACCACCCCCACAGACGTTTCTTCGACTGTTGCGCTGCAGACGTTTGAGCATGGAGGACGCGTGTGGTTGTGCCGCGCGGAAGGACGGGGCACCCGGAAAAGGGCAGCGGCCGTGGCAGTCCTTACCAGGGGGACTGGGCAGGTAGGCAATCTCTTGGCCACGCAAATAAGAGTACATCAGGGTAGGCGAGCTCTGTGTGGCGCAGGGGTCTAGTGTCTGTGGTCCTCTCGAAACAGTTGGAGCGCTGAAACGGGATGAACAGTATCTTCCGTTGCCATTGTGCCTTTTGTTAGTCGGTTTGTGTCGTGCATCGACTCCATTTTTTTTGAAAAATTTAGCCTTCATCTTGGTTTTAGGATGCTATATGGCTCGTTCTGTACTAACGTCTTACATGTCACGACCTGCATGCACAGACCGCCACGCGAAGAGTAGCTTTTCCGCTATGTCCCCCTCTCGCAGGTCAGAGTTTGCGGACGGGAGGAGGTTTATACCCGTTGGCCCTATGTATACAATAGAATAGAGGCACTGCAGCCACTTTATATCGCGGGAGTCGCTGGGATCTTTGACGTCGACATCCACGTGAAGGGTGGCGGCCCCTCCGGGCAGGCTGCTGCAACAAGGCTGGCCATAGGGAGGGCCCTTGTGGAAGCGTGCAGTGACTGCCAGCCGGAGCTACAAGAAGGTGCGTGAAGGGGCTTTTGTGGGGCTAAGGGTTCACCGCCAGAGGTGCACGGTGTTTTGCGGTTACGCGTGTACACGGTGTATTCATTGTGTAAGGGGCTCTGTGTCGTGCAGCAATGGTGCTGTACGAGGACACGAGGCAGCGAATGCCCAAGATGCCCGGGCGGATGAAGGCCCGCAAACAGCGGCAGTGGTCTAAACGCTGAGTGTCTGGACTCCCGCAGGAGCGTCTACTTTTTTCAGTAACGGAATGCCTTTTTTTAAAGAACGATCTTTTGGTGTTGTCACTAGCTTACGGGGGTTCTTGTAGATGTATAGCAAGGCAAGGATAGGAGTTGATTGCATTCGGGAAGGGGAGCATGACATGCTTTACCCTAGGTCTGGTTGTAGACAGGGGGACTAGTGCTAGTTTGCGGGAGGCCCATACGGCGATGGACAGGACTGCCTGTAAGCTTTGCCCTCTTGCGCTGAGAGCACGCAATATACGGGTGCCGCACCCACTACATCTTAGAAATGCTGCTGTGCGAAACCGCAAGCTGAGAGCCCCTTGGCACAGCCTAATGTGAGGCAGGCGGCGATGCTGGCGACTGAAGGTTGGTGCCATTGCTGCGTTCGCTGACTAGCTGAGAGGAAGCCAGGTGCATATGTTGTTCTTTTGCAGAGACAGTAAAGATTTGTTAGTGAAAAATGCTTGGAAAGGGTTGGGAAAATGGCAGATCATGCACAGGGCCTCGCGCTGGATGTGCGCATTGGGCACAAATAATATGCCCATGCTGCTTGCCGAACGTCGTAGTCACGGGTCCCTCTGTCTATTTAGCTGGGGACCTTTCCTTTTGCATATTTATTACTTGGATTGATCATATGTACTAAAGTAGCCAATATGCCTTTTTTTTCTTTTGTCTAGTGCCCCTATTGTTTACATGCCTCAGCAGGGACCAGACCGGCCGGATTACCCAAGCGGCCAACAGCAGTGACTCTCTCGGAACCCTCTGTGTGCAGCCCTTTTGTCCTTCCTTCATGGATCGATTTATCCTCAAATCGGCTAAAAAATAGTAGTTGGAGTACCTGAACTGAAGTTCTTAGAGCCACAACAGAAAGTTGGATATTCCTATGGGCCACTCAGTTGGCTGGAGTCCTGTCATGGGCCCTTTCTATCTCTTCTTCTGGTGGCAGCAGCACAAAGAGGGCCTCGGAAAACAGCAAATGACAATAGAAATATCCAGTCTCTTGGACGCATAAATGCTCGTCATTCCTCACATTTGATAGATCCGTAAACTCCTTATTGGCTCCTCTATCGAAACGCCCCTGCCTGAGACGAAGTGACCCTGCGGGGTTGCCCTAGACGTGCATTTCACCTCGTATGAACCGGCAGGCCGATTATTGCTACCCCAAAAAGGCTTAAAGCTCTGGGTTTAGGGCTATAAATTGTCTGTGCGTAGTCCTCATGCCACATAGATATGCCTACCTTATGTCCAGGGCCTCCTGCTGATGTCTACAGTGGCCCCTTCCCGTACTCCCTCAGTGTCCGTTCCCTGTTCCCTATCACTTTCCGTGACTTCCGCCCTCTCTACTGCTACAGGGGCAGCCCGGGTGTCTCTAAGCCCTCAGCAACGCCTCCAGCTCTCTCTTCCTCTCCCTTCGCATCAAACCCTACCTCGTGGTGTGAAATGCCGGGTGACACCGGAAGCTCCTGGAAGGTATTCCCCCTTTGCCAGCGGCCCTGTCTCTGGCGAGAGTGCCAAACCCGATAAAAACATACTGGGAAATGCGGGAAGCCTTACTGTCTCTTCCTTGTGTTTGGGAGCTTACTTTGTGGCATCTCCCCTTCTGTCTCTCTGCAATAAACGGCTCTTCTCCGGAACAGCGAAGAGCCTCCCTCTCATCTGCTGCCTTCTGCAGCAACTTATTCTTTGCTTCTGTATCATCCTCTTGGAGCTCGCCACTGGGCTAGCGAGGCCCCAAAGTCAGAGGCACCAGCGATTAGGGCAGCAAAAGTCGCGACTGCAACAAGGGCCACTAGAGCAGGGATTCTCCAACGGACCTGGCTATTTGAGTCTTTCGTTTGAAAAACATCTTCAACTGGTGATACCCTACGTGCTCATGCTCTGGAGCAGCAACTGCTGTCTCGCTATTTCCTCTCTCTCTTCGTACAATATTGCCCGCTGCTCTGCTGTGCCTGTAGCCCTTTTCCTGGAGATTCTAGGGGTTTTCAGCACTTCGCCTGCAGAATCTTCGCTTGCAGCTGCGACTACAGCTGCATCAGGGAGGTATGAAGATGGGCCGTCTTTGCTGCAGTGGATTCGAGAGGCAACTGAAGCAATAAGAAGCAGATTGCAGAGAGTCGGCATCCTGCGTGCTTTCTCTGCCCTTGCTGTTGCGGCAGGACTAGCTGCCGCTGTTGCGGATGGGCAAACACTACAACCCATTGCGGCTGCCCTTGGCGTCGCTGCATCGGCTGCTGGCGCGGTGTACATGCACCTCGCCCGGGACTGTGTATGTGCACACAACCAGCTAACAGGGGTATCGAGCACTGAAGCACGAGGTGCTGCGACTGCGGCAACACCAAAGGGCCAGAAGACGGTAAAATACACGAGCCGCAAACGCACTTCTGAGGAGGTTGTCTGCATCATTAGATGGCGGCTGGAATCTGTCCTTGCTCTGCGTGTTGGAGCTGTTGCTGCGCTGGTGTTGCTGCTGTTGACAGGCTTGAGCTCCGAGCCACAGCGGCTAATGCATCTACTCCAGCAGCCCCAGCATCATCACCAGCATCCATTTTCGGACCTGGCTTTGCTATTGCTAAGTGGCTGCCTCGCTGCATTTCTCCCCGTGTGTACCTACTCCTGCCTGAGGCGACTGTCCCCCTTGGCTTGCTGCATCGCAGGATTTGCAAAGACAGCAGCGCAGATGCTGCTGTCGCCGCTCCTTGGCAGGGAGACAATTACTTCAGCCACAGTATTAGGCTGTTGTTGCTGCCTTGTTGGTAGCCTTACCTTTTGCATTAGCAGCGTTAGCAAAATGCAGAGAACAGCTAGGGGATTGGGGGAGATTTCTAAGGAGGATGGACATTAGGGCATGTCCTTGTCCATTCCTCCCCCTCTCCAGGCTTCCATATCCCCTTGCGTGTTCTCTCAGTCGCACTTCAGCCAGCATCCTGCCTGTCACTTGCTATTTCTTCTCTAAAACATAATGCATGCTTGCCTTGAACTCTTTCTGTGACACTGATTCTTCCAGTTTTTCTCCCCATGCTTGCATCTGCCTCGTGCGCCCGGCTCATTGTTTTGCGGCTCCCTGACTCCCTGCTGCACTGAAGCGGCGAGACTGGGGCAGCAGAGGAGACGCAGAAAAGTGCTCTCTACGCAACCGTGTTCTAGGAGCAAAACTCCTGCCCTTGCACATTGTGTGGTACTACTTAAACTTCCGTGCAGTCCCACCTCACCTGACTGTCCTGTTTGTTCTCTGTAAACAGATTGACTAGTTAGCCGTCGTATCCGTTCTTTTTATTGATGTGTATTATTAAAATAGGCAACCTATTTATGGCTGGCATGTTGCACCGCGCTTTTGGCCGTCCATGTTTGTTTTTCCCCAGTAGTTGGTGCACGCACAACCTGTCTCGTCTCACTCCCTCTGCATTCGTCGTGGTGTCTCAAGTCCCCTGTTTATCTTCTTATTACTGAAGGCAGAAAGAGTCAGGAATTTTTAGAAGGGCGCTACAAACACGCCATCTGAAATGACGCAGGACAAGCCGATTCATGAACTCATGAAACAAGGGACCCACAAAGGAGCGCTTGTTTCGTGACCTTACCTTTTCACCGTACCCGGTGAGTGCAGCTCCTGAGTCCTTGGTGTTACGCTGATGAGGCGCCACCTGTAAATAAAGAGGCTTTTATATGGGCCTTTAGGGGGAGGCCCCTGGCTGATGGTCAGAGGAAGGACAAACAAACATCACCATAGATAGCCCTAGCATTTGGCGCTGGACCTCCCCCCAAAGTGGGTATTTTGGCAGTGTTCTACCAGCAACTGCATTTCCCCCTTGTGACCTTATCCCGAACCTTCATACCGGCTTTCCGCGATGACTCGGGCATTAGCAGCTAGGCAGTGTGATAGTATCACCAAGCATATTTCAGTTCATTGTTTTTCAAGATGTTTCTTGGGTCTCAATTGCAGCAGAGCGTTTGCAGTTTACATTGGGAGCTTTAATAAAATTCGCTGCACCAGGGATCAGTTGGGGTAGGGAGCCCTTGCGGGGCGCTCACAGTAAATAGTCAGAAATCGGTTGGAGTTGCTTCTGTATACCCCTATTTGACATATCTGCACCCGAGCATTTCCACTGGCATGCATCAGGCTTCACGAAAAATCGTCATCCCCAGGCGTGGATACCGGTTCTCCACGCCCAGCCACTAAAATGCCATCTAATTTGCCACGACGGTCAAATTAACCATATTCAAGGGACCCGCTTGCCTACTAAATATAAAGGTGCCTACACAGTTCCAACAATGCATTTCTGATTCTCATATTTAAACTATTAGGTCGATATGGTGCTCAAAGCTGTTTCTCTGCACAAGACACGCAGTCGTGCCACTGGGTGATGCAGGGACCACATCCAGTTCCGCTAGACGCAAAATGGTTTCAATGTTACTTTGAAGATTGGCACATAGTTTATGTTTTACAGCGTAAGTAGAGGTGTAAACACATGCAAGCCGCCACATCACCTTGCTCCTTTCACTTTGTTCAGCTTTGCTGAGAGTCAGAAGGGCATACTTGTTTTCACTAGTGTGTGCCATTTTTTGGTTTCAGTTTTGGCAAAAATGCGGTCCCTAAGAATCTTAATTATATAGCTCCATTGCTTTCTGCCTTAAAAGTCTTCTCATTCCGTAAGTGTTTCTCCTCGAAGCTTGTCCCAGAGGATTAGCCAACGATGTTTCTAGTGACTGGCGGACACGACACTCTAAAGCATGTTCCTGTGGTTCAGCAAACAGACACCGGATGGAACTAGCGGGTTATGGCTAAGTGATATTGATTTCTGATATTCCTCTGGTTAATAACGGTGTAGAGTTTGTGATGTCCTCTGTGTGGGGCTTTTGTGATACGTGTTACCCCAGCGAGGCCCTCGAACCAGCGGGATGCATCTTTGATGTTGTTAAGTACCTCCACCCCCTTGCAGTGCAGATATATACCCTTTTGGCTGCTGTGTTTGCGATCTATCATTTAGTGGCAGTATGATCGCACCCGGTAATGGAAGCTTTGCTGCATGTATCACATCTGGTCAAATGGTACATTGACAACCTTCCTAGGCGTAGAGCATCTCAGTACCTTTTCTAGTAGCATACTTAAAGTCTTCAAGAGCCTCCCAGTTGATCCAATATCATTTGAATTCATACTGACTTCGTTTCTTGTACAGCATCCCTATAACACCGAACAACCGCGACAACTACCGAGGCCCCCACCGCTTTCAGAGCGGTTTATAGGCAGATCCGATGGGTCACCGCTGCTGCCAGAGGACAGCTCCCTTCTTCCTTCAAAAATTTAAATAATTTTTCATTTTTATGTTGAAATATTTCATCATAATTTGATTTTTCCTCTCTCAGGTCTACAAAACCTCTGCGGTGTCCTCCACGCACCCCCGGCGCTATCGCCCTGTAGCCCTGCAGCCCGGGAAACCGCGTCTGAGGAGTTTTTACTAACGATTTTCATTTAAAGCACTACTGATCCAATAAAATGAGGATCAACACAGGTTTATATGCCTGTGCAGTGCTGGTTGCTGCCATAGCAGGACCCGCCTTTGCAGCATACGGTCAGACCTCTATCGCCGAGGCAGGTATGTTGGAATTCCTCGTCTGCCTCTCTCGATTTCTACTTTCTGGCTCTAAGGCCTCCCCTCTGGCTCCTCGGTTCTTACCATTCTCGTTCCGCCGTCTCTCCCGTAGCTCGGTATACCAAGACATCCTACACAGCAGGATGAGCCATTGTGCTGGTGGCTTTCACGATGCTTCTCACTGTGCTCGAAAAAACGTAATCCTTTTGGCCCCGCAGTCTTCTGAGAGGTGACACCGTATGTAATTAAAGCATCACGGGGTCTCCTTTGCGGCCTCAAACACACACTGAGAGAGTGCCTGGGAAGTGCGTGTCTTGTTTGCAGGGTATATAGGCGGATCTTCGATGCCTGTCGCAGCAAGACAGTCCTCCTATCAGGAAACAGGAGCGGCTGCGTACGGTGGCGTCCCTTCACAGCAGCTTCAGCGGCTGCAGACTCAACAGCAATCTCAGCAGCTGCCACTGCAGCAATTGCAGGCACAGCAACAGCAGCAGCTACAGAATGTGCAGCAGGTTCAAGCACAACAGCAATTGGTTCAGCAGCAGGCTTTGCAGAAGCAGCTACAGCAGCAGCATTTGATGCAGCAGCGATTGGTGCAGCAGCAGCAATTGGTGCAGCAGCAGCAGCAGCTACAGCTACAGCAGCAGCAGCAATTACTACAGCAGCAGCAGCAGCAGCTCCAACGTTCACAGCGAGTGCAGCAGCCGCAGCAAGTGCAGCAGTCTACGTCTCTGCTTGCAGGAAGTAGTCCTCTGGGAGGCCTTTTCAACGGAGTGCCCACCGGAGCGCTCCAGCGTTTGAGCCAGCTAACAGCAGATCTGGCACATTGCGATCCGAAGACTCAAGGTGTCTGCTGCATCGCCAAAGAATACTGCGATATCAATGCAGACTGCTTCTCTGATGTGTCTCCAGAGAACGTTTTTGATTGGGCTAATGCGATTCCCAGGTGTACGTGCAGGTGGGGATTTGAGGGCGACGGGCGGAGTAACGGAACCGGCTGCAGCAACATCAATGAGTGTGAAACAGGAGAGGCTGGATGCGAGCAGGTATGCCACGATCTAGCTCCCGGGTTTGCTTGCGGCTGCTGGCCAGGATATGAGCTTATGCCCAATGGAAAGCAATGTCAAGACATCAACGAATGCATCAAGGATAATGGAGGCTGCCACCACGTCTGCACCAACACCCTCGGCTCTTATAAGTGTGGTTGCCTACCCGGTAAGCGCAGGCCTCCCTTGCGATGATGGCAGCGCTTTGCAGCGTCGCCATCTACAGACAGAGACATTGCCAAAGCGGGTAAAACTCGTTGCCAGAAAGGCAGTCAAAAATATGCCACCGACGCGATGTGCTTGCACAGTTTCCGCTGTAGTAGCCAATACGCCTGCTTCTGCCACGCACGAGTCGTCGTCGGGGCCACATCGTGCTGCATGTTGCTGTAGATGTATTTTTCCCTTGTTCTCTCTCTGCTCACGCCTCCTTGAATGCCCGCCTGCACGGGCGTCCTTGTTTTCTGCTGCGTGTCTTCTCTGCACGAGCATCTCTATGGCTTTCTGTGGGAGGAGCAAAACGGGGGGAGGGGAGAAGGGGCCGCGAAGGGAGATTGCTGCTGCGGCTGAAGGTGCTGCAGCCCATGCTGCTGCCTCTGGTCACCCTGCTGCTGCTGCTCTGTGCCGCAGGCTTTGCCTTGGCTGGGGACGGTCGGACTTGCATTGAGCTCGATGCCTGTGTGGCAGCAGCAAGAGCACTGCCAGCTGCACTCCGTTCGACGGTGTCTTCAGAGGGTCGTCAGAAGGGGCCTTGTGCTCACCAGTGCCACACCGAGCTGGGGCTTTACCGCTGCAGTTGCCCAGTCGGCTTTAAGGTTTCGCTTCAAGATCATGCGAGCTGTGTAGACAGAAATGAATGTCAAGAGGGCCTCGGGAATGGGGTTGAAGCATGCAGCGCCGATGGATCTCAAATCTGCACCAACACGACGGGATCTTACGCGTGCTCTTGCGCTCCGGGGTATGAACTGAGGGGCACCAGCAACGCTGCGCAGCAACAGCAAAAGCTCGTGCAACAACAGCAAAAGCTCGTGCAACAACAGCAGGGCCCCCAGGACCAGCAAGCGCAGCAGCAGCAAGCGCAGCAGCAGCAAGCGCAGCAGCAGCAGGCGCAGCAGCAGCAAGCGCAGCTGCAGCAAGCGCAGCTGCAGCAGCAGCAAGAGAGGACTGCCGCTGAGAAACAGGAACAGCTGCTGCAGGAGGTGCAACAGCAGCAGCTGCGGCAGCGGCTTCAAGAAGGCGGCCAGCAGCAACAAAAGCAGCAACAGGCGCTGCTGCAGCAGCACAGCCAGGTTCAGCAGCTGCTACATCAGCGGCAGAGCCAACAAGTAGAGGCTGCGGTAGTGCAACAGCTGCAGCGAATCGATTCCCGGAAACAGCCGGCCTCACAGCAGAAGTCCTTGATGCATCCTTTGAAAGATCGGCAAGACCTCATCTTGCAAGAGCAGCAGAAAGTTATCAAGGAGCAGCAGCAGGAGTTGCTGCGGCAGCAGCATCTGCTTAAAGAGCAGCAGATTCGTGAGCGCTCACAGAACCCGCAACACCAACAAACGCAGCAGCAAATGGCTCCTCTACGGAGGTTGCAGCTAGAAAAAACTATAGAAGGCATCGTAAAAGTCGCTCAGGCGGCTCATGAAGCGAAGGAAACTGGCAAGACTGCCCGAGAGAGCAGCAGCAACCTTGGTAGCACTGAGAATGGAGAGATCGCTCCAGAGCAGCTTGCCCAGATGACGAAGCAATTCTTTGCGGCCGCTGGAACCGCCACATCTGCTCTTAGCGCAATCAACACGCTTTCAGGAAATTTGCAGCAGCAGAAGCAGCAACATTTGCAGCAGCAACACCAGCGCATGATCCACACTAACGTCGCACGCGCAGCTCAGCTCGGCACTGCAGCACAGCGATTTAGGCCGAGTGATGCATACAGTCCAACAGCAAAGCAGCTGTTGCTGCTGCAGCGCGAGCTGCTGCAGCAAATACGAAGGCCTAGAGATCCCCCAACCCCACCCAACGAGCCCCTGTTTTGCCAAGATATTGATGAATGTGCCGTCTTTGCAGCAGCCGGACAAGAGGCGTGTGCCCATAGCGACCTTCTCTGCGTAAACACACCCGGTACGTTTCTAATCTTTGCATGCAGGTGGTGGTAGACGCCGTGTAGAGGCACAGTACGCAGTGGCCCCTGGCTGCAGCTCTCTTTGGCCGCCTCGCTGCGCCTTCCGAGCTCTTTGTTCTCCTCTCTCATCCCATGTTTTGCCGCGCTGTGTTTAACGATGTTTGCTCGTGCTAGGAAGTTACGAGTGTCGGTGCCCAGAAGGCTTTCAGTGGTCATTCGAGCATTCTGCCTGCGAAGACATCGATGAGTGTTTCTTGGCCCAAAGCGCCTTCTCCACACAACAGCAGCAGCAGCACGAGGATCCTCTCCGTCTGGCAAATATTGCAGCGGCACGACAGAAACAAGGAGGCCAACTGATCCCTGGCGATCCCGCCATATGTGACATGAGTTGCACCAACCTGCCAGGATCATATCAATGCAGGTAGGGCGGGTGTTGTATTGTCTTTATGGCACTCGTATGTTAAATAATTCTGCCGCTGCTGCTCGCTGGATGCATATCTGTGCGTATGTACACTTATATGTATGCATATCTAAATATACATGCATATATATATGTACATATATATATATATACATATATGCGTGTGATCTTCAGCTGTCTCCCCGGATACGAGCTACAGCCTGACGGCAGCTGCAAAGACCTTGACGAGTGCGCTTCAGGAATGCATGAATGTTCACATGCCTGCGAGAATATCCCGGGTTCTTATCGATGCGTGTGTCCCCCTGGACAAGTCACTGATCCTTTGCGGCCCCAGCAGTGCGTTGATCTCGACGAGTGCAGCGAGGGCACGCATGGCTGCTCTCACACATGCGTCAATACACCGGGCTCGTACCGATGCGAGTGTCTCAAAGACGACGTTCTAGCCGCAGACAATAGAACTTGCTTGCCTCCGACGACTTGCCTGGAAGATCCCACCATCTGCAGGGGTCTGTAAAGGGGGCTCTGTGCTGAGCCCGTCCCTTCTGCTGTTTCCGATGCAAGCTGTGCAGTTGCGAGTGCTGCTGGATGAGGCGCCGCTATGCGCGTCGGCCTTGCTGCGCGCTGCTGTCGCCGCTGGCAGCGGGGGGGAGGGGAAGAAAAAGCATTGTTGCCTTGCTCTTGGTGTTTTTCGCTTCGCATTTTCTGCGGCCTCAAGTTTCTCCAATGCCCCGCAGTCAATGCCCTGCCCGCTGCCTGTGACACGCGCGCCTAGTCCACAAAGGGGCCTCCCGCTGTCTCTTTCACACGCGTTGGCAGCTCTTGTCGGTGCAGCTTTCCAGTAGTGCTCATCTTTCGCTCTCTGCTTTGTGTTTCAGGCGACTTCGTGTGTGCTCGGGATCCCCAGGCGGGTCAGTGGGTATGCCGCTGCCCTGAAGGCTTTGCCCCGACAACGCACAATTCCTTAGAGGGACTGCCGCAGTGCGCAGACGTCGACGAATGCACCCATGGCTATCCCCAGAGGGGCCTCAACCCCTGCTCAGACCCTCTCAGGCAAGGGGTGTACACTTATGTGCCCTCCTGGCGAAAGCCCCATAAGGCTTGCTCGAGCGCGCTTTTAATGCTAATCCTTCCCCAAGACAGCCCCCATTGAGCACATAGAAATAGGCAGAAAACCAGCCACACAGACGAGTGCGGACTCAAAGAGCCTTAAGAGAAGAACGCATCCCACAAACTACAGCACAGCAGGCGTTTCATGCAGCTATTCCTCACAATCTTTGTTGACTTATTCCAGGGGCAATCTTTCTGCTGTGCTTCCCGTACACAGACCCTGCTGCCTGAACATTACGGGTGGATTCCAGTGTCTTTCTATGCGGCGCCGATCGCTCCTGGATCCTCGCAGTCTCTCCTGCGAGCCTCCCAGCTTCCCTTTCAGCGCCTATCGGCTCCAAAGGCAATAGGGCAGGCTCTGACTGCTACATATCCTACGGCTGAACGCCCTTTCCGACTGTAGACAGGCCTCGCATGGACCGCAAAAGGCCCGCAGGGCCCCTCAAAGTAAGTCGCCTCTACGGAACAACTAGCTAAAAGTCATATACTTCAAAAAGCCCAAAAAAAGGTCGCAGCGTATAGCTGCACTGCGGCAGCCGGACGGACAGGCGCCAAGGCATCGGCCCCCGAATAAACGCACTTTTAAGGCCCTCTGAGTGACAACGCCGCCGTAACGGCGGTCAACTGAACAATAAAATGCAGAAGGCGTTCAAGGCTTCAAAATTGAGACTTCAAAGGCAACGTTTGAGCCTCTTGACGTCCTGCTGCAGTGCGCAGGGCCATTAAAGGGGGTATCACAGAAGGATCTTCCATCGAGCAGCTGTAATGTTACTCAACCAAGCCCTGCTGTGAAAGACAGCGGGCTAGAAACTCGTCTCGTTTGCCTTGTTTTGCGCCCACTCTCGCGTTCCGTCCTTATGCTATATCTTTTCCCCTTTTCAATGCATTTTACGAAACTAAAAGCTCCAAAGCTCTGCAGGCAAGGGAAGCCAAGGCCTTAGGCCTCTGCTGAGGGCTATGCCATGCTGAGCCAACTACAATGTCGCTCTCAACTACGGAGATGAGGCGGCTTGAAGACCGTGCAGGCTCTATTTGGGCTTCCTGAGGGTGTCAAGGCGGAGGAAGCCCCCCGCTAACAGGTCTCACCGCCCCTGCACTGCAGGTAAAAGGAAATCCCGCTGTGTGCCTGTTCGGACGGTAGAGCTTCCGCTCAGCAGAATTTCTCAGAGGGAACGGGTCATTTTTGAGTAAACTTTTTCGCGTGAGAGACAATCCAGGGATGCTCTAGGGCCTCCGCAGCCGTAAGGCGCTTCTGTGGCTCTAGGTGAAAGAGGGCAGCCAAGAAATCCCAACAGTCCATGGATACGTGGGGCAGACGGGAGAGTAACAGCTCGCCTGTAGCAAGCACGAGGGGAACACACAAGCACAGGGTTCATAGCTTGCACTCGAGGGTTTGGGTTTCTTAGCAGGGCAAGGTTCGGCCTCAAATAAATTGAGTTAAAGTGGAGACAATGGAGTAAGTCCAGCGTTGACTCTTAGGGAGTTGTAGCATGCCTTTCTGCTTCTTGAGCGCTAGATTTCGGTTGTCCTTATTACACTTTGGTTGCTGCTTACCAATCATGCCCCGCCGCTCCAGAAGGACTCCCAGGGTCTCTCGTGAAGTCACTACAAAGGGAGGGCTCCCTGACAAGAGGTGAAAAGCCAACACGCCGACTCGCCACATATCTGCTGCTGCTGCATTGACAGGACCGGAAGCAGCAGGGGCATGGCTCAAGGCTGGTTCGACAGTTCCTGAGCCATCTGGACTAGGTTCGTCAGCCGGAAGAGGAGTTTCAGCGGCAGAAGGCGCAGCGGAAGCAACACTACTGGGGGCAGGAGCTGCAACAGCTGGGCCACCAGGCGAAGCAGAAAGGCTAGCGTCCCCTGCCTGTTGGTTTTGCAATTCTTCTGGCGCGAGATACGCCACAGGAAAAGCGTTGGTCCAGTTGGCTAGCTGCGCATCTACTGTAGTGCTAGCCCACGAGGGCGCCTCCCTTGCGACCCCTGCACTATTGGACATGGGGCCTTCTAAAGGGCACAGGAAGCTGGGCTTGTACATCAAGGCCTGTAGAGAGCTCCCACTAGTTGGTTGCCTCTTGTAGAAGCGAGAAATCTTGGGGAGGGCCAATGCAATCGTGCCGCCTCCCCTCAAATAAATTGCATCAGGCGTGAGCTGTATGCACGCCCTACGAGTCTCCTGTCCCTGCAGGAGCACTAAAACCTGCAGCACCTGCTGCAGCAATCCTCTAGCCGCTGCTTCATTGAAGACGCCAGAGCTGTTAGGCGGGAGCATATCGGAAAGCTTCTGGGACGGGGGAGGCAGCCAATCCCTGAGGATGTGGAGACACTGCGCGTCATGGTAGATTGCCTGCAGTCGCACGACGAGCGGGGAATCGATGGGTGCCAAATGGCTTCGGGAGGGCTCTGCTGCTGTATCTTGGGAAGCTTGCGTTGTTTGAATCTCAGAGTCTCCTGAAGAGATGTGGGAAAACTCCAGAAGGGCAGCCACATAGGCAAAGGGGTCGACAAGCTCTCGCTTCAAAACACTTTCTAGTATGAACACCCCAGTATGCGTACACTCGGTTCCTCCGGGCGTTGCCTTCGTTACTGCTCCTGTTAGTGCTGTTGGTACAACTAATGAGGCGGGAATGGCAGGAGAGGCTGTCGAAGGACTCGTGGCGTACAGAACTACGACATGAACACTGCGTCTGCCATCGCTCCGTAGTGCTTTCACAGGCGAAAGGACTGTCCTTAGCTCTTCTAAAGAAGAAGGCCAAGCGCCTGCCTTTCGTGTCCAGAGGAGACCATCCCAAAAGAGCTGGCTGGTGTCCTGCTTCAGTGACAGCAGTAGGCCTTCTAGCTGCTGCAATGAGGTCGCCTGACCTTCATGACGTACCTCCGAAGCACCCAGTGACAGGCCAGTGTCTCTCGTCACCGCCTTACCCTTCTGCTGCTCTTGCTCTTTCTGCTGCTGCGCCTTCTCAGTCTGTTGGGGTTCCGAGTTTAAATACACGATAACCCTAATAGGCGTGTGGACTCGGGTACGTGGCGTCTGCTGGTGTTGCTGCAGCGGCAGGGGCTGTTCCTGGGGGGCGAACTGCTGCTGCTCCAGGGGACCCTCCTGCTGAGCCAGGTGCCCCAAGCCTTCCTTTTCAAAGGAAAAGTTCTCCCTCCACGCGGGAGTGACAGCTAAGTTAGTCCCCCCTTTGTGAAGTGGAGGGGCACTAAGGCCACGGTCGCACGATATGGAGGCTCTCTCGGGCCCTAGAGAAGACCTCAGGGGTGGAGGCAGGCCTTTGTCCGTGCTCTTCTCATGATGCTGATGCTGATGCGACCGAGGAGGGCGACTATTCTGATGAGGCTGGCCATGATGCTGATGCTGGTGCTGCTGAGGCATGTGACACGACTGGTTCTGTGATGCTTGGGGCTTTAAGGCTTTTGCGGACTTGCTGTGAGCTGACCCAATTTCAGCCCGCGTTGCCTTGCGTGAAGTGGACTTTTTGGAGGCGAAAAGGATGCCGCCGCAACAGATGGTAACTCGCGCAGCCCCCGCAAATGTAGGGGGGCCCAGTTTTACCAGGTGCGAAGAGGACAGCTGCACGAGGCCAAGCTGCAAGGGCCGCGACACAGTGAGTTCCCCCTCCGCTACAGAGGTCCAGGGGCCAATGGAGTCTGCCGCCGGCTTACACATAACTGTGAGGTTTATTCGGATGGCTGTGGCTGAGGGCGGTCTGCCGCGCTTCATGGTCATGGGTATATACACGCGGAGCGTCTGGGGGGCACCAAGGGAGAGATGCAGCATCACTCGCTGCAACACCTGGGAATTCTTAGAGGTTCCTGGAAGAAGTTCTACTCCGTGCAGAGAGCTGAATGCATTCTCGGGCAACTGGGAAGCTCCAAGGGCCTTCCTTTTGCCAGCGTTAGATTCCCCCGATTCAGCACCTGAATCCTCTCGAGGCGTGTCCAGGATGGCGAGCTGCCCTTCCTTTGCGGCGAAGAGCGCCTCCTTGATACGGGCTCTTGCCGCCTTCCAGTGGCAATGGACCTCTTTTTGAGGTGGTGGTAGGTTTTCCAAGATATATGCGTCCGCCCCTTCGGGGGCTAGTGGTGGACCCCCCAAAATCGAGGCGTCTAGGGACAGCCCTACTAGCCAGTCGCCCCTTGCTGTCTTGTCCAGTTCTGTATCTTGATGTATCATTGGTGCTCTTCCGACACCACGAGGCAGCGCCACGTTTGGAAATGCCCCTTCCAGAGCGCTCAAAACAGACAACTGCCGCTTTTTCCGTTGTTCTCGCAATCGTATCTTTTTCAGTCTACTGCGCCTTCGCATCTGGGGCCCCTGGAGTGCTTCGCTCAACTTGTCAAAGTCTTTCTGGACTTCGTTGAGCTGAAAGAGCCGCATGCGGAGATCTAAGCACTCGAGTTCCACGACGCAAACGCAAATATCATGCGTCTTACTGCCCGTCTTACGGGAGCAGCTCTTTCCCCCACATTCAGAGGCTGTCTCAGTAGTAAGGGGGCCCCTCAACAGCGGTATCCTTGAAGCAGCTCCATCGAGAGGAAGGCTAAGTCTGGTTTTGGCAGCAGACGCTATGTGAGAGGGAAGTAGGTGAGGTTCCCATAATTCTCTGGGGCTCTGGGTTTGTAGTGGCCCTCCATCCTCGTCTTCAGAATTAGATGTGGGAGACTTTTGGGAACGTGCCTTGGGAAGAGAAGCAGAAAGCAAGGTCTTGTCCATCCAGCAGGGCAGGGGTCTTCCTTTACCGACAAGATACTGTACGAATCGGGTATAGCGTTTGCTGCGTGAGCAGACAGATGAGGCCTGCCACAGACCGATCCCATCGTAGGCCTCAAGGGACTCAATCAAAGAGCTCAGGTTCCCCGACCCTGGTTTCGGGGGAGGGGGGCCCCGAGGGTTTCTCGACATCGAGGCCTTAGAGGGCATTGCCCTACGGTATCATGAGACACCGCCTCATGCATCCAATAGAGAGGGTCCAAACTGTTCGGGATTGCCATCAGAAGACCCGCTGTGGCTGGATGACTGTCTTAGGGAGAGGCTCTAGAAAGAGCAGATGCACTAAAGGCCTCAATGCAGAGCACAGAGAGGGGGCTTGTGTCCTCAAAAGCCGAAGACAGGAGGGCGACGCCGCGCTCTGTGCCTGGGCCAGAGGTCGCGAAAATAATCGCAGATCAGGAAGAGCTGTATTTGTAGGCCTCTCAGATCCAGGTGGTGCCTCAACTAGCAGCACCGTAGATTGAAGCCATCGGATATAGACGGGTCAAGCAACGAGGGCAGGGTATGGGTGCGTAAAGTGCTGTGTATTTAGTGCTTCGTCTAGCAAAACAGATTCATGCAATGGCAGGTCAGAGGGGTACAAGCTACGAGCAGACAAAATTGGTGCTAGGGAGACAAAGGGGAGGGAAGAGGAGCCCCTGTAGCCCTTCCAGGCAGCGATCAGCGGTGGTCTACGCCACAGTCTCTCGGCAGCAACAGGAGCTGCTGCCGCTGCCTTGTCTGCTGCACCAGGAGCTTTTTAGGAAATAGAAGAGCTAACTGCGTTTGTTCGAGTTTTCTTTTACATAAAACAGAGGATGCGCGGCGATTCGACCCGCATGACCCCTGGCACCCCAGCTATCGATTCAGCTGTATGTATGGCCCTCTCGTGCAGCGCGTAACAAACCCATCGATTGCGGCTGTGCCTGCACGGCCGGCTCCCGATTCGTCCAGAAAATCCGCCTGTTTCCCGATTGTTGCGCATTGAAATAAAGTATTTATGGTTGGACTCCTCATTTTTCTTGCTGTAATTCTCCCAAGCACAAGTCTTCCATCGTTTAGCTGCTTGGAGGTTTGCAGCGCAGTTGACGGCTGGAGGCGCAGACAGCCGTCGGCAGCGACCCCTAGCTTGCACCTCCGCCTGCCTTGTTCGGCTCTCTGCCTCTCTTTGAAACTTCTCACAATGTCATCTCTGCAGCACAAGCCGTGGGAATCCCCCCGTGCTGTCTCTCTTGTGCAGTGCACGCCAGCTGCCGAGCAGTCGAGGGTCCGGCTGCGTCGATCGGGAGTGTATTCCAAGCTCGACGTGCAGCAACGGCTGAAATCATGTGACAACACAGCAGAAGAGCCAAGACAGGAGGCCTGTACAGCCCCAGACTCTGGCGCACAGTTGCCTGCAGCCGAGGCTGTCCTCTCGGAGGAGGCAAAAGCTGTTAGCGCCGAGCTGCTTAGGGCAGCACGCCACTGGCAGGAAGAGCACAGAGAGTGGCAGCGACGCTATAGCCAGTGGCTGGTGGAGCAGAGCCACTGGGAGGGCCTCCGTGCGGCAGAAAGTGACCTTCGAAGGGTCCCTACGACCAATCACGTGGTGACAGGGGCTGTCTTCGGAGCAATGAAACGAGGGCTTTTTGCCAGCGGAAGAGCAGCAGCATTCATCTGCACTAAGGCGGTGTGCAAGACTAAAGTCGCCCTCCTTCCAGCGGCGAAACGCCTAGGGAGACGACTTGCTTCCTTTGGTCACAAGGAGGCACCACTGCAGCAGCAGCAGCAGCAGCAAACACTCGAAGCACTCCAGCAACAACAACGCCTCTATCTCTCCAAACTTCAGCGCCAGGAAGCGATGGACGAACAGTGGGTGCCAACGCAGCAGGACAGCGAATTTCATGACCACCAGGAGGAGCAGCGGCAGCAGCAGCAAAAACAGAGGAGGCGGCCAGAGCAACAGCACTCTGAAGTCGCTTGGCAAGATCCCCTTGAAGAAAGCGCAGATAAAAATTTGTCTCCGAGGAAGCATCACGATGTTCCTCCCACCACTTCACATACAGCCAGAGGATCTATCCTCCGTGAGCGCCCTAAAGCCCTTCCTGAAGCAGAAGAAGGGAGGGAGGCCGAGACACAGGACACTGGAGAGGAGACACTTAGAGCTTTAGACGCTTCCATTGACTGGATTGTTGACGTGGGTTTTAACTCAGCGGCGCGCGCAGCGGCAGCAGCTGCACTTCAGCGCAGAGAGGAGCTGCGACTAAAGCAGCAGAACCTTCAGGGCAAGAGACAAAAGAGCATTTCCTCAAGAGGCAGCAGCCAAGCCACATGCTGCGAATCCTCTTGCTCTGCTGAAGAATTCCTCCAGGTGACGGCAAGGAGGCGTCTGGCTAGGGAGAGACCCTTAGTCCAAAGGCCTCTGCCTGACTTTACAAGGTTCTCTACTAGACCGCAGCGCTCTTCCTTGGGGGGCGGGGGCCCCTTGACGAAAGAAAAGTGCCTAAACGCTAATTCCGACGCGCAAACAGACTGCTCTGTGGAAGACTGTGTTCTACACTGCGGCCATAGCATTGAGGAGGTCACCCTCTCTGACAGCAGCAGCAGCAGCTGCGTCGCGCGCCGGCTAAGGGCGTCAAGGAGGCTGCGCGCTGCGGCGGCAGCAGCAAAAAGGAGGCAGTTCCTATTGAAACAACGGAGGGCTCAGGCCACCAAAAGGGAGGAGCTCTGCTATGCAGAGGTCGGTATCGACGTCGCGCTATAAGGGCCACATGCCCTTACGCACAAATTAGCTTCTTGATAGGACCTCATGCACTGAAGGTAGCATGGTCAGGCGCAGCAGAAGGGTGCTGCCCGCGATACATTTTGAGCCGACGTAATATCCATGATAGTAAAGGTACCTGAGCGTATTTCTTGATTGCCTTTTACCATGCAGTCGCGTAGTGTGGGCGTGCACAAACAAGGCTTTTTATGAGTACAAGCTACAAGACACAAGTTGGGTCGCCTACAGATACCTGTGTGAGAATTGATGGGGAGAAGCAGGAATCCAAGAGATGGTCAGCTCTTGGCGGCAGCCTGTAGAGGGAGGCAGATGCGCCTTTGCTCGCTCAGCTCGAGGACATTCGGAGGGTCATTACCGACTGCGAACGTTGCCCACGTTATGGCTTATAAATATGTGTCTTTTGATTTTAGATTGTCCTTAAATCTGTGGTTCTCTTCGTTTCAAGGAGGCTCCTCTGCTCCATGTCGATACCCTCGAGTGCCGCTTTTCCTGAAGGGGACTCCATTACGGTATCGCTGGACGGGGAAGATCAGTGCCTGTTCAAAAAGCGTTCAGGGAACCAATGAATGATCCGTGGCTGCTTCTTCCAGCATTGTCTGATAGCGGAGTAGCTGGCTGCTCTTTTTGAGAAGCCCGGGAAACACAAATTGGCAAGAGGCACACGGGGTGAAGAAGGGTGCGTGTCCCGCATCTCTTCACACATCGGGTTGTCTCGCTCTGTCAATCCCTTCCCCACTCAGCCTGATACGAAGGAACGGCTCTGCCTTTTACAGTTTCGAGTAATTTTTGAATCTCTTTATATCAGTGCTCCGACATAGTGCACACCAGTTTGCACCGCCGCGCGCCTGCCGTGAGAGTAAGGACCTGCTAAAGAATTCCTTGCTTAGTCATCACGCGAAGTATTTAGCTAGGTCTAGCACCTCTATAGTCGCCACGTTGGTATCCCTTCTGCAGGAGGCTAGCGCTGTGGTCTAACCATGCATGCGTACAAGCTCTGCCTCAGACGGGCACATACTTGCAAAAGCCTCTGCGCTCCAATCAACGGCGACAACATGTGCGCTGCTGCGTATGTCTACTCTGCCCCCTGGAAGTTACGCACGGACACTTGCAAGAAAAGCGATTCAACACGGCCGAAAAAAGCTGGTGTTCTTTGCGTTTCAAACCGCTTATAGCCCCATGTGCTACAAAAAGCGTCCTTCTCCCCCTTCGTCGCGTCAAAAGTCTTCAGTTGGAAGGTCTAAAACCCTGGTTCTCTAGCCAGGACTCATACTACCCTCTGGAGAGCCCCACGTCCCCCCACCGTCCCTCTGTCAGGTAACCAGCAACTATGCTTTTTCTGCAGACCTGAAGGGCAATTCGCCCTGCGCAAGGCACAGCATGGCTCCTTAGGGGCCTGCAAGGCATTGAAAATTGTCACTTGCCTCTCTGTGCGCCTTGCTTGCGGCGTTCGGCTCCCTTAGGCCGATGAAATTTCTTCCTCTGGGGCTGCGACGATTTCTGAGGGTGTTGGGTGGTCGTGGACCCTGCCTCTGCGTTCGTGAAAACTCCCCCTCCCCCTTTTTCGGTTTTCTGATGAAAGTGTCCTGCGTGCCTGCGTTGCTTTTTCCGTTGTCGCCCCTCCTCTCCCTCAGGGGCTGCTCTAGCATGAGGGTTCCGCTGCCGTTTGCCGAATCCCTTTCCTGCTCGAGGTTTCCCCGTGCCCTCTTCTCCAGCGGCACGCTTCTTTTTCTGTGGTTTCTCGTGAGATGAGGGTGCCTCTTTGGGGCCCTTCAACGCTCCTGTCTCATCTTCGCTCACGTCTTCGTCCTGAAAACAAAAAGAAGCACAACAAACGGCGAATCGCCTTGGGGCTGGCTAGCAGGTGCACTTCTAAAGCCCCAGAGACCTCTTTCGCAAAGCCCTGAGCCACAGGCATGCGTCATGAAGCTCTCTGCCCTGTCTTGTGTGATAGCCTTTTAACCGCGAAACGTCCTATGCAGGCAGCACTTTCGGAGGAGGCAAAGGCCATACAGGAGCCAGTGCGAGCAGGCACCTGGGCCCCCAGTGTACCTGCTGCTTGTCGCATGCGAAATCCAGAAAATTTTCTGTGACTGATTTGTCGTTCCACTTCTCGGGGCCCCACACCTGTATACCACACAAAACCCCAGCAGACAAATCGCCTTGCTGACTCTGTTGTTGCCGGGACCCCTATCACTGCGGCCGCTGGCTTCCGTGTTTTTTCGGCGGGGCTGAGCAGGGAACGGATATGCGAATTCATGTCATTACCTTCACATAGGGATTTGTTTTGCTTCTGTCCTTTTTCACACGTTGTGGAATTTCATTAGAGAGCTTTTTCAGTTTGGCTACGAAAAAGCCATCCATGTTGTTCAGGTGCGGATACACCCTACGGCTGTGCAGTGCCAGAGTGGGATGGAATTGCCGGCCCCTAAAAGAGCTCAGGCCTGGTGAGCCAATGTTGACTCCTAAGAAGCGAGGCAGGAAAAACACAAAGATGCGTTTGCACTCCTAGATACGCAGAAAAAGCACCGCCAAAACTCTCTAAAACACCGACGCAAGCGAGCGCATCGCCCCCACAAAGTCCCAAGCACACCACCCCATGCAACCCAAACACGCATGCGACCGCTAGCCGACGTATAGGACAACCGCCCGTATCCATCCGTAGGGTGCCGCCTCCTTATGAGGCAAATCCTATGCTGTGATGAGCCCTAAAGACACGTGTGACATACCCAGAGGAACGAGCTTTACTCTCCGCGCCTTCAAGATATAATCTACCACCTCCTCGTTTTCCTCGACAGAGACACTGAAAAAATTGAACAAAATAAATGTAAAGCGCGCGTACATACATCCATTCACATACACAAATATATATATATATATATATATACATATACATACAGAAACAGAAATAGTCCGCAGTATATCGGGGCCACGAATGCGCCTGCTCCTGCTTTGTCTCTTGTCTGCTGTTGCAGTTTTAGCTGCCGTAAGTTCCCCTATCCTGCGATAGCCAAGCAGCGTGTACTTAAAGCTTAAGCCTTGGTCATCCAGCCAGCTGTAAACACAGCGTCGTGGGGTCTTGTGTGTATTACCTGCAGGTTGAATAGACGATGTAGCCACCTGTTCGTGAGTTTGCGTCCACAAGGTCCACGGCAGCGCAAAGGAGCTGCTTCTGCAGTTTCGAGTGCTCCTCAAAATCGGCCACCGATCGCTTTACCTGAGGCGTAACGAAGCACAGAAGCAGGATTAAGGCTTCATTGCCAAGGGCTCACTATAGCCCCGGCCAGGCACTGATAGCTGGCTAGGTGGTCGCGTAGTACAGCACTACACAGCTGGCAGCCCGAAAGGGCTCCTCCCTGTGCCCGCCTCCCGCGTCGGCTAGCTGGAGAAGCGACCTAGTTGCAATTTTAAGGAAAAATTTAGAAACAGAGACAGGGAAGGCCTTCCTTCTGCGAATCTCTGAAAAAACAGCTTCCATGAGACACTGCGCAGAGCTGCCCAAAGCCAACAAAGCGAGCCGCACAAGCAGACACACACCACCGCTGAGAAGTAGTCCTACCTTGATAGAGGAGTCTCTCGAGATGATGCCTGCGCCTGAGCAAGGCGCATCGAGGAGAACCCGGTCCACCTTTGGCAACACACGCGGCAGCTGGCGGCCGTCCATGGAGCACACCACGCAGTTCATCACACCCATCCTGAGGCAGCGGAAAACAAGGTCCAGCATAACACGTATGAGCGACACTGCGCAGGACCCTGTCGCTTCACAGCACACCCAGACGCTCGATCTATTAGACGCGTAAGGGCAACAAGTCACAAGCTCCGACACCAGAACGCACACACACAGCAAGCGACTGCTTGTGGAGAGAGAAAGAGACACAGCGGCGCAGCAGGTTTAAGAGCACAAACAGGTATGCAACTTGTTAGATTGGGAAATGCCATACACGAACCGAACCCCCGCCCCTTTCTACCCGCCACCCCAAAGAAACGCAGCGCCTCCTCCTTCACCATCCACCTCGACCGCAGCTACCGCTTCTCAAGACAAAACCTCTACAAATAAACCTCTCAAACCGAATGCGTGCGTGCATGCGTGCCTCCCTCCCCGCCTCTAGGGCACCTTCGACATGCACGAAGACTGGTTAGCGAGACGGTGTAGGGGTTTATAGAGTTCAAAACTTTGGCTCGTGGCAGGTCGCACCTCTGGAGGTTGGCCATCAGCGATGTACAGCGTTCTCGCTTGAGGTCGTTCGCGTAAACAACGCCCTCGTTCTGCATCAGTTGACAGATGTGCGAGGTTTTCCCACCGGGAGCAGATGCCATATCCACCACTCTCTCGCCTGAATAGCCAGATGAAGGTCGCACCAGGAAGCGGCTTGCGCGTTTCTTGCCTTCCTCTTATTGCAACACACACTGAGGGGGATGCCGTCGAAGCCACAACCACCCAACACCACGCCAGCTAAAACGCGCATTGGCAACGACACGCTGCATGCAGCAGAGTCCGATGTGGAAGTTTGGTTTCTCTTCGAGTCTGGCGAGGAGGAAAGCCTCTCCTTGAGGCAGGGAGGAGGGGAAGGCAAAGTCAGAGTCTCGTAATCGACTGCTTGCCTTAAAGGCCAGCTCTCACCAGGCTGCGGGGCAAGCGCCATCACGGGGATGAGGGAGGAGGCTGACTGCAGAATATAGAGGCCTGCGAGATACTCAGGTGTCGCCCCCACAGGGACCGTGCTATCGTAGACCTTCAAAGCGACTTTGCTCCAATCACCAACCGGATCCACATTGCAGCCGCGAGCAATCAAAGCGGCAGCCAACTCCCGTCTGAAAGAAAGTACACAGACATATACACACACGTATGGATACACACATATGGATACACACATATGGATACATACATGTGGATACACACGCATGTACACTCTTCATGAAAGTTCCAAAGCATCAACGCCCGAACCGCATCATTACCCCTAAGTAGACAGAGAAACGCACACCCCAATAAAGATAAATACACACACACGCATTCCCATGAAAACAAATACACACACACATCCCTATGAAGACAAAAACACACGCACATCCCTATAGAGACATGTCCCTTTTCTGAGCACACAAAGTTCCTTTAGAGCATAGAGACGAACGGGTGGCAAACAAGCGAGGGCGAGGCAAGCGCCTGGACAAAGAGAGGCTTCTACCAGCAAAGGCAAAAAAAAACGCACACGCCGACAAAAGGGTGCCCCTTTTACCGAAGCTCCTCCGTAACAGCGGCAGCGTTTGCTGCTAACCTGCGAATCTTGAGAGTATTCGCTCTGAGGGTGAGGGGACGCCTATGCTCGTTCGCTTCAAAGAAGGCCAGGGCCTGGGAAGGGCTGAACAGCTTCGCATCCACACATATATATCCGCACGCACACAAGAAAGCTCCACAAGAGCAGCCCACTCGAAGCCGAAATAAAAGCAGCAACAATGCCCCATAGGTTTCGTGCGCCCTAGTCGCTTTGAAGCCACACACAGTCGGAGCCATCAGAGTGGTTGCATTGTGCAGAAAGAGGCCCTCTTAGGGAGCCTCCCGCACAGTGCAACCTTGAGGCCTCTCAAGCCAACTGCTACTTCAACCCCAAGAGGGCTTCTCCCACGATCCGTGATGAACACCAGTGTGGTGGAGCTGCGCACCTGCAGAAAATACTCCGCGAGATCTGGAGAGTACTGAAAATAATGCACAACATCGTCTCTGAGAAGCTGCAGCAGCTCCTGTCTGCTCTTCTTCTTGCCCGAGACAGCCCCACTCTTACTATTACCATCGCCACCATCTCCGTCCTTCTTGGAAGAGTGTGTTTTTCCAGCGGCCGCTGAGAGGCGCGCGACGGTGTCCTCCATCCGTTCCCGAACAACTCGCATATCCACCAGGGGCAGCTGCCGCACGGAGGCTCCCGCTATGTGCGGCTCAGCTGCAGCAGCACAGCATGCAAAGCACCGTGTAAGAATTCGGGTGCAGCGGCAAAGCAACCCACACACCCCGCACGACAATGCACAGGCCGGACAATAACATAAAAGCGCCAGTCTTTCGCCCGTTCCTCCACAGACCCCACGCTGTAAGGCCGTACCTTCTTCACCCTCGGAGTCAGAGGAGTCCTCGAGCTTCCCTGCAGCACAGCGAACATGCGGGTGTGGCTTCGTAGGCCATGGGAATCGCGGCTTAGGAGAAGGCATGAAGGCGGGAAGCACAAAAAGGCCTCCTTGTAAAGGGCCCCTCCCCAGAAAACGCACTTTTGGGGTGGTCGCCTTCGCGCGATTCCGACGCTTCCGTCTCGGAAGAAGAACAAGCATCGGAGGGCAGGGGATTTTCCTCCGCCTCCCCTTCCTCCTCCTCAGCAGCGCTCTCCTCTGACAAGTCCGCGAAACCCTATACCCCACGTCACAAACAAGGCCCACCCCTACCCACGCAGCATTCGAGCTTTGCACGCACTGGCGAAGAGAAAGCCCTCCAAAGGCAAGCACATTATGCAGAAACCGCATTCGCGTCAACAGCGACACACACACACGGCAGAGGAGGCCAAGAAAAGACTAAGGGCCTTGACCTAAGAACAAAACCCCGTCAAGTAGAGCCCTTCCCGCACAAAGTGCCTAACACATTCTACCTCAGCGTCTTCGGAGAGGTCTTCCTCGGCGTCGCTCTCGGAATCAGAAAAGCCTTCCAGACGCTTGGGAGGGCCAGCCTCCTTCTCTGATAAAAACCGCAGAACCCCCCCACCATAGACCCTGCAAACTGCGGAATCGCCTTGTTGCAGAAAGCGTCACGATATATGATATACACACGATCAGCAGACGCGTGTGACTGCTCCAAAAGCCGAAGAAAGGGAGGCGAGGCGCTGCCAGCGCGAGAGAGAAGGACAGAGAGCTCTTCAACAAAGGGAGAGCTCTCTGTCCTCCTCTAAGACTAAGACGAACAGCCACATACTCTTCAAGCCTCTGCCTGCCTCCGCGTCGGCAGACTCTTCCGGTTGTCTATACCGTGTACTGCCCCTTCCAGTAGCCCTGAGCCCTTGGGCAACTGAGGACACCCTTGATTCCCCCCCGTCCCCCTCCCCTTTGCTGTATCTTACCGGATTGCGATTCTTCAAGGTCGCTAGGCTGTCGAATCAAAGCGTCCTCGTCACTTGGTAAGTGGGAGAGAGAAGAGGCATGAGGCGCCTCCACCTTCGACTTAGCGCCTCCCCCGCGCCGCTGATGTGGAGACGATCCGTTCTTCACAGAATCTGCCTTTTTCTCTAAAGACCTCTGGAAGCCTACAGAGCCGGAAGCTCGTTGGGGAGTTTTCTCCTTCATCTTCTTGGCGCTATGCCTCCCTTCCATGCCCCCTTTTCCCTTGTTGGGAGAGGGCCCCAGCTTGGGGGGCCCCCCTTTGCCTGATTTGTTTAGCTGCCGATTCGCTGCCATCTTCCCTCGCCGCCACGGAGTCTGAGAAGCTGTTTCTGTCTGTGCTGCTGGGATCGCTTAACCTTCAAGGGTTTAGGGCACCGAACAAACGCGCAAGAGGGAGAGCGCGAGCTCTTCTGCCTCTCTAGGCGCTCCCTGCGGCTCGGGCTGGCTTTCGTCCTTCCTCCCTGATTTACCCGAAGCCACAAAATCAGCAACAATGATAAAACAACAGAAGGCGGAAGCTAAATCAATGGTGACAGGGCAGAAGCAAAAATCTGTGGGGCTGTACCCCGTAGGGCTCCTGCTGTGGGGTGCTGCCCAACGAAGCGGGCCTTGCCTTCCCAGCTTTCCATTTTCTTCGGCTCCTCAGAAAGGTCCTAGAGCAAACCTTCTTTTTGAGTCTTTGGACTGTACTGATCGACGCTTGGGGCCATAGTGGGGGGACTTTCCCCACCGCCGCGGTTTGGCAAGCCGTCAAAAGTGTAAGTGCGCGAGTCAAGTTTGAGCGTCCTTCTTAATATGTGAGCGGCGAGTTTGGTCAAGAAACTGGTATCCTGAGAAATCTCTGCGCAGTGTTCCCGTGAGGGTGCCGGGCTTCAGCAGAGAAGGGAGCTTAGGAGAGCTCCTGGTGGTCCTAAACGGTGTAGAATGGAGCGTTTGTGGCCTGCATCTTGTTTGGGTGCATGCAAGAACATAGGCCGTCTCGAGATGGTTGAACGTAAATGGCTGAGCTGGTGCTAGCTGTCGCTAATAATAGCAGTGCCGCGGAAATACATTGGTGGGGCTATCGCATATTAGCAAATTGGCCACCCTCGAGGCAAATCGGTGTAAGGACTGTCTTTAGACGAGGTGTAAAGTCACACGCAAGCGAGTAGACTGGAAACAGTTGAAGTAGTGTTGCGTTAATGAAGGGTCCAAAAGCATGCCTCATTTTGGGGGGTGCAGGGGGGACGTGGGTTTTGTACGTGGGTCTTGTATAACGACATGTATAGGGCTTTCGCAGGGAGATACCTGTATCCTAGCGCAATATAAACCTCGATGCTTAAGATGCCTTTCCAAACGAGCCTCCCCTTTCGTCTCGGCGCCCCTCGGACTTTCTGTCGAGGAAAAATGGACTTGTAGGATGCGTCTTGCTGCCCCCTCTAGACACTCCAAGCATTCACAGCTGGTTGCAGCGGCAGCTAGTGCAGACGCACACAACAGGCCCCGTTCTTTTATCATGCTGACAGTGCTCCGCACCTAGTAAGATAGACGTACAGGCAAACCAAGTAATCAATTCAACACCAGTCATTAACCAAGAATAAGTCGTGTACCAGCAAGTATTACAGTGTAATTAAGGCTCTTACACTGCAAGCTTCAATGATCAGGGTACCGCGCTGTTCTGAGCCGGCCTATGGCAGAGATAACTGTGGTGTACACGGAAGCACAAGGCCTGGGCATATGCGTGTTTCGCGTCTATAACGATGTATGCGATCACGCATAAGGAATCATAGTGGGAATGCCAGGACTTAACGGTATCTATAAGAGTGACCTCTGTTATACTCCCTGATAAGCCTTCAACTTAGATGCTTGGTACCTACGCTTTGAATTTGCGCGTAGAGGGTGTATATCAGATGGACTTGGGGATGCTTGACAGAGTGATGGACACAAGGGGTAGATGCACTTGCGCATCCAAGTGCCTGCCGCAATTTAGTATAGCTCGTTGTGCTGTCAAAGATTTTCAGTAATACGAGGCTTTCCTCCTTTTAGTCGACGCAAGCAAAGGAATCCGTTTCGTGGCGTTTTGTGACTACGCCAGAATCAGCATTTACCCACGGTTGCTAACGGCAAAGGGGGGCGTACAGGAGCTACTTTGACGTGCATTACTCTGAAGCTAGTGAGCTGAGCAACACTTTGGCTCTGTCTACTGCAGTAGGCATACCTAGGTAAGGAAAAGAAAATGACAACTTGGTTGGGGTGTCTGTATGCATTAGTTATCGTAAGTGGCGTGAGCTCTATTCACTGGAGGGTGTTCTGCCCTACAGGCACTCTTAAAAGGCTGCCCTTCCACAGCAATTGAATGGGGTCTGCTAGGTTCGTTTGCCTCTTCTTTGATCCCTGGGGTAGTGTAAGTGCCACACTTCTTTTAGCAGCGCGGGTGGCTCATGTTTGACTTTCCGTGCAGTAACACCAGCTTACCGCAGGCACGCTACCCAAATGTAGGAAAAGGACAGTGCGGCCCTGTATCGACTTGACAATAAATTAATAGGCGGCAACCTCGGGCAAATCGGCTCTGGCCTTTTGCGGTTTCCGAGCTCATACAGCAACGACTCTTGCTGGAAGCAGAGCTGACTTTCTTTATAAAATCGGCCTTGATTGTCATTGTCAGTCTCCTGTCTTTTGCAAGGTGGCCTGGAGCATCTTACATCGCCGCCTGAGGGCGCCAACTCTGGCCTTTTGGCTGCTGTGCAGGAACATTTTTGCTGTCCTCTCTCTCCCTCTACCATCATGCTCTACCTCATGCTGGCCCTCTAAAAAGTCCCTCACATGCTCGTGAATGTATCCATGAGGCATTCTTTTCGAACCCCTCCGCCGTGGGTGTCTAGACCCTTAGCCTTGAATTCGCTATTTCCTCAACCCCTTGAATGCTCAGTCGCCTAATTCTATTAGTGCTGTCGTGGTGGCTTGATAAAAATGAGGCTCTTTACGCCTCGGACCGTAAATATTCTTATGGCAAAGCGCAGCTGTTTGCTGCGCTTCTCTAATCCACAATATCCACTTCTATCTCTTTTTATATTTCTCTGTCTACACCAAGAAGGTGTAGTTCCCGTAAACTAAACTAGTGCGAATGCATTCTAGTATCTATAATATACAAAACTTTAAGGGAAGGGCTTAGGGACACCGTCCCCTTAGGAGCCCCTGGAAACGCGTTCGATGCGAGAAATGACAACTCCATCGGGTTCCTCACAGACTGCCCTATGCTGCGGTGAACGCGCGCGCCGCTCGAGATTCGAAGGCTTTTGATGCTGGCGCTTTGCCGCCACACCCCTTAGAGCCCTCCTCTTCCTGCTTGCTGGTATGGCGGCCCCCTGCCTCGCTTTCTGTTGAGGGCCCTTCTTGTGGTTTCCCTCTTTGCTCTGCTGTTGCTGCATCCGCTGTGCAACCTGTGGCTCTGCAACCCTGCAGATCTGGCATGAGATGCCGGCCCCCAGCAGCCGCACAAGCCAGCACCTGACAGACAGACGAGCAGCACAAGCGAGCATTTGATATATGGGCTTCGCGCGAGAAGGATCTACATTTGACAGGTACGAAGAAAGCAGGCTCCAGAGGAAGACTGCGCTTCCAACTCAGGAAAGTCAACCGCCGGCAAACAGCACTTTGGATGCACCCGTACTGGCTAAACACCTACTTGTTAGCCACAGGTCTACTGGGAATCACAGAACTGCAGCAATTTTCACGTCAAGAATCAGGTGGAGCGCAGACGCGTAGATACAAGCCCCTCAATTCCACAAACTCGAAAATGCCTACAGATAGCCCTTTTGCCATACTGGGGGTCACCTACTTTTGTTTATCCGAGAGGGAATCTCTGGGGCCCTTCACCTCCACAAACATCACTTCCAACTCGGTGTGCTCACCCTGCGCCACGCCATCATCCTTCTGCTGTCCGTACTGTCGCATCTGCTGCTGCTGCTCTGGCCTTTCTTCCTCTGGCATCGCAGGCTGCTGCAAATGCTGCTCCAGCTGCTGAATGAGCTGCTGCTGCTTAGGCCTCCAAAGAATAAGGTCGGGAAGGCCGGAAGACCAGCTTCTGAAGTCTTCCTCGAAAAGGCCAAAGATCACAGCAAGTGAGGGCCCCCCAATCGCTGCAGCAATGCGCGCATAAAACTCCCCACATGCCGATACTGCATCCTGCTGCTCCTCCGGCTGCTTTTGCTGAAGGGGCTGCTGCTCCTGCTGCTGCCCCAGCCCAGTATCCGCATCCTCAGAGGGAGTGAACTCGTCCTCTGCGTCACCTCCACCCTCCACGTGATCCTGGCATCCCTTTGCTCCCTCCCTCCATCTGTGCTTTGGCGTCGGCTCTTGCTGTTGATCGTCGTCTGCCATTGTATAGCCCCCGTCAGCAAGGGCTTTCCACACCCAGCAGACGCCTCGGATGGGCTGTCCATACACCGCAGCAACGGCAGTCTTCACAAGTGCATGCACTTCGCTGCGGCTGCTTTGGCGCAGCTGCTGAAGCAACAGCTGCTGCTGCTGTTGCTGCTCCGGCAGCAGCAGGGGCTGCTCAGCAGGGTCCATAGACGGTAGGAAGGCGACAGCAAGGCCATCGTCCTCAATCACAGCAGCCTTCTCGTGAGGCTCCTGCTGCTGCCGCTGCTGGTCCTCTTGCAGCTTTACAAGCTGCTGCACGAGAGTATCTCCACCGTACTGCTGCTGCTGTGCTGCAGTGATAATTAGGAAGATAGACCGTAGGCACGTTCCCTCATCATGGGCCCCTCTCCAGCCTCCCAGCATGCAGTAATGCTGCAACGCGAGCTGTTCGACCCGCAACACCACCCCATCCCACCCAAAAAACACGCTGCTTCGTCCTGCTTTTGCTGCTGCTGCGAGAGGACGAGCAGCGACAACAGCTACAGGCAGCTGCTGTTGCAGCAGCTGCTGCTCGCGGTACTCTTGCAGCAATGTGTCATGCACGTCGAGAGGCAGCAGCTCCAAAAATGCATGTTCATGCTCCTCCTCCTCCTCCTCCCCCTCCTTCCCCTCCTTCCCGACCTGGCGTTTGCTGATCATATCCTTCCTCCCTGAAGTGTCCGATGCCCTCCGCCGCTTCCCCCGAGAGGAGCCAGACACAGAGGACTCTTTCTTCTGCTCCCTCCTGCGCACAGTACGTCGCAGAGAGCCTTTGCTATCGCTGCAGTCGCTGCTGCTGCTGCTGCTGCTGTCCCAAGTGTCACTGCTGTGATTCCCTCGAGTGCGCTGCTTTGTTCTTGCGGGGGCTTCCTCGAAGTCGCTGCTGTCAGAGCATAGCAGCATCTTATGCTGCTGCTGTAATTCCTGCTGCAGTGCCTGCTGCTGCAGCTCTTCCCAGTGTGTTGCAAGGCCCTTGCGGTGGATGGACGCCGCGGCCTTTATCAGACGTCTTGCTACTTCATGCCTGTCAGCCTTCCTGATTGCGCAGCCCTCCCTGAGGCAGCGGACGGCCTGCACCACCGCCCGCTGATGCTGCTTGAGGTGCTGCAGCAACAGCACCGTAAGCCGATTGAACCACTTGCCTATGCGGTGTCTGTATACCCCAATCTGCTGCTGCCGCTCTGGCGTAGGCTGTGATGGGGGTTGCTGGCTACTGCTGTGGTTGTAGGTCTCAGAGTCAGTGCCAGCAACGCCTCCCGCTGCTTCTACTGAGGCTCCTGCTATACCAGATGGAAACGAGTGCAGATCATGAAGCCGCAGCAGCAACAACAAGCGGGATACAGCAGCTTCATGCTGCCGCCGCTGCTCCAGCAGCTGGATAGACTGCCATAGAACCGAAGCCCACGCGTAGGCAGCACAAAAGCGCTGCAAGTACAGGCCCGTGGCTGATACTTTTGCGTCTGTGCCTCCTGCTGCAGCAGCTGGCCTACCTGGGGAGACGCCACACGCTGAACCTTCGGCACAGCCGATACAGCAGCCCTTGGAATTTTTATCCTTGCTATCCCGCCGGTTCACCGTCGCTATTGCTGAAGAAGATGACGATGCTGCATCCGCCGCAGCAGCGCAGCCTTCCTTAAGTGCCTTCTCCTTCTCGCGTATGTGCGTACAGAGGTAGCGCTCTGCAGCAGCGGCAAGCTGCAAGGCCTCTCCCTCTGCCGCTGCGTCTCCTGATCCTGCCGGCTTTCCTGCATCACTGACGGCAAACGCCATCCTGAGCTCTGCCAGAAGCGCGGCAGCATACTCCGTCAGCTGCTGCCGACTCCCTGTTGCTGTTGCCTCTGCTGCAGCACCAAAGACGCGCTGATGCACACAGCTGCAGCAGCTGCAGTGCCATACAGGCAGCAGACACAGACGATTCGTGGGAAACTCTGCTGCAAGTCCTCCGTCTCCCGTGCCTGCTGCTGTTTCTGCAGCTCCTCCTGTAGCTGCGCCTCCAGGCCTGTCTGCTACGCTTACTATTGGCCCCTCGCTTGCTTCCCCCTCGGCTGTCGCCAACACCCTACAGCGAACACGGCAGCTGCCGCTGCTGGCGCTACACGAATTGCTGCTGCAGCCGCCAACGTTCAAGTAGACGCAGGGGCTAAAGGTAGAGCTGCAACTGTCCGTGCTGCCAGTCTGCTGCTCGTCTGCCTTGTGGGGCGCGTCCTCGGCCTGCTGCTGCTGGACTCCATCCACCTGCGAAGCGCAAATCTGCGTTGGCTGTTGTGGCCGCTGCTGCAGCACGTGGCGTGGCAGTCGCCTCAGCTGGAGGTCTACAAGATGTGAGACCCGCTGGACTGCTGGTAGGATCGCAGCGCATGCAAGCGCTAATAGTTCTGTCTCTTGCTGTTGCGCTCGGCGGTGCTGCATCTGCTGGAGCAGCTGCCCTGCTGCCGCGACAACATAGCCGGGTGCTGTTGCTGCAGGAGGCCCCAGAGCTGCCGCATGTGGGACGTGCGTTGCTAAAAAAGCAACACGCAGGGATTGCAGCAGCAGTTCCTGGTGTTGCAGCTGAGCTAGGCAGCCACAAACTCGCACAACCCCCGCTCTGATGCATCTGATCGCGACAGCAACGGCGGCGGGTACCGCCGAGGTCCTCTCTAGTCGCCTAGAGGCCCCTACGGCAGACACAGAAGGCCTGAAGAAGTCTTCTAGCCGCCTGCTGCTGATGCTACTACTGTTGTTGCTGCTCCCATTGTTGCCGTTGTTGCTGCTTCTGCACGTTTTATGGCCAGAGGCGAGACCCTGCAGAAACGCGAGCGTCTCTTTTCGCGTTCGTGGCTTGGCGGTGGGGGACCAGGAGTCTCGAAAGGGACCGAGGGCCTCAAGAGCCTCCTCTGCAATGCCCTTAAGCTCTGCAGCCGAAAGACAGAGGAGCGCACTACTCCAAGCGCAGGCACATACACCGTCGACAGATACGACACAATGGCCGCATAGAGTTTCTGCATTTTCTGCTGCTCCTGCTGCTGTTGGCGGTACTGACTGGGGAACCCACAGCACCAGCAAGCCACGATCTTTCAGCTCCCGCAATGCGCAAGCCGCATGCGGCAGTTCTCGAGCAACGCGTAGCAGCTGAGGTACCCGTAACCATTGACAACCGCAGGCGCCACTGCTGTTTCTGACTCGGCGTATGGCGGCAATCGGTAGATCTGGCGAAACACTGAGACGCAACAAATGTAATACAATACGCGAAAGCAACAACTGACCACCAGGACTCAAGGCCTCCAGTACCACTTCTTCTGGCCCGCCGTCCAACGCCAAGTGCGTTGCTGCTTCTCTTGCTGCTTCTGTTGGTGTTTCTGTTGCTGCTTCTCTTGCTGCTTCTGTTGGCGTTTCTGTTGCTGCTTCTCTTGCTGCTTCTGTTGGTGTTTCTGTTGCTGCTTCTCTTGCTGCTTCTGTTGGTGTTTCTGTTGCTCCTTCTCTTGTTGCTTCTGTTGGTGCTTCGGGTGACGGTTCTGCCGTCTCTGCTTTGTGCGAAGATGTTGCGGCAGCGGCCGCTGGAAGCCCTAGGAGTTGTGCCAACCTGCGGATACAGCGGAGCTCTAGGGGCAGCAGCAGGTGCTGCAAGTGCCCCACCGCAGCTGCAACGCACAGGCGTAGAGGCAGACAGAATCGCAGTGTCTGCAGAGGCCTGCTGCTAACGGCGGCTACAGGAATCCCGGCTGCAGCACAGGCGATGGCCACAGGATCTGCTGGGGCTGCTGCTGTGGCAACAGCATCGTTCTTTGCAGCTGTTGCAGGAGGTTTTTTCCAGGGAAGGATACGCTTGCCGGGCTCAGAGGAAGCGGCCTGCTGCACCTCATTGAGGTACTGAGACTTAAGCGCCGAAGAGTGTCCCTCAAGCTCGGAGGCCTGGGGTTCACCTTCGGTAAGGTCGATCACCAAAGCGGGAGGCTGTTGAGATGCCCCCCTGGGAATTTCGGTTGTTTCTAAAGAAACTCTTCCGGCGCCACCCTCATTGCGCGCCTGTGGCCGGCTGCAGAAGAAGTCTTTCAGAGAACTCTGACAAGCTCGGCCTCTACTGCCCCCGTTGTGTGCAGATCCCGGGGGGCCGCTGCTGCTACTGCTAGCCCGTCTACTACGCCAAGGCATTACCTTTAGTACCTCGCGTGCTTTCCTTGCGCCCCTGCAGTAAGGATTAAGAGTGTCGGTTTGCGGTCTAGGGATTGGTGGCGGCGCGTAGTAGGGTTATGTGCACGAGGGCTAACGGCGTGCCTACTACTACAGAGGAGCAGCCACCAACAACGCCTAGAGAGTGGAGCAGAGAGAGACAGGATTTGAGGAATGGAGTTCTTTAAAGGGGAATCCGTTAGCCAAATACACTAAATATTCGTAGGAAGGCGCCCAAAGCGGCAGGGCTCAGGTAGGGAGGGGCTTTAATGGCTTTGTCGTAGGCTGGTAGAGAGGGCCCCGCTGTGGGGCTGCATCGCTCTACGAGGCCGCCGAGCTTCTTCTGGCTCAAGGCTGTGGCTTTAACACCTGCCTGCATGTTTACTGTTTTCGTACCATAAGGAGAAGGAAGATCGCTTGCCTCTCTCCTCAGTTTTCGGCCACCTGAGACCCCCGATTCTACGGGCCTAGAGTCTATCAAGCCTAGGGCTCTGAAGGCTCGTCCAAGATGTATCTCCGGTATTACCTGAACGAGAAGGGGGAGAGAGTCTACACCCTTGATGTAAGCCTAACAACGAGATCTGCTCCAAGATTCAGAACGTGCAGCTCTAGGCTCCCTCTACTAGTATCCTGGCCTGCCGAAACGGGGCCATTGTACACCCGCCCCTTCCACGTTCCCGTCATTTGTTGCTTCCGTGTAGCCTACGTCATTTCGCAAGCTTTTTGCACCGCTGAGCGTGTGACGTGTGTTATGTGGTCCTCTGCAGAGTCACTCCCCCTCCGGCCAGCCAACCCTCTCAGCACACCCCCCCCGCTTCTCGCCTGACGACAAATTCTCTGCCCAAAGGGTACAGCTCAAGAAACGCTTTGGACTGTTGCCAACTCAAAAACCGCCTCTCGAGTACTAAAGGAGGCAACGGAGGCTTCTTCAGACCGCAATGGGGGTCGTAGACGCGTTCTGGCGTAATTCCTAGGAGGGGCTTTTTCAGGGCTCTTTTAGTTTCCACAGGGTGGTGGCGGTGAGCCTTTCGAGCGTTCCCAAAGGCTTAGGACGATGTTGGGGGCCTCAGGGTACAAACTGTGATAAGTAGGAGTCTTGTGGAGCCGCGCGTAGGGCCTCCTTTGCCCTCTTTCTACGGCATTTCAGGGACGAAGGGGGTTTCGAGGGACAGAGAGATTGCACAAGCGTCGCACTCGCGGGGATGGGCCTCTGCGGCTTTCACAGCACCTCTACACTTTATGGGGCATGCGAGGGCTCACTGAGGGAGCTGCTGCCTCCGTACCGGTGGCTCTAGAGGGGATCAAAAAGCCAGGGGCAGATTAATGACATGACGGAAGAAGAGGCCATGCTCTTCTTTGCAACGGGTCTCAAAGGAATTTTGGGGATCAAGGCAAGGCCCCTGGCGGATCTCTGTTCCTCCGAGAGGACTAACAGGTTACTGGCGTTTTTGTGTACCTGCGATTTACCTGCTTTAACTGAGTAACACGCATCTACTAGGGCTTGTAGTTAAACCTCCACTCGCTGCCCGCATGCAGGGTTTGCTATTCCACTTGCATGCGGGTAGCTGTTTGAATACTGAACCCACTAGGACGATACACCTCTTAGGGGTGTGAACACAGATCTTTGATAGATACCACAGGCCCCCCCCATATACGGTGCCCCTGAAGACCAGATGTTGGTGTCCACGAACTGTACAAACAAGCCCATTGCCAAACGAGGGGCCTGCGTTCCCCTAACACGCGAGGGTCACTCTGCTAGCAGCAGGGCCTCCACAGAGTGATATACGGTTGCGCGTGCGTTCATTCGCGGGGCTCTAGTTCTGCACGTCCCTAACCATCGGTCTGCATGTATCCATGTACCTCTACCGAGGTACGGGAGAATGTACGTCTTTGTGTTGTGGCCTGTTGGCAAAGGGCGACTTTCTGGAGGTTTCCACGTGTGAGAACACCGCCTCTCGGCTGCACGTGCGATCCCCCAGTGCTCTAGCAGGAAGCTTATGCGTAAAGTCTGCCGTGCTGCTGGCACGTATCCCCGCAGTTGGTTAGGGTCTTTAGAGAAAGGCCGACGGTGGCATCACACCGGGATGGCCATCACACAGACAAGAATGTCCGGAGCACTTTCACCGCCCGTCAAGTCTATGTCTGTGCCAGTAGGCTCACGTAAAAATGCCCCCTTTGCGATAGATCCATACACGCATACTGGCAAGCACAGGGGCTCCACAAGGCTGTTTGACAAGGGCCTCCTTTTGGCATGAGCCCCTCATGAACTACATAAGCCTAAGGACGCAAAGATATTTCCCCCCTGCGCTCTCAACAGGCGACGCCTTAGGGGTCTGGAGGGCTCCCCAGGACCGTTGCAAGCTTCTGTTGGGTAGGTAATTGCAGTCACAGTTCCCATTTAGAGCTCTCTCCGCACGCTACTCCCTGGGTTCCTCCGGTGGCTCTGAACTGCTAGATCCCTCCAAGACCGGACGGCCCTGGGCTTGCTGAAGGGAAGCCTCACTGTGTTGCTCTCGAGAGAATAGAGCCCCACCTAGAGCCCTCTACGGGCCCCCCCGCACGCATTCAAGGTATTCCAATATCTTACTAGCAACAATGGATGCGGCGAAAAGCGCTCCCAGCCTGTGATTTCCAGCAAATGCTCGCGCGCATGCAGCCCCGTTCCCTAGGTCTGTCTTCCATAGGGTTCTCGCAAGCCAGCCACAGCAGCACAGCACCCCTATATAGTAGGGCTCAGGGACGCCTAGAGGGGCCCCCGCAAGAGTCCAGAACACCCCTTGGGCAAGGATGGCTAAGGACCCCCATAAACGAGTCCCCCGGGGGCCCCAAGTAAGCGCAGAGGACCGAATTCCCATCTTCTTGTCATCCCGTACGTCTTGGAAGGCGTACAACGTGTCATAGGTGAGCGTCCACAGGGCACACCCCACATATAACCACACAGGGGTCCACTCTACTGGCAGGAGAGGCGAACTTCTAGATGAGAAAAACCATGGCGTGGAAGGTGAAGAAGGCGCACAGGCAGGAGATGGGGCAGGGATCGATTCGTCTGCCCCTTTTGCTGAAGAAAGGGGCTCTACAGCGAGCGGGGTCCCATGGGAAGGCTTTCCAGGCCCCAGACGAGAGCCACCGAGTATTGAAGGCATTCCGTAAGGCCCCAAAATTGCAGCCCATCCGAAGAGAGCCCCCCAGCTGAAGGTAATTCCTAAAAAAAGCTGAGGCAGAGCGAATATCCTCTTCAGGGACGGATACACCGCAACGAACAGAAGAGAGGCGAGTCCCGTGCCCACGGCATATTCGTTGAACTGCAACAAAACCCCTAAAGAGGGCACGAGGAGCGCCCCCAGCGCCCCTAGGGCCCCCCGAACCCCAAGGGTCCCGGAAGCGAGGGGCCTTTTCCGAGTCCTCTCCACACCTCGATCGAGCTTCCTATCCCACAAATCGTTTACCACGCAACCAGCGCTCCTCATTAGGAGTGCGCCTACACCGCAGAGGCAGAGAGAAGAGAGGGCACTCCGCCACACGGAAGGCATCCAGGATGGAGCGTCCTCCGCGTTCTCATCGTCCTGCTGCTCCTGTTCACCTTCAAGTTTTGCAGTACCCCAAGCAGCAGCCCCGATGAGGGCAGCTGCTGAAGGCTGCGCCACTGCAGCTTTCGCTGCGGCTGCTGTTGCTCCTCCAGCAGATACGGGAGTCGCCAAACAAATCGAGAATACGCACGGCCAATATAACAGCCAAGTCCCTACAGGTGCGTGCAGCCTAACTAAAGACGCATAGGGAGCCCACCAGGGGCCATTCCTGTTTCTGAGGGAACCCTGCGAAGCCTGTTTCGAGCAGCTAGGGCCCTCAGGCCTGCAGGCTCGGTTAGGGGTAGAGTAGGATATGCGATCGACCGAGAGAAATCTGCACTCAGTGAATAGAGCCGGGGGAGAGGCCGCTGAGGGGGCGACCAGGATGGTCGGCTTGGGGGCCCCCATACAGAGAGCTGGGACCCGTCGGGATCCTGCGATGCACTGCTTGATAGAGCTAAGCGGCCAATGCCTTAGGGATCTCTGGAATGCTCCAAGCATTTTAGCGCAAGGGTTTTGCGGAAGGGGTGGGTGTGGGTTGTGCCATTAGGCACCTCGATATGTGCGGTCCTTGTGGGGGCCCCTACGGGCCCGGAGGGACTAAAGAATATGTCTGCTGCCAAGAATCACGTTGTACAAATGAGAGGGTTTGGAAAAAAGCATGGAGAAATCAGTGAAAAAAATGTCCAGGACATGCAAGGGGTGTCCTCAGCTGGTCATAGGGGGTAGGCCCTTACAAGGGGGCCATACTCACAGGCTACACGTTTTTCAGCAATGAGAGAACTCCAGTTCTTTGTCAGTTGTACTTGTTTGAATTATGGGATTTAATTCCAAAAATAATTAAGGTAGCGGGGTACGCGAGGGTTCTTATAAGCAACCGCTACCCATGAATTGCCTACTCTCCAAGGAGCAGGGCAGTATCGATCACAAATTAGCGAGCGATTTGAGATTGGGGTTTAGGCCGAATGTTTAGCGCTTTGAGCTTAGAGTATTCGGCTTCATGTCCAGTTCCTTGCATTGCCCTTTATTTCTAAATTCGAACACCAGCCGGAACTGGAGAGCTACGGCTGCATGGGTAAACCGTCCTATTGTGTACGCCGCCCAGGTGCGCCTTCCGCTGACTGAATCAGGGGATCTGACACGGCCGGGAAGCGGTACAGTGCAGAGCGCGAGCGGCGATAACCCTCTGAACGTGCAGTAACCAACGCGCCTCACGCAGGCCGCAGATGGCCTTTTGTAGAATTACAATCTGGGTTGTTCTCTCGGCGAAGAGTATTTCCCAGCCTTGAAGATCGCTGACTCTTGCTCCTAAACTTTCGAGCAGGGCAATAAACATGCCACACACGACCAGTGGCTGAAACGGGCAAAACCTCGAAACAACTTTCTTGAATTTCTTACCCCTTGAAGGTAAGTCAAATGGCAGCACCAAAGACAGTAGCCACGATGCGGACATTAATATGGAACGGTGCGCACTCTACACACCTAGGAAGCCTGAACAACATTCACGAAATAGGCTTCATACGACGTTCAAACTAAGCTCTCCGTTGGGGGAAGCTTAGCTCCAAAATCAGCACAAACTAATAGGAAGCAACCGTGTAGTTTTTAAAGAAAAGCTATCTCCTTCCCCTATCCGTGTCCCACAACGTTCTGGCATGAAGGGACAGGGACTGCTAGGTTCTGCCTAGCTGCACCCTCTGAACACTCCGAGCACTCATAGCTAGTTGTACCAGCATCTACCGCACACGCATGGAACGTTGCTTCTTGCTGTATTGAGCTAATACAACTATGCTAAAAGTAAGGTGTATGAGCTCTCAAGCCAAATAGTCAGTTCCACGCTTATTCAAGCATAAGTAAGGTAGTAGAAAGTGACAGTGTAATAAGCCTCGTACATTTTTCCAAGTGTTGTGACTTTGGAGGCGAGCTGCTCTGAGTTGGCCGAGGACATACACCATGCTGCCTGACAAGGCTCTAGACCGGGGTGCGCGCGGAAGCACAAAAGCTGGGCATGTGCATGTTTCACGTTTGTAGCAATATATGTACTCACACCTAGGTGAAACTAGTAGGAGTCTAAGGGCTTGATCACATCTACAAGTGTGAGCTCTTAAAGATGCCCGGCTAAGCCTTCAATGCAAAGGTTTGCGGTACCTAAGCTTTGAATTTGGGCGTATTATGCATATGTGTGATCGCTCAAGATGCTTGGCACGTTGATGGTCGTAAGGAGTAGACGCCATCACGCATGCAAGGGCCCGCCACAAACGAGTATAACTGATTAAAGTGTAAAAGATCCTCAATGGAGCGAAGCTCTCCTCCAACTCATGCAGGAAGGATTTTAGCTTCACATCATTTTCGCGCAAGTTTAAAATCAGCATTAACTCCCAGTTGCAAACGGCGAGAAATCGCGTGACGGAGGAGTGCGTGAAAGAATTTTCAGAAGCATTACTTTGAAGGTAGCCCGCTATGCAAAACTGCGCATTGCATTGGTTATATTTAGTTACGAAGAAGTAAAGCATTGACCATTTGTTTTGGCTGTTCTAATATCATAGCCATTCTTGATAACTGCTCGCCTAAAACGGTTGGCACCACTGTTGTGGCCGTTTGCGCTAGATGCTATGTGCAACTAGCTGTAAATGCTCCAAGTGCTTAGACTGTGCAGCAACCTCTGAGAAAGAGCAAGAGGAGGCGAGACATTTTTGGGTTAAAAAAACACCCAGCAACTTTCCGTTCGGTTTTATATTGCATCTGGACTAAAGTGCGTCCCTACGGCGGCCGTATATGCAGCCTTTCACTAAAATGCAACCCTTTCCGTGTTTGATGTCAGTTCTGTTGTCTACCAGCAGTGCGGACTATCTAATTAGAAATATCAACCAAAAAGTCTAAGACTACTACAGCTTGATACGTTTAGCACATTTTTTCTGGACAGCGCTGAATGTCTCCGTAGACGCAATTAACCACCAGCCGGTACATTCCCATTTCCCTTTCATGTCATGTCTTCCCCTGGATATCCTCAGAGCCAATGGAGTATGATAGATCAATGTTTATCAGTGAATCTAAGGGTTTGGAATTCTGGTCTTGGGTCTTCTTCTAAGAGCCAGGTGACCCTGTTTCCTAAACGCAAGAGGAGTTGTCCGTGCCTACGAAGGCATATGACTAGGATCGACTAGCTTGATACATACACGTTTTAAAAAGACAAATGCGTTTTTTACCCGGAGAAAGGTGGAAAGACAGCATGAGGAAAGTGAAACAGGGGAAGAAGACGGCAGACGCCTCCTCCTCGCCCCCGGGGTCTGCGTGTCTGCTTCCGCCATTGGTCAGCTCAAGCTAAGAATTACAGCACTACTCAAAGCCTTAGGCAGTGCTTTATTGGTGGCTGTTTTTTGCTTCAGGGTTTTCGCAAGCAGCACCAGCATGCTCCTGATGGGCGTGGTTGCCTTGCAGCAAACACCACCGGCCCGCATCAACCGTGCAAGCCGAGGGAGGAAGCACCGGGGTTCTCCCTTTAGCTCTCGTTTCTCTCATCTATTTGTGCTACTTTTTGTCAAAGAGGAGCTTTTACCCATCAAAATAGCAGCAACCAATGTAGGAAGAGGCCTATTTCCTACCCCGTTCCCCCCGTCGTTCCGGGTGTGTATGTGCAGCCTGTCGCTGATGCGCATGAGACCATTGCAATCCACGCAGCCACTTCAGTTCCTTCCATTATTCTTTTTAGCACTTGAAACGAAGGTAGCTCTCTCTGGTCTCTTGGCCTCTATTCTCTCCTCGCCGCCCAGTCCTCTTTACTATAAACCCCCAGCAACACAACCTCGACCAGCTTCCACTGCCCCCCTCTGCTGTCTGCACAACCGTCGACCGGTTCCTTTCTCTACATTCTCCTGTTTGCCTCGGCTGATATCCAACCTTATGGATATACCTGGCTCCTTAAACATGGGGAACCTGGAGACTGCTCCGACTCCGGACTCTCCCGCGCGGTCCCTTACAGAAGCTGAGGAGACAGGGCCCGCTGCGGCCCCTTTACAGTCTCGAAAGCCATATAAAGAGGCCCTCTCGGCAAGCAAAGCAGCAGAAGATCTAGAAGACCACACCAGGGCTCCCAGCACTGGGACCATTCAACTTTACCCCTCATCCACCAGCATACCACTCTCCGTGCACGAAATAGAGAGCGAGACAGATGTAGGGGCTCCCAGCCCGAGCCCCCAAATAAGGGGTGCCCTCTGGGGCTCGTTTTCTCCTCCAGACGACATAGACATCATCTGCCCTACACCGTACCAGAGCCAATGTGTTGACCACGCTGCCCCCGAGACTCCCGAGTTAGGCCACTGGGGGGCCCCCTGCAAGCTCTCTGGGCGTCAACATCTTGATTGTTTTGGAGAAGCCGTAGTCCGTGCCCTTCAATGCGAAAAAGATCCTACGGACGTTCTAGGCGGGCCCTCCCACTGCCCTCACCTGGACGAAGCAGCGAAAGAAAGACAGAGGGCAATGCCTCCCTCCCTTCTTGCCCTCGATGAACTCATACGAGACAGGATGGGATGCCGTCCTGTACCTGGTTTGCACGCAAACACTCCCTCATGCAGTCCCCGTTCCTGCAACGCCGCAAGGGCCCCCACAGGGCCCCCTCTGCACACCCTCGTGGACCGAGAAGGGCAGCCAACGGAATACCCTGTAACGCTTCCGTGGATTTCGGAAAAGCTTGCGGCCTTAGAAAAACCCCTACTACAAAGCAGTACTCGTGATGCTTCTGTGGAAACATCGAGGGCATTCGAGCCACCAGGAGAGCCCCCAGACGCCGAGAACAGCAGTAGCCAAAGCAACTCTGGTAGCAACAGAAGCTCCGGCAGCGCGATGTACAAGGATGAAAGCGAAAGTTGGACGTCCCCATATGTGTCCGCTAAGCACGCAGAAGAGATGAACCTGAGATCCGAAGGAGAGGTGGACCGCGTGTGCTGTGATGCCCATAGTATGAGCATACAGGGCGCGCGAGGCAGCAGCAGCTACAGCAGCATAGCGGGCTCCTTGCAGGCTTTGAAGCAACTGTCACCTCGGTTGCATGAGTGTTCAGAGGCCATCACTCGCACTGTGCTACAGCGGAGGCGCTTGCTGCAGGGTCCGCTTGAGCGGCCCTCAGGAGGGCCTAAGTCGGCTTCTGAAGGAGGCTCCGATCCCCTATACGGAGACGCTTTAGAAGACATATGCTTGACTCTGAAAAGACTACAGCTGTCCATAGATCACTTCACCTCGGTCCTCTCGCACTGCGAGGGCAGGTTCCTTTCAGAGTCGCTCGGGATCCCTCTGGGTGAAAGCTCCCGTGAGGCCTCCCCCGAGGCAACTGGGTATGGTGAAGCCGCAGAGGAAAGTTCAAGAGCCCCTAGCAGCATCGATACCACAAGAGCACAAATGGGGTCTCCCAGTGGTCCCAAAGGGGGGGTGGATGAGGGGTCCTTATCTCCAGTCTTTTACATCAAAAAAGCAACAACAAGTGCATATTCGGGGCTAAGATGTGGGGAGCTTCCTCGGGATCCGGTCCTCGGTCCCTGCGGGCAGTATGCCGTTGGATCATGTCATGGCAGTAGCAACGAGAGCCTGGCGGGTGCCTGTTCTGCACGTTTAGTGAATGTGGCTTCTAAAGGTACCCCAATGGCGGCTGGCCTTAGAGGGCCCTGTCAAAATGTCTCTCAGGAGACTCACGGAAGCGGGGTTGGAGGCATCTATGAGGGTCCAAGTGAGGTGTTGTGCATGGGTAGAAGTGCAAATGCACGTAAGGGCCTATGGGTTCCTGGGTGTGATGCGACCTCTGTGTGCGCGGAGAAGCGAAGAGTAGAAAAGGTAAAGGGTGGAGTTCGGGCCCTCAGATGGGCTAGGGAGAGACTAAAAAGCCTTGTGCCAAGCCAAAAGAAGACGGACAGCACGGAGTAGGGCAGCTGCTCTCATCATGCATAGGAATATGCAGTTCTGAAAAGGGTTTGTTGTACGCACATTGGTGCGCGTAGTCCGCCTTATGCGGCCTGAAAGGATGCAAGGTGGGGCGCCTGGCCAGGTAATCACGGCCATAGGTACATGTGGGTATCAGCAGTGCCTATTAACTGGTATCTGAATGTGTCAGAACAGTGACTGTGCTGTCACTGCACGGCGAGCTGCCTGCATCCTATGTTGTACTTGTGCTTGTATTATCTAAGTAGCTCGAGCCTTATTATTCTTAACAATAAAATGCGTTTGAGGTTTTGTCGCCGCCCTTGGCCCTCAAACCTGGTTTGTTGGGGCCCGTACGGGGGGGCCCCATTTGGTTCTGTTGCTGCGAGCTCAATGCATTTCCCATTTTACGGGCCCACTAGGAGACTCCTTGGGTGTCTCCTCATGACCTTGAAAAAGCGTTTTTCGGGGGCTTTGCGTGGTGGAAGAAGTGCAGCAGCAACCTTTATACCAGAAACTCTTATGAATTGTACAGACACCCGTAAAAAGGCAGGCCACTCCTCCGCAGTAGTACGCTATTTAGAGCCCTTCTGCCTTTCTCACCTCTAGCAGAAAGACAAAAGAAGAAACTTGGAGTGATATTAGAGGTCACTACAGATGCGACGGTGAGTCTGCTAGCCTGGCCTGATTCCCCTAGATGAAACCAAACTTCAAAGTTTAATGTACTTGAATCTACCCAGAGTGACACTCTACTCGCCTAGACGAATGCCCTGCACAAATATATTGGATCTAAAGGGTATTTTATGATTAATTTAGTTTCGCGTGTTTACCTTAGAGGAGTAGGGATACTCGCTCCCTTGCCCTTCGGGCAGGTTGTCAGCTATTCCCTAAAAGACCACTTAGTGCACTCTGCATCTTAAGTATGGCCGTTACGAGCAAGCAGCGACATAAATACACTGAATTTATCCTAAATATTACTCTATTTAGTGAGTTCAGTACTCACGAAGTGGCCTTTCACAAGGCCACCGCAAATTTTGTTAGGAACAGCCCCTAAAAGGAAGCCAGCCACAGTGACCCTACAAGTCGTGCAATTAAACCACCCGTTCCCTAATTCTTCTAGAGCCGTTCGCTAGTAAAGGCAAAAATTACATCTAAATAAAACAAAAGAATCTTTCACTACTTTGAAGAAGCCTCCAGGACAGCCCCTCTTCCTCTCTGTCCCCCGCCGGGGGCTCCCAGCACAAACAGCCGCTCATGTTTAGGAAATACATGAGCGTACAATAAACGAAACGGCATCAACTAGGGAAAAACAAATCTATAGATTTCCAACCGAAATGTCGCTTTCCACCGAGGCAAGTAATTAGGCTGCTCACTGCCCTATAGGGGCTTATGAGCAGTGGAGTGTGAACCCCATCTCCTATGAAACTTCCAAGAAGTGATGCGCTCAGAACAAATAGGATGTCACATGGATCTAGGCATAGGGTCTGTGATTTTGGGTAAACGTCTGCTTTTTGGCTGCAGGATCGATGCCCGTTGCATTCGCGTCCTTCATGCAGTGTGAGACCGCAGCCCTCCTCACTGACCTGTACCCCGCCCGTGCTGTTCAGGAGCAACTCTCCGTCTCGAATAGCATCCACAGAGGACCGATTTCAGCTAATAGTGGTGCACGTGTCACCCACCCGTGGTTAATACATCTTTTACATCAGACCCTTCTAACTCCTACGTGCTGCTCTAGCCGACTCAGTTTCTGTTGTAGTTGCTGCGGCTGCAGGGTCTGGGACGGGAGTCTCGTCATCATCACTGTGGCTTTGATTCGAGCCTCCGCAGGAGCTCAGGCAGTTTAGAGCTCTCGGGAGAGAGGCATCGTGATTTTGTCTGTGCCCGTGAGACTCCCTCCACAGCTTAACTTCCCCTCGTGTCTCTTCGCCCTCCTCGTTTTCCGTTGATGGCCTCCTTTTCCTATGCCTCTACACATTGTCTCTCTCTTGGTGCCCTTTTTTTCTGTATCTATTCTTCCTAGTCTGTTGCTTGTGTCTTCTTGCATGGTCCTCCAACCATGTGCTGCATCTCTCCCTTCGCCTATTCTCAAGCCTTCGTATCTCGTGATATTATAGGCCCCCTAATGGTGCTAGTATGATACCGCTGAACAAGCCAGTACTAGCGAAAGCCAATCTAGATGCTGCTGCACGCTGCAACAGTATGAAATGATACTTGAAAAGCTACTGTCACGCAGGCCATGGCCGTTGCCCTTCCGGCCGCTTCCAGAGTGAGGGGCGACGAGAGACAGAGCTCTCAGCCCTACGACAAAGAATCACCTCATTAGAGGCTAATGAGAGGGCCCTTCTTTCTGATATGCAAAAAAAGGAGGCCCTCGTACAGGCATCGGTAGAAGCAGCAAGGGGTAGTGGAGACGGACTCAAAAGCCTCATGAGGCAAGGCCCTTCATTTTGAGATTAGGAATTAAGTACTACAGATTCATGGCCTGTGCTTCAAGCAAAACATTATGCAACAAGTGAAAGATTCGAACGATTATTGGAAAACATCCGCAGCGAACATATATGTCATTTACGGTCACTAACAGGGGGTTTACTGGTGTACGGCGCATCCGTTGACAGCGGCGTGCATCGAGGCCCCTAAGCTTTCATTGATCGGAGGGGGCTCCTAAATGGCGCCAAAACCCGACGGAGTTTGTGTGCAGGGAGTTGCGGGATCTGCAGCAGCAGTGCGCAGAGCAGACAGCGGAGATTGCGAGCCTGAAGGGCGAGCTGGCCATCTGCAAAACGAAGCAAGGCAAACCCTTCAACCTAGAGCCTAGGGATCCTCCTTTCACTAGCTTTTCCACCTTATTTGGCAGAACCATGCACACACCAAGGTTGCTTATAACGATAACTACTGCTGCACTCTATTCAACTATAGCTGCTAATGCTACCCCAACTCCGAATGATATCAGTGCTAAAGCGTCTGCTCCTGCCGTTCTTAGAATGTTTCGACGCGTACTGATTTCTCTGCTGAAGCCGTTGCAGCAAGTGCTGTTTCTGGTGATGATATTGGCGGGCTTTAGGCGTGAAGGTTTGGAGGCATGGCAGCGACAGAAGGAAGCTCGGGGTGACGGTCCTGAGGTGGCGTCCCTTCGCTCGCAGCTTGCCGCAGCGCGCCTAGCTGCGCAAGAGGCGGAGCATCAGAAGCAAAGGCTAAAGCAAAGGTTTGCTGAGATGGAGAATGACATGCTGAAATACAAAACAAGGGAAGAGCAACAGCATGAGGAGACAGTCACTGAACTCTCAAGGAAGCTCAGAGCAGCTAAAGTCATGCACAACCCTGAGCTCCCAGCGCAGATGAAAAAATATTCATCGGAGGGGACGCGCCCCTAAGCTAAAATCCTTGACCGGCGCCACTAAGCACTAAATGTTAACTCTTAAAGGGAAACCAGAGGCTTGTGGGAATGACGAATATCTTGACGTAACAGCATCCTTAGCAAGCTCTGGGAGGGGTATGGGCATAAGTAGCATAAATGTGTCAGTGCAGGAGCAGCAGGAAATATAGTGACAGACTAAGAACCAGAAAATCAGGAAACTGCTGTTTGGTTGTGGTGCATGACTGTAGGTGCGAGTGTCTCAGCTTAAGACGGAAAAGGCTGAGGTGGAGCTAGAACAGCAAAGACTCCGACAAGCGGCGGCAGCTAAAACTCAGGAGACAGAGACAGCACGAATTCAGCTGGAAAGCAAGGAATCAGAGGCAGAAGCCCTCAAAATAGACTTCCAACGAATGAAACAGCAGCTACAAAACGAAAAAGCTGTAATAAGCCACCTTTAACAAACTACAATATGATTATTCCCCAATTCGGCAGCCTTGCAGTTCAAGTTAGAATCAACCTCCCCTGCGAGGTTCTTAAAAGGCATTTGGGGTGGAAGCCCAGCACTTACGATTCGCTGCTTAGGGTTTTATGTGCAGGCCCGGGAATCCCAGGAAGCCGAATGCCGGCGTCTCTCTGAGGCTCTAGAGGCTGTGCAACAGGAAGCAGCAGAGACACATCGAACTTTGACTGCAGCGGCAGCAGCAGCGTCAGCCGAATGGGAGGCCCGCATTCGGGTGATGCAAAAAGAGGCAGTGCAGCAGCAAGAGGAAGCGCTTCGAGCTGCATCGGATGAAAGACGAAGGGCTCTAGATGACCTCAGGTACAGCACGGGGAGTCCCCCTGCCCATGCCCCTTGGAAACCCCTCTCTCTCGAGCTTCGCTCTCATGCAGGTGTTCTCTCGAAATTCTTACTCAAAGGTCTTCCTCATTTGCATATAATCACAAATGCTTGTAGTGTATTTGTTTGCTGCTTGGGCTTTGTGCTTAGAGAGGAGCTGCGGTGTTTGCACGGCGAAGAGGCTGAACTGCTGCGGACCCAGATATTACAGCGGGGAGAAGAAAGTGATAAACTACGCAGACAGTGCAAGGTTCTAACACAGAAGCTGGAGGAGACATCTGCTCATTTAGAACGCCTCAAGGCTGTCACTAGAAAAGACAAAGTCCAGATAGGGGTAGCTGAAGTTTATGACCAATAGTTTTACTTGTCATCTAGAAGCTAAAAGAGCCGGCTGCTCTTGTACAAAAAGAATACAGACTGATACTTCTGTGATTCACAGCCTAGGTCTCGCTCTCTCTCTACATCGTTTTTGGATGGGCGGCCTTGCATGTGTGAAGGCACAGACAAGAGCATGCATATGAACGCAAGGGACTGCATGTGGGAAGTTTTGTTGGCTGCGCTGAATGAATTACATGCTTGCAGACCACCTGTCACTAGGTGTCCCTTATTGCCCTGTCCCTATAACAGGCATATCCAAACCCCTAACCATTCAAGTTTTTGACTGCAGGAGCTGGAGGGTAGGATTCAGAGCCTCCATGAGGATCAGGGAGCGCAACAGCAGCAGCTGTCACTTCAACAGCAGCAAGTGTCTCTGCTGGAGCAGGAGAAGGAGTGCCTGTCTAGAGAGGCAGAGGCACTGCAGCACACGAGCCGCAAGACACAGCACCAGCTCAAGGAGGCACAGGGAGCCCTCGACACAGCAGAGGCCTTTAGGAGGGCTCTCGAAAGGGAAAAAGAAACGCTTAATCAGAAGCTCCATCAAATACAAGTGGAACACGCTAAGGTGCACAAAGGCTTCCACTCGTTGCTTTCTTCGTCTGCCTTAACTTGAGGCCGCAGAAGAAACAGGGTTTGGGACCTGGGGCTTGGAGCAAAGGAAAGTAGAGCTCCAGTGGGACCTAACTGCGATAATACTAGGGCCACGTGTCTAGGATCCATTGTTTTTCATTGCACTTCGTGGCTTGGCGTTTCAAATCTGGCTTTGCTATTGAGTGTGCATTGTATGCGTCTTCAGTTAGTAGAAGAATCATCGTGTTATCGAGGCCGCTTACTTGATATCTGGCGTTTCCTTTGTACAGCGACCCCCGCATCTAAGATTCTAGAGGACATTTCCGGCAGCGGCTGCCCTGGAGCGCTCTGGAATGTTTCTCCTCGGGATATACAGCATGCTGTCCAGACAGCAATTGAGGCTGTCTGCACTGAGAGGGAGAAGAAGGCAACGCTTAGGTAACTTATGAAAAAGAAAGTGCCTCTGTAGAAATACTGATCTGTAACAGAACACAATGCACCCAATAAAACATACAAAAAGGATAACACAAACCCTTCGCAGGAGAATCTGCAAGGGGCTAATTATTAGCGCATGCCATTACCCAGCTTTCCAGGCACGAGAACCGGCCATACACCCGAAGTTTCATCGTGGTCGAAGACCGGAAATAAGGAACAAGGCGACAACTGAATGCAGAGGCTCTAAATTTCAAATCTGTGCCGAAACGTATCATGTCTTGTCTTTAACTGTACAGGGCCGAGGAGCAGTTGCGGCTGATGGAAGAGTGAGGTTGCATCCCCTTGCAGCAGTAGCACCACCACAAAAGGCAGCGGCAATACTAGCACCAACAGGTCTGCTGTGTATGGACACAGTGCAAAGTTATCTGTGGAAACAAGACTGACGGCACGGGAGGAGGAACTCGAAGCGTCTCGGGGCCTTGTGCGCTGTCTAGAGACCAAAGCAGCAGACGCAGAAGTGGGATCTATATCATACCGCTGTAGTCTACTACAATTAACACCGAGAGCGCTACCACTAATACTATCCCTACTGGTCCCTTTATGCCTTCTTTTAGAGAGTGATGCTGCTGGTGCATCAAGGTGCTCCAGACAATTATAGCCACATCCGGTGATGAAGCTGGCCTCCTTGGAGCTAGGTGCCCTTATTCTGTGAATGCCACCATTCCACGAGCACTGCAGCATGATATCACTGTGGTTGCTTCCGGTCCTGCGACTGCTGTTACGACTTCGTGCCTTTGCAGAAGCAAGCATACACTGCGTGCGAAGAGCGCGCCGATTTGCAGCAGTTGCTGCAACAGGAGAGAAAGCAGCGCGAACGTGACGTGCTGGAGGCTAACTCCCTCGCTGCGGCAGAGAGGCAGCAGATAGAGGCCAGACTGAGAGACGACTACACTACAAGGTAAGCTTGTACCACCACGGGCAGCACTGTCCATTCCAGGACCTGCAGATATGCAGGTAGGCTGCCTTGTGGTGAGGCAGCGAAGGCCGTTGCTGCTGCGGCTCTAGTGATTAGGAGGTAATTCACAATGGGGGAAAAGGCACTCCTGAGAAAACAGAGATGCACTGCAAAAACAATACGCCCCTGTCTCCTGCGTTAAGCCTTAAAAAAGAACACAGAGCGTAGCAGGAACAGAAAGGAGACAGAATCGGCATTGTTATAGAGAAAAAGCGACACGCGGGCGCCCACAGATTGTCACAAAGAGAACGTGGGGGTGAAATAAACTAGTGCGCAGCTTTGGGAGGTGCGTAAAAGTAAGTAGGAGAAATGTGGAATATATCGAAGGCAGCGAGAGATAAGTTAAGCATATCATTTAGAAGGAGACGTGTGGCAGATAAACGATGGAGATAGAGAAAGAGACACAGATACAGGAGATTCCTGGTGTAGATGACCAGACAGCAGAGAGCGAGAGGCGGACTCGGATGCCTGGACTGGCGTTTTTTGACAGTATCGAGCGAGCACAAACTGCTGGTGGTATAGAGACGCATATAAAATATTATTCCAAGGTGGTAGCAAAGTAGGGGGATATGCCGAGGGGGATAGACGTAGCACCCCAAAACTGGAGCCACTTTACTGCGAGCCTGCAGGACGGAACGCATGCGGAGGGAGACAGAAGCCGAAACGAGGAGGTTAAGGCAGCAGTTAAGGGAGACAGAAGAAAGGTCTGCTGCAGATAACCAGTGCCTCAGGTGAGGCGTCCGTCACTTTTCTGTCCCGGCTCTGTTCCATTCCTCGACTTCTCAATATTCCCCTGAAACAGCTGAGCTACTTCCTTTAGTTTGAACATTTAATAGCATATGGATGTGTAATTTATTCACGGGGTCTACTTCTATGCCGCCTGCAGTTCTTGAGCACTCTACTGACTAACTTTAAGGTGTAGAATGCAGGAATTTTGAATCGTTGACCTGAATCTATTCCTTGCTAGTGCCATCATTCGTCCGATGCACTGCAGGTCACGCGTTGCAGCTGCCCAACAAGAGGCCGCAGCCCTCCGCAGCGAAGTGCAGCAGCTATGCATGGAGATTGAGACTCTCCAGCTAGAAAAGCAGCGCCTGCATGAGGCAATCGTCAGCGTGGAGAGTGACAGCAGAGCTATTCATGGCATTTTCAGGAGGCACATGCAGGTCCGGTAACATGATGAAAGCCTAATTTTAGAAGTGAATAGCACACACAAAAGGGCGCTAGGCGGCAGCGAGAGCTAGTAGGGCAGAGGAGGGCAAAAGCTCATAAATAGGGACGCAGGAGGGAAAAAGACTAAGAACTGAGCGCAGGAGATACAAGGAATGGCGATTTGGGGGTAGAATGGATAGCGAAAGGCAGTATAGGGAAACAGAGGTTCGAAACACCGGACTGACCAAAGAAAGCAAAGAGAAGCAGCAAAACACAGAGATCTGCAATTTGTGCTCACTTTTTGACTTTCTTGAAAACATAGGGGTGCTCTGTGTAGTGTCTCCTGTCTGCTCTCCTTCGATTCAGGGTGAGTGTTTGTCACCCGCTGGGGCAACCGCTCGAGACTTAGGCATGTCTAATCCAGCCAACAAGCCCTAAACATCTTGCATATCTGGGAATATTAGACGCGGCAAGCTTTCAAAGCCAGCGCGTCTGTGTGTGCGCGCACCTACCCTTTTGAACAGCAGTGTAGAGGCAACCAGCGTGTAAAAACTTGGTTAGGCCTTGTGTACCACCTAACCTTCTGCTTGCTGAAATTTTGCTTACCTCACTCCTCGGGTGTTTCTAGCAGACGCACTCTCTCATCTGGTGGTTGCTGTCATCTCAAGGAGACACTAGGTCAGCAAAGGACACGCGAAGGAGTCGACAGCAGTGGCAGTAGCAGCTGCTGCCATTTCCATCAGGAACAGGCACGGTCTTCTTGGCTGCATGTCTTTCGCTCCTCCATAGGAGATCTCTTAGGTTTATGAAGAGTATAGTACATGAGGTAGAGAGAGGGGGCAGAAGCATGGCTACGAAAAGGGGAACCAAGTTGGCTAAAAAGGGGCACTGGGGGCGAAACCACTGAGGCCTATCAGGCGAAAGCACATGTGAACCAAAAATGAGACAAAACTTGACATCTATTGAGGAAATTAGGAGCTCCCTTATGCGCACCACCTAATAGCTCGTTAAGATCTGCGTAAAGCTGAAGGGGAGCGTCTCATAATTAAATGCTTCCTTAATCAAAAGGGTGGCTGAAAGAAGAAACCTGGCAAAGCCTGTCTCCATAGATTCAGAGCTGTCGGGTTACAGGAAAGTCGGGAGCGCACAGTTACCCACAAACCAAGCCCACCCCTAGTTTGGGGTATCTGGGCAGATAATTATGGGAGCTTGCATTTTAGCTAACTGGCTCTCCAGGTAGCTAACTTTGTCCCTCTGTATCCCCACTACCTTCGGGGGTAGCTTGAGGGACCCAAAATTCGCCTCTCTAGTTAGCTGGGCATGCAGCTGGTGGCTGTCTTGTAGCGCTAGCTTCTGGGGTGGAGCTGGCACGGTGAATACAGTAGGGACAGGAACTGTGTCCTCGCAGCAGCGAGCGAGAGACAGAGATGAGGCAAAAGCCGCCCGTCCAGCAATTGACGCAGTGTAGGTTCGCGCGTCTGGACCCCTCTCGAGGCACGGTCTCCGCCGGCGGCTGTGCTCCCACAGAGTCGGAGGGGGCGTAGCTGCACGCAGAAAAGCAAAAGTGAAAGAAGAAAGGCTGTAGACGAGCGCATAGGCTGTGCGAGAGAGTAAAAGTGAAAACAGATGAGCATGCAGAGGTGGAAAAGAGCATCGAGTGGCACAAGCACAAAATACGGGGAGCGCTTCCGACGGCTCCAAAGAAGGAGAGGAGGGCCAAGACATCCGCATGCAAGAGCCAGTGTAGAAGCACTATGCCTCAAAAGCCCGCAAAGGCAACAATTGGAGGAGCCATGGGAATATATGTAGAGTCCAAAAGAGAGGGTGCAAGATTGGGTGGCGACAAGACAAATCTGAACCAGAAAGAAGGAATACTAAGCGAGTATGTCTGACCTGGAGTCTGGGTAAACTCATCACACAGCTTCTGTAGGTCTCCCTGCCTGGGAATAACCCGCGTTTGAAGGCCCCTGGCTCCGATCCTGATGTACCGGCTCCAATCTTCTTTGCGCACTGCCCGTCGTCTGTCTTCTCGCTCTTTATCCCCCTCGGATTCCATCGAGAATACCATTTTCGGCGGCAAATAGCCTCCACGCAACCCCTCCTTCCACCTGAAGGACAAGCAGACCCCTGAATGCTTAAAAAGCTTCAACGGAGGTAGCAAGGCCACAGCCGCGCGTTGCGGAAGCTCTACGTCCTGAAACCCTACTATAGAATTCAAGCCCCAGTCCTTGCAAGAGCAAAAACCCCCTAAGCGAACGCTCTCATGAGGACAGCTGCAAGTACTTGGCGATCAGAAGGCACCCCGTAAAACATCCTTCCAGAGCCCTATAGCCACAGGCTAAAGCTTCAAATCGCAAAGCGCTTGCCGTACTTTTCACTGGGATTCGTGGTTCTTGAGTTACCCGGGATGGCCCGCGGTGAATTCATTAACTTGGCAGTGCTACTGGTGGGGTGCAGAGACTTTGCTGCTACTCCTGAAGCTCCTTCTGCTCCTGCCGTATCGATGGCGATCACAGGCTGACCTTTAGAATTGAGAACGCACTCTGCTAGGCGAACACATTGCCGTCTTTCTCTGTGCTGTGGCTCCCTACCGTCAAGAATCCACTTCTTTGGAGCAGCAGCACACAGCTTTGCCTGCCGCAACAGCTTGGCGTCTCCCTCAGCGCCTGCCGCTTCTGCCTCCTCTCTCTCGCCCTCTTGCTGCAGCCACTGCCTGATATCGGCTCTGAAGATCGCGTCAAAGGGAGTGTCAAGCATCTGGAAAATCGAGTCTACTGCTGCGGCAGTAGCTCCCTTACTGTCGCCGCAACAGTCCCCCGTCTGTATCTGCTTTCCTCCGCCTAGCTGCTGCTGCTGTTGTTGCTGCAGCTCTCTCTCCTGCTGCACATACTTCTTCGCATTGGGCTGGAAGGAGCATTCCTCGAGAGCCCTCATGAGGTCGCTACATCTGTCGTCCGGAACAAAGCGGCTGCAGAACTGTCTAAAAATGACCATGGGATCCGTGGGTAGCGCTCCATCCTGCAACTGCTGCTGCTGGCGCTTGCTGTGGTATTTTGGTATCCCCTCTGTAGAACTCTTTTTGAGATATCTAGGAGTAGAGTTTATTTCTGGGTGAAAGGTGCACTCCTCCTCGTCTTTAAGGTCCCGAATCGCAAGAGACACGTGTTCTTGCTGTTGTTTCTTACGAACAAACCTTTGAATGACAGCGTCAAAGCGAGACCAGCAACGGCCCATGACTCGTTGTCGGTCTTCCAGACAGCAGCTGGGATCTCCGCAGGAAGGAATTGGCTGTGACTGCTGTCTTTGCCGCTGCTTCTGCTGCTGCTCGTACTCCTGTTGCTGTGATTGCTGCCGTTGGGCGTCGAGTTTGCGGGAAAACGCAAGGACATGGGGCTTCGAGATTTTCTTGGATTCCTCCGGACTTACAGCAGCCACGAGTTTCCTGCAGCTGTAGGTTATAGAGTCACGGAACTGATTAATGCCATTTACTCCGAAGCCGTGGGCCAGGAGCTCTATACACGTGGAGAGGAAGAGGGACTCCGGCACAAACAAATGGGGCGTTGCAGTGGCGTTGGCTGTTGCCTGGTCGCCATCGAGCATCACTACTTTCTCCTGCTCCCGCGCAAGCCGCTTGTATAGTTGGAACGCATGCTGCTCTTGCTGCTCCTGCTCTTCCTTTTGTTGGTCTGCTGTTGCTTGTACCTCCCCCGTTTCCTGGGGGAAGCGGGGCGGTCGCGAGTCCGGTGACAGCGTGCCAAACCTTACGGGCCCCTCGACGTCAGGCTTTGCGTTGTGCAGTCGTAGTTCTGTGTCGGTCCTCGGGTCTAGGCAGCCCTTTTCTTCCGCGGCATCCTGGCTTGTTTTAGACAATGCCCTCTGCACCAGACAGGGGATTACTGCGTGCAAAAAGCGACGCTCCGAGAGGTCCAAGGAATCTGCCACAGGGCGAAGGGCAAACAGATCTGCAACTCGCTCCCCTTCAGTATCTATTTTGACCCACAGCTCCTTGACACGCTTTTGTCTGTACACCTGGATGATGCTTTCCGATTTGGGGCACAACGTGGGTGCATATTTGAACACGGGAATACAGTGTCTGGCCTCCCCGCAGTGCGTTTTAGCTCGGCAGCCACTGACAGACCAGGGGGTGCTGGGGTTCTCCTGATGCAGCAGCTGCTCCGCCTCCATCCGGTCAGGATGAGGGGCGCCCACATGGGGGTGCAGGCCCTCTTTGGGGGCCCAGTGGACGAATGCTTCTTTGTGGGAAGCATCCAGGGCCTCATCCAAGCCCGAGCACGTGAGTTTGGGCCTGGGAACGGGGCAAGCAGGCGGGGCCCCTGGGTAGGACGGGGGCTTTCGCCTGCTAGCTGGCGACTTGTGGCCCTCGGGCGCGTTAAACAAGGGGGCCTTCGGCTTGGGGCATGGCTTAGGCACTTTGCTTGGGTCAGGCCTAGCACTGCGCACCTGATTGTGACTCGTGGAGGGCTGAAAATCACGGACGCCTGAGGACGCTGCGGAAGGGCGCGACCGCGGGGCACCCTGGGCCTCCATGGGTAGAGCAGGTCCGGCCGTTGCAGCCTCGACAGATGCAGAGGGCGTGAGGAAGGGACTTGATGCTGCGGCGGAAAAAAGTAAGCGAAAGAATCGGGCAAACTGGGTGTGGGAAAACCTGCACAGGGGAGGGTTCAGCGAGCGCGGAGCGGCGCCGCGGTAGTCCAAGCAGTAAGGGACGTCTGTGAAGCACTCCAACGTTGCTTGGGCCCTAAAGAAGAAGCATGACGCTTGATGTGGTCAAATTCAAGGGCTAAGCCCTTGGAAGATGCGGCAAATGCTTTCACGCGACGTCGACGCTGTCTGCCTCGGGCCCGGCGAGTCGGCTGTTCGCGGAATGGCGGGTGTCTCGAAAAAATCAGCCTTTGGGGAATACGGGGTGAAACTATGAACGAACACTACTCTACACTTCACAGAAGTGTGTGAAAAGCCTATATCCTTCAAAATGTACACAAAATACAGCGATATATACATTTCCCCCACATATTTGACCAGGAATCGTGGCCCCGGGCTGATGGTTGGTCCACTTACTGACCACATGGAGAGCAAATCACTGCAGTACAAGCGCGCTGTCGAGTACCGTAAACTACTATAGCTCTTTAGGGGAGAAAGAGACAACATAAACCTAAAACAGCCTTCATTGTTCTCAGTTAGGGAACAGGACTGAGCCACAGTCTGGCTTACAGCTGTCATCCGCTGGGACTTCCCGGCGTCTGGGTGTTTCAATAACCGAACAAGTAGAGCCTATGAGTGAAAAGAGAGAGGCTTTTCACAAATGAGTTGTCGAAGACAAATGTACCTTTGCTCACGTCTGTAGGTTCTGGCCGTGTAGGTGGTGCCTTGCCCCAAGGCCAGGTAGGAGTCCACCAAGCTGCAGTGTAAGATGTCTGCTTACTAAGCGTTGTACACCGCTGGATCTATAAGTACAAATGATTGTCCAACTGGTGCAACATCGGTTACCACATGGGCCGAAGTCAAGCCCTAAAGTTGTTGGCCTCCAAGCTTCAGTCACACACGAAGACCCATTAAAAAGCTAGACGAAAGTAGAAGATCCATGTAGTCTTGAGTGGCAGAATACGCACACGCCACTATACAAGGGCGCATAATCGAGGGGCGCTCTCAGCCTAAACAGTAGGCTATCAACCTCGTAGGGAGGGGGCCCCTCCCGTTGCACTGTGGCTGCCCGAAAGCGACCATTTTAGGTCATGGGGGCCCCTGGTAGCCAGAGCGTCTTGTCTGTTTTTCCTGTTTCTGGCGGAGGCTCTATTTCGGGGAGTGGATGGGCAAAGAAGTCGGGGTTTGCGTCTTTAAATGCCTCAAAGCTGAACTTGTCAGGGGTGAAGTTGAAAGCTTTGGGCCACTGAAATCTGTTTGCATCGGCGTAGCTCTCCACAATAACACGGGTTAGGTGGGCAGCCTCAGGAGGGCGAAGAACAGTAGGTGACAGAATGTCAGCCTTCAGCAACACCAAGTCATGACTCTCCTTTAACTCTGGATAAAATGTAAGGGTCAGCAGAGGAGACGCTTTGTTGGGGCTCTACGAACAAGAAGACACATGCGGTACAAGGGATCGTCTAAAGAGACAGCCAGCTTTCAAACGATGCAAGGTCGTGACAAAGTGGGCAGTTAGAGCTCTAGCAACAGACACATATACAGAAATACAAGAGATGAGGACGAAAGAGCTTGAAGAGGGCAACGAAGCGGGCTAGGTTCGCTCCATCACGCCGATAGAGCACAGGAAAAGCGGCTGCAGGCAAAGCAATCGGGTCTGCAGATAAGGCAGGAGAGTGGGCGGCAGACAAATCTGTATCGACAAGGGAATGAAAGAATGCAGGCAGCGCATAAGGAGGGAATTCCAGTAAGCCAGATGGAATCAATGGAGGCTGCGTTGTTAAAAACGACATAAAAAAGATATGGAGAGGGTGGTCTAAAAAGCCGGAAAGCATGTTTCTAACCTGTTTGTACTGCTCCAGAGATACGAAGAGACAGCAGTTGCGCTGAAACTGTGCAAGCAGAACCTCGAAAGCCCCGGGACCCCGGGGCAGTGGCGCCACAAACAAGGGGGCGCACCGAGAACTGCAAAGACAGGGATAGACAGAAGCATTCGTACCTCAAAACGCTAGAGTCCGTTTGAATGGCTGCTAAGGCTACACTTGGGCAAATTTGGATAAGACAATCTTGTCTACAGAGATAGACAGTTGAACAAATACATGTACATCCGCACAGCTGATGGCAATGATGTACGCAGGTTCTTACAAAGACGTGGGTGCGTGGGCATGTGCTCTTGTAGCTTTGAATGTATGCATGCTCTTCAATGCATCCTTACACGTATGCATACAAAATTACCTGTGCACTTGCACACGTGTAGAGTATGGATTTAGGTATGGTTGTTCATATAGATGCATGTATACAAAACCTTGTAAGTTTCGAAATATACATTATCATGCACGGAGAAGTGCACATATGTACGTGTATACATAGATTCCATTGCCGATTTACGTATGGATGACCGACGCAGCATCCACATAATCTGCAAAAACGAGGGGAAGTGCAGCATACCAACGTCTGTACCCCTAGCTGGAAGCCCATACAAGTAAGAGTAGAGCAAATTGCACTATCTGCAGGCGGTCCCTGCCTGCCTGTGGCTCTCCTCTCTACACACGAAAGTCACCACCCCATAGAGATACTGGAGCACCGCAGAAAGAAAACCCTACAAGAGCAAGAATGAGCCAAAGATGCGCAGAAGGTAGCACAGTGTACAATGAAAGCAGCATACTCCTCTGCCCAGAGCCATAAACCTCTGCTGAAGCCAACCTCAGACCTGGCTGCCCTCTTGCTGCACTTAACAACCACCCTTCTGCCCCTCTGTAGCTTTTTTCCGAGGGCATGCTCATTGAGTCTTTGATCTAGCAATCTAATTCGGCTGCGCTGCTGAGGGCGTTTAGCGCAGTCGGTAGCGCGTGGGTCTCATAATCCCAAGGTCGCGAGTTCGAGCCTCGCAATGCCCACTTTTTCGAATTCCTCGCACGACCTTAGGATGCGGCACACAGGTCATGCACAGCCTAAATTGGGCATTGTTCAACTTGGAGAAGTGCTTACTTTGTTTCTAGGGCCTCATATTGGGCCCTCGTAAGAAAAGCCGCATGCCGCAGAGGCTGGGAGAGGAAACGAGACAACCATATGTCCACAACTTTCTTGCGAGGGTTAAGCCGCAGCAAGGGCAGTTTAACTACGTCTTCGAGCTTCAGGGGGCCAGGTAGAAAAAAGTAAGCTCGTGTTTGCACCCGTAGAGGGGCCCTCATCATGAGTGGATTTCCGAGGTAAACCTTCTCCCTCTCGAGAGCGCCCCGATGAGCTCTTCGCGGTGCATTTTGCAAGCAGATGACACTCGCAGCTGTAGAGAGCGAACGGGAGCGGTTCACAGTTCCTGTAGCCGTATCTCCCAACAGGAGGGGCGCCTGTAATCGAGTGTACAAGGAGGCTTGATAAGGGCGGAGGCTACAGGCTGAGAGTCCCGCCGTGGTGGGAGCTATGCGCCAAAGGTTCTCCAAGCATTTTGCGGTGGAAGGCGCAGAAGGGCAGGCACAAGCGGGGGCGCTTACAGGAAGGCTGCAGAGGGTCCGCAGGCACGGGGCGGCAGCCTGGATGCCTAGGGAAGAGTGCATTCGCACTTTTGTTGAAGATATAAATCAAGGAACAGCGGCGAGAATAGGCCCCTCCCCCCAAAGGGACAGCAAGGAACTGGAATCTAAGCCTCCGACTTTACTGTTTAGCGTCTGCTGATTCTTGCAGTGTAGGGCTCCTCATAAGGTCTCGAGCGAAAGGGGGGTTCCCAAAGGTTACTGGAGCAACCCAGAGCTTTACTTGCTAATTTCAATTCTTTTGCATCCGACTCGAAGGCCCGTGAGATTGAAGACGCAAAGATCTCTTCGCAGGGGCCCACCGTCGAACTTCAGAGGGCCCTGTGGCAAGGGCCCCCTAGCGAGCCAGTCGCACGCAAATGAAACGCAGGACAGAATGGTGTGCTGGGGGCAAACCCCTTCTTCCAATAATTGAGCATAACTGCAATATTTCTAGTGGCTTTCAACGTGCATGGGCTGTTGGACGACCTATGGAGTGCGCAGCACGGAGACGAGCGGCTTCTCATGCGTTCCTGTCCTGCCTCCCTTCTCGCGAAATCGGACACAGCGTTCTGGGGAAAGAGCACATCCGGTCTAACGTTATTTTAAGCAGAATCACAGAGAGACACTTCGAATATCTACAATCTAAGTCATTATCCGTGGCCTCGGTTCCAGACAAGCAAGACAGCAAAAAAAATGACGTCAAGGAAATCCTGAATCCAGACCTTTCCAGACTCCCTGGCCGATCTAAGCCACTTCTCGTTCTCTGAAAGTTCTAAGGGGTCCCTGTAGCTCTTCATTGAGTCCCCTTCTCCGGGCCGCAACCTGGCTCAATTAGGGCAGTCGCAAGAGTGTCTGCGCTCCCGCACGCAAAATGTCGTTCGATTTGGAACAAAAGCAGACAACCGCGCTGCAGGAGATGCTGCAGCTGCGGAAACCGCAAACGAGCGCCTTCGGCGGCCGTGGAGGCTCCTTTGGGGGGCATCCGGTAGGAGGCGGAGCTCCCTGGAAGGTTCTTATCTTTGATGAAGCAGCAAAGGATATTCTCGCTCCTCTAATGACCGTAAGGACCCCAATTTAGGCGCGCCAGGCATAAACGAACAGACCTTTTGTCTCGTGACTCGTGCGAGACGTATCCCTAGAGCACGCAAGCCACGATATCGTCCACCTTGTCATATGTATATATATGAATGTGTATCTATGTATATCTATATATATATATATGTGTGTGTGTGTTCATGTGTGCCTGTCATTCTTCTCATCTGTCTGCACTTCCTTGCGGCCTCGTTGCCTTGCCTGTGTGTTTCGGAATTCTAGATAGGAGTGTTGCGCAGGCACGGCGTGACGCTTCCGCTGTCGCTCTCTGCGTCACGAACCCCCATTGTTGAGGCTCCAGCGGTGTATTTAGTGTCTAGCAGCAAAGAATCAATAAGCGCTATTATCAGAGACATGGAAGCCCGGCTCTATGCTCTTTATTACATCAATTTTACCTCCGGCGTGCAGACAGAACTGCTGCAGCAGCTGGCAGAGGGAGCCGCCAGGGCAGTAAGAGACCTTGCAAACCCCCTTAGAACCTTGCCGTCCCTATTCTTCTGCTCCAAGCCCTCTCACCAGCCTTCCTCCTCACTGTCTGTGTCAGTGTGCTTCCTGCCTTACGCGAGCTAGCTCTCACATCCAGACACTAGTACTTTCTGTGACTAGATCTGTAACTCCCTTACAACTTGCACCTGCAGGGTGCTGTGCGTGCCTCTGAGGGTGTAATTCTGTGTGCTAGCCTGGGGTCGCGTTCCCAGTTTTCTGGCTCGTGCCTGCTGCATCCTATGAGCGTGGCTCGATGAAGGGGGTCTGACGACGCTCTGTCTTGCCTGCACCCTTGCCGTCTCGCGAGGCTGACTGACCACACTACTAGAGGCGGTCGCCTGTTCGCATTGCGCTGCTGCCTCCCTGTGGGGTCCCTGCCGCTGCGTTTGGTTCCTTAGGGCACGGTCGGTGCAGTTGTCTCTGTTGTAGAACGCCATGTGGGATTCATTTGCTTGTCTCCCTGCGAGTTTTCACTGAACCTCCCCGGGCTGTTCTCGCGCATGCACGGAACGTCTGGTGACGAGGCCGTGCAGGCCGCAATCGATGCAGCTGCTGAGGGGCTCCTCAGCGTCCTCGCAACTCTCGGTACGGCGGTATACATACACCGTGTTTTGTTGGTGCTCTTAATCTCCGGTTGCGGCCTCCTGATCTGATCCTGCAGCTGCGATGCAGCTATCAGGTTCCTTCCTTTAGAGGGCTCTGCTGTTTTCAGTGGTGGTGTCCTCTTCCCCTCTCTGTGTCACTTCTTGTCTCGACTCTGTCCACTCAGGGGTTGTGCCCCTGATCAACTGTTCCTCAAGCGCCTCCTCGCCAGCTCGAAGCGTTGCCCTGAGGTTGCAGGTTCGTTCTAAAGTAAAGGAGAGCGAGGGAGTCGGGGGGAGAACGGCTAGGCAGTCGACGGCAAAGCGCGACAGAGGAAAACACACATATACACACACACATATATATATACATATATACATAGATAGGTACAAACATGCATAGATAGGTACACACATGCATAGATAGATACATGTATAAGCATTAAAGTCATCCACGCAAGCAGAAGGGCTGGATGGTAGCGATCAGGAGAAGCAAAGGAGACTGTGAGAGGGAAGAGAGAGAGAGAGAGCAACGCCACAGCCTCATGGAGAGACACGAGCCTTTCAGAGGGGTGGGGGGCAGTGGAGCGGAGGAAAAGGATGGACAGAGGGATGCAGGCAGATATGATTGGAGCCAGTGTAGGCAGCATGGAGATGATGCAAAGCACCAGAAGACAAAGTAGAAAAAAGGACGCATACCGGATATCAGAAGGGGAGAAAAATAGTGCAAATCCGCGCATATGAAGATTTAGAGAAACGAGCGAATTCTTGCAAAGGAGCCTTGTAGGTAGCAATGCACGCTGGCTTCAGGAGGGATGCGTAGTAGACAAGTGGGGCAGAGCGTGAAGCTGCATGTCCTTGCGCAGGAAATGGTGGAGGCCCTTCCTGCGAAGGCTTTTTCGCAGATGTTCGGATCCGCTACAGCAGCGGTCACCAAGCCGCTGCTCATCCTCCTGGTATGCTATTTGCTGTGGCTCTGCTGCTGCTTGTGTCCCACCGTTGATGCCATCCTCTGGATTCAGAGACCGTTGCCACTAATGCTGCTGCTCACGCACCCTGTGAATGCATGCATGCCTTTTTACCGTGCTGGTGCTGCGCCTTCTGCTGCTTCAGGACAGAGAATTCGATCTTTTAACGATGCTGCAGCATACCTGGCTCTACGGTGCCCTGATACATGACCTTCTCAAGCTTAGGTCCGCCAGGCCGTCGCTTTTAAGTTAGCTAGTTGGCTAGCACGTCCCCGATCAGCTCGCCAGTTGTGGGGTGATGGGCTCTGTGACAAGGCTCTAAGGGTGGCTCGCTGGTTTGCGGGAAAATGGGGAGTTGCAGCAGGGCAGGTTCCTCGGTGAAAGGCTGACGGACCGCCTTGGTGGAGTGCCCTCTAGAATTGTAGGTGTCAGTTGCTATCGTCCCTTTGCATCGCGGAAAGGTGCTTCTGATGCAACTACATACATGAGTACACGGGACAGCTACAGTTTCGGCGAGTGTCGGTGTATGCAAGCTGCAGGCTGAACAGGGTCACTGTAACAACTGCGAGTGCAGAAGGAAAGGGCAGCACTCCGAAGACCTTTGACCTTGAAAAGTACGAGCCTAAGGCTTCACGGATGCTCTTCGGAGTGTGGATTCATACTTCAGACGTGAAGTGCTTTCGGCAGCCGGCTACACGAGACGAGCCACACAGAGAGCCTGCCTCTCTGTCTGTCTGCCTCTCTGTCTGTCTGCCTGTCTCTCCGTCTCTCTGTCTGTCTGTCTGTCTGTCTCTCTCTCTCTCTGTCTCTCTCTGTCTCTCTCTGTCTCTGTCTCTCTGTCTGTCTGTCTGTCTCTCTGTCTCTCTGTCTGTCTGTGTCTGTACGGCTCTCCGGTGTAGAGTGCAAACGTTAGGCTCAGATTTCGAGCTTTAAGGCATGCTCTCAGGCGAGACCTGTTCTGGAAAGAGCACGCGTTCTCCCCCTTCCCAGTGGCTGCAGCGGCCGTCAGCCAGATGCTGACCGATTACAACACAGAGCTCGCTAAGATGGGTCGTAGCAAGCCTGATGCCTTCTCTCAACCAGGTGAGGCCGAAGTATAAGCTGCCGGGATTCTTCGACGCAGAGGGGAAACCCTGTCACCAGACCTCCTGAAAGGGCCAAAAACTCTTCATTCTTCAGAACCCCTAGACAGACCCTCGGGATGTATGCTAGGCTTGGAAAGGGTGCACGGCCGCGAAATACGCTTACGCTACGCTGCCACCTCCCTGCCTAGCTCTCTCTCTCTACGCATTGGGTTGCCTTGGCTGCTGTGCTACGTAGGCGGGGCCGACTTCTCTTCCGATATTTTAAAGGCAGTCGATGTGCTACCAGACCTCGCAGACAAGAAGCGTTCCCTCGATGCGCATACCACTATTGCGACGGCCCTTGTCTCTACAATCAAGGAAAGAGGACTCGACAGGTGGTGGCTTACGTCTGAAATCTCCTCATCTTTGCATACAGTATCTCTGTCTTCTTGTGCAGCCCCTTCTCCTCCCCTTGTCGCTGTGTATGGACACCCGCGAGTCTGCGAGTCTCTTCTCCTGTCTGGCCGCGCGGCCTTCTTTTCCCACTTTGCTTCAAATTCGCCTAGCCCTCCTCCTCAGCTCTGCGCGTCCCCTGCTGCCAATTTCCCTGCAAGAATTCATGGCTCCGACAGCCTCCCTTACTTTAAGCGCCTTCGCAGGCTCAATGTCTCTGCCCCCTTCTTGCTGCGTTCTGCCCTCTTTTAGATACTTCGAGCTTGAGCAAGGCCTCCCTCAAGACCGCGAGGCGGCTGTCACCTCAGCTGTCCGCCAGTGTCTGGCTCCTGAGGCTCCCGGGACGCTCGAAGACAAATTGCGCCTCCTCGCGTGTCTTTACGTCTCTAGACGTCCGCGCAGACCGTCCTTTGCCGCTGACTTAGCGCACCCGTCTCTGCGTGTTTCCTCTTCCCTCGACTTTTTGTGCTGACTCAACATTGTTGACCTGTCTCACACACGACCCTCAGGATGCGGTTTCTTGCTATTTCTGCCTGTGTTGTGCCCACTCGCCCCAGTCTTTAGCCCTAGAGCGTCTCTTACTCTCCGCATCTGACTTCTTGAGGCGTCCTTTCTTGCTGGCTCCTCAGCTTCTTTCCCAAAGCCACAATTCGAAGCTCTCATCTCCGAGTTGCAGAAACAAGGGGCAGACGTCGCATCCCTTCAGTTCCTTAGCAAATTCAGCGTCAGACCCCACAAAGGCCCTGCGGCTCCCTTTCCTTCTGCCGTTCCAGCCCTCCCGTTCATCATAAGCCTTCTTTCTATTTCCACCTATCCCTCTTATAGTCTCTCTGTCTGACGGCCTCCGTTCTCTTCTTGCCGTTTACCTCTCGGTGTGCTTCCTCGTGTCTCCTGCTGACCCTTTTCCAACTGTATATATTACTCTCAGTACTTATTCAAAGGAGTAGAATTAAGTCCTTATGGACTACGTGAAGTAGCGCTAGAGAGTCAGAATTAGAATAGCCACATAACCCCTGTTTTTCTAAGACACCGGATATGTCTACAACGCGCATCTCACTTTTGAACCTGTTTATGTGGCATTCTGCTCAAGCGTGCTGTCTATCCCCTTGGTTACCTGTTTCCAATTACAGCGGCCTCTTTTTCTGCCTGCACTGTCATATGTAGTCGCCCTGCATATCTGCCACCAACCTTACCGGCCGAAGCCGTTTTCTTTCTGCATATCTTTGGTGTGACTCATGCCTGCATCTGAGGCCTCCTCCCAACCTGCTATCTGCCTCTCAGTGCTTCTCCTTGGCTCCGATCTTGTTCTCTGCTTCAGGCAATCCGCTCAATGAACTGGGAATTGCAAAGCGTGACCCCCTCAGGAACCTCCTCGGCCTCTGCGGCCCTCGAAGGCCTTGGCACGAAGTTTCTAGACAAAGGACGGGGGCTTCTTCAGGCACGCCTCTTCGATATCTTGCTATTTTTCCCTTCTCCTTTTCTCCACCTTGCCCTTTTCGCCACTCTTCGTCTTTCTATTGCCGTCCCTCCCCTACTACCCCTACCCCTTGCCTCTGTGTCTGCCTTCATGGCGCTCACTCTGTGAGTCCGCTACTTGTCTCCATGCCTTTGACCTCCTCATTGTGTCCAAATTCCGAAGCCTTCCTGTGCGTATATTCGTTTAACCGTTGAATTCTCACTCCTCCTTGCTTCCTGTATGCAATTCTAAGGGCGCAGTGCGCTGTGTCCAAGTCCATCATGTCAAGCCCTCTGCAGCTCTGTCTGCTGCTCTATCTATTAGGGGGTCAAGAACCTTTTGGTGAGAAAGGCGTCTCCCATTGCGCAGCTCCTTGAGGGTCTCCTCGAGGGCCAGGAGGCTCCAGGACGCCAAACGATGAGCCTCAAGGTATTTGTGATGGACTCTTCCTTGACAGCTCCTATAAAACCCTTTTTGCGCACACCACCAAGAAGGCCTCGATCTGGGGGCGTCAGAGAACATACTGCAGGACCATTGTCACCTGATTTGCTGGTGCTATGTGGATGTCAACTGTGTGTGTCTGGCGGCCGTTCCTGCTGCAGCGAGGACAGCGATCATCAGGGCCCGGCAGCACAGCCGTGTCTCCTGGCGGACACTCAGTTCGAGGCAGCCCAGTTAGACAAGCAATCGTCTTTGTTGTGGGAGGGGCCTCTTACGTGGAGGCTGCAGCGATCAGAGAACTGGCTGCTAGGACGCAGAAACAGGTACGGGGAATCCGTGGCTATTATTCGCTGGCGGTGCTGTTGCGCGACCGGGCAAAACACCAGTCCCAAGTGGATGTATGAAAACCCACAAACACTTCTTTTCTGTCCGTCTCGAAAGTCACACGAGCCAGGCACCCCTACTGACTGGCCTCAAAGGGTATAGCGACCGCTGCCGCAGCTGCTGCAAGCGTTGTGGCAGCCGCCTCATCTTGCGGTGTCTCCTCAGCTCATCTTCGGCTCTACTGAGTTCGTAAGCCCCAATGAATTCCTGGAGGAATTAACTCAGCTAGGCCACGAGTGAAACAGTCCCTGGGGCCCTCCCCTGAACGGGCTCTTAATGGTGAGGGGGTGTTGAGAGGTTGGGGGAAGGCCTTAGGTGCCTCTCCTGTACCGCAGTGGGCCCCCGATTGGCTTGAAAGAGAGCTTCTGCGGATCTCTTGCTCGCAATTGCCAAGTCATCAAGCACTGTTCTCTGGGGAACCCTTAGAGTAAAGTTTTTAGTCTTTGCCCAGGCCTGTCGAGAATCTGTGTAGTCAATGGGGGTCCCGCCACGGTTTATCCTCAGTCTTTTGCAGATTAAAGGCCGCCTCCTTCGAGCCCTGCAGGCTGGCACCCTTAACCTCTACGAAATAGCTTTGCTACCAGGGGCCCTGCCTATCAAGAGCATATCAACCAGTGTATACCACAGTGCATTTGTTCTACAACCTAGCGTCTAGGTCTCAAAGCTACGTAGAGTACCCTTCGTTTGAGCCGATCTTTGGTGGGAGGGAAGCTGAGAGCGCGCTTCATGCGGCTGCGCAACAAAAATGAGCCGTTGCTCGTTGCCTGGCTTCATAGGCTGCACTAGAAAAACGGGACTCAGTGAGATCAGAGGCAATACTGGGACCAGCAGCACTAGGCATGGCAGCACCAGTGGTAGGCTCAGTTCCAGTCGCAGGTAATGCCTCCTTACACATGCCCGAAGTTGCATTTATCTCCTCCACGGGGCGCTACACGGGCCAACTGTATCCTTAGGGCTCAAGGGAGACACGCCGACTTCCCGACCCTTCCTCCCTAATCTTACTCTGCTCTTAGATCTGCTTAACCACCACTTGAAGGACTGTCCGAAGCGAAAGCGAATCCGTACGGCGTAGGCAGTGGAGAAAGAAGGGCCCCTCTTGGCATGCGACTAGCGCTCACTGGCAGCCTCGATCGATCTACGCCTCAATCTGTTCCCATGGGTTTGTACGCCCTCTATCTTGTTTAAATGTGATATTCAATGTTATTTTGAGGATTAATGCTTTTTTCTTGCGGTTCAGCTGCTGTTGCTGCCGCTGTTTCTTAAGCCCAGTGGTTCTTACCACTGGCCATTGGGTAACTTCCTGTGCATGGTATCCAGTTTTCGGCCATCCTCAGGGCCTCACAGAGGGTTTTCTTTGGGTTTCTTCAGAGAGTATCTCTGTAAACGTACACTTGCAAATGGTGCGTCAGGTTATCTGCCTGCATTTTGGCCAGGCAGGCCTTCGCACCGGATGCGCATTTTGGGATTTGTTGTTAGCTGAACAATGCCTTACTTACGAAGGGCGGCCTGGAATACCCTTGAAGAGACTGACTTGGGGCCAGCATAGCGACCACATGAATTTCATGAACACCAAAGAAGGGAAAGACGATGTCCCGCCATCGGAGGATTGTTTTTTCTCCGAGACAGAAAAAGGCAAAAAAGTCCCACGGTCAGCCTCAAGAGTGATCTCTACCTGTTTCCCCGCGCTGAGACTCTGTACGCGTGTCCATGTACTCCTACGGTTTAAACCAGCAGGAGCCCTTTAACTGTACACCTGAGCGATGCGAATGTTGAGCGTCCGATTCGTAGGTCTCCCGCCCTCATGGCAGATCCTTTCCTCACTGATTTCCGTTTCAATATTTATCCACGGATACAGCTAGGCAAAGGGGTATTAATGACTTCTGGAGGCATCCTAATGGTTCCGCTTACCGTTTCATTTCAGATGCGTGTGTCCATGTAGATGCTCATACAGAGTGTACATGAGCCCATCTGGAGGCTTATAGATGCACATTTAGAACCCGCGCGCATATATATATAAGGATATGCGTAGGAACGTTCACCTTAGCGACCGTTTATCCTTTTGCATATTCCCCAATAGGGTTTTTACGCAGACCTGGGGATAAACCCGCACGTGCACAGGTGCTCAGGCGAATGTCCGCACAGCCAAGGCCCTAAAAAATGAACGCCAATCCATACCAAGTGCTTGTATTCTTCCTTCAGTGTATCATTTCACGCGCTGTCTAGATGTGTACCCGCGTTATGTAGCTTTCATTGTCTTCCCCGTTGTACGCTTTCGTCTTTCTATCATCCTCTTGGTTTCGTCGGCCCTCTCACTTCTGACTCCCCTCTGTCCCCGTGCTTCTTGCTGCTGCACCTGTTTCTTGCCTGCCGAAGCTGCTTCAGCGGCATCTTTCCCTTTGATGCACCACTATTGTCGGCGTGCTTTCAGGTGTGCCATGCTGGATTTGGACTCTGAATGTCAGAGCGAGATTACCCGCAGCAGCTTGGGTCTCCTCTTTTCGCCTTCTTCTTTTGTAGGCGGTAAAGAGGACGGCTCTTGTTTGTTTCCTAGAGGCAGGCGACTTGCGTCCACCGACCCCATCAGGGGCCTCGCCGAAGAAGCACTAAGGATACAGCTGGAGGCAACAGACATGCCCGCAGGTACGCTCCATATAATCGGATAATGCCTTTTGAGCTAGGCAGATAATTGCGTTATCAGTTAGTTAAGTAGCTATTTAGACTTCATATGGTAGAGGCTCAACCTGTGAGAAACGGGAGCTAGGGAGTAGGCTCTAGTGAACGCTTATGAAGCTTTTACGCCTTAACCTTGACATCTTTTGGCCGCTAGTTGCTCTTCTCCATCTTACACCTGGGCAAGGCTCTATCCTTTCTAGAGCTCATATCTGTATTGCCTCCGTATGGTCAGGAGCGTGTAATCATAGTCTGCGGCTGCTCTGGGAGTTTTCAGGGGTACTGTGCATGCGTTCTCTGGGAGGGGGTGCCGGTTCTGGATTTGGAGAAGAATTACTTTCTCTACTCTCTGTTGAGGCCCCCAAGGTCTCGGTGCTGGAGAATCTGTTGTGGCCAGCTACCTATTGTCCTTCCTACCCAGGTGGCCAGACAGCTAGCCGTCTGGCAAGCCAATCAGCTAGCTGTCTGGAACCGTACAATGCCCTACTCTCAGTAGATGGAATTATAGAAAGGGGTGGGGGGGCGCTCCTCATGGATAACGCAGCTCTCTCTGGCCTCATTAGATCGACTGTTGCCTCCGTCCATCCCTTCATTGCGGATATCAATCAGGTCATAGCACAGGCCCTTGCCAGTAAGTACCACACCACACTTGACTGGTGTGTCTCTCCCTTTGAAATGTACTCTATCACAGAGGTCCCCACAGTGCCTGTGTGGATCCCTCGCTTTGATAGGCACATAAATGGCATCTCATGCAGGGCGCCATAGAAGTGAAGCCATCAATTTCTAGCCTCCCCCTGCATGCACTTCTGTTATGCCTTTCACATGGGGATTATGCATGAGGGCTGCACTACGCCTTGGAATTTAAGAATTTGTTGCTGCCTGCTGGTGTGCGCTTTTCATGTTAAGGCATTACGTTGTCTCTTCGCTTCCCGTCAGCATCGACATGCGACTTGTCGGGCCTGCTATCGAATGCGATTCCTCTGCCGGCCCTATCCTTTCTCTCTGCCTCCTATGCTCCCATTGTTTCAAAAGCGCGTCTTCCCTACGTGAAGACCTCCACACGAGATATTACGCTAGAGGTTTTCAAGCAAAAGCAGAGCCTCTTCTCCACTCTCTATGCCGAGGGGATGTTCCTGACAGCTAATCTTTTCTACAGGTTATGCATACCTTGTTGTTGCTGTTATGCGAAAGACTGCAGATGCTTTTCGTTGCCCCTCTTCCAACTCTTTTTTGGTGTTGCGGTTACTGCTGTACTGCTGCTGTTGCCGATTTTGTAGAGGTACACGGTTACCTTTGCTTTCTGCATTGCCAGAAGCTATAAATGTCCCTCTGGCAGGAGCTTTTTGTGTTTATAGGACATACGGGCTAGCATATGTGTATTCATGTGCGTTTGTGGCTTCCACAGAGGCCCCATCACCCCTAGTGAGGTCCAGGAGTCGATCCGTGCCATAAAACATCACAAGGAATATACCTTTGTTGACTGGATACCGACAGCGTTCAAGGCCTCTCTTTGCTCCCAGCCGCCTCTTGGATCTGATGAGGGCCCCTTGGGGGCTACCAGCAGGGCGTGCTGCCTCGTAGCGAACCACACAGCCAATGCTCTGCAGATCCAACGGACTTTGCAAGATGCTCAAAAAATGCTCGCCAAAAGGGCCTTCGTCTTCAGGCAAATTACTAGGCCTAGCCTCCAAACGCTGTAGATCCTGCGGCTTCCTAAGAGCACCTGCGTGCAACGTACGAAAATACGATTGCTGGAATCTGTGGTCTCTATTGCGGCTGGTGCTGGTGCTGCTCCGGTCGACGGTGTATTTTCAGGTACGTGAAGGAGGGTTTGGAGGAGGGCGAGTTTAGTGAGGCTCTGGAGAAAACTCAGTCTTTGTTGGACGCTTACCGGGAGGCAGAGGTGGTGTATGAGTATTATTACGTTGAAGACGAAGAAGCGGAGAACCAGGGCGAATCAAAGGCTGGAGTACACGCGAAGTCAGCAAGTAAAGCTGAGGTAACACAGGCAAGGCCATACCTGTTACTGTTGCTACTGCAGCTGGTGCAACGGACGCTCTGGGGGGCTGAAGCACAAATAACAGCAGTGCTGGCTGCTTCCAACACATACGCGATATCAGCAACAGCAGCATCGCAAACAGCTGTATCAGTTCTGCCAACTGCACCACCCCATGCCCTGCGATATTCCGTGTTTGCAGATCTCGGACGCTGCCACCGTTGTGGACGAAGACGAATCCCCCAAATCTGCCCTTTTCGCCGGCGACACATCTACAAAGGCGGCGAATGTCTAAAAGCTGTGCCGGTAGTGCGAGCTTCGTAGCTGTAGTATAGTAGTTCATGCTGGATTGGCAAGAACGGCGTCGCGTACTTCTATCGCAGTGTGTCTGTCATGCCTCCTCCTGGCATCGCTCCAGTGGTTGCTTTGGTGCGTCCACCACGCTTTGCCGCCCAAGTTGTAGCTGTCTCTTCTCCTGCTGCCGCTTGTATCGTAGGGTAATTGATGTGAAAGCGGTTTCGTTTTTTTGAGGGACGTTTTGGGATTCCGCAGCACCGGTGGCCACAGCAACAGCAGCCACGGCAGCACTATCAGATGCATTTGATGTACGTTACACTCGGGCATTGCTAGGCGCAAGAAGCATCAATGGCCCAATACCCTTAGCGGGGGCACCCTTCTTCGTGCGTTTGCTTGTTTGTCGTATCAGCTGATGCTGCTATTATTTCTTATCATTGATACGGCTTTGCTGTCAATGGCGCTTCCTTCCGCTGCTGCGCCCAGAGAAGGCCCATTGGTTCTTTATTTGAATATACTCAACTTATTGTACATTATGATACTCGGCTTGTAACCCTTCAAGCCAAAGTCTTTGGCAAACGCAGCTACGAACATCGTAGACAACTAGGCCTTTGCAGGGGCCTCAAGCGATGCTGTCATTGAGATTAAATATTGCAAGGTGGTTTTGCAGCATTAATCTTAGGCCCGCCCAAAGCCCAGCCTTACCCACTGGGCAGTACACCTCTTGCAGTTACAACTACAAAAAGCATTACTAGTGTTGTCGCTGACTGTGCTTGTTGCTGGTAAACCCTACTACAAGGGCTTCTTCTCCTTACCAGCAGGGAGGCCAGATGCTGCTGCTAAAGGAGAAAAACCCCTCCGTCTGCAGGTGCCTATGAACCTCAGACAGCAAAATATAGGGAGGCTGTGAAGGGGCCACAGCAACAGCCGCTGCTGCTGAGTATGCTCTTTGGCCGTGCAGCGAAGTGTCTGACGGTCCCCCCCCTGCAGCTGCATCATCAAAATCTAAACCGGCGGAAACAGCTGCCCCTGTTGCCCCGGTTTCCTGCGATTGCATTGCAGGGTGCAACGGTTCCAGAAGTAGCTGCATCTGCAAAAGCAGCTCGCACCGCCGCAATTGCAGCAGCCGCACGCTACAAGAGAGCATCATATAACAGCAGCAGAAGCAGAAGTAGCAGAAGTGTACAACAAGCAGCAGCCGGTTAGGGGCCCAACCTGCAGTGATACCCCGAGAACACAACAGCAGCACCGTTGCATCGAAGTGGTGCTGCAGTAGCTGGTCGCACAGCCGCACGCTGCGCAGTAGGGGGCCCCCTACCAAGAGGGCATGAAGTGATAGGGGGGCCCCCATGCTACTGCACAGCAGCAGCAGCAGCACTCCGGCGGTGCCTGCAGGGACTGCGGGATCGTCTCCACCAGGGGGTCCCGAGTAGGTGAACGGCTCGTCCACTGTGTATTGGTGCTCCGACTGCTGCCTTAGTGTAGCCGCGGAGCGTGGCTGCCACGCTGCAGTCAAGAACATTGGACACAAACGCAAAGTGCAATGCCTAAGAGTAGCTGATGGCTGCAGGAACAACAGTAGCACCACACACTGCGGGAGCGGGTGCGATGCAGATCACAACTTCGGCATCGGCATTAGGCGCAGCAACAGCAGCAACTTGATAAGCTCACAGCACGCCACGGTGCTCCGGAGGCAGAGCAAGCTGCAAACTGGCAGGATTAGCTGTAGCAGCGAGAAGAAAGGGGGGGCACATAGCACCAACCGAAGCAATATCTCGGCCACAGGCAGCTCTATAAACCATATATCCACACCTGGAGCCCCTGGATTTCTCTTAGGGGGCCCTTCACTCCTGTGGGGACTATGGAAGAGCGTTTCTATGGTAGCCAGCAGTCCTTGCAAAGACGCGAGGCTCAGGCATCCACCAACAGCTACGAAAAGTGTATCCAGGAAAGGGACAGAGAGACACAAATACAGGGTTGCCTGTAGCAGCACCAGCAGCGATATAAGAATCAGCAATAAAAGTCCGCCCTCGCCCATTAGGAGCAGCTCCCCCGGAGCCTTCTGCACCAAAGATTCTTCCTCGTGCAGCCTTTCTTCCAGTTGCTGCTGCTGCGCAATAAGGGTGCTTATGAAGGGGTGGAGAACTAGCAAAAGCTTCGCCAAGTGTGTAAAAATGGCAACAAAAGCAAGTAGGAGCTGTTGCTTGCGGCTTATATGCACTCCACTGTCTGTGACAGCAGCAAATCCTCTTCCGCGGGGGCGCAGCAGCAGTATAAGCAGCCGCTTCAGCAGTAGAGAAAAACCAATGCGTTTCACTGGGAACCCTTCCTGCAGCAGCTCCCACTGTTGTCGCCTCAGAGCATCAAGCAGCTTCTGATGAGGCCGTTCAATAAAGATCGGTAGCTGCCCCTGTTGTGAAGCCTTTGGTCCTAGCCGCCGCGCTTGTTGCTGCTGGTGGGAAGTGTCGGCTGCCGCTGTTGCCGAGTGCCTCCTCTTCCTGAGCGGTGGCACCCATAAGGTTCGTGAAGCGAGGCAAGAGAGCTCGTGGGGGAAAAGGTCTCCCGGTTGCTTGCTTTTTTGTCCATTCATCTGTGCGGTCGGTGCTGCCAATGGTGCCGTGTAGATAGCGGCTGGTGCCGGATTGAACGTGTCCAGTTGCAGCCAGCCGAGAGGTATTTTAGAGCAGCTGCCGCTTTGGGCTGTTCCCGCCGTCGGTGCAGTTTCCGCTAGACCCTGGCATGCGTCGTAAGGCTCCAGTGCAAAAGCAGCGCCCCCATCCCTGCAAGGTGCGTGTCCGTGCCTGTGCATGGTGCAGGACTGGGCAAGGTCGAGAGTCTGCTCAGGGCCTCTGGGCGAGAAGCCTCCTGTGGCTAGTCTCGGAGCCTTTTCAGGGCGTCGACCGAAGGTAAGAAGCGCCCCGTCTATCATTTCCTTTCCTGGACTTGCCGGGTCGTCTCCGCGCTGTTGCTGCGGCTTGTATTGTGGAGCCTGCTGGGAGTGCGCTGGGGGATGCCTGGACTTTCCACGGCTGAGAAGATCTTTGGGATCCTCCCGGTAAGGGAAACAGACTTGCGATATGGAGGCAGGAAAGGAATCCTGTGCTGTGAATGTTTGCGATTCGCTTTCCGTGGGTCCCCTAAGGCCAGAAAGGGAACCCGACTCAACAGCGGCGCTTCGTGCAGGAAGCTGCACAAGAAGCGACTTTTGCTGCGGCTGCTCTTCCGGCTGCTCTGGCTGTTGCTCCCCTTGTTTCTTAGAGCATGAGGGAACTGTAGAGCGTCTGCGTCCTCTGAATGCCCTTAGAGATGCTAAACGCTCCCCAAGTCTCTTGCTAAAAGGTAGAGGGAACTGCTGATCTGCTGTTGTTGCGGGTGCCACAGTTGTCGCTGCCCTTTCTCGTATTGGAGTCAAACGATTTTTTGCTGGGCCGTTTGCTCCAGTTCTTACTGCAGAGGGCGGCAAAATGACAGATCGATAGTTCCTAAATAGATTGTGTTGGTCCTTTCCCTTGTGTTGTCTTTTCCATCTACTGAGTGTGAAGGCCCTGCCCAAGGGGGGTGCCTTTGGCTCCTCTGTAACGGCGCCTGTTGCCAGATCTGATACAGCGGAAGCCTGCTGATCCTCTTGCTGCTTTGTGCGCAGCATAAAGAATCGCAGAGGGCCGTGAGTCATAAAGCGCTGTAGAGGCCTCTTGTATGCCGGTTGCTGCACCTCGGATACGGTGGATGCGGAGTGACCCCTTCCGCCTGCTGCTGCTGACGTAACCGTAGCCGCTGGAGAGGCTGTGTCCTGGGTGTGAGCCTCCGCGACATCTGCTGGAGCCGAGTAGAAGGATGCTTCATTGCTTATGAGGCTACTGAGGGTTTGAATGTCCAGTAGGTTTAGAAGGAAGGCCTGCTGTCGTTCTCTAACAGCCGCAGCCGCTGCTGCAGCAACTGCCGTAGCATCTTCTGCATCACCAGTCGAAGAACTGCCCATGTGGTTTCTTAGTTGGTGGAGTTCTGCTGCAGCAGGAAGTCCAGGCTCTTCGAAGCAGCAGGCTGGCGGGATTCCCACTCCATCCCTCCTTGTTGGGACGCCATCAGCACCAGTAGCAGGACAGCCCGTAGCACAAATGGCAGCGCGAATCTGTCGAGGAACATCTGTGGCTACAGTGAGGACTTCTCGCTGATGACAGCTGGCGTCTTCCTTCTCAGCCAAGACACACTGGTGCATCTGAAGTGGCCTTAGGCATATCCAAGTCAAATTCTTTAGCAGAAACGGACAAAGCAAGGTCCCCTGGGAGCTACCTCCATGAAGCAGCAAAGCCATCCTAAAAGCAAGACCAGGGATATCTATAAGAAAGAACCCCACTATAAATGCGTGCTTCGCCGTAAGAAACATGTCCGATCCTACAGCCGGCTTGCCACTCGGCACCCAGTAACGTCTCCTGTCAGGACCGCGGCCTAATGTGCCCCCCGTAGTCCCTTGAGAGCTATTAGGAGGTCCCCTGGCATGCAGGTCTGTGGGGAACGCGAAGCCGAGCAGAAACACTGCGGTAGGCACCAGTACTAGCATACAGCTGGCAAAAGCCAAGAGGGACCCGTGGGAGACACCTTGGGGCCCTCGCAAGCTGTATTGTAAGACTGCATGCACAGAAAGCAGACAGAACCAAGGAGAAGGTAGCAAACGTCAGTATAGCTGGCTTGCCGGCCGAATATTAGCCAGCATACATGGTCACTGGCACGCTGCTAGAGTAAAGAACTGGCTCGCGAGCTAGTCCGTTGCCGCGCCAAAAATCTGTCCCTCTGGCTTAATACGTGGAAAGTTACTCAGTATCCTATAGACAACCGGCAAGACGTCTGCTGCTTAGTTTGTTCGCTAGGGGCTTGGGTCCATTCGCGAGCGTAGCGTATTTTTTGAATGTGTCCCATTTAGAGTTCGACCCGATTTCAGAGGCCCAGCTACGGCAAGATAAGGCGAAGCAAGGGTGATTCATAGTAAATCTCCTTGAGCCATCAGGTCTCGAGGGTGCCTGCAAACCTAGTGCGGACGAGAATGTAGCCGACAAGTCAAGGAGGTCGATGGTCAGCATCACCGTGAGATTGGCAAGGGTCATAAGGCGATTTGCGGAGGCACCTTCGAGGTCTCTCAGCGCGCCAACACCATTCCGGCGGTCATGAATGGGCTCTATGGGGCCCCCTGGCGAGGCCTCTGAATAGAGGTACGCGTAGGCGGCGAAGGATAGAAACACAGCAGGAGTCAGGAAGACGCAGCAGCTGACCATATGTATGCCTGAAGGGGACAGCAAACGGGAAAGAGGCGGAAAGCCGTGGTGTTAAAGCCCTGTGCATAGAGATCTGTTCTTAGAATTTGGCGTTTAGGGACTTTTCATGTGGGGGTCGTATGGTTGGGAGACCATGCTTAGACGCGGCACTATCAGATGTGTCTCACTAGCTCGATCTGCCATGGGGAAAACGAGGAAGAGGTGAGAGAATCGGTGTGCCTGTGGAGGCGCTCTCGAGGCCCGCCAAACACCCAGCACGAAGAGGCAAGCTGTGAGCTTGACGGCAAGGAGGCAACTGTGGAGCAGCCACTGCAGAGAGCAGCGGGTCCCTAGGCGGCTGGTGGCCACATACGCTGGGAGCGAGCAAGTGAAAAAGCCTGCGGCCATGAGAAAAGCAGCACAACAGAGACATAGAGAGAGAGAGAGAGAGAGAGAGAGAGAGACAGACAGACAGACAGACAGACAGACAGACACACACACACACACACACACACATACACACACAGACAGGTCTTTATGCCTTGGAGGGCCGTATGAGGGTGCGTGGAAGACCAAAGCAGCTTTGCAGGCACGTAGAGGTTTCAGATTGCGCGCATTGAGACGTGTGGTGGCTTCCGGCGTGGAAGCGAAAATCAGAAATATTGTATGAGAAAGGAGAGATATGCAACAGAGAAACCATAAAAAGTGGCCGTGCAGAAGGTGCACCACCTGAAACATGCAGGCGGCAGCAACACGAAACGGGAGCCTAGCTTCTCTACTGACCTAGGGCGCCGTCGAATATGAGGAGGATGATCAGGTAGCTTCTGTCTCCCCATGCGAAATCTGGGTCTCTTCGGCTGTCTGCGAAGAGCAGCAACAGAGTCAGCGCTAGCTGCTGCAAAAGCGCTAACCAAAAGGGAAGCACTGCAGGCAGTGGCTGCAGCAGCTGCAGCAGCAACTTTTCCATGCTGTGCCGTTTCATTTTCCATCATCAGCATGGCCATCGACGGCTTGAGGTTTTACGGCCCCAGAGTCCGCGGCGAGGGCACTGAAACCGACGGAAGCAGAAGCCATATAAACGCTCACACAGACTAACAGGAAATATCTGAGTTTCTTACGGGGCCTTACGGGGGCCCCCAGCTACGCAAGATCCCCCGTCTCTAGGCAAGCCTGCAGGGAAGTCGGGGAAGCGGTCCCTGTTGGTCGTTTGGCTGGCTGTACTAGGTATGTAGGAGTGTATGCTTCCACATGGCTAGTTCTTTAATGGTGGATTATTCTATTTGCGTCCGTTAAACTTGTTTAGAGAGGAGGAAAGAGCAAAAAAGCCACAAGGACCGTGTCGAGCGAAGGGTCAGGTCACCTGAGCGAGCCGATAGATCCCACCAAACACCCTAGCCCAAGAGAAAAGAGCGAGATGTTTTTCTCCCTCTTTGTTCATCAGGAATTTATAAATGGATTAGTAAAGGCGTTGTGGAGAAAACACACACGGAGGGCAGGAATCTACAGGTTCTCAAGCGAAGAGGGAGAGGGGCGCCAAGGCCGAGGAATGCAATGTCGAGATATACTTAGCTAGCCGTGGAATGGGATAGTGGCGCTCAGGCATGCAAGCATAAAGGTATTAGGACACCATCTGGTACGGAATAGCACGCAGAAGGAGATGGCGGCAACACGGACATACAGGGAGTGAGTGAGATGCCCCGCCGCCTGTGCGGGAAGAAGGAAACGCTTCTTTCCTCTGCCCCCACACTTTAAGGCCGACAGACATGCGGCTACACAAGGGAATACGGTACATCTTAAGCTAGCGTGAGGTGGGTAGAACGCTCTTGAAATGCAAAGGGATCAAGTATATACAACATCTAGGTAGCAGACGCTCAGCAGACCCGAAGGGAGATTTCGATGCAGATACTCGTCCAAGGGAATGCATAGATTTTTCGGGGGGAGCGGAGGGGGAAGAGGGGTTCTAACCCTTTGGCATATAGGTAACTGTACAGTAGTCAGGACCGCTTGTCCCGTAAGGGATGCATGCGAATTCATGCACAGATGGCACAATGCAGCAAGTTCCATAAAAGAAAGGTCAGGGGAATGTCAGGAGCGCCATCCAGCTTGATCATGCAGGCCCGAGAAGGATTTGTGCATGTAGACTGCTTCCGCAACGCGCCACATGAGGCGTTCTACTCGTATTTGAAGGTTAAGTGGCGATGCCGAGATCCTTGCTGCCTCCATTGCTGCTGGCGCTGCTAAGGGTATCAGATAAGTGATTGACCACTTGCTGCTTCTGCTGCCGCACATATCGGCTCCAGGTGCCTGTGCCTGCCTCTAGTTCTTACCAGAAATGAAGACTCGCTGTGGGGTCCTTGGCCGATATCCGCTGCTGCAGCCAGGGCTCAATCCCCCCACCCCCCAAAGTGAAGATACGGGCGTAACCGAAGTTATTGCGTTATCCGAAAGGCTAAACCCAGATAGGCTCAAATACGTTTGGCCATTTTTAGCCGGTTGTGAACCTCTGAGCATATCTATGTATACGTACTTACCTACCTCCGTTCAAATGTATTCGTTCAATACGCACATATGATAGAGACTAGCCGACTGGATATATATAAATATATATACTATACGCATATGTAAAGGCAGAGACATTTGCTCGCATGCGCCCCCTCGATGAGACGCACCCCAAAGTTGGTTCATGACTCAGTCTCGTGGCATCGGTCACAGCGAGCAGATGCAAGCCCGAGTGTACTTCGGGCTGCTTTCTCAGGGAAGGTGTAGCTAGCTGTTAGTGCTGTCAATTCTGCTGCTGCGCCAGCAAGTGGTGCTGCAGCAAGAAGCAGGAAGTACGCGGTGGTACGGGGCCTGAGTCGAAGACCAGGCCCCGTAGTCTGCTATGGCTGTAAATCCAAGTATATATGTATATGTATGTATATATGTATACAAATATATATATAGTTGCTATATCAGTATATACCTACTTAGTATAGCAGTTTGTGCGAGGAGAGAGGGCCCCCGACCAGGGGAGGCCCATAAAATGAAACCGCAGCAAAAATAGCTGGGTTGTCGCTGTGTGCTGGTGCAGAAGCAGCTGGTGCCGCTGCTGCTGCAACAGACGCTGCCTGGCCGTTGCGCGCTGTTGCTTTTGTTGCTGCTCCTGAGTTCGCTGTCTGGCCTATGCGTTGCTGCTGCTGTTGCTGCTGTTGCTGCCGCCGTTGGGATATCTAGACATCCCGAATTTTTTCTTCTGCTGTGGCAGACTATAGGTACCCCGGCGGGGGCGCGAAGGTCGCTGTACTGGTTGCTGCTGGTGGTTATGTTGCAACAACTTTCTCAGCAAAAACGAGGCGTGATGTGATGAAGGCTACGGATGACGAGGATGAGGAGGCGCTGCTGTGCTCTGTGCTGCCTGCAGCAGCAGCAGCTGCCGAGTCCTTGATTATATATAAATATATATATCCCTCTTGCAGCAGGTGTTTTTGTAGCACAGCCGCTGCTGGTTCAACCGTCACTGCTGCCGCTCCTGCTGTTCGTGCTGCTAGAGGAAAGCGGCGTGATGCTTTCTACGAAGAGGATGGGTGTTGATGAATACTGCGGCGGGAGAAAAGATGAGGCGACTTGTGCGTGACGGCATGGGTTGCGCAGGGCAGGGAAGGGGGGCGGAGCGAACCATGGTGAGCACATGGAAAAGCACCAGAAAGGGTCAGCTCGGACTGTAGCACCAGCACTCTTCCTGAAGTTGCTGCTGCCGTTGCCACTATAACTGCTGCTCCCCGAAATTTCAGCCGCAGCGGCAGAAGAGCAGTGCCGGACTGAGACGGAGGGAGTCGGCGCTCTCACTACTCGTCCTCGGGGGCCTTAGTAGGTGCCACGCATCATCCTTCCTCCTTCGGCAGCAACAGCTGCGACTCTTTCTTCTGCTCTCCGCCTGGCCGATGCTGCAGAAGTGTGGGAACGGCTTCCAGCTGGATGGCAGCACGGTGGCGATGCTATCCCCTTCTATGAGCTAGAGCCGTTGCCTGAAGCCCTATTTATGTATGTGGCCTTGCTGCTGCTGCTCCAGTGTGTAGGTGTATGTGTAAGTGTAAGTGGATGCATGTGTGTAAGTGTATGCATGTATGAATATGGGTGTGCGTACATATGTATAGACGCTGCTGTTGCAGCAGCAGTAACAGCTGCTGCTGCCGGTGCAGAGACAAACGGAGAGGCTTGCGAGTGGTGATGTCGGGGAGGAAGGCGCTGCTGTAAAGTGAAAGAAGGCAGCCCCTGTCGTAAGCATTCAGGGTGCCGCTATGGTTGCTGCTGCCATTCGGGTGGTTCTGCTGCAGCTATACATGTCTGATAGCTTCTGCAGCTGTAACGCGTTGAAGCGCTTCCCAGGGTTATTGAAAGTGAGGCTGCGACTGCGTGGCATACGGAGGCATACGTTGAGCAGTATATCCGCCTGCCGCTTCCGCTGTCGTGTCTGGACTCTTCTGCTGCTGTGCAGCTTTAGGTGCAAGCACGGCAGCATCGGCAACGCAGTACTGCTGCTGCTGCTGCGGCTGCTGATGCTGCCGCTCCTGCTGCGGCGGCTGCTGCTGCTGCTGTAGCTGTTGCTGCTGCTGCTGTCTCTTCGTCGAAGACTGTTGGGACGCCGTGGGTGACAGAAGGTGAACGGCGGCATGTCTCTCCTCGCCCTTCTTAATAGACACATTGAGCCGCTTGTTGCTGACGAGGCAGTTATTCATCGCATTGACAGCGGCGGCCGCAGAAGCCGTATTCGCGTATGAAACAAACCCGAAACCCTTGTTTCTTCCGCTTTCTCTATCGATGGCAACGTGGCAGGAGACTATAGCACCGAATCCTCCAAAAGCCTCCAGCAACTGCTGCCTTCCCCACTCCCTCGGAATGTGAAATACGAAGATGTTTGCTCCCGGAGGTCCGGTCGGCTCGCTCCCGCCTTGCAGAGGTGCCCCCCGTAAGCCCCCTCCTCCACTGCAGAGCGCGTCAAACTCTGGGGGCCTCTCCCACGTTGTGATGTTTTCAGCCTCATTGTGGTAATACGGCATGCAGTCAGATGTGAAATACTCTCTCCAGGGGCCTGCCTGCCGCGGGTTGTAATTTTTTGCGGCTGCTGCAGCGGCCGCTGCGACGGGCGAGAGACGCTGCTGCTGCTGCTGCTGCTGTTGCTGCTGCTGCTGCTTCACCTTCGTCTCCGCGAAGCGGACATCAACAGGCCTGCTACAGCCCGCAAATGTATGCCTCCCCGAGAGAGAACGAATGGCGTAGAGCGCCTCTTCTTTGTACCGATACTTGACGAAGGCACAGCCCTTGCCCCCACCGCTGCCGCTATCCCGCAAGACAAAGACCTCGTCAACGGTGCCGTAAGAGCTGAAAAACACCTTCAGCTCGTCTTCTGTCGCATTGCGCGGGATCGAGCCAACAAATAGCTTCGCCTTGTCAATTCCTCCGTCAGCCGCCGCAGCGGAGAGACCAATGCGTGCAGCCTCACCGGAGGCATACTTCACTGCCAAAGGGGGGGCCCCCTCTTCAAGAGCCCGCATGCCATGGAGGGCCCTAATCGCTGCGTCCGCAAACGCGAGGGAACCTGAGCAGAAAATAGGAGAGAGGAAGAAACATACACATACACATAAACATAAACATACACATAACCACATACATACACATAACCACATACATACACATAAACACATACATACACATAAACACATACATACACACACATAAACACATACATACACACACACATAATTACATACAGGCGCCACTATACAGAAGGCTTTCGCGCGCATGCAATCACGATTATAAACAAATGGGATGCAACAGCAGTGAGACAGCCTCAAAGGTCTCTATAGATAAAGGCACGGAGCACACCACAGACGAAGAGGCAAAGATGGACCCCTCCCACTCCCCCGGAAATGGGCAAACAAAACGAAACAAAAAGCAGTGAATCAAACGGCGGCACCATACCCCCGAGAGCAACTGCAAGAAAGTTTCACATACCATACACACACGGCGTAAAGCAGCTCGCCTAGGAGACTGTAATATTTTATACAGGCTAACTACGGAGCCACACGACTGACCACCACAAACGACACATAGTGTATCCACAGAAGGAGGCATGGAAGCCTATATAGTATAGCCTTCCTCCCCTTTCCCTCGCAAGAATTTGATGTGTGCGAAGTATTCCCTTCCCTTCCCCCCAGGCACTCCCACAGATGAGAAAGGCTCGGGCAAAATGTTAGAGGTGTGGTGGCTTCCTACTCATTCTAACAAAGGCGCTATTCCTGTGTTTCATGGTATTTTTCTCGCGGATAACTGAGCAGTCTGTAACTATGCCAAACTCGGAGAAAAGGTCTCGCAATTGATCCTCCTGCACCGACTGTGGCACACGGCCTACGAAGAGCTTCACCTCCACAGGAGGCGCCTTGTGCGGCAATGGAAAAGGCAGCTGTTGCTGCTGCCTTTGAGGTTGCGTTTGCTGCTGGCTATCCTGAGAGACTTTCGTGGAGTTCAGCTGTTGCTCGGACCGCTGCTGGGGTTTCTGCTTCTGAGGAGATGCCTGCTCCTCTTCTTGCAGATTCTCCTGCATCCCATCGCAGGACGAAGATTTCTCCTCCTGCTTTTGTTGCTGCTGCTGCAGCCCTTCTTGCTGATCTCCGTCTTCCTGATCAGTCCGCTTGAGGCTCTTGCCGTAGGCGTCGGAGATAGCCTCTGCACCGTGCTGCTGCTGCTGCCCCTCCTCCTCCTGCCGGCCCTTCAGATGCAGCATCTGCTGATGCTCCTCCTGCCCTTCCCCTTGCAACCCATCTGCTGCTGCAGCTGTTGCTGCCTTAACCGTGTGTTCAGCGCTCATGGCGGGGGGCTAAAAAGGCGAAGGGTTGCCTGCGTTGATGGTTCCGGTGAATTCCGCAGGTGGTGCTGTACTGCAGCAAATACAGCACAAATCAGTTGCGCTAATAAGCTGCAGATGTTATTTGCGCCACTAATACTCCCTCCGCGGGACTCCCGCTGCACTGCTGGTGCTGTCGACGGTGCCAGGTCAGGTGTCTGTCGTTCTCGCGTTTGCACTGCTGATGCCGCCGCCGCAGCTGTTGCTGCTGCCACTGCCGGAGCCGTTACTGTGGGAGCTGCTGCAGCTCCCACTGCGGCTTGCAGTACATTTGAAGCCCCTGAGGTAAATACACATCAGTAAACGGGAGGCACTGTGGCTGTCTGCGTCTTGTGCCCCAAGCGACTGTCAAACATGACGAGCAAATTACTCAAGCCCCCGAGTTCGCACAGCAGGGAGTCCCTCTCACACAGCAGTCAGTCAGTGCTCCGGTATCAGGTTCACGAGCGGCTGCAAAAGATGATCGCCCGTCGTTGTGTCTAGCAAGACTCTTGCTGCACCATTTGACCCCCTAAGTGCCTCAGGAAAAGCTAAACTCAATTTTAAAGGCGAGATGCATCTCAGGGGTTGCAGGGCCCACACCCGATCCGCAGGTGCCACGAGCTCCTGCTGCAGCTGCTGCCGCTGGTGCTGGTGCAGTTAATTCGCATTGCGCCGCAGCATCAAAGGAAATATAATCTCTTTCCCGCACAACAACAGAAATAGCACCAACAACGGCGCCAACAGCAGCAGATGCAGTTGCGGCAACTCGGTATATTAGGCCTGTTCCGAGCACGCGACACTGAGACCTGCCTATACACCCCAAATCTTGGCGCTGCTCACCTTGGCTCAGTTTGCTGCTAGTCTCCCCTGCACTAAAGGGCTCTGCATGAGGAAAATGCGCTGTGAGGTACGAAGTTTACTACTGTGTTACTGGCGCGGCTGCTGCTCTGTTGCCGCTGCCGCCGCAGCAGCAGCAGCAGCGCCGCGGTCCCCGTGCGCCGCTGCCGCTGCTGCTTTTTTCTCCTGCAGCTGCAACCGCGCTAGTAGCGCATGCAGTCACGCTACACAAAAGCCTTTATTAGTGCAAGGTGGCCGAGAAGAGCAGCAAAACCGGCTGCAGCAGCAACGCCAGCAGCAGCAGCAGCAGTCCGCTGCGGTGCGGTATCACTACACGGCACCGCAAGGCCCTCCACAGTAATCGGGTCGCTCGCTTCCCTGTTGTGCCTATTTCGCAACAACTCGTACATAGAGACAAAAACAGCCGCAGCGAGGGAGTAGGGGGCCAAATTCATGCCAAGACACCCCAGATAATCACGCATGCCTGTGCCTTCCCCCTAACGGGCGCCACGCAAAGCAGCTAACGACAAAACAAGGCGCACTACGCTACATTCTACTCATCTGGAGCCTCCGTGGGGTCCCTTAAGTAGTCTAGAGGGCTCCAAGTGCAGCTGAAAGGTCCCCGTAGGCGGCCACGCAGATTCTGACGGGCTCTTAGATAAGCCTTACTTTAGGTGACCCTACAGGCCGCAACAGGGGTTTGGCCAGGCCATAGAGATAGCTAATGGGCATCCCCAGACCCACAATTTTAGAAAGGGAGAAGGCGTAGTGGTCCCCCGAGGTAGATCAGTTGGGGCATCCCTGCACGGGTTATTGGTGCACCAGACAAGGGGACTTGCAAAGGGACACCAGACCAGGAGGGCCGGGAAGTGCGCAAGCGGTACTTTTTTCTCTGCCACCTCTATGGTCGGTGCAGCGTGCTGCTGTTCCTGAATTTGCCCCTGCTGCAGTCTGTCCTGTCTCCACTAAAAGGGGATAGTTGAGAATGGGAGACTCGGTGGTTGCTGACATAAAGAAGTATCGCCAGGTTCACGGAAAGGTGCGGTGCCCCTATTTTAGAGGCTGGCTCTAGAAAAGTTGCTTCCTCCTTTGCTGCTGATATCCCTAACTTTCTTGCTGCAATTAAGCCCTTCGCCCTGCCTCCATTCCCGCCCTTCTGCTGCTGCAACTGCAAAGGCTGCTGAGCTCTATGTAATGTTGCTCCACAACTTATAAATGGTTGTACCACAGGACTGGTGGCTCGTCAGCTACGCTGGCGGCGATGGAACGTACAGCTGGCAGCCGCAGGTAATCTGAAGGCAATAGTAGCCCCAGGAACAAAGGAAGCAGCACATGTTTTCCCTGCCTCGCAAGCTTCGGTGGCATGCGCATGAAAGCTTCGTGCATGCACAATAAGAGCACGTGTAAAATGAAGCACATACTTTGATGAGGAAGCGCTTCTCTGCATGATGTATGGTGGTGCTTGCGCCTGCTGATTCTGCTCCAGAGCGAGGTGCAGCGAACCTCTGCTAGGTTGCGTTCCTCAATGGCGGAGATGCGGCGGAGGTACATAAGGTCCCACAGTTTCTCCCAGAAGGGCGACTCTACTGTTGTTGCTGCTGCTGTTCCCTCCTCAGCACCCACCGCAGCAAAAAGAGCAGCAACCGCAGCAAAACCTATGAGGGTTCACCGCAATACAAGACGGCTGTAGGCTGTCCACTTAGTTAGCCGTAGAGAAATCGCAGAGGCCTCGAAAGGCGAAGCTTGCTGCTGCAGAGGCAACATGCTCTGGTAGCAGAAGTATTATCGTATGGAGGTGCAGGGGCCCAAATGAAGGCTTTAACGGCCTAGTATCGAAAATATATGGTTTTGTGTGCTTATACACAATGCTCTCCTGCGCCATTCTAGCCAATTTGTGGCTGTTGTAGCCCCTGCACGGTTAGTGCCCTTGATTCTGATGCAGGTGGTTTCAGCAGCGGCATTTCGAGCAGCAGTGCCTCAGTGGGTTGCTGTGGCTGCTGGCGGGTGCCACCGCTACCCTGGTGGGATTTTGCACTTACGAGGCTTGGGAGGACCTAAGGGAGGCTCCCCTGGGCATGAAGCTGTACACACTAACTTTGCCGTGTTGCTGGTGGGTGTTACTCTGCTGCTGCCTTTCGGTTTGCTTCGGAATCGCCGCCATTACAACCTCCCTAAATGCACCAAGATGCGTCAAGGCCAGACCGTCCACACACTCCAGGATCATCTCTCGCAGTAGGTTGCGAAGTAATCGTTAAAATAGTGAAGAGACCCAGGAACCCAAACTTTACTCTCTGCTCTCATGCTCATGCATGAAGCCGATGTTTAGCCTACATGAGTAGAGGATCCGGCATAGCGTATCTCCATATTCATTTTTAAGTGGAAAAGCAATGACAAGCAAAGCTCCTTCACTCCAGATTCCTGGCTAGCATACAGCGAGAAGCAATCTTCCAGGGTGCACGAAGTCTTTGAGAATGGCTTTTATACTTCACTTGCCACTTTGGCTGCGTTCGCCTCGTATGTGTATGGGTTCCACAAAGACACACTCCTTCAACCGCCGAGTTGCGGGTTTCGTGAAAATAGCTATTTACCTGTGCAAAAGCTACTGTTGAATGGTAGATAGACTTTGCTGAGGAGAATAAACTTCTGCTTCCTCGTGGAAAGGGCCAACAAGCAGTTCAATATTGTATTTAAAGAGCAAAACCCTAAACCAAGCAGGGGACCCAACTGCGCACAGCTAAGACAGCTCGCTGCCCAGGTGTTAGCTTCCGGAAAAGTTTCAGATCTCTCTCATCCACAGTTACATACTCCTCTGTTTTCTCTTACACAGGCGGCCGCTCCTCAAGTCCCGCAAGACGCCGAAGGGCCACCCCTTATAGTAGGAAGAGGAGAGCCCGCTCCCCCCGCGCGGCAGCAATGCCAGGAATTAGTCTAAATCAGGGAGAGATAAACTTAGATGCATCCCGAGCACCTGGTAGCAGCAGCGACAGCACAGATTTTTTTGCTTCTGACGAGCAACAATTTTCCTACAGTAGTCCGGAAGACCCTGCAGAGCAGCCTTTGCTGCTGGGTGAAGGCCCCCTCACGAAGCAACTGATTCCAAGGCCTTCTCTTGACACTGCGATACTTCCTCCCCAACAGCACGGCAGCAGAGGATGAGTGCTGCAGCCACTGCCCTCTGTACCCATCGCTGCTGACAGCCTCGTAATAGGCAGAGAACCATCTCTCAGACACCAAAACTCTGGCAGCAAAAGCCCAATCAGCCCCCTTAAGCAAACTTCAAGCAGAAGCAAAAGGAAGTGACTGGTACAGCCCCTGCAGCAGGATCATGCGCTGCTGCGCCTTAAAGTGCAGAGGCCAATTGGCAAGCAGACCCTCGTTAGATGCTTATCCGTTCACCTGTACACCTTACAAGCTGAAAGGCCTGCGACACGGCAATGCCCTTTGTGTCTTGAGCTAGCTTTTGCCGATTCGGGGCGGTGGTGTAAGCGGTTTGACGTGGTAATGCATGGCCTCATCTTCATCGTGACCTCACAATCCGGGGGAGACTCCAGTTGAAGAGCAGGACGCAGCTACATCTTTGTAGCGAGCTGTGTGACACCGACGCTTTTCCTACAAAGTAGTTAGACTTGCCCAAGAAACAGAAAGAGTTGATCCTTTGAGTTAGCTATTCATATATACGTTACCGGCTGTAGAGTAGAGTCAGTTCAATACTGTAAACATCAATGTTGTGCGTGCTTGTGTAATGCATGGAAATTAAACTTAGTGGGTAAGGCTCGAAGTGCTTGGAAGTTGCACCTACGCGCACCCTAGCTTTTCCTCATGCTCCGTGTAGAAAGTCTGGAGGCTGGGAGCAGGGAATCGGGGTGACCTTATAAATACACTCTTTTATCGAGGGTTTCCGTGGGGACACACTGACGCAATTCATACTCCCTACATAAAGTTATTGCGTGTTTTTAAAGAGGACCCTCTTGGACTACTCATGTGGTAAGAGCTTCTGCATTTTTGCTGCGGCAAGGGCCGCTCATCTCGCTGCTGGATGTTGTGGTGGCGCCTGGGTAGCTCGAAAGGGCAAACAGAGCGCCTTGCGTTCCGTGTGCTCTAAGAGTGTCGCTACATCCCTCCTGCTGGTCAGGGGAGATCTGATCTCAGTTCAAAAGGCCCTGATTCGGCAGCTTCCTGTGGCTGGTTGCAGCAGAGGCTCTATGAGCAACACCAGCCACAGCAGTGCGTTTGTTAGGGAAACGTGCTGCAGTGTGCCCGAGATTCTGCGGGAGGGTGTCAGGCGGCAAGCCGGGGAGCAACTGAGAACCTTCACTGGATAAAACGGCATCAGAGGACACAGACACACACTAATACATATTCTGCAAAAACTGGATTAGAAATCGGGAGGCTTACTGGGGGCAGCAGCTGTAGCAACAATAGGCGTAGCCGAGTCCCCCGACCCCGCGAGCGACTGTCTCCCCACAGACAAAGAGCCTGTTTGGCGATTTCCTTTAAGTGCACTTCCTTCTCTCTCTCTGCGGCACAGCAGCACATTATAGCTTCTCCGTCTGCCGCAGCAACTGATATTTCACTGTCGGTGCCGTAGTAAGAACGTTCACCAGCTCAGTCCGTAGCATCAGCGAGCGTCACCTTCGGTAGCGCTCGCTGATGCTGCGAAACGAAGCTTGGGCCCTCGGCCGAGCCTGTAAAAGCGTTTCCATATTTGCAACTCTGACACAGTCTTGCTGAAGAAGAAGTTTGTTGGCTATAGTCATCGGCTATAACAGCTGCCGCTCCTCAGGGGTGTGTGTGTGCACTGCCCCTCCCAAGGGCCCCTAGAAGGGGCCCAACAAGAGCTGTCTCGCACTCTTCGCTCCTTCTAGCAGCAGTACGCCATGTCTCTGCTGCTGCCACTGGCACTGCTTGTTGCAGTGTCTCTGCTACATCCGCAGAATCGCGCGTCGTGTAGAGCCTTGAAGGCATCGCAGGGGGCAGCAACAGTATCGGGAAGCTCAGCCTTTCCTTGGGCACCGCACCAGCGGCGGCTGCAGCTGCAATGCCTGCAAGGACTAAAACTTCGACACAAGCAGCATGCGAACGCCTTCATTCATCCGCACGCTCCTGCGCGGCCATCGCAGCAAGTGGTGCTTGCAGGATCGGCTTCTGCCAGTAGCCTCTCCTCCTCCTCCACAGGAACTCTCTCGAAGTCTCTCGCCATGCCTACTATGGTAGGAGCAAGCGCAGAAGCAGACAGCGCAGCAGCGACACACCCTGCTCCTGCTCTGCCGTTCCGCATTGGCCATGGGTATGACATGCACCGCCTCTCTACAGATCCTCGCAAAATCACAGGTGAGCTGCTGCTGCAGCTGCTGCGCAAGTGCAATGCTGCTCTCCTCCCTTTGGGGCCGCTGTACGTACATTGTGGGAGGTCTTCAGCTGCCTGAGCTTCTGCTGCTGCTGCTGCTGCACTGCTTTTGCGTCTTTGGACGAACAGGCCCCCTAATTTTGGCAGGAATTTCCTTTGCCGCAGAGGCGACAGCAGCAGCAGCCAAAGCAGCGGCATCAGATCGACTGCAGAGATCTGCGCTGCAAGTTGCTGGAGAAGCAGTCATGTCCAAGGGGCGACAGCTGCTGTCTGCGGCTTCCAGTTGCATGAGGCGCCTCTTTCGGCATGACAGCAGCAACAGCAGCAGCAGTGTGGGCTTGGGTGTGATCGCTCATTCGGATGGTGACGTAGTGCTCCATGCAGTCGCAGACGCAGTATTTGCTGCGGCCGGAGCCCCCGATATCGGGCAGCAATATCCTGATACTGCACAAGTGAACAGAGGTAGAGACTCGCGAGACTTTGTTGCAGCGGCGGCTGCAGCGGCTGCTGCTGCCGGGTACTCTATAGCGCAGGTAGACGCGACTTTGCTACTGCAGTACCCCCACATCAGCAGCAAGAAGCAACAAATGATAGACTCCTTGGCAGAAGCGCTGGGAATCAGCAGCAGCAGGATCTCCTTAAAGGCCAAAACGGCTGAAGGCGTGGGGCCTGTAGGCCGCAGCGAGGCGGTAGAGTGCTATGCCGTTGCGCTGTTGCAGCAACAGAGTGTATAGACGCCTGAGCAACCTAGCGGCAGCGCCCACTGGTGCTAAGCCTTTTGCCGCTGCCAAACCAAGGGCAACTGCGGCCTGAGGATTGATGCTTATGCATTTGCGGCTGCAGCTGTAGCCACCAGTACAGCTGCTGCATCCAGTCGCAAAGACGCTATCACGAGAATAGCGGAAGCGGGTTTGCAGTTGCCGCAAGCCCCTCAGTTACTTTGTGGCTAGCTGTGCAACATTTTGCCGGCTTCTCTGATATTTTGCGCTGGCAAAGGACTAGCCAGAGCATCTTATATTCCCCCCTTACATGCTGCCTATAAAGCACTCTAGAGGCCGCATCAAGGGTTGCATCGGCGGGTACCCTCGGCATCCCTTGCAGTCGCTACAGTTGTTGCCGGCGCAGCTGCTAGTGGCAGCCCCTGTGTTTTTGCACTAAACATAAAAATAGAAATTTCCACCCCTACATCCTCCCCACCTCCCTTGGCCTCCCCCAGCAGGAAGGAGGCCCCTTTCTACTTGCTGTGCAGCATCCTAGAGTGTCGAGCCCATGCAATCCGCTTAGCTGGAGCAGCACCACCAGCCGCAGCTGCAAGTTAGTCCAATGTGTGCTGTGCCGGCTGGCACTGTTACTGACACGCAAGAACGACATCGCCGTTGCTAAAAGTAGCCCACCAGAAAAGAGCAGCGCACGAGACGGAAAAAGAGGAAAGAAGGACGTCATGTGGCACAACACAAAGTATGCCCATGCAGATGCCAGGTTTATGCAAGTAGACAAGCAGATATTCTTCTTTATCCGAAGGGGTGCTGGGCGGGTCAAGGGTAAGAGGCACGACGCAGTCGTCTAGATTTGCTTTAGCGGAGCAAGCAGCCAGCAATGCCCGCACCAAAAAGGGGGGGGGTGAAGGGGAAAAGAGGGATAGAAGACGGGAGACTTTAACCGCTGCTTGAAGGCCATAGCGGCACCCATGGAAAAGCCTTAGAATCGCGCAATAAAAGCTATTATAGCTGTAAAACAAATGGAGGTCGCTGCAGTAGCTGCAACAGGTACAGTCTTGTGCGTGTGCTGCAGCAACCGATGTCGCGACACCAATTTCAGCAGGGGGAGCGGCAGGCGCATGCGCCCTGTTAATGGAAGAAGTATGGGCTTTTCAGGACCAACTGCAGGTCTAGATTGCCCTTAGTGGGTGGTGGTGGCAGCTCTGCTGCCTGCTTCGGGAGCCTCTGTTTAACGCTGTCGTACAGCATTTGCAGAGGGTCATGCTGGTATAGCGACACAAACTGCTGCCTCAATGCGCTGGCCAAACAGTCTATAGATCCTGCATGCGCCCAGTAGGAGTCGTGGACGGCGGCCATGTCGATCTTCCGGCTGCCGATACACTCGAGAGCCGTAAGCATCATGTGAGCAGCGTCGAGACTATGAATGAAGTTCGGAGGAAATCCCAGGCGTTGCTTAGACCTGCTGATAGGCGCGCTGTCTCCTGAGACGTGCAACGTGTGCCGCTGCAATGCGGAACGAATTTGCTGTTGCTGGAGAGATCGGTAGGGCTGCTCGCACAAAAGTCCTATGGCGGGGACTTCCCACGCCACAGGGACCCCCGCAGCTGTACATACACTTGAGACAGTATCCAGCCACTTCTTCGTCTGCATGGCCCCCCTGAACAGTTCACCAATAGACTGCAGCACAATGCGCGACAGGAAGCCGCCCATATCCCGCAGTACCTGAGGCCCCACACGGCCCCCTAGAAGGTCTTCTAGTTGCGACAGCACCTGATCTCTTGCTCCTAGCGCAGTGACGCCGTAGCATACAGTCATGACGGTCTGCTTTACCACTGAGCGCTGCAACACCCCATGCACTTCGCAAAGACGCGCCAGTTCACGCCGCTTCGCCTGCTGCTGCTCCCGTTCCTGTTGTTGCTGCTGCGCAGTGGCGGCCACACGCTTCTTCTGTTGCACCGTGAGCTGCTGCTGCTGCTGCTGTATCGCCACGTCGCCTCCTGGTGCAGGGTCTGGGCTGCCGCTAGCAATGCGACTGACGTTCTGCTTTACCACATGCAACACGAGGGAGTAGACGTCGTGGGGTGTATCGGCAGGTACAAGGTTCACGGCAGCTCCCCCTCGAAGATCTCTTCCTAAGGCCGCATAGTGTTGCAGGCCATTGCACGTGCCGTCCAGGTGTACAGGCAGCTTGCTACAGAAGGTGGTGGGGTCACCTGAGGCGACAGCAGCGGCTGTCTCCATGATAGCCGCTAGAGCCTGCCACGGTTCGTCTGCTGCTAACCAAAAGGCCTTGTGCTGCAGGGGCTGCTGTGCTGCGGCAAGGATCTGCTGCATGCGGCTGTCCGTCCAGGCACATCGTGCATCGAAGTCGATTTTGTTTTTCCCAAAGAGGTTCGCAAGGTGAATGCGCAGCCAGCGCCAGCCACTGTCTCCAAGTTGTCTCCCCCGAGCAAACCGCAGCAGAGACCTTGAGACATCATCTCCCATATGATTCAGATGCGGAGGCAGTGGGTAACAGCGACCCCGAAAATCAATGTTATGCGGGAAGTACAGGGCAGAAGAAAGCGCAAAGTTTTCGGCCGTCTGTAACTTCAGCAAGAAAGACGGGCGCTCGCTCTTCACACGCGTCTCTTGCTGCAGCAAATATCGCAGCAACACGGCACGACTCTCAGTCTTGCCCCCACTGCCGCCGCTGCTGCTGGTCTCCTGCTGCTGCTGCTGCTGCGCTTCGTGCTGCAGCAGCTGCTCGGAAAGGGGGACGGAGTGGCGGGGAGGCATCTTTCCCATGCCTTCACCTGCAGCCCACGCAGCCTTCAGCACTTCCAAGACGCCAACATGCACTTGCCAAGGGACGCTTCCTAGGCAAGAAACTGCCGAACGAACCACTGCAGTGTTGTACACCCGAAAATCCTGACAGGCTTTCGCGCGAGGGCCCCATCCTAAGTAGATTTCACTGCGCTTCTTGATGTTGTTATTGTTGTTGCTGCTGCTGCTCTTCTTGCCGCCGTTGCCACAGGCGTGCGTGCCGCTGGCTTCATTCGCCTTGTGTGCTGGAGCGACTGCAGCGCCCTCAGGCAACTCACAGGAGGCTGAGGCCTTTGCCCCTTCCACACAGTAATCTGATGCACTGCTACCACTGCTGCTACCACTGCTGCTGCCACTGCTGCTGCCACTGCTGCTGCCACTGCTGCTGCCACTGCTGCTGGAGTCCGTGTCGGATACACTCCGCACGAATGCTGTACGCAGCATCAAGTAACCGCCGCTGCCGTATGAAGTCCAAGGCGTCGGAGATACAATCATCGGCACATGCTTCAGCATGAGCCAGAAGGGGGAGGAGAGGCGGTCCGCAGCTGTCGAGACACTCGCAGAAGCGGCGGCAGCAACTGCTGCTGCTTCTGCCGCCGCGGCATCTGTCCCTCTATCCAGCCTCGCAGACTTTCCTGCAGGGCCCCGGTCCCCCGCTGTTGCGACCCCTTGCAAAGAACTTCCTGACGGACAAGCAGCTGCAGCAGCAGTGGCTTGATCGCTTGCTGCGGCAAGGGAGGATGTGCTGCATGCAGCACCCGGAGCCTCCCGTGCAGCAGCTGCAGCAGCAACCGCGCAAGCGGTTGCTGCCGCCTCCTCCAGCGCCCCTCCAACCGCCGTAAGCCGATCGAAACAAAGCCTTCGCATCTCAATGACTCCGAATTTCTTCCTCCGCTTTGGACAGTAAATCACGCGGTGCCGGAATGCGGGCAGCTCCACCTAACACACACACACACATATGCACATATGCACATATGCACATACACACATACACATACACACACTTACACCCCGAAGCAGAGCGCAGATGCAGCGTAGAACAAAGTCTCCCCAAGTGTATTAGAGCAGCAGCCTGAAAGCGGCGCAGGCTCCCTCTGAAGGCCCCCTACTCCTCGAACCCTGTCTCCTCTCGCAACATCACCTTAAGCCCCTCTGTCCTTCCCAGAAGGCCGTAAGGCAGCGCCAAAAGAGAGGCAGCAGTGGTGAGAGGGGCTGGAGGCTGTCGCTTGCTGACCTTGTCGTGGCCGTGCCTTGACTTGTATGCCACCATGTGGTGCAACTCGTCTGCCGTTCGCCCCCTGACGGGAACAAACACCTCGGAGTCTGCTGGCGTCGAGTCGGCTGTGAGCTCTGCAGCCACTGCAGCGGATTCCTCTGCAGCAGCCGCGGCAGCCGCTGCTGCTTGCGCTTCTCGCGATGCGACGATCTGCTCAGCAGTCTCGAGACCTCCAGACTCCGCCGCTGTTGCGCCTTGCCGATGCTCCTCCTCAAGCTTCTGCTGTTGGAGCTGCTTGCGACGCTGGCTAAGCCGAATCCGCTGCTGCTCAGCGCGCTGCTGTTGCAGCTCAGACGCCAGCTCTTCCTTCGCCACTGCGTATGGAGCCTCGATCATCGCATGCTTCAGCAGCAACTGCAGCAGGAGTCCCCCCACCTCCAATCTTCGCCTGGAAGGCCATCGAGGCACCATCACCGGGGTGGCTGCCCCCGCGGGAGTGCTGCTGCTGCTGCTGTGCTGCCGCTTCGGCTGCTGAGGCTTGCGCAGCGGCAAGTAGCACTGCCCCAACTGCTGCTGGTGCTGCTGCTGCAGCCCCTCCAGGAAGCCGGCTGCCACCTCTGCATGCACTGCGTCGCCTATGGCCATTGCGATCTGCGTCACACGTGCCTGCCGCTGCTGCAGCTCCGGCCCCCCCCGCTCCGCGGCAGCGACTCCGTTGGATGCCCCCGCATGCACCGCAACTGCCGCAACCGAGGCGCATGCAGAAACCTCGCGACCTTTGCTAACGGGCCCAGTAGGCGCTGTAGCCTTGGGGAGCAGCAACTGCTGCAGCACAGTGCGCGCTGCAATGACAGCCAGCAGCAAGGGGTCCAGCTGCTGCGGCAGGCAGGCTTCCGTGCCCTCGAATTCCGCCGCTGGAGCCGCTGCAGAGGGCGCAGCAGGCCCCCCTTCCTGTGAGGCTGCAGCAGCAGCTGTGGCAGCAGCAGCTGCTGCCGGTGCATACCGTTCTCGCTGCTGCAGCGCAGCTATCGGCTCTGCCATATCACGAACCCAAGGTATCCACAGCCGTTTGGCGGGGCCAGAGTCACTTCCCCGTCCTGCTGCCGCAAGTTGCTGCAGCTGTTGCTGCACTTCGACGGTCAGACGCCTCCAGATGCAGCCCTCTATGATCACTTGTCTGCGCCGCAGCACGCAGGGGGCCTCGTCGACTGAGGAGCTGGAAGGCAGCATCTCTAGGTGCTGCCTTGCCTCGCGCGTCTGCGGCTGCCGTGGGGGGGCAGACGTCAGATCCGTCTGCTTCCAGCGGAGAGGAATAGGGTAGGGGTTAGCTCCGTAAACTGCTTCCTTCTGCTGCTGCAGCCACTCTGGATTGAGCAGCAGTGGCGTAGGAGACTCCCTTCGCTCCTGCTGCTGCGAAGCCTGCGAAGAAGGCACTTCCTCCGGCAGTCGGGATGTCTGGAGGTGATGAAACAGCTCCTCTCTGGAGACGTCAGCGAGCAGCAGGCCCTGGTGCATCGCCTCCAGCTCGAGCGCATGCAAACACAGCAGCACGCTTGCGGACAGCCTCTCCGGGAAGGCATGCGTAGAGCTTCCTTCTTTGGCGGTAGTTGAGTCTGCTGCCGCATGGCGCTCTGTCTGACCTAACAGACGGGCATAGACCTTAACTTGCTGCGCTGTGGTCATGGCTCTGAGCTCTTGAAGCCCCTTCATTGCTGACGGGGAATCTTCTGGTGCATGCATTTCTGGTATGGCTCCTGATGTTGCTGCAGCTGCGGCTGGTACTGATGAGGACGCTGATGGTGATGCTGCTAGAGCTTCTGCTGCTGGTGGCGATCGTGGTTCTGAGGGCAGATCAGGCGCTTTGCTGCTGAGATCAAAGCCAGCACGGTGCTGCGCAGCATGCAGAACTTGCTGCTGAGCCTGCTGCAACTTCGAATGCGGAAGAGGAGGCTGCGGTAGCTCCGAAAGAAATTGTTCGAGAGATGTCTCTTCAAGCCACGGGTGGTGCAGCAGCTCCTGCGTCCCCTCCTGCTCGTGATGATGCAGCCATGGGGTTTCATGCTGGCGAGGCTGTTGAAGCCTCAGATCCGATAAGGCTGCCTGCATTTCCTGCCCTTGGGGAACAGAACGATGCAGAGGGTGCTTCGAAGGACAGGGAGGCAACTCCTGGGCGCGCTGCTGCTGCTGCGGCTGTTGCTCCCATAAGAACGCCTGGAGGGGGGGGCAGTTTGTGTGCTGTCTCGTCCATCCGGGAGCACCCGCTGCAAAGGGAAAGGCATGCTCCTCTTCTAGCTGGTGCTGATTCTGCAACTGCTGATACTGCTGGTGGTGGTTGCGTAACTGCTGATACTGCTCACACTGCTGGTGAAGGTTGTGTAACTGCTGATACTGCTCATACTGCTGGCTGTGCTGCTGCTGATACTGCTGCTGGTGCTGGTGCTGGTGCTGCTGGCTGCTGTGTGTTGCGATGGCAAGAGCCGCAGCCGCCGAGCTGGCTGCCCTCCTAGCAGAGAGCAGCTGCAGAGGGGCATGCGGGAAGCCACAAGAGGGGTCAGGCGGCAGTTGCAGAGGCCGGTGTACATACCGCAGCAAGAGTCGTTGCCTTCTATGAGCGAAATTACCTGGGGTGGAGCCGAGAGCAGCCTGAGCAGCCGCTCTAACCCCCGCATCAGCCTTCCAGCATGGCTGCGTAATTTGCTGCAGCAACGACATGATTCTCCCTCGAGCAGGAGGTTCTGCAGCGCGTGCCAGGGCACCCACGGAGCCGTCCGGCAGCAGCTGCTGCTGCTGCAAGAGCTCGGCCTTGGGAGAGGTATTGCCCGTGCATTTACAATCTTGGAGAAGAAGGTAAGTAAGGAAAAGGAAACGCCTTAGAAGCCCCTTTTCTAGTTGCTCATTGCTTGCTGCCGCATGCGGCTGAGGCGCAAACTCAGGGGCCCTCCCATCGGTATGTCGGGGAACGAGAGGGTCGTCGGTCGATCGATCGATATACGGCCCCCCCTTCATCCTGTGTAGCCGTTGGTGTCACGCCATCTTTTGCATTTTTGAGGGGGACTTCATGTCTGAAACGCTCTTCCCCTAACAGGAGGGCTCTCTGTTGGAGCCGAAGCTCTGCCGAAGCGTGTCGAAGCGCATAGAGCCTTCGTCTGCTGGGGAGAAGGAAGATCCTTGCATCGCCGCACGGCGGCTCTAGGAACGGCTGCTGCACACGGGGTTCCCGCCAGAGTGGTCCTTTTTTGCGGATTCTCTGTAGGGAAGCATGCCAAAGGCGTCGAAACTGCGCAGCAGGAGCAGCGGCGCGTGGAACCGAGCACGTCCACGCCTTAGGCCACCATAGCATCCACGCATTGCTACTGCTGCTGGTGTCCGTACACCCGGTGGGTCTGATGACGCGAGTCGTGGGAACGCCAGCACGCAGCGGCTTGCAGTGCCTCGCAGGATGTCTCGGAGCCAGCCCTTGCGGTATGCACAGGCAGGCAGCGCGAGTGGCAGGGTTATCAACGCCAGCAGCATGCACCGCTGCTTCGGAGCTTCTTCTGGGCCGCAGTTTGACCTACAGAAACCCTTTTGTCGGCAGTGTCTGGTGTTTAGGGGCCTCGCAGCAGCGACGCCCCTTTGCAAAAATCGTGCGATGGCGTCCAGACACCCCGCTGGCGTACGGGCTTGAGACGTTCACGGAAGCGGACGACTTCTTGAAGGCGTGTGAACAAAACAAGGGTTCGCTCCTGCCGCTGTTGCGGCCCCCTCTAGTGTCTTCGCTGCCGCCCTTCTAGCTGGTTTTGTGCTGCGTCCTTGCTACTGCGTGGCATTTAGAGCACCGCACGCGACGGGTGGGAGGAGTTCGAGCAGCTGCCACCATCGAGGCTGCCCACCTTCTCCCTACTGCCTTTTTGGCTGCAATTGCAGGCACAATGACCCGGAGAGACTGGCTAGCTGCTCTGTCTATGCTGTCCACACGCCGGCGGCTCGACCTTAGAAGCACCTCTTTTAAGGCCTTTGTCGCTGCTGCCCTGCAACAAGAGGAGCTGCTTAAGCCACGGCATGTACACCTGACCATCCACCGGTGGGTCTTGCTCTGCTAGGACGGGCAGTGTGTGTATCTGTGTCAGTATGTGTGTGTGTGTGCGTGTGTGTGTATCTGTGTGAGTGTGTGTGTATCTGTGTGAGTGTGTGTATGTATATATATGTGTGTGTGAGTGTGTGTCTGTATATATATGTATATGTGTGTGAGTGTATGTGTGTGAGTGTATGTGAACATGTGTATATCAAGAGCGGGAGCGGCCTAATTAGCATCAACGTAGCAATTACGGGAGTCTTTGGGGTGCTGGGAACGTCTGGCTGGATGCGTAGGCTCGCGGTCATTGGCTATGCTCCAGCACTGTGGCAGCTAGCGCTGCGGCTGCAGCCGCTACTGCAGCAGCAGCAGCTAACTGGCAAGCAGCTCGCTGTTTCTGCCTGGGGCTTAGCGAAGAATGGAATTACCCACCCTCCCGTGTGGGACCTCATTGGTGCGTAGGTTAGACCGCCAATCCAAGCGCGTAAAACCCAGGCGCCGATGCACTCGGGAGCTTTATAAATGAATATATATGTATATATGTATTTGCATATGCACCTTCGTGAGCGCTTCCCTGCTTGGCAATTTTGTATGGCTTAGGATCTAGGGTGACATAGCATGGTTTCCTGGCTGCAGGAATGGAGGCTCTGCGTCTTGCTTCGTGTCTTACCCTCTCTGACCTCTCTATGATCATATGGGCCTTCGCTCGTGTAGAAGTAAGGATCTCAAAGCCTCCACCTCACCTCCCAAACCCTAGCAACCATAGCCTGATCCTCAAGCGCTCTACTATAAACAACCAGCTCCTAAACAGCAATCGTAGACACTCCACGCTGTGCGCCTTTCCTGCGAAAGCGGGCAGTGCTCAAGTTTCTGGAATTGCATGCCATACCCAGAAATATCCCCTTCCCTTTAGAAAGCCTCCAGGCATAGTCTTTCTGCCCTTGAACCTGCAACGGATCCCGATCTGCCCTTCCCTTGGTGCTGTCATGCTTTGTCCTGCTTCCGGATTCAGTTGCAGAGATCAGCGCATTAGTTGTAGAGTGCTGCGGATTTGCTACCCACCGCTGCCGTATCAGCAGCACCGGCACCCCTGCCACAAGCATGTATGTACAGGTATGTCTGTATGCATGTGCAGCGCATGAAACCTGCTGAGATTGTCAAACTCAAGGAGGAAGTTCTTAATCGCCTTGATGCCTTCGTCAAGCAGGCCCTTTTTGCAGCCTATGCTCTACCGAATGCACGGGCAACACCAGGGCAGCACGGATCGGAACCAACACCCACTCCAGGGGTATTTGCAGGACATGCTAGAGAAGGCAATCCCACAGTTGCCTTGCAGCCAATGCAACAAGGCCAGGGTGCTTCTTCTGCGGCATCAGCTGCCACACAGACACTTGCAAGTCCAGCAACCGGAGCCCTTACTGCCCCTTGTGCTGCTGCGGCTCCTCCAGTGACACCGCACGATCTATGCATGCTAATGAGATCCTTCGCAGATCTCACGCCGAGGGACTCTCCCCTCATCCTTCGTTTACTTTACACGCTTCTCCTCGCATGCAGAGTGCAGCCATCAGCTCACCGAGCGACCGCGGCAGCAGGATCAGCAGCAGACGTAGCGCACAGCGCGATGGGTGTCCCCCAAGCCGTTGGAGGTGTAGGCCCACTTACTGCCCAGGTAGGCCGCGGAGCCTTTAATTCTGACTTCCCGGATCAGATGGTGATAGAGTCACGTGGTGTTATATGCTGGTAGAATGTCAGGTTGTGCCCGTGTTGCCTCAGGGTCTCACTGCAGTTTGGACCGCCTTAAAGGACGCAGAAGTAGCAAAAGTCTTCTCCCTACCCCAGCACAAAAGGCCTCTCAGCAGCAGCAGCGGAAGCAGGCATCTTGCCTACCTGCCCTTCAGGGATACCATTCCACTCGAGTGCCTGCCACTGCTACTTGCCATCCTGAAACCGGCCCAGAGTTATCTTCGGGATGCATCAACCGGAACCGATGCAAGTGTCACATTGGAGCCGACAGCCCAAACTCCGCACACGGTGAAAGAGGAAACAGAATTCTCAAAGCTAGAGGAGGCTTCTGCCCTGCCGCCAGAAACCTTGAGAATGGCAGCAGCAGCTGTTGCATCGGGGGCTGCGGGCTTAAAAAGCAACGCGTTGCTGCGAGGCGCATGCTGTGACGTACTGCTGGAGGTATTGTGTGAGGAGACCCGCCTCTTGCGTTTGGATCATACTACCAACACCAGCATGGTGGCCGCGCTTGCTGCGGCTCTTGCGGACATGCAGGTCGGGGAATCAACACCGTTAGTGGTCCAGGCACCTTATTTTGTAGCGCTATTTTAGTACACGCCTGTCTCCAACGGCCTACTTCTAGTTCGTTTTCAACAGTTCAAAATCCCCTTCACCTCTCTTTGTGCTCTTGGCTACCTAGCAGCTGGAAGCGTAAGGATCTTCATTCTTCTGGGATCGGATTTCTGTTTCTGTGCAGCTGGTTGATCCTCGCGTGGTGTATCAACTGGTACTCTTTGCTCAGCAGCGGGGGGCTGCACAGTTCCAAGGCGATCAGCTCCTCACAGTGCTCCAGGCTTTTGAAAAATGCCAAATCGCCGACAGCAAGGCCTGGGCAAAACTGGGTGCGTCACAACGTTCATCTGCTTGCTTCTGCCCCTGCTGCTGGTGGGCCTTATGAGGCTAGGGTACTGCGGCTAGCCAGCTGGTGCATTTACCGCACCGTGGAGCAACATAAACTACTGTTTAAATTATTTGCTTTGTTTCATCAGCTTCTGCGGGACTGCTTGTGTGTCGTGCAGCACATCGGGCTCAGGACATCGCAGCAGATTTGAATCTCAAGGGGCTACGGAGGCTGAGAAAGTTGACTTGGAGGGCCGGTCACAGCAATGCTAGACTTGAGGGAGTTTTTGACCATTTTGAGGCGCTCAAGGAAGATATTGAAAAATGCGGGCCCATATAAGCTCTTCAAACCGTGGGAAAGGCTATCTGGCAACTACCGCAAAGAAGCATTCATCTCTACAGTGGGCACTAATGTGTTTGCTCCCATTCCACGGATAAGCAGATTTGTACATTGGAAAAGATTCATTTGAATCCGATTTAAGTTATCATTATAGACTGTATCACAAGCGATCCGCGTGAGAAAGTTTTTTTTCCTTACTGGGAAGCTGTGGAATCCCACCGTTAGTTTGGCCGACGAGGCATTTACAGAATGACTCGTGTTGCAGGTCGTCGGATATAACCACTGAGGTAACAGATGATACGATTGTTTAAGCTCAATAAACTCCTTTGTGATTCGTTTTTTTCTAGAAACCGGCCTTCTTTGTATTCTGGTGGGCACCAGCTGCAGAAGCTGAAGTTAGGGGTGTGTTCGGGTTTTGCCCACCAGTGACACCAAACGAGGTAGAATTATACCCGGTAACTTGCAGCATACGATTTTTCTTAGGCTTTTAGTTTGCGTCCGGCCGGAGACGCCAGAAACAGAACAATACAGCGGCCCCTGAACGGGCCTGCGGAGGGAACTACGCCTGTAGCGCCGGTGTAAATACGTTTTCTTCGGCTCAGACCACTTATATAAGGACGGAACAAGTGATGATTTAATTTGTGCCAAGAACACATCCGTACAGGCAGCCCCACCCCGCCTTCTACTAGTGACCTTAGGTGTGTGCCCGGATCGTCTTCGATGTTCAAATGCTGTATGAAAAAGTCTTTGAAGAAGTATATCCTACCAAGAATTTGGAAAGTTCTCGGCGAAATCTTAAATCAACTGCAAAGTTTAAGATTATCCACAGTAGACACTCCTTTGGGATAGGGCAAATAGCTTGCTGCACCATTCAACCAGTTGTGGGCCTAGCTAGAGTTTGTCGCTCTCTGATGCAATTTGCTTCGACTGGTGGGTGGAAAGCTGTGGCTTCTGTGGAATGCTTAAATAAAAATCGCAAGGGCAGTTTTAACATGCTTGATGTATTCTGATTTAGAGTTCGCTTCTTATTTCAACTCTTTGTGAATTCGCCTTCGAGCCAGTGAGCTCCGCTTACTGGTTTAGTGACCATCGGGCACACCAGGTGACAAAGTCAAATCCCTGCAGGCGCTAGTACTTCCTGCAGCTCGATTAGCCTCTGCATAATTTTCAGGTTTGGGGACAGCCACAAGATGAGAGCTGTTATCGTTTTCGGCATTCAAAGTCTCCTGGCCGTCAGATTGGCCGCGGCGCACAAGACCAACCAAAGGAGCGGGATATCAAGTGAGGTTTCTTTGTCCCCCCCCCACTCCCCGTTAAGAATGTGATTAATCGGGTATGACGGGTATGAAACGCACCATGCTGGCTTGTGTTTGCGCTGCCACGTGCTGCGAACGCCCAGTTGCTGCTACGGCGGATGTAACGACAGCGTGTAGGAGCAGAGTTCTCGACACCGTCAGCGTCCAAGACAGCAGTGGAAGCTTATTTTTAGAGGAGTGGAACCAAATCCTTAAATCCACAACGGAGCTCATCGATGCCATGAACGTACGTCTGTGAAACTTTTACTGGGAAATTCACTTATCTGGACCCATCCGAATAGGTTTCTGCAAAAACAGCACACTGAATTAATGTGGCAGCAGTACACAATCTATTTTTATCGTTCATACTTTAAGTTAGGAAAATGTTTTTCTCTAGGGCAGAAGTGATTCTAGACTCTCACTCGCCTTTGTGCATACTGGCAATCGATTAGTGTCCCCTTGGTTTTTACAAGGGCATAATGCCACTATTCACGCAAGATAGAAAAAAAATGATTTGGTGCTTAGGTCGGAAAGGACGCCTCGCACTTTGCGCCGGTCACTTTTGGTACATGGGCAGAGGCACACTGGTTTTTGGACGATCCGAAAGCACAAGATGCGGACCTCGCAAAGGAAGAAGTATTGAAGCTACCATTCCTCAGCGAGGCCACAAACATTGCCCAGGGTCTTACTGTGGCTTACAACATCTTTGCACGGGTGGAAAAGACTGATCCGGAGAGGTTCAGCAGCGAAGATGTGAGCCGTTTAGTCCTGGTTATAACGGATGGATGCTCGAGCAACTTTGATACAAAATACGCCTCAAAGGAAGAACACTTAGAGGCTGCTCTGAGTGACTTTGGAAGTCTCAATAAAGTTGTCATTATGGTCGTGGGTATTGGAACGCAGCTCTGCATCGACGAGCTCAGACACATTGCCGGATGCCAGCCCGCAGCGTCGCAGACTGCGTGTCCAAATGCCAAGTTTACGGATATTCATCACATAGTTGACAAAATCTCGGAGCTACTTCAGGCGTATTGTACCAATACTGGTGGATTCGGTGGTGAGGGGGGTACTGGAGAAGGAGGGGAGGAAGAGAAAGAAGAGGGAAGTAGCAAAGCTGGCCTCATTGCTGGAGGTGAGGGAACAGTTTTAGTAAGGCTCTGTACTCCCTTTTGCAAAAATGACCCATCATCAAAAAAATCCAACTTTTAAAGGCAAGTCGCGTTGTTGCTCCATCTGTGTCTTTAGTAAATCCACTTACGAAGCGCTGATTTACACTCTGCACAGGTGTTATCGGCGGATTGGTGATTGTCGGAGGTATCGCCGGTCGTGCATATGCTTCTTCACTGTTTGGGTAAGAAAATAATCAAACCTGATGGAAAAGTGGCCTACAAAAGGCAATTGTGCTGCCTTCAAAGATATTTGATAGCAGTATTCAAGTAATGGCGGCTTGGGAGCGTGAGAAAAGCTCGGTAGTGCATGGAAGTTTCGGCAAGGCGCATAAAATGAATTTTGTTGGGGCCAAAAGTCCAACAGTCAAAGCACTTCTTGCGCACACTCAAGGCATCATACGCCACACTACTTGGTTTTCATAGGCCCATGCGGGAGCTGTTTGTGCATTGCGCATTCATAGAAGCGGCGGAGGGGCTGAAGCAGGCTACAGCTCTGATAATCAAGGCCGTGACGCTATGCTTGAGGAAAGGGAGACAGCTCTGGAGACGCAAACCTCCATGTTTCTTTAGCGACGCAGGTTTCCCTACAGGGAAGCTCTCAGCTTTTGTGCCATTCTACGGGATGAACTTTGACAACGTTGGCACAAGGAGCACACCAAACCAGACCGCTTGCATGACCTCCTTTGTGGAGGGCGCGGCGGGACGGAAAAGGAAACAAGCAGTCTTCTTTCAGCCTCCGAGCTCCAGCAGAACTTCGCACAAAAATGGACTCGCACTGCGCTTGTGCACATCTACGTGACGCCAGCTGGGATTTGTGCTATATCGATTTTGCTATCACAGTCAGGGCTTAACTGTTTGGATGTAAGATTCTAACTCACGCATGAGTAGGAGTAGTCGACTTATCATGAACTAGGCGCACTCTGTGCAATGCTGGCCAGAGAGCAAGAACAGGCTTCCACAGAGGCCTTGTGTTTAGGGCTGGGGGGCTTCCAGAGTGGGGCTGTAACATGCCACTCTATGCAGAGCCGTTCTTCCTGCTGGTGCAACACTCCAGGTATTATGAAGTAGTCTGTGTAGTACCACGCATAATTGATCACAAGAGCCACATTTGCACGTGCCGCCTCTTTTCGAACATGCAGCAGAATGAACTGATATGGTGGTTTGCCTTCGTCTCTAGGTTCACCCAACTCAGAGCGGCCCCCAGCGATTTCACAGCCTTTTGTGATCTCTAGGCGGGAATCTTCGAATTTTATTTTATAATTGTCTGGCTAGCAACGTACCTGTGGGCAGGTGCGCCCCAAGGCAGAGCTCCCAAATAGCTTCCATGGGATATACCATACAAGGGCGGCCATGGTTTGAAAGTTACGCTGCGCCATTGTAATGCAAACCACGAGGAAGCTAGGCTGTGTAAGAAACAGTAGTACTCCTCAGAAGTTGATTCACGGTCTGAGTCCGCTCTTGTACCATCTGAGAGGCTGGTTGAAAGGATTATGCATCTTTGTCAGGAAAGGAATAGGTGTATTTAAAAATTTCCTCACTTGGGTACCATAGACTTACCGCCTGACCAGCACTGGGAGTGCAAGGGATGCCTATTTTGCGGCATCATGCCATTTGAGTACTTTGGTTTTGTGCCCTGCGTTAAGCTGTGCAGTGCAGCTAATATTACGCGGATCGCACATCCAGCTGCCTCAAGTTCCTTCTCACATCTTTGCCTTACACGGACGCGTGCATGCAATGGAATCGAACAACAAAATAACTTGGCTCTAAGTCCAATGCGCTGAATAATTTGCATTCATATCGGCAAACAGTTGTTATAAGTTCAAGATTAGGAATTCTCGGCGAAATGGTTAAGAATACACTTGCACGGCAGTAAGGCGTGAGCATATGGTCAAGCATATCGTGGGTGCCAACTTTATCAGGTATACATATCGTAGATCTTGAGCGGGAGAAGGTAGAACCGTAAAGTAGGTGCGCTGCTGCTTGCATGTCGAAAGCCGACAATACATTCGGAACCAAAGGATGCGTATGTGATCTGTATGCGTACACAGTTTGGTAGCAACTTTATCCCCCTTTAACAAAAGTATATGGGCTGTGGAATTACACTTTTGCACCAGAGAATACCAGACACTAAACACCAAAAGCACCATAAAAGGCCTTGAGCGGATTTTTTAGCTCTAGCGTTACCAAATCATATGCAAAGTGCAAAAAAGTTGCAAAAATTATTATTGTAGGGTATTACACACCAGACAGTTCCTCGTGGGGTCACTCCTAGGTTCCTCCTGGGTCGCGTCTCCAGAGGTTCGGTGCTTGAACGTGGAAGAAAGAAAGACCACATCACCAGATGCCGAAAAATATAAGGGGTGTATTGGTGTCTATATGCTTGCAATGGTACATGAGTGAGGCACAATCTCCTTTGATGTATTTCCAACAACAGCTAAGCAAAAGCACTGGCTGTCTCCTTGAGGCTTTATAGAATAAAAAACAGCAGGAAGATCATTTCGAAATTCGCAATGTGCCAAAACCGTATTTGCATGGTGCATTTGCACTCTGTAATTCTACTGCATTTGTGACGTTTGGATATCTCACCTTCAACAAAATCCAAGAGCAACTTTGGAGAGTCGGTACAATCTCCGATATCTTTAGACCAAGAAACACCTAATATTTAGCCTTTCTAGTGCGAGGAAACGTGTATTTTCTTCTTATTATTAAAATTCGGGGTCTTGTCTCTTCCTGGGCAGCTACGCCATCGAAGTTACGTGGAAAGCCTGCAGCAACTCTTGGGCTTCTTCCCTCACGCCTCCAGCCCCAAAGTCGGTAATTATTAATACTTGGATGAGACAGCGCTGTTCAGGACCCACAGCGATCAAAAGACAAAGAATAGAACTGACCACTTTCGATGCGATACCACAACTACGAGGCCGTGTTTTTCAAGGTCTAGAAAGCTCTTTTAAGAGCTCAGGAGGCTGGTGCGTAAAGGCACAGTTCCAAGTGCCTTATATGCATACTTGTAGCTACAAATGGCTGCTCTAGAGGTGGCATAGGGCTCTGCTGCAAAAGAGTATAGAGCTCCAAACAGCTTTGAAGTACCCAAATAAATTGACCGCTCTTGCTGCGTTCATTATTTTTGTCGGCCCAAATTGCTTGGTAGAGGTAATCGGGAGTCCCGAGGACGCTTCCTATTATCCACTGGCGCTCCGTGAACTCGACTCAAACCCATCGACTTCGAAACAATCATAGAAGCATTTTCTAGCCTAATTAAGGACGCTTGTGAAGCAGAGAAAAGCATGGAAAGTGATGGAATGAAAAGTGAAGAGTGAAACTAGGACGGGAAACGAGGGTGATGCTAGCTCTGCTCTGAACAATGATGGCAATAAATATTTACTGCTTTATTGATGCCTGACGGATGTGAGAACTCGGATGAGGCTTTAGCATGGAGAACACTGGTTATTCTGAACATGTCTCTGGTTGAATCGACACGTGTCGACAAGACTGTATCAGGCATGTATAGTAGGTGGAGACTACTCAGAGTTTCCGGGGTGGGCCTTCATGTGTATATTAAACGAAAGCCGGCTAGGATATTTTGTGAGGTACTGCAATAATACTGACTGGCGTACTCTTCAGTAGTTTCATTTGTCGTGCACTGCAAAAAATATCTGCTAATTCCTTTCTCAGTGGTCGAACAAGAGATATCACCCGCATGAGGTATATTGAAGATTTGGACGGACAAGTGCTTTGCACTACGGTAAGAATCGTGTTACCTAGTTGACAACACGGGAAATCGATTCAGTTGAGAAGCACCAATTTTTTCTGGTGCTCCACCACTTACATCCGCTCATCTCACTAGGTTTTTGAGATGATTTCTGAATCAGTCCAATAAGCACAGCGTTAAGTGTTTCGAATGCAGCGAACTGTCAAAGGGAACTAGGATGAGTAGAAAAGAAACTTAAAGTCAGACAAAGTATTGCTTCCGAGCTGAGATTCCTAATTTGTTAAGGCAGCATTGTCTAGCTACTTACCGGTTGCTGATTTTTTATGCTGGCTGAAAAGTAGGCCTTTTGGGGGCATTAGGTAGTTCTCTAAGATTTAATTTTGCTGAATGCATGAAACTTTGCATTCCTTAATATCCCTCTGTAGACCACGCTTTTCTCTACTCCGAGCACCGTAAATTCGTAAGTGGCAAAACTACGCCAACAGGGGGCATCCTCATCGATCTAGAAATTGCGGCTGGTTCGGCTGGATGAGCTCAAGCGGTGAATCCTAAGAGTTTAACAAAAAGGAATATGGAAAAGCTCCCTCCGCAATGTCCTGTGTGTACCAGACTAGAGATATAGTCACTTCGTATTTTACTGGTAACGTTAAATCAGGAAACGGAAAAATATTGACTTTGTGTCCTGGTTATTCGTGTGTTTCATCTGTGGTATTGTGAAGTTTGATTACTAAAATTACAATGAGTGTTGTGTTCCTGTGCTGTAGATGCTACTTTTTGAAGCTATGAATGATCGGAATGCTTTAAGGGTGCAGAAGCGCACATAGTGGGTCCCTGTCGCGGGCAAAGCTACACTCCCTGCCAAACTAGTTATATTTCGATAAGAACTGGTTTAAAATTGGCTTTTCGATTCATCTGTGTCATAATACGCACTTATTTTAGGGTAGCGTTAACTCGGTACAGCGCTTTGCAATGTTGTGTGGGCTAGATGCGATGTGCGCACTGCTATGAATGTTCAGAGTCCCTCCACTTTGCAGTTACACGCACCGTAGCTGCCCTACTATCATCTTTTCAAAGCTGCATGGGGGCACACACGGATCGGAGGGAGCTTTTTGGAAAGCATTCAATAACTTTCCATCAAGTTTGCATTCAATCAGGAGTTGAAAGGATCTATATGAGGACAATATAGAGAGCGCTATGGTCCCTCTCCACTGATTCCGGATTTTTTGGAGTTTAAGCGCAGAGAGAGGGAAGAACTCTATTACACGGGCATTCGGCCATTTTAATAAAGCTGATTGGGCTTAGAGTCACGAGTGCCCAGTACCAAGACATTCGGTAGAGCGTTACACTTGCACAAGAGTAGACACTTGTTTAAGCTACTATTGAGCAGGCTCCACAAGGTTGCCACTAAATATAGGAATAATATTCTTTTAGATCCAATATGCGAGGCAGATAATGCTGTACCATCAAGCTCATTAGACACTTTACGTGGATATGCCAAGTACAGATGGTACTGGGAAAGGACTTGGAACCCTGAAAACCAGAGCTAAATCCGTGGTTAAACAAGCTCACAGAACAGTTTAAAATTCTAAATTCTTTATTTTTGTTCTAGGATAGCATTATAACATTTATATGTTCCCGTTGGAGGGAAAAACAACGTATCGGAAAGTAGAGTCACCCTGGGACTGCTAGGGTAAACCAGTGGTATGTGGAAATGCCTTTGGAAGCCACATAAACAGATCAAAGTTCGCATACGGTGTAAATGCTACCTCAAAACCATACAAATAATTTCTTTGACACATTTTGGTACCTCACTGTGGTGAAATGATTGCAAGGCCAACGTTTTCTGGTAACAGATTCACTTCGCCCCGAGCCACGGAACATCTTAGTTTCGAGAGTAATTATTTGGCGCTGGTCTTGGCTTTTAGTCCCGAATATATTTGCACGTATATAGGGTGATTAACACCACGTCAGAACGATCACCAAGATTCCATACATCCGCAAGTAACGTGAGTACTGACACAATCCATTCTGCAGCGTCGAAGCTGCATTCGCGCGTTGAACCACATGTGCCATGACCAACTCACGGCAAAACACAAAACTCTCCAAATTATTCGTGAGCAATTTATTTCTATTATGCCCTTTTGAAGGGCCGTACGCCCGCACTCATCCATGATTCTTGGGTCGTTACGGGTTTTCCATTAGTGCCTCGTTCCTGTTGGTCCTTTTTTCTAGAAAGCGAGAAAACAGTTATCAAACTGAGAAGTAAGATAGCTACTCTTATGTTTCGCCAATGGGTTGGCATTTTTGGTTGCTGAGAACGACTTGCAACTCGCGCAACTGGCTGCTTGAAATTGCAGATGTAGCGATGCACGATTCTGATATATGCAGTGATCTCCGATTTCCACAATGCCCAAAACTAAGAAGCTTGCATGCCCGTAGTTTTATCCTTTGGTTTGCTGTTGCAGCTGCAACAGTCTCACCTGAAGCTGTCGGGAAGCCTGCCGGCCAAAAGAGTTTCAGGAGCGCCTGGAAAAGTGACCCCAGCAATTAAAGAACAGCGCTACTGCTTTGTCATCTGAACACACTCCAATGGATGCTGCGACCGATGATAAGCTTGTGCTTGTCGCCACTGGAACAAGTCCCCATCCGAAGTGTACAACCATCTCCACAACTTTTCTAGGCATATGCATGAGGCACTCAGCAAAGCCTTTTCAGCGTTCAACTAACCTGTGACTTCAAAATGCACGAGCAACTCCTGTTGCACTTCCTTCTGCTTGCCCTCAGCTCTTTTTGGCCGGATCGTTTCTATAGGGGCGTTACCTTTTCCATCAGCAACGGAAACGAATAGCCGCACGCGGCGAGGCCATGGAGGCGTTTCTAAGGTTTGTTCCAGCCCTCCATACCTGACGCCTCACGAGCTTTCGCCTTTGAGGGCGAATTTAATGCAGCCACCTGCCAGGAATGTGATATTTAGCGAATGATCTGATCCTGTATCCTGGCTGTTGCAGCACATCAGCGACCGCGAACTGAGAAGGCTGCAACTCCCAGGTCTTCTTTCTAGATTACTGCCCCCTCCACCGCCAGTTGAAGATGTAGACAGTGCATCCGGTGGCAGCGGCAGCAGCAGTATATTGCCTGTGCAACAGCAGGCACTTGTTGTACGAGGTGTAGCCTCAATAGTGCTACAGCAGTGGTTATTGCTGAGCGCCGATGTACTGCTGCTGCTGCGGCGGCTGTTACACCCAGAAAAACAGCTTTGCCGGCGTATCGGCGAGCACTCAGGCCACTCGCCGCTACTGGGAAGGGAACAACGCCAGCAAGATGCTCGAAGAAAGAGAGTGAGGACATCTGAGGTTGGCGCGCAGGGAATGACGGATGAGAAGGATGCTGACGAGGCGGCCGAGGTTATGTTGGCGAGAGCAGTCGTAAGGCTGCAATCTAATGCCCTTAAGCCTTTCCCCCTTTCTCCCTCATAGACAATCCAAGAAAAAAGAATATGCCCCTCTGAAGGACTCGCGCATACGCTGGGAGCGCCTGTGCGGCTGCAGGCGTTGCAGCAACAACAGCGGCAGGGCAGTGAAGAGGAGTCGCAGCAGCGGCTCAGGAGACTAGGAAGCGTCTTTGCATCCCACTTGCAAGCAGCAGAGTCCTGTGTTAGCGGTGGAAGAGACAGCTCCCTGCTGCTGCTACAGCGTGGTGTCCCCGATCTATTCAGCGCATGCTGGGCTACTGTATCCACTCCGCTTCGCTCTGGGGGACGTCGAACAGAAGCGATTTCATCATCTGCAGCGCACCAGCAACAATTCGGCTCGCACGAAAAGGCGCTTGCCGCATTATCCGCGGATAGCCGTGCCCCTGGCATGTCGTGGAGACGCTGGGCATTGGGCAACCCCTGCGGTCCTGCTGCTGCTCCCTCAGCAGCGGCTTCGAGTGGAGCGGCAGCGGAACGCAGCGGGGCGGCAGCAGCGGAGACAAACATCGATAATACACTGGAGGAGACAGGCCACGCCGAGGAGGAGTCTGCCGGCTTTGGAGACATGTGGGATCCTTTGCCAGAAGAGACTCAAACCGACGAGCTGTTTCAGCAAAAAGACGTTCTTCGAAATGTGGAGCTGCTGCTGCAACCCGCTGATGCTCTAGACGAGAACTTGTGGTGCAACCATAAAGCACATCGTCGTAAATCGGTCAGTGCGGGTACTGCGCGTGTTGCAATGATGTTTTCTTCCGAAAAAGCGCGTCTCCTGAGGCTTAATGTATTCACTGTGCCTTCTGCTGTGTTAGGGGAAAGTCGTGCAACTAGATCCCGTGATTTGCCGGACCGAGCGAAGAACTTCTTTGCTAATAGACCCCTTCGGTTTGGAAGGGCTCCCGAGACATCTACAAGCTGCGAAACAATTCTCGAACGCAAAAGCCAACATGGCCGAGGTATATTCTTTATTCATCGAAGCTGCTTGGTTCCAACCCACGCCAGAAGCACATGTTTACTTGGGGCCTGTAGCTGAAGGTGCTGTTAGCGGTTGAACGGCGATTGCTGGTGTGTTGCTAACTGTCGCCCGCAGCTCTACGCCCTCCATCCCGTCGCTTGCCTCTACCGCCGGCTGCAGCAGCAACTGCTACGGTCTACTGAAAAATTCGGAGAATCTGTCCGCATAGGCGTACCAGCAGGGAGGGCAGCGGAAGCACCAGCGAAAAAGCATAGTAATGACGCATTTCAACGGCCCTCAAGCAGCCCATCCTACCTATCAGGACCAGCGTATCTTGCGTCTGCTGCTGCTTCACACGCTGATTTTCGGAAAGAAGCTCGAGAAAGCACAGAAGAGGATCGTGTGTGGCAGCGAAGAAGCTGGGGAGGCGATTTTACGCTGTACACTGAGGCAGAGCTGCATCAGCACCAACAGCGTGAGCAGCAGGATGGGACGAGAAACGTACAGAAGAACACCGATATCATGAACAGTTCCGAATATGTGGAGGTTTTAAGGGGCATTTTTGACAGCAGCAGCATGCAGCAGAGAGCCACACAAACTCACCTGACCCAAATTCCTAGGGAGTCGGTGAGCTTGCCTTCAGCTCCTGCTTTTGTTGTCACTGCTCTCTGTTGACATCATGCCGCCCCTATAGTGCCTCCGCCGCACGTTGCCGTTGTTCCTGTCCCAAGTTGAAGGGTGTCAGTCGGCGTACCCTCTGTACATACATCGTGCTTGTGTGTATCTGCGCCTCTTTCAATGTGCATCATGTGTGTCAAACAGGATTCAGCTTCCTCTCGGCGCGGAAGCAGCAGGAGGACAAGTGGCCTAAGTTATCCCTCCTCAGAGCCTTCCCTCGAAGGTATACCATTTGAAGACTTCCCGCATTTCGGCTGGTTTCCCTCTGAGCTCAGTGAAAATCAGCAGCAACACGAGTATCTTGAGGCCCATGGGGCAGACACAGCTTCTCGGCGTCTTAGGGAGCTGCTGCAGCAATACGCATCAAGGCATCTTGAAGGGCTACACCATTCTACTTTTGACACCATGCCGCAAGCACAGAAGCCGCAGCGACAAGAATCAACAGTTCCGCTGAGCAAGCTTCTTCCAAGAGGTCGTGTTGACACTCGAACGGCTTGCTGCACTTTCTCGCATTTGTTGCTTTTGCACAGACATGGTTCGATCAAGCTCGAGCAGCAGCCGCAGGTTTTAAATACGCCCCTAAACAACCCTTATCCTGAGGTGTACGTTCACATCTCGCGACCCTGGTGCACGTCAGATGATTCCACGGCAGAAGCAAACCAGCGTGATTCAACCCCGCAGCAAGAACAGCAGACACACGACGATCTGCAACAACATCAGGAGCCTCGTGGTCTGGGCACACAGTCTGACGCAAAAACGGTTACCACTGTATCTAATAGCGAAGACACTACTCCGCACCAGCACGAGAAGCAAGTACCAATGTGTAGAAGCGCCACTTCCGCAACCCTATGCCGAAGAGCTGATAGGCACCTCACACCCCATAGAGCTGCTTAAGCTAAAGACTTTCAAACTGGCCTGTGTATTAACCTGCACGCCTCACCTTCTACTGCAGCCACAGAAGTGCCCTCTCACTACACTAGTATGCACCATTTTCCACAAACTGCGCGGATACGTGGACTCTGCCTCTAATACAGGCCCTCCCCTTGCACATATGGTGTGGTTTAGATCATCCCGAGCCGTAGCCACCTGACGCCGGCAGCATATTGTTTTGTATGATATTTATGATCTGTGCCGTGCACGCGTCAGCCGCACAGCGGCCAATGACTAATTACTGTTTCATTCCTGATATTTGACTTGCACTTATATTTGAGCTTGGCATCTGGCTTTAACTAGTTGTCACGTAGGCACTCAACGGGACGTGCACCCACAGCTGCATCCACCCCACAAAAAAGACGGCATTGTACCTTCCGGTGCAAACTCAGAGCACTGGAATAGCGGGTTTCTGTTGGTGGATGTTGGTGGTGACAAGCTTGTAGGCATCTGGCTGGTTTGACTAGCCCATTCTCAGCCCTACTAGGCCAGCTGCGGGAGCTCTCTCTAGGTCGTCGTACTGGGCATTGTTTAAATTGTGGTTAGCGGAAAGAAGAACCTTGGACGAAGGCAAAAAGCAGCCAGTAGTAAACGCATGGTCTTCCCAATTCGGCAAAGCGTAAATAAGATCTGACGAATTGCAAAGGAGGGAAGTGCGGAAAAAGCCCTCCCCGTCACCGGTTTCCTTCTGTTGCAGAGATAGCGTTGGTCTTTTGGGGGCCTCTACAAGCTACGAGATCAAGGAGGTGCAGGGCTGAGGCCAACTGCTGCTTGAGAGGCATCTCAGAGAACGAGGGGACCTGAGTGAGTCAGAAACATAAGAAGACAAGCTATACAGGGATACGGGATCTCACTGATATGAAAGGAGGGGAGCAGCAGGGAGCACTAGGCTGTCAGAAAACAGACAATGCGTCTTAGAGAAGAGCAAGCTAGTTTACCATCTTCACCATAAGTGCTTACATGAACGAATAATGCTACTACACCAGTTTTCTTTCCTTCTTGTAGACTCCGAAAGCTGCAGCAAAAACAAGCAAATGCGGAACAGAGAGAAAGTGGAGAGACATAAGGAGGGGCAAAAAGAGAATGGATTGGGTGAGTGGTCTAAAGCACAACACTACGCGTACTAACTTACTACAAGTAGTTGCATACAAAACAGCCAGCATCACTTGATACGCTGCATGGGAAGCCTCGCTCGTTCAGGTCTGCAGCTATTTCCTGAAGCGCAAAAACACGCAGAAGGCGTATTTCAAGCCTTTTAGCCAAAGCATGTTAGCATTATACAACAGTATGCTCTTCAATACAGCTTCACCAAATGCAAGTGAGCATTGACAACGTGGCTGCCTGTTGGTGGGCCTTGTGCTTGATCCAAGATTTGCCTCAACATGGCCTAGTCACGAGGAAATTTCACCTACAATCCCGTGCATTATTAATTAAGTCGTGTGCATCTGACCTTTAAGGCGAGCGAGCAGCTCAGGCGGGCCCCCAGAGGCATCGAAGCCGAAATCTCGTTGGTGGAGGGACAGTAGCCTCTAACGTCGTTGCAGGAAAACCGAGCATCTGCATAGCAACAAGTGCACCAGGAGCGAGGCGTGTAGGCAGATCTTGTGTATGCAGCTCCACTAGCAAAAAGGATCGGCAAGCTGTAGAATGTTGGCACTGATATACCATTTTTCCCATGGGACTCAAGCTTCCAGCAGTTGCTTTTGGTGTTAACTCCAAAGTGTAAAGCCAAAGATAGGGGCTTAGAAAGCTCATCGCCAGGACAAAGAGGACCTTCATGATCCTTTTGGCCCAAGCGAAGGAAATTATTCTTGCTTGAGGTGTCAGAGTCATGTACTCCGCTTCTCGGCTCCTTGCAACTGAGCCGATAGTGGATGCGTGGCACAGACTCCATTGCCGCATCCGCAGATACTTCAAGTATTTCCCACCCACAAAGCTCAATCTTTTGTGCCCTTAAAGGGCTCTCAGGTCGGTCTACAGGGGGGTCCTCCGCAGTTTCTTCATGTTCCCCATATAATCCAGGAGACAAAACAGAACTGTCCACACTAGTTTCATGTACGCCGGGTGAGGTGCGTGGGGACCCGGCGGAGCTGAGATATGCTGCTAATTTCCGTACTATGCAGGCAGACGGATTGTCTTCCACCTCCCCAAAGGGTCCAAAACCTGTAAGATAAACTCGTAGGGAAGGAGCCTTGGAGGAGAATCTGCGTTGCGATGGACCCATCAACGCAAGACTCTTTTCTTGAACGCTCTGAACTCAACTGAATTTCTCAGTTCACAAATGCCGCCACGACACGAATGTCGAAAAGGGAGGAAATAGCCGCACGCGACGCAGCATGAAGCGTGTGGAAAGAAGACACAATATTCAGAAAATTTGAGAGCAATGCGATCATAATTGTGACTTAGTAAAGGCGGTCTCTGTACCAAAATCAAAAAACACTGTCCGAACCAGGAATCGAACCTGGGTTTACACGGCCACAACGTGTTGTCCTAACCTCTAGACGATTCGGACCAAGGGTCACCTCGGTGACGCTTCGCCTACTGGTAAGCTATTATTAGCTACTTCCAATGCTCATCACAAGCCCTAGAAAAGTAATTGCATGTTTCCTTATTCTTATGCTTGCAGCTTCACTTAGAAACGTAAGCTATACAGTACCCGTTCTGCCCGCGGCCACTGGTCCGAATCGTCTAGAGGTTAGGACAACACGTTGTGGCCGTGTAAACCCAGGTTCGATTCCTGGTTCGGACAGTATTAACGTATTCTGCCTCACTGATTTTGTGTATTCATAGATATCAACCTAC